TGTTGCAGCACCGGACTTTGGTTAATTCGGGCTGGAGACAACTCGAGACCAATTCAACCGGGTGCCGGACTACTCAGTACTTGCATCATTCTATAAAACCGAAAAGTCTGTGTTTTTTTCGTAACGAATTTTTCAATGATATCGATCGATAGTCCAAATCAGGGAGAGTATCGAAAGCCTCCCGTAGTGATGTGCATGGGGAGTCCTGACTGTATTCGTGCTTACCGTCGGTTTTCGGAAGATTAGTCTTATCCATCCTAAAGACATCGAGCGCCAGGGCAATTCGAGGACAGTGAGCACGAGGCCGGCCAAGTCGTTGCCGGGGTGTAAAGCGTTCTTCTTGTCCATGCCCCAGTGGGCCACCGCAACGCATCGATCTCGTGTTGGGGGAAGAAAAGCTCATGCTCCCGCCGGATGGCCCGTCGGGAGTCGGATGCCGGCCAAGAGAGCCTTTTTCTTGCAGGCGCGATTGCAGGAACCCGGAGCGCCTTTTCGCCCTTCCACTTCGCGGCCAATGGGATCTAAAATAATTCATTTAATACCACGGCTGATAGAACTCCACTTGGCATTTCAGCCCTGGTAATAAAAACCGATTGTGCTCCTTTTCCATGAACGTTGTGTATAAAATCTACATCAAGTAATCCGAAGGGACATGAAATCTTGCTGTTGTCCTTTATCTTGGCTCCCCCACTTTCCGCGATTGCTAACGTTTTCCTAACAAAGAGGGATTTCTGATTTTATGATTTGGAAGCCGATTTGTGAAATCTGTTATGTGTGCAACCATCTTTAAAAGTCTTTCCGTTTCGTGAGATCCTCCGGACACCCCTTCGGAAGTTGCATCTGTTGCCCATGTGAATATACCTAATGTTGAAAAGGTCATTATCTTATCCCGCTGTCATCCCGCGTAAAATCTCTACTCCAGCCACTTTGTTCGCAGATTGAAATTACGATGATAAAATTTTGACCATAGGCTGACCTTGCCGGCTCAGCGCGAAACACCGGCATTTTCGGAGTGGGATTCTTTCGGCTACTTTTTTCCCCTCGATCCACTAAAGCCATCCGAGGCTTGGCCTCAGTGGCCCAATATCGGCCTCAATGAGTGGTGGTGCCTTGAGACGACTGAAGCGCGAACGTGGCTCAAGGATATTGCTACTTGTCTGGCTTCTCAACGGCTCTGTTTTCACATGAGGCCTCCCCTTTTCGTTCTTTCGCTGAGCACGTCGTCTCCCCAGGCAACACGGTGTATTTGTCTCTTTTTTCACGGCAATAGATCTTGCCCGCGCCCACACCCCGGGCTCATCATTTGCACCAAATGCTGCCTTCCGGCCTAATGGCTTGCAAATGCCTAAACTTTTTTATTTCCCACCCCTAGGCCTAAGCCTCACAAGTTTTCCGGGTACTCGATAATCGGTTCGTTGCTCTTCTTATCATCTGGATCCTATTATTCAAATCAAACCTGAGGGCTTATTTTCAAAATATCGAAATTCATAATGTCGAAACTCATTCTAGTCTGGTCCCCGAATTCTAGGCAAAAAAATGTTGTCGTGAAATAAGATAAAAAATAGAATGTGGAAAAATTTTTTGGCTAGGATTTGGCGGTTTCACCGGTAATATTAGCGTATGTAAATTTCGACACTATGACATTTCGACATTATGAAATTTCGACATTATGAATTTCGACATTATGAGTTTCGAAATTATGAATTTCGACATTATGATACCAATTCAAATCTGAGGATTGGCAAGTTTCTCAAATCTGATTTCAGAATTTCAAAAGAACTCAACCCAGATTTGAGCTGATTTGCTGGTAGAACCAAATCAAATCTGGGTTTGATTTCAACCGGAAGTCCAATTCCAATCAAATCCTGAACCGGTTTGATTTGGATAATTTGTGCAAACCAAAATGCCTCGGGCAAGAAAATGGATGCCTAATAGCAATTTTGCGGCTCATTCGATGACAATCATATGCGAAACAGCCATATTCCCCGTTTTCAACCGTTTTAAGTGCTTTACTGGTGATTTTCATCCATACGTGTTTTCCATAATGTTGGATCTACCAGTTCCTAGTTTTCTTGCAACTTGTAGCCGTTTTGCCCCCCCCCCCCCTATCTTGAGCGCTAATCAGACCATCCGTAACCGCCTGTAGTTTCAGCCGATATTTAGCGTTTTAAGATGGCCCTAACAAAATGAATGGTGACTGGTCAGAGACTGGCGACTCATTGGAGGCCCCTGAATGCAAATATTGACCGATTTGCCGATGATGTGGGGTGCTTGTTTTTGGGTTAGGGACAGGGCCGTGTCGCCAGCCGAATTCGCGGAAATGCCTCGTTTCCCGACCCATCACCAACCTTCTTGTTAAATTTCCCGTTTCCAATATTGGCTTCCTGCCCCCTTGCGCTCACCCAATTATTTCCAACTCCCTTTAAATGCCATCAAACCCTTGTCGCTACTAACTGGACCAGATATAGCTCGAGATAGGCGCAATTTTTCTAAGTTTTGCCGTTTTTCACGGTTTTGGGTCACTTGCAGCTCGTTTATGAATGCCAGTAGGTCGAAAGGGATAAGGAATGCCAGTAGATCGGGGCATTTATTTGAAAATAATTTATGCTGGGGATCCTGAGGACGAGCTTATTGCTTTTACTTGCTCGTTTCGCGCCCGAAAAATAATGTTCTTAGGACAGCGTCCTTTATTTCACCATTAGATTCGATGTTACGTTGCGGCAGGCGAGTCGTCCCTATCCCTCCGTCGTTTCCTCCTTACCATCCGACGGTCAGACTTGCAGAGAGCTGATCGAAAATTGATCGAAAGCTCGCGAAGGAGTGGGTGGGGCAGAATGGAGAAGAGGAGGGGGGAGGGGCTTGAGCTGATGGAACTACAAGCGGCTGGAGGGTAGGTGCGGGGCAGGGCAGGGATGAACTCGAGCCCCCGGAGCGCGAATCCCTGAGAGTCGGTTATTTGCCTTGGTGGCGCGGTAGCGAGGGAATGGCGGTGAGAATACTCAGAAGCCGGGGCGGATCTCGATTCGCTGAAGGCTGAGGGCCTCCCTCAACACACACACGCACAAGCAGACAGACAAACGGACACACGCGGGCATACGCAGTGCGCGGTGACCGTATTTCTCTTCGACTCTGCTCCCCCCTGGCCCTCTCCAGGCCCTACTTTACACCGTGTACAGGGCCATCGCTTCAGATGGCCGGCCATCGGTTCAAGGGCCCATTTCCAACTTTGCTGGTGGCGGGTACCGTATTTCGCCTGCAAAGGGCCCCGCTCCCGCGTTCATGCCAGAATCCTTCACACCACTGCTTGTGTAGAAGGCCCAGGTGTATTGGCTTAAAATGGGTTTGAAGCCTAAAAGTTGGCATAAATCTTCTATGTCCCCTTCTCTGCCTGCCCTACTCTCTGCCCATTTTTGCACTAGCATTTCCGGTTGGCTCGTTGCCAATTATAGATGCGCCCTGATCTACTGGGACTTCCTCAGCCCTTTAATATTAGTTATCCATGGATGGTGTGCTTGTTGCGTCAACTCTTTGACCATATGTGGCTTTTGAAGGCCTACACTTTCCCATTCATCCCTCCCAATGATATGAATGACTTGCTTTGCCCAGTTCGGTGGAATGGCAGTAGAACACATGCTTGTCGTCAGTTTATAGCTAGTCATTAGGGCCGCCGAATAGTCGAATAAATCCTGCCGCCGGACGGAGGGCTTTACGTTTCTATGGATCCATTTTTCAGCTCAACTCCCAAAACAGTTGCACCTCGGGTTGGGCTCGGAGTCTCGGAGAGATTCGACGAATTATTTTCAAAAAATATTGGCCAACTCTACGCACCTCGGCCAGTGCACCGAAATCCATAAAATTAAAGCGCTTCGTTCAAGGAATACCCGACTTCTTGGGGTAACATGTGTGGCCGCCGGGGCCTCGCGTCGCATTCCATATGCGCTTTCTCCTATTTGCACTTGGTGGCCCATATCGCATGGCTGCGAGCCCTGCTTCTTTCTCTTTTTGCACATTTTCCCCTGAAACGACAATATTTATGACCGGAACACAACTTACCGCAACTTACAACCGGACCTTTTTGAGCGTCCACCGGACTGGGGCAAACTATTTTATATAGTATTTTGCGCTTGTTAAAACCTACTGTCCAGGATCTGCGAAGTAGAACGACGAAAGCTATCGAGCTGCAAAGCGTGAAAAGTTGCCGCCTTAACTCATTTGGAAATTCTTCATCTTTAAAACACATATATTGGGGCTCATTCTCCCCGTTCATCGGCACTGTTTGTATCTGCGTCGCTCTACAAGAAAACGCCGAGCTATTGAAGTTGGGGGGGGGGGGAGCAAACTTTTTGGACCCAGGCTTAAGTTTAGGCTTAGCTTCGGCTTTGCATAGGCTTAGCTTAGACTTACATCATCATCATCATCATCATGATTTTCCGGAAGTGCTGTATCTCTGTACACAGGCCTCCGCAGGAAAATCGGACAACGGCAGCGTGTTCTCCATAGTCGATCACCCAGGGGTAGCCGCGAGCGTTTTACAAATTTCCACTTCGTCCCCGTGCCCTCCCCTTGTTAGACTTAGGCTTAGCTTAGGTCCAGGCTTCGTCTTGGCTTAGCCTAGACTTAATTTTTGCGTAGCCTAGGCTTAGGCTAGGCCAAGGCTCTGGCTTAATCTAGGCCTCGTTTTTGCTTAGCCGAGACTTAGCGAAGGCGTGGGCTTACGCCTAGGCTTGGCAGAGGTTAGGTTTAGGCTAGGATTGGCTTGGCTAGCTTACCTTTGGAGGCCAACTTAAGCCGGCATGAGCCTAAAAAAAATTTTGCTTGCCCCAACTCCAATAGCTCCGAAAACTCTCCCGGTCAGCCTCCTCATTCCTCATTTGCTTCCTATCACACTCTACTCTCTCTTTCTTGCTTTGTAATTTAGTTTTAAGCTTAGGCTTAGGCTTGGGCTGCTGTTCCCGCCTCAATATACCATATATTTTTTTCAGTTGGGTCCCCAGGGCACGATGAGAGGGGCTGAATGGGCTCTGGCGGCGGTGCTAGGCTTTGCCCTGGTCGCCGTCGTCGACGCCGGCTCGAACTGTTCAGCGGCCGATGCTACGAAGAACTGCATTGATGGGATGATGGTGCCCATATGGTTCGTGTCTTTAATTAACGCGACTGTGAGCTGCTAGAACCTGCTAGCCGCCGAGCTGATGGACACTTTTCAATTTTTCAGGAGACCCTTCCTGGACCTGGAATTGTCGGATCGACTACTGCGTGGGATCATTTATTTCTTCGTCATCGCTTACTGCTTCCTCGGTGTATCGATCGTGGCAGATCGCTTCATGAGCTCGATCGAAGTCATCACCAGGTACGCAAGTTGTTTTGTTTTTGTTTAGGCCGTCCTAGTGTAGAATTTAGCCTAAGCAAAAGGGATATTTCGAAAATAAGGGCGCAGACAGCCAAAGCGCGCGCGACCAAAGCCGAATACCTTAGATGCAGGCTAGGCATATTGCGGAAAACTAGCATAGGAAGGAAGCTAGGATGAAGATGTGGGATTTACTCGTCTTGGTAATCTGAGTTTTGGTCCTCTATTGACCGGACAGATGGATTCCGGCTTTCGGCTGCATCCTTAAAGGCATCAGGAAGGCATATAAGCATAAACCCGGTTTTGACTACAATTGGCTAAATCGTTCCTGCTGCCTCCCGCATCGACCTTATAGATGAGCCCTGATCTACGTGGGCCTTCCTGATCCCTCAAATTGAGAATTTTCCTCGCACCTGCGAAGCATTTCTGCGGAATATACAGCTCTTACCTTGCAAAGCTATCCCATTACTAGTATGGAACGAACGATCATGGTGAAGCGACCCGGGCTAGACCCGATGCAGGTGCACGTCCGCATCTGGAACGATACCGTCTCGAACCTGACGCTGATGGCCCTTGGCTCTTCTGCGCCCGAGATTCTTCTCTCTATTATCGAGGTGAGTAACTGAATCGGGGTGCTCACGTCCTATTAATGAAGTAACGCGCGGCTGTCCACTGCAAGGGTTTTGCCTTGGAGCGTTGGAATGCGCTTTTCGCAAAAGTTATCAATTAAAGCGAAGGCTCAAGCATCGGTCCAGTATATAACAGTTACGTCTACTTGCGCAGTGTGACTAACTTTGTTAAGGTCTAAGCCTAACACACATAGGCCTAAGCATGTAAGCGAAAGAAGGGACGAAGACGTGAATGGGAACGTCCCAGCATATATGAGGCTGAGACCTGCCTGTGCGATCCTTGCTCTAGTTGGCCCTCAAATTTACGACCACCAGAATCAGCGGCAAAATTTTCATGCTCTAGGTGTGTGCCAAGGGCTTCGAGGCCGGTGATTTGGGCCCAAATACAATCGTCGGCTCCGCGGCCTTCAACCTTTTCATGATCACCGCTATTTGTGTTAGTGTCATCCCCAAAGGAGAGGTTGGTCGTACACGCTTTTTCTCATCTCGCCCAAGCGCCGAAAGCATTCTTTATCAAGGTCCGCCGTCAAAAACATCTCGACGTGTTTTTCGTGACGGCCACTTGGTCGATTTTCGCCTACATCTGGTTGTACGTCATCCTGGCTGTTATCAGGTAACACGTTGTTTGGGGCCTCGGAAACGGGGGACGATCAGTACTTTTAAAATCATGACTTCTAAAAATTGGTACGTCGTACTATCAATTTTTTGGAAAATTTGGTCATGATTATTCGCCGATCGACGCTAAAAATTTTACAAGTAATGATGGGTAGCGCAGAAACCACCTTCTTCAAGGCTAACCAATTTTTGATTCAGCCCCGGCGAGATCGAGATCTGGGAGGGGTTGGTCACATTCGCCTGCTTCCCATTGACCGTCTTCACCGCATGGATTGCTGACATCAAAATCATCCAGGTACCAACCCTATTTCTGCCGGTATTATTCATTTGACATCTAGCACCGTTTCCTACCTCGTAAATATCGACGTGGCTCGCACGCGATGGTCGCCACGGAGGGCGAAGAGATGAAGATGCTTGAGGTTACGCCGGGGAAAAATTCAGACCGTACCCGTTTCAGGATCAAGACCCGGCAGTACGCGCCTTTGAGGAACATCGACAGGAGTTCATCGAGCTGATGCGTGAGATCAGGAAGCGAAATCCACATATCACGTAGGGCCCTCCATTGTACAAAACGCCGCAAGTTGCTTTTAGCCCGTTGGACTTGCAGAAACAGGCCGAGTATGAAATGATCAGCCGCGGGCCCAAATCGCGTGCTTTCTACCGCGTCCAGGTTCGTCTTTTGGGATTCTCCGGCTTCACCAAATCCTTGTTACCTTGAAAATGTTGATTCAGGCGACGCGGCGTCTCGTCGGCGGTGGTGATCTGGTCAAGAAGCGTCTCGAAAAAGAGCATAACAAGGCTCTCGATTCCGCTCAAGAGAAACATCTCCGCGACAACACCTGCAAAATCTATTTCGACCCGGCCCACTACACAGTCCTTGAGAATGTCGGAACTTTCGATGTCGTGGTTGGAAAGGACGGCGGCCCCGAGGTGAGCTGGTTAGAGCGGTTTACGCTTTGATCGCAAAGTGAAAGGAGAAAGAAACACATTCGATATTTTATTATTCGAATCAAATCTGAGTATCAAATCAAATCGAAAGTTTCTCAAATCAAATCCAAATTTGGTTTTGATCGGGAAGTCCAATTCAAATCAAATCCTGAAAACCGATTTGTGCCGAATAATTTGTGCAAACAAAATGTCTCGGGCAAGAAAATTTTGGTGCCTTACTTCATCCGTAATACTCAAATCAACCCCGGATTTGATTTAAATATTTGAAAATCCATGAGGTTTTAAGTCAAATTCAGATTTGATCTTAGCGGAAGCAAATCTCAAATCTTCTTATTCCAATCAAAGCGGAAATGAGTCGGATTTCATCCGAATAATCTCTAACAAGGGGTGCGTTTTTTGAGTCATCGACAAAACCTTACGAGACCTAGCTCATTCGATAGAGAATTCAAATCTGAACCAGGCGCCGTTTTCTTTTTTGCGGAATGTCTGTCTCCGATTTTATAAAATTAAAAAACTAGTGGCAGTCTCTTACCATGAGTGCCCTTCGAGCGAAAAGAAGCCCTTTTGGGTGCAGTTTTAAAATTTTATAAAATCAGAGATGGCCATCCCGCAAAAAAAAAGGAAAAAGGGAGCGTTGTTCAAAATTGGATTCTCTATCGAATGAGCTAGGTCTGGTAGGATTTTGCCGATGACTCAAAAAAAAGCACTCCTTGTAGGACACATACGGGTTTTTGCGCAAGGCCTTACTAATGATTGTATTCGTTTAATGAGCCTTAATTCTTCTAGCTGCTCCTTTGAAATCAATAAAGTAGGAAAAACGCACCATACTTTTTATGCGCTCCAAATCATCATTGTTCTCGTTGTTAAGGGATTGACCGTCATGGTTGACTACTTCACAGAGGATGGATCGGCCAATGCCGGCTCGGACTACATCCCCGTCAAGGGTACGCTGACATTCTACCCAGAAGACAAGCACCAGGTAAGAATCGAAAAGATCCTTCGAAACATTTTGCCTGGTTTTAATATCGGTGGAGTTCAGCCAAAATTTTAGCGAATCACGATCGAGATCGTTGATGATGATGTATTCGAAGAGGACGAGCACTTCTACCTTCACTTGAAGAACCTACGCGTGCGCACAAAGGTGGGCAAATAAATGCACTGGCGCTATTCAAAGATGCGGGAGGTTTGACGAGCCTTGATCTGATTAGCAGCACATTGGCATAGGGGCAAATAGTTTGACCGAGACCACTATTTTTCTAGGAAGGACTGATTCTGGACCCTTCGAGCATCGGCGGGTTGCCGGTTGCTCAGTTGGAGATGCCAGCCACGGCGACCATCATGATCCTTGGTAGGGCAAAGACAACCCCTGGTTTTTTATCCGTACCCGATCACATCGCGTTGTTAAATTTACTACTTAATGTCGAATTTTCGCATAAGCTATGAATTTCGAAACTCTGAAATGCTTCAAGCCCAGCACCACAAATCCTACCTGTTTTTTGCGTCAATCGTCAACCATTGGTTTCAGATGATGACCACGCCGGAGTGTTCTCCTTCGAGCATGATCACTTCCAAGTCGTTGAGTCTTGCGGTCATCTACAGCTGCGCGTGCAGCGTCATTCCGGGTGCCGCGGGAAAGTCGTGCTGCCGTTCAGGTGAGAGATCGTTGCAAGACTACAATGCGCAGCTTTGGTAGTTCTTCATGAAATATAAATTACAGGACCATCGACGGGTCAGCGCGGGGCGACAAAGATTTCGAATCGAAAGAGGGCGAAGTCGTTTTTGAAGACAACCAGACCGAGTGAGTGATCATGATTTTTGGCATCGAGACGGAAGAAAACTCAAACGCCTCCGGATTGCATTTTCCAGGGCATTCATCGAGCTCGGCATCGTCGACAGCGAGCAGTACGAGCGTACCGATAACTTCTACATTGAATTAGGCGCACCGATTTGGGCGAAGAAGATGTCAGGTAGACAATCAAGATCTTTATTGAGTATTATCACATTTGAACACTCTCCCGGCCGTGTGCACCTGCGGCATGTGCCGTATTCATAGCTTTCTTTCGCAAACGCGCCAAAATTGGTTGTAGAAGAGCGTTTCCAACGCCATAAAACACTTCTTTCACCGTTTTAAGAAGGCAAAACAATGACTTGAGATTTGCGCCGACCCCCATTTTTGTTCAGCTGTTTATCAGAGCCGCGCAGAGCAAGTTGTATGGTTCGGCCATTCGGGCTTTCGAGCATTATTGTAAAGTTCGAGCTTCGGGGCGTTTGGGCGTAGACTTAGGTCGCTTCAAAACTCTTCACGAACTTTTCCTTAGAGCTTTTATACTTTTCAAGAAGTATAAAGTTGCAAGAAAACTAGAAAACTAGCCCTGTAGCTGGTTGATTAATGCATTAATGAACTAAAAATTAACTACAATATCGGGATGATTTTTAAACCATCCGAAAGCCCTCGAAAGGCCACAAACAGGCGCTTTTTTCACAAAATTTTGTATTTCCCGCTCGGGATTAAACGATTTCTTGAAAAGCGTTAAATTAGGGTCGCCTTTTTAGCTTTAGCAAGCACTTAGCATGCGGAGTTTTACATAAAAGCGACGGTTCTCATGGACTTTGGTCCTAAAATGCGCGATTTAAAAGGCCACTATTGGAAAACGAAAAATGCTGTTTTCTTGACTTTCGGAGAGCTTTCCATGGATGCCTCAAACGTCAAAATCGAACATGACTGTGGTCCGCTAGAGGGGGTCAAATTTGTTTGGGATACCCTGTAGTAGCCACGCAGAATAACTATTATGACCATTAGATGTTGTAGTACGTTAATCCGCGAACATGAAGCCGATTAACTAGGGGTTTCTTTTCAGCAATACGTTCTGCTCGAAGTTTTCAATTTTGTTCGGAATTTTGAATATTCGAACTATACATGTTGCTCCGCGCCGAAGATTCAATTTCTTAAATCTCAAGCCCCCTATCCTGTACCTCCTATCTCTTTTTTTCTACCCGCGTGGCCCATGGCATGCCCACCGGCATGCTTGGCCTGGCTGTGGTGTGATCGTGGTGGTGATTGGTTTGTTTGGCAGATCTCTCGAAGGTGCAAGAGCGCTTCCAACGTCGTATGCAGAAGAAACGCGCCGCATCTAATGGCACCACTGGCACTGACCCAACCGCCGACGACGACGATATCAGCGACTGCGCAGGTGGTGGAATGCATCTTCTTTTCGGCTAGCAAATATTGAAACATCCGGCTCTCGCGGTAGCTATACGAGGTGTACCAATCAAAAAACATCCCCTCTAACCCGACAGGGGTACGGTCCAATCGGAATGATCGTTACACGATTCGAAAGCCCTGGAGACGGCGAGTTTGCAACAAGCTTTAAAACCATGCTTTTATTTAAGTCCGCTCTACAAGGTACTTAAAAACGTTAAGGAACAGCCTCAGCATCTAACCAACGGTTACTTCCGGTCATTTTTCCTGAAGAAATTGAGGAAAATTAGCTTGTGCCCGAAAACGGCAAGATTGTACAAAATGGCTTATTGAATAGCGCATTTAGGTAGAAACATGGTTTTGTAGATTGATGCAAACTCGTCGTTTCAAGGGCTTTGGAATGGTGTAACTACCATTCCTATCCGAACTTCTTTGTCGAGTCAGGGGAGGGGGGTTTACTGGGACACCCTGTATGCCCTCGGAAAATATGGAGTAGTGAAGGCTAATTTGATTCTATTGCCAGATTCGGTTAGCACGATTCAATGTTGCAATATCGAACTGGGTAATAATGGTGCGTGTCCAAAAAGTGCTCCCTAGAATTCGGGAGGAAGCTCGTATCGGGATGATTTTTACGTAATTTGAAAGCTTTATCAGCCGGCAAAAACAAACGGATTTCTTTTTTTTATATTAAGTGGCAGTTGATCGATATTCGATAGTTTTGTTACCGTTTCAAGAGTAATTCCGCAATAGCATGAAAATCTTGCCTACACTAGACCCTTCGTGTTTTCTGTTCACGAAATTCACAGATGAAAATACAGGGTCCTTTTTGGGATCGATAATTTTATTGCACCGTCTGGTCGAACCGATAGCGCATCTAGTTTCCATGCAACGCTCTTTGCGAGAAAATATCCTATATGTATTATGTCCTTGCACTGTGGTAAAGCACAAACTGCTGTTTTGGTGCCACCGCCAGTTCTAGGAATTAAGATGATTTTCCGGACCCCCTGAAATTCAAACCATGACCCCACAATCCACTTCAATTCCATTTTGGTCAGCACAACGGGGTGTGCTGTGCTCGTGTCCTTAGAGTACAGAAGGTTCAGCTCAAACGACGGCACGGAGAGCCCCACGAAATCTCAGTAAGCGTACGCCCCCCTCCCCCACCCGATGCCTTTGCGTATAATACCTTATATAATGTACCTTATCCCAATGTAATCGTTTGGAGCTGCGTGCATTTCCTCGATTGGTGATGCTTATGCGGTCTCTAGGGGAAACGGCTTTTTTTACCTTTCCTTTCATATTAAACAGTCTTTACTGACGCTTTTTATATTCCTGATCTACTGACAACGTTCTAAATTAATCCAAACCACTGCGCGCAGAAAATATGTAGATCGTAAGAAAAGCGGGTTCTGGGTGCGGCGGTCCATCCAGAGTCTGCGAGCATACAGTAAAGTGTTTTTGGTCAGGAGGAAAATTCGGGCCGGGTCCAGGCCTATCTTGTGCAGACCTTCAATGCCACAGAACTTTTATACCTGAACTATGCTGCATTCCTTAAATCGGATTCGGAATCAGCGGAAAACTCTGAATAAGATAGGCTGGGTCCAATCTCAAATTACCATCCCGATCCGAAACACTTCAGTGTGTTAGATGCTTCGCAAAAAAAACCCTCGGAGCTCCCGTTCCTTAGCCAGAGTTGCAAAAAAAATACCTGTGTCTTCACTAGAGCGACATGGTTGTATAGCTATGCTATCGTGGTTGACCCTGTGCCGGCTTTGACCCGATGTCCCCCAGTGCATGTTTCCATACTTTTAACTAAGTTTCCAAGATCACAACTCGGTTCCCTGCCCATCCTCAATAGAAATCCTCTAGAATCCCGGGAAACATGATTCTGTGCTTCCAGATGAAGCGATCGCCATGGGACTGACCGACGATCAGCTGCAGATTGCTGAGCTTGGAAAGCCGCGGCTCGGCGACCATCTCCGCTGTCAAATCACCATCAAGGAGAGCAAAGAGTTCCAGGTTTGTGGTTTTCTGCGGCAAACTCTTCATATAGAATCGTATCTCGCACACTTATAGTATGGACCAAGCTGATAATGGTCTCGTTTTTTGAATTTGCTACAGAACCTTATTTTGAGATATTAAGGTTAAGGCGATTCTTTGGTTAAAATTGTCGAATTTCGGACGGGCTGAAAACGCGTGGTTGGTCGTATTCAGAAAAGTGTCTCTTTCTCCAACTCAAAACTCTCAAAAACTCGAAAAAAGACCATATTGACACCGATTTTACCATGGAAGATGGTAGCAAACAGCCGCGTTCCAACTGTAGAATTCTTTCAGGGCCATGGTGCATTAACAAATATGCCATTTTAATCAAACAAAAATTCTCTTTCAGTTAGGCTGTGCAAAATACTTAGAAACATCGAAACACATGTTCGATGTCGTGACAAATCACTTCCCATGGGCCGAAAAACGATGCTAAAACTTTAATATCTCAAAAATTTAAGGTTGAAATTTAACAAATTCGAAAGTTTCGAGGGGATGATCAGCGTGAAATTTTATGAGTAGTTTATGCTGCGTGTTGCGGGTATTTTGAACTTCCCTATTTAGAAATATGCATAGACACATCATCTGAAAATATTCTGCCTTCAGCTTCCATTTTGTCATTGCAGGGCATCATCGACCGAATGATCAAAAACGCGAACACAAAGCTGATGCTGGGAACGTCTTCGTGGAGGGAACAGTTCATCGAGGCCCTCTCCGTCGAGGCCGGCGACGATGATGACGGAGATGAGGAATGTGGGGATGAAGCTGACGAGATCAGTGAGAAACAGCCTCCGAGCTGCTTCGACTATTTCATGCACTTCCTGACGGTGCCGTGGAAACTGGTGTTTGCCACCATTCCACCCACTGATTACTGGTATGTTTTGAAGTAGACTTTTTTCACTTTCCACTTCCCGATTTTTTTGATCATCGGATTTTTCAGGGAGAGAAAAAGAAGGCGAGAGAGAGAGAGAGAGAGAGAGAGAGAGGGAGAGGGCAAGAGCGATAGAGAGAGAGAAAGTGCGATTAACCATCAGAATCGAATTAACCAAAATTGGAAACTCTCGAAATTTCAAAATCTTGAATTTTTAGAATCTCGAAATTTGCAGGGTATGAATCATATTTAAAAGCTGCAGAAAAGCTATGCAAATTTCGATATTCAAAAAACTCGAGCTTTTTGAAAATTCGAGATTCTTGTTTTCGAGATTTTGATACATTCCCAGATAGTGAGAGTCAGATCTTCATAGTCCCGATGACCCGGCTTTTGCAGGGGTGGCTGGGCTTGCTTCGTTGTTGCAATCGCCATGATCGGCGTGTTGACGGCCTTGATTGGGGATCTAGCATCCCAATTTGGTTGCTGGGTGGGGCTGAAGGATGCGGTGACTGCCATCTCCTTCGTCGCGCTGGGCACTTCAGTACCAGGTACAGCTTTGATTAGCGGAATCGCGTGCCTATCAGGGCAACTAGCAAATGGGGCGCTGTTCGCACTGAATAACAAGTAGACGTTGTCGAATAGTACGTTCTCGCGGCCGCCCCAGGGCCAGTGGTCTTCGATTTTGCTCAACTTTTAGCATTTACCGTAATATGGCATTCTAAAACGCAATTTGTGTAAGAGCTTAGACGATTCAAACGAGGGCAAACTGTACCCTTAAGGACCAAGAATTTTAGTGCGCTTTTTGCAACCTGGGCGGCCCCGGGGATTTTTTTGCCAAGTGAGGCAGCAAGTCGCTCACGTAGTCGACCCATATAAGACATTCCCTCTTTCCGTCTCTTTCACGCAATCTCTTTCAGATACGTTCGCCTCAAAGGTGTCCGCAGTACAGGACAAATACGCTGATAACTCAATCGGCAACGTCACCGGCTCTAACGGCGTCAACGTGTTCCTCGGAATCGGAATCGCATGGTCGATGGCGGCAATCTATCATGCCCTCAATGGCTCACGCTTCCTTGTCGACCCGGGAAACCTTGGCTTCTCGGTGGCTCTGTTCTGCGTCGAAGCCCTTTTCTGCATCGCCGTAATCGTTTTGCGACGCAACAAATACGTCGGCGGAGAGCTGGGTGGCCCCGTCGTTTTTAGGGTAGGTCGATGGCTAAATCTGGTCGCTCGCTTGCTTTTTGCTTGCACGTTACGGATCTTAAGTAGCTCGGTTTTTTATTCGTTACTTAACCTGGAAATGACTTTCGCATTTTGTAATTGCCATTGTTTCTGATTCTCCAGGCAAAAGAAACATCTTAAAAACGATTTACCTTTAGAAGAAGCTTCCGTTTAAAATTTATATTTCTAGTTCAAAACTGAATTGCTTCGTAAAATTACCTAAATTTTTGAGCGCGTTATTGGTATCACGAGCGCTTTTTTGTAGTCTGTTTTCTTCATAAGCAGCTCAACCATTGAAATTACATTTTAATTTATAAGATTTTGCTTCTTCTGGTCAGAAGACTAGAACGATTTAAAATATTTCTATTTCAAGCTGAAAACGTGGTTTGGTGATTGAAAAACTATTTAGCTACGTACAGCATTTACCGTAATTTGTTTATGAGGTAAATAATTATTCGAAAACACAATACATTTGGCAAGGCATAGGCCGGCCCTGGAGCCGATCGGTTTTGGAGGAGTCAAACAGTTCATTCCAGATTTTCACCTCGGGTCTTTTCACGTTTCTCTGGCTGTTCTACTTGCTGATGTCGGCCCTCGAGGCGTACTGCGTGATCACCGGATTCTAGGAGATTCATTCACTTTTCCGTCCAATGCGTATTTGATTAATCCCCATTCAGTTGGCGCTCACTTAGCCCCTCGCCTTCCATTGGACCGCCCCCCCCCCCACCTATTCAGAAAAAACTCAAACATTATTGCCCCCTCCTCTTCGACTCATCAAGTTGCAATACGGAAAAACAGCCTTCCCCTATCAGCCATCTGGGATCATCTAATGATTTGCATGATATCGTTTACAGAGAATTGTTTTCTATTTGTTTCGTTTGTCCACGGCCCAATAAAATTTTACGACATATAAGTTCTGTGAAGCGGGAGAACGCCGAAATCCCGACAGCCAGAAACCCCAGATTTGAAAGCCACTTATAGGTAAAACGACCGGAAATATCACATTTTGGCTGTCGCTATTTTGGCGGTGGCTATTATGGCTGGAGTTCCTGCTGAGAGTACACGCTAGAAATTTGGATGTTCTGCGCTGGATGGTGGGGGCTGCATATTTGGAATGAATCACGAATAAAGTGGGTGGGGGAGGACACCGATCGAAGCGAAGATAATGCGGCCACATACCGCCGCTACCACCGAGAAAGGTGTGCTGATTTTTGTCAATTTTTGGTTATTTGTCACATTTTGGGTGCTCTTTCAAGCAATATTTATAGAGGCTATTTTAGAAGAATTAGGAAGTCAAAGATCGCGTTTACGGGGCTGAAAAGGAGAAAAGGAAAAAGGAAGAATTAATTCGTCAATTCAATTCTCCATTTTGTTTTATTATAGACATTTTCGCCGTTAGTTCGTGCAAACTTCTGGAAAATAACGGGGCTTCTTATTGTTAAGATATGCAAATTCGGCATTGCCACAATCGGCTGGCAGCAAAAACCCTAGTTGATTGATATGGCCTCCACTGCTCCGGGAATGGCGCACACAAATGTTCGTTTTTACTCCGTGATAACCGTGGGAAATGCGATCCTCCGTGTTTTTTGGGCAGCCTTGGGCATAGGGAGAGAGGACATTATTCCGACAGTCTCCGGCCCCATGACCATGTCAAGTCTCGTTGACGGTGAATCGTTCTACGTTTCCTTCAATGATATTTGCGCGGGCTTAGAGACGTTTTTGAGTGTCGTCCGGGCTTTGGGAGGGGGGTCAAGCCTATCTTGTATGCCCATACATTCTGACGACGCTAATTTTATCCAAATTTTCAAAATTTGAAATTTTTCAGGGAAGTGGCTTAATTTGTCGAGAATTTTTCTGAACACGAACCCGCGACACCAAACCTATCCCCAAAGCGTAGCCTGAGGGCAAAGTTAGCTCATCTCCTCCCGGGCCTTCATTAGTGCGCTGGTCCGCCGATCAGGGTTCTTTGGTGCGCAATATCTGCGAAATCTGAAAAAGTTCCGGAAACGCACGTGGATGTGCCTGCCTAAGCGTGGATTCCCGCTTGCGCGATCCCTTTAAGCAACAATCATCAGTCTCCTATTTTTTCTAGTTTTTTTCTTAAATCGTCTTCTCAATTATATCCAGTCATAATCCCGACAGCCAAAATATAATTTTTCCAGTAATTTCACCCATCAATGGTTTTTAAAAACTGGAATTCTGTCGGTCGGGATTTTGGGTTTTGCCCCCCCCCCCTTTGGATACACTTGGGAGGATCTTGGGCCAATACGGTGGCTCGCAAAAGATGGTGGGGCCAGATGATGACGCGGGGGCTGCCGTTGCCGGGGAGGGGACCAGTCTTATTTGGCATTTGTCTCCGGCGGGTCCCTCGTCGCCCCATCCCATCGTGTGGCGGCGCGTCGACCGGAACATGCTAATTGGAGAGGTCCGAGACGAAGCGGGCACGCGTCACCAGCTTTCCCACCCCGCGCACCAGCCTGTAACTGTGGCCATCCACACGCTCGGTCCCGGCACTTGCCGATTTCTTGCAACCGTTTCTGCATCGACGACGCTATTTTCGCGTAACGTACGTAACGTCCGTACGTACGTATACCGCATTTCCTTTCAATATAGCCCGCTCCTCTGGCCTACCCCCGAAAAACTTTTTTTCGAAGTTGCCTTTAAAGGGATCAGTAAGGCCCAGCTAAATTAGCATAGTTATCTTAGTTCTAAAATTAGCCGAAATCATCTCTGCCCCCTCCCGCCGCGCCCCATTCTCTGTCCGTTTTTCGCATCAGCATTTCCGGTCGGCTCGTTGCGAATTATAGACGAGCCCTGATCTACTGGGCCTTCCTTATCCCTTTAAGAAACAAAATCTGGCACAAACGTTTCTGTTGGAGCTTCGTACTGTGTTCCTGAGTGATGGTGAGCAGTTTGAACTGCTAGAAATCGTTGTAATCGCCCAAAAACACGAAAAATATGTCACTCACTCCAATACAACCCTTTCCCCGGTAAGAGTTGACTTTACCCCCCCCGACAGCCGATAGGTCTCAAAGTTTTCGGTATTTTCGCTTATTTTGTCGGGATTTTTGCAACGTCATTCGCTAGAGCGTCGAAAAAGATATCAAGAGTTTTAATTTGAGCCTACAATATGTGATATCAAAAAGTTATGGTCAAAAACTTCCGGCTGGGGGGAAGTAAAGTGTAGCCCCCTGCCCTGAGGCAATTGAAAAATATAACCCGGGGTTATATTAGAAAAAATACGGTAACTAATTGCAATGGATCCCTTTATGGGACCGTTATTTCTTGCAAGTCCTCTCGATAAACAGAAAAAGAACAGCCGTCCCCGCCAGCGTGTCGCCCCTAACAGCTGATCGTCCTCTTGTATCCATCTTTTTCGAGCGTTTCACGTATGGGCTAGCCTCATTTTTGGTGTCAGTTCTTGTATTTGTATCTAACGATATACATCAAAAATAGTGTCTTTACGCTAGCGCGGAAATTCGCATGCAATTTTGGCGGCGTAGCATTTACGAGTTCGTATTTTTGCAAGCGTCCATAGGAGCCGGGCGTAGCGCCTGCCAAAAAATTTAAAGCAAAAGCAATAACTTTATCAAACCGACTTAATATTGAAATGCCAGGTCATTTATCTCAGAGTAGAAATTTTTACGGTTTGGATGAAACCAAAGACAGCAAGTTAGCCCTGCGAAAACAAAGTCGCTAACAAAAACTGCCTTCGTTTGGATACTTTTGGAAAGTTAGTTTTTTTTGTGCATAGTATCGTTAGAATAGCGTATTCTATTCTACAATATTCGAATTAGCTTTTTTTCGAAAGAACTAAGCCTCGAAAGTTTGGTCCCATACATTTTCTTGACGAACGACGTGCTTCGTTGCCTAACCCTTACACCGCTAGATTTCGGGGCGTGTTAGAGTGGTGTAGCAGTGACCATTGCCACAGTCAAACGACGAATCAATAGAGCTGAGTTTGGTATTTCATTGGCGGTGGCACACTTGACTTCACATCCTCCCCAGGTGCCCTGTGCCCCGATTTGCCCTCCCCTCCCTCAATCACTCGGCTGCCTCCCCCCTTCGTCTGTCTTTGTTGACTTAAAAAGTCTCGGGCCGCCGATGGGAGAGCTTCCAGCCGGCCGCGGCACTCCCGAAAAGCCGCCTCCTATTCTCTCCCCCTTTTCCACTCATCGCCTAACACGGCACAGCATACTGTAAGCGCCCCCCGGTTGCCCGAGCTTACCCCATGGAGAGAGTACTAGCAAGGAATCGCAGCTTCCTAGTCTGCCGCTAAGTCCGGGTAACTAAACATATCGCATGTAATTAATCTTTGTAGTGAACGCGAAGAACTTTGCACCGAAAGTTTTTGATGTTGCGAAAATTTTAGGGCCCTTTTCGCCTTTTATCGATGGTGGAAAACTGTCAAGAATTCTTGCGCCGCCGTAGGGAAAATCCCGCATCTAATTCAAAATCCAAACAGAAAAACTTAAAACAAAAATAAAATAAAAATATTGTTCTAAGTTTTGCTTTCTTGAAGAATAGCGGAATTATGCTTTCCTATGGCGTGCGGCTGAATCAACTTCGTGCAGCCGAGTTTTTTAAGCAAAAAGCAAAAAGTTAGAGCTAAAATGAAACATTTTTGCCGATTTTGAGGGATTTCGACCTTGAAATATTTGGCAGAAATGAAGAGCGCACTTTTTTCTGCCAGACCCAATTTTTATGTTTTATAAATAATTTTTATGGATCCCCCATCCATGGTAAAAATTTGGTGCCGATCCGATCGAAGACAGCCAAATGCCGAGGGGCGGTTTTTATTCAGGAGACCGTGTATCTATCCTTGAATCAATCGATTCGCTGAGTGGGCGGGCTTTTCCAGGGGTAGCTTGGGGAAATAGAGGTGGTGGCTTCTTTCGCCCGGAACGGGAGCTCCACTGCCCGCATCGATACCATATGTGTGCCATCTCTATTTGGCGGGGGGGGAGCGAATCCATCTCTCTCTCTCCCCCTCAACTCTGGAGTGCCCGCCCCATGACGGGGCATGGCTCACGGATACGGTAGTGTCCCGGTTGTCGACAGCCGCCTTCACCCCGCATTGCCAAACATATCCCAGGCACCAGTGACGGCATCCGCCTGCCGTCCGATCTCCAAGCTTCCCCCCCCCCACCCAACAGTTTCTGCGCGCGCCTTTTGGCTTTAACAAAGATTAGACAAAGCTGCTACGACCTCGAGATGCCTGCCTGAATCTTGGATTAAGAAAAAGTTGTTTTCGAGGGGACGATCATTACTTCTATAAGTTACTTCTAAAAATCATTACGTCTAAAGGTGTTTTCTAAAAACCAAATCTACAGTCATTTCTAAAAATCATTGCTTCCAAAAATGTTACTTCTAAAAGTCGGTTATTGGGAAAATTTGGACATAATTATGGCGCAAATCGACACTAGGAATTTTAGAAGCAACGGTTTAAGAAATAATGATGGATAGCCAAATAGCAAAACCAAGAAAGCGCACGCGGCTAGTAGCGACCGTTCAAGTCTTCTTTAAATCCCGTACACCCCTATCAAGAAAGAATTTTTATCGCATTGACTTGACACTGATTTCATATACAACAAACTCAGATAACCACTATTAGCGAAGAATTTTCATTTTCTGGTAAAAATTATGAAAATGGCCAAATTCAGGCTCAATAAACAGGATTGTCATTTGCTGGAAGCTCTGCTACTAAGCATGTCTCTGAGTTTAAGAATACCACTCGATTCTTCGTAAATGGATATCACTGGCGCATGCGTTGCAATATTAACAACGATTTGCTATCAATCTGTCGAAAAGTATAGTGGTGAAATTCAAGAAAGTCGAATCTTTTTTGCATCCGATTCGGGGGTTTCCAGGGAAAATTAGCGTATAATTTCGGTATTCTGTATTTCGACCTCATGAAATTTCGACATTACGATTTTCGCTATTATGCCTTTCGCCGTTTTGAAATAAACCCATTAACAACGGGATTTCTTCTTCGGAATGACAATGTTGATGGCAGGAATTGCACATCTGGTGGTGGGGCCCACCTCGACATGTCGAGTCTCCCCTTTTCGGACCTCCTAACTTCAAAAGGAGGGCCCGCATATGGGGGGGATAGGTGACCTCTTCTCACATTCCACAGATTTCCCTCCCCCGCCCCGTGTCCTGTGAGGCCAGTTGTGGCCTTTGAGGGTCCGAGTGTGAGACGCAATGCTTCTTCCCTTTTACGATGAACAGATGCCTCTCTCTCTCTCTCTGCCCTGGGGACCCTGGGTCCCGTTGTAATCGCTCCCACCGATACCTTACCGGGGAACTCTTCGCAGAGACAGCGGCGGGCAGGCACACCACTAAACTTGGAGCCCCCATCGCGTCGTCTCGGCATATGCCCATTTCGCTTAAATTTATTGGATTTCTAAAAAAAGTGATTGTGCATTTGGACACTTTGAATAAATAAACCCGGATTCTAACAATAACTGGATGGGGGGATGGTTTTATAATGAATTTCTGCCCTAACGATAATAGTTACTTCCGGATTCTAACTTTTTCTTACGATCTAAATTTTCAGTATAAATTGTGGAAGTGTTTGTAAATGGTTTTTAGTGTTCCTCAACGTGAAAACTTTGCAGATTTGTATTAGAAAATATCAGAAATATCGATTCTTCGACGAGAATGGCCGATTATTGACCAAGATTTCGATTTTTTTTTTAGAAGTTCTTAGAAAGTTTTTCTAGTTGAAGCATAGTTTTATATGACTAAAACACACTATTAAAGAATTTCTATTAAGTCATTAGGCATTTCCAGAAGTTCGGGCCCCCCCCCCCTTGAAAATGCGAAAGAATCAAACACGGTTTTGGTTTTAGACGGTTTTTCCTTATGCCTTAAAAGTAAGCTAATTTCTTACCGCCGCGGCTTCGTGAGCCACTCAGGTCTCGCCTATGAATTTTGGGTGTTGGAAGGCACCTTCCCGGGACAGTGCACATGGATGGGGCGAGTCCCGTTTGGAGAGATGACGGAGGAGCGGAAGAAACGAAGAGGAGCCCCCCTCCCCGCGACTTCTATTCAAATACACTCATTACATAAGCACGCTCTATATTTGCACCCGGTCTCGCCCCAGGTTCCCGCTTGAGACCGTCTTGGTCACCCCAAGGGGGGAGAGAGATGAGAAGCCGAAGGCTGGCCGTATGCACGAATCGGGGGTTGCAGCAGCAAAGCATTTGCATGTTTCGCTTCCCCCACCCCTCCGCCAATTTCGGCTCTACCTTCAGAACCCTTTTTGGCTCTATTTTAGTCCGACAGTATCACAGATATTATGGCTGGTTGGGATGTTCATTAATTTAACTGGCCTACTTAACCCAGGCATACCTTCGTGTTAGACGAAAGACTGCTCCAACCCTTCCTCCATACCCTTTGAAACCGGAATTAACTAACTGCCCCAAAAGATCACACTCCTCAATTGCTAATTCCTGACTTTCTTCCTAAATTCATTATTCTGAGCACCTTTTTCTTGATTCTCGGGGTTTTTTTATTCTTTTTCGCCTACTCGGCAAGACTTTCTGAAGCGTTTTGGAGCTATTGTCAGGCACGCCTCAGTTCTTAGCTAAAAATAATTTAGGAAAGTTACCGAAATACGTAAATCCCATTGTGCAACGACCAAAAAGATCCTTATTGGTTCTTGAAATTTTGGCGATGGGTTGCGATCAAAAAAGGTTATGAACTGACAAGGAGTCGTTTTTTAGTGGCAATCTATTTTGTGTAGGGGACCAAGCCGATCTTGTGCTGAATTTTGCGCTGATTCCGAACCTGTTTTAAAAATCTGCAAAACGACCAGTCGAAAAAGTGTAAAATTTTTACGGCCGAAAAGGCAAAATTTTGTCGAAATTGGGCCATTTGGGAGCCTTTTTCGCGCTTAGTAATATTTTGAAACCTATGGTTTCGCAGATTTTGAAAACAGGCTCGGGATCAGCGCGAAATTCTGCACAAGGTTGGCTTCGTCCCGTACGGGGCTCGATTGTCACTAAAAAACGTCTGCCTGTGAGATCCAACCGGGAGCGGCGGCCAAATTTTGTTGGAGGTGACTGTTACCGTACCCAGCCTCGCTACCGTGGAATGGGGGGGGGGAGGTGAGGTCCGATTGGGGCAATTTGCCAAAACCGGTTATTTGGCGCCCTGGTGTGCACGGTGTATGGACGGGGCGCGTCGTTTCCCTCAAGAAAACAAGGGGTGAGGGGGACGGAGGGAATGGCAAAAAAGACCGAGGCTTGTCGCTGTTATTAGTACGATGTCGGGCCCGGGCATTATGGCGATTGACCCAGTTTCAGAGCGGAAAACTTCTCCGGGTTTGCGCGTTGGGGTGGGGGGGACGAGGCGGGGCCTCCTGTGCATCTATCTACTTTTTGTGGTCATTCAACGAATAGAGTTAGACGCCTTCAATTCCTTGGCTAATATGACCCGGTGCGCTGGGATACGATACATTTCACGCGATCGCATTTTATGAAGGAAGCACAGCGACCGATCCAGTAGCTGGGCGTGTGAGAGGGGTTCGGGCCCGAAATTGGCTAGTCGGGAGACGCTCATTACTTCTAAAATTTACTTCTAAAAATTACTGCTAAAAGTCATTGATTCTAGAATCGCTACTTCTAAAAGTTAGTACGTCGGACTATCAGTATTCCAGCAAATTTAGTCATATTTTTTCGCAAATCTACACTAAGTATTTTATAGGTAATGACTTTTAGAAGTCTTGGTTTTAGAAATAGTGATTCACTTCACTTTTCGACCTCACCTGTTTCTAATTCAATTGAAATTCCAATCAGCGACCATTATCGCTATAATTCATTCACTCTTAGAATGTCGGAATTTTCGACGTCTCCCGATTTGCCAACGTCAACGGGGATCAGTCTGATGGAGCACGGCATCGGCGACACGTTAGGTTTACCCAACGGGAAAAAGACAAAAGGTGAGTACACCAGTTATTTCCAAGGCGCTTTTCAGGGCGTGTCAAGATCAAGATGGAGTACATCGGCAATAAACTGCGCCGGTACACCACGTTCAGCAAACGCAAGACGGGCATCATGAAAAAGGTTGGATTATAACTTGCCGGTTGTTGGATACCATTTGTCAAATGCGCTGAACAAGTATGGGCTACACTTTACTTTACCCCCTCCCTTAATAACTTTTTTATATTACATTATTGTAGGCTTAAATTAAACGCTTAGTATATTTTTCGACGCTCTATCAAATAGCGTTGCAAAAATCCCGACAAAATAAGCAAAAATACCGACAACTGTAAGAGCCTTTAGCTGTGGGGGGAGTAAAGTTTTACTCAAATATGTATACTAACGTACTTGAGAAAATCTACTACTTGTGAGAAACGCTAGCCACCGTGACTTACAGGCTTATGAACTGTCGACACTGACGGGTACGCAAGTGATGCTGCTTGTCGCGTCGGAGACCGGCCACGTCTACACATTCGCCACCAACAAGCTGCAGCCGATGGTTAGCAGCGATGCCGGAAAGTCTCTCATCCAGAGTTGCCTCAACGCGCCTGATGGTAATTTACATGCATTTATACGAGCAATTTTTGTACACACGAATGTCGATCAAGACCTTGCTCATTTTTCAGACGCGATGAGCAGCGTTCCGCACAAGACTGAATTCACGTTCGAAAATGGTCAGATCAATGGGAATCGCAAGCGGAAAACCAACGAATCGGCCACTGCGTCGCCCGACCAGGTTTGACTGAGAATTTTTAAATAAGTTATGTGCCGGAAATTACACGGGCAGTGCGTCTCCCTTCGCCGATTTGTCCCCTGTTTCTGGACATAATTACGTAGCTGACTATATGCATCTCCCAGGCTGAACACACCACATTGGTCCCTCAATTCACCTTGACCCCCCACGAAAACCGTGGAATCGCAGTATATTTCCCAGAAATTGTGATCAAGATTTTCCCATATTTAAAGGCCTTTCGGGGATGGGCCTGCGTATCTGCATGTATATCTATTCGGCTTAGGCTTTGGATTAGGCTCAGCTTAGGTTCAGCCTAGGCTTAGGCTTAAAGGCTTAAGCAATTACACACAACAAAATAAGGCTAAAAAATAAAAGCAACTTAATAAGGTCTGGTTTGGTCTCTACCAATAATGAAATTTTTCGCTGGAGCGCGATTAGTCCAGTCCAAAAAAGCACCACGGGGCATTTGGTCGTCTTTCATCCCATGGGTCGGGAAATTCAACCAGAGTTATGTCGGGCATAGCAATAATCCATATCTATATTATTATTTATAGCAATTCTCGAGTTGCCGTCAAAATAATTTTTTACAGAATTTTCCAGGTAATTTTTCGAGGATATCCTGCGCAAATTTAATCTCGTCACGCATCGCACTTCCTCTCTAATTCTCCGGATCGAATCGTAAGCCCAGGATTCGAATTTGAGCTGCTTACGGCTTTAGGAAAAGCGGGGCTAGGCAGCCACATGTGGCCTTTTGTGGAACAGTGTTTGGGTCCGGGGAAGGCCAGCCAGCCGCCGGCTCAAATCGGCAACCAAACGGGTCGCACACCCGGGGGGTCCGCATCTAAAAGGGACTTTACAATGGACGTTGCCATCCCAGTGGCACTGTGTAAGGGAAGGGGAAGCCACCGCGCTATGCCACCTCACCCCTGTTAGTCGCTGGTTGAAAGTGAGGATTGCCTATTACGGCTAGGACCTGGATCTCTGCCTATGGATGCTTAGGCTTAGCATTTTGGGCTTAGGCCCAGACTTAGGTTTAGACTTAGGACACCTGGATCTCTGCCTATCTATTATGATTACTACGGGATTTAGCAAGTGCCGCTTCATAGAGCGTCGAAAAATATATTAGGAGAATTAATTTCAGCCTGAAAAAAGGTACGGCAAATTTTGGATCTAACAAAGACAAATTTATCAAAATCCTTGGAATGGGGGAGCCAATTTTTGGAGATTTTCGATATTTTCATAACGCCAATAGATACAACGTCAAAAAATATTCTAAGAGATGGTTTTTCAGCACAAAAAAATGTAAGATAAAAGTGTTTAGTTTTTAATTGAAACCATTTGATGAAATCTTGCAAGATTGGCAAAAATTTCAGTTCAACTCGCATCTCGCTACCCTTTTCCCAACCATGGTTCAAAATTCACTCTTCTCGAACTTCAATGAGGAGGAATACAACCCGGTAAGCAGTTCATGCTCATTATTCTGTAAAAACAATGGATAATATATCTACGCTATATCAATTCAAATGCCAACGTTAGCAGCTATTATCAAAAATTCTCTAGGACGAATCTGACGACTCGGACTCTGAAGAGGGGATTTATTTAAAGGATGGCAAGGAGGAGGTGAAGAGCTGCAGTGATGAAGGCAAAGAACGAGGTGGTTTCCCAGAAAGATTTGTATTGTTCTTCTAGAAATGGCTCTTAGTCTACAACAGACCCTGAAAGAAGCCCTAAAGGCAGCTGCAACCACACGGCAGCAACAAGCTAAAAAGAAAAAGCTGGAAGAGCAGCAGACACAACGGGTTTGTTTGCTTTTGAGCACGACCACTCTATTGTAAAACTATCTAAAAAACCTGGAGACATTTTTAAGAATTACATCAGAGTGAATCAGCGTTAAAGGGATCAAGAAGGCCCAGGAAAAGTTAGGATACAACTGGTTTTAGTTCTAAAATTAGCATAAATCTTCTTTGCTCCCTCTTGCCTTGCTCGACCCATGCTCGTTTTTTGCATTAGCATTTCCGGTTGGCAAGATCCAATTATACTTGCTAGCCCTGATCTACCGGGCCTTCCTCGTCCCTTTAAAAGCAAAAACTTTCATATTTCAAGCAAAGCAGCAAGCAAAATATTTTTAGCCGTTGACCAGCAGCGCATCGGCTTTGCTTGCCCCGTTTCTACTTGGTGGTAAGTATTAAATATTTATATATACAAAAAAAATTTTACGGTCATTTTTGCATCGAAAACTTTCAGCCTCTACGGAGCCAGGTTCAAAAGTCACACAATTACCCCAGGGCAGCGTGATAATGAACGAAACAAACGGTAGCGGGACTGTGAATGCCTTCGTGTTTTGGCCATACTAACACAAACTGTGGGGATGTAGCAGCGTCGGCTTATTCTCTTGTCTCGTTTCTCGTGATTCGTTTTCAATTCGCCACAATATTTTGTCGACATTTCGATATGTCACTTTTTTTGTATAAGTCTATAAATGCCAAATAACTTAATAGAAAGTGTATTAATAGTGTTTTTAGTAATATATTGAAACAATTATTAGAAAACTTAGTATTTGCAGTCTTACCTGAAATGAAATTCGACAAATCGAATGGCGACAGGATGAAAATAAGCCATTTTTGTCTTGTCCGTGAAATGTCCCGTGCCAACAGGCCGAGGGAGACCCCCGGCTTTTTCGCCGGACGGGAATCTATCAAAATCACGAAAATGAGAAAATAGAATTTTCAGAATCTCGAATTTTGATGATCTAGCTATTTGATGATCTAGCTATTCAAAATCTCGACTTTTTGAATTTCGAAGTTTGCATAGGCCAGATGCAGCGCGTAAGCGAGCAATAGAGTGAGGGAGCGGCAGGCCTCCTCAGGCTTTCTTGGGCCGAATTGCATTTCCGCGCCTGCCGACGCCTGGCGGAAGCCTAAGGATTTAGTCAGGCTTTTTATGCAATGCGTAAAAAAACGTTAATCTGGTTACTGCATTTAAAACGTTGGTATCTTTGACGCAATAACAAATTACAAGGATGCCGAAGGTGGGAAAAATATAGGCAAGATGTCAGGAGAAGCAATTGCATCCCCCCGCCCGTTCGAACCGACTCTTGGCTTTTTTGTATCCGCGTGCTATGGACGTATCGTGCCGTAAGGTTTGTCAAAAACAGTAACCTAACTTTGTAGAATATTCTTGGACCCAATACAGCTCTTCGACCCCCCGGAAATTAAAAAAAATTCCTTATTTGTTCGGCAAAACTTCGAATATTCTACGACTTTACATAAAATTTCCAGATAAAGCCTGACTAATTAGAGGTCCGGCGTACTTTGCATAGCCCAGGCTCAGCCTAGGCGATGCAAATTAAAAAAGCCTGAGGAAGCCTAGGCAAGCCTAGGCTTTAGCCTAGGCCTCCCTCACTCTAGCGAGCAATGCCTGCAGCTTTTAATGTTCATTCATACTATGGAAATTCCGATATTCTGAAAATTCCAGATTGTGAAAACTCGAGCTTCTGAAAATCGAGATTATGAAAACTCCAGATTCTTAAAATTCTAATCGGAAATTCCGCCGGATAGTAGTCCAAACTCTGTTAGCACGCGCCGTTACCTGGAGATCCCTCAAACCAAGTCATTGCCCGTCTTTTTCCAGGAGCTACGGCAGCGAATGGGGGAATATTTGCCCCGAAGACAGCAGAGGAGGCCGGAGCACACCTAAATCCGCTTCTTCTACAAACAATGCCCTTTTTGAATCTTCAACAGGTGAGTCCCCAGTCGCTTCTTTTTGTTAGCTGTGCGAGCAACCAACTTCGAACTGGGCTGTTAGCGGGGGCGGGGGAATTCCTCCAGTAGTCCCGTACTGCAATAACCAAATATAGACAATTTTTTAGCATCATACCTTGATTTTTGGTATCATGAATTACTACTAGTATAATTTGGCACTCTGGCACGAATTATAAAAGTTTCCAACTTTTTTGGCACACAACTTACAAAGTGTTTCTAAGGAGTTATTAGTTAACTTAGTTATTTCTAAGCATCCAAAGTTTACAAATTTCATGGAAAAATCAATTTCAGATCGAAAAATTGTTTTTTCGACCCCGAACGACCCAATTTTCGATTTTTTTTCAAAAATTTCCCTAACTTTTTTCAAAAGTATTCCTACTTTGAATATATTTAGGACCTACTAAAAACAATGTAAAACACTTTGTATTTGATGACTGGGCTAACCGGAATCTCCAGGAAAAAAGTTGGTTCTTCCAAAGGTTTCAACAATTAAAATTCACTTGCGTCTTTCAGCTGATCGAATCCTCCAGTGCACTCCAGAAGGGGGCTTAGCCCCTAGTTTGGCCACACGATGACCTGATTCCAAATACGGTGTTTGCTAAATGTTGCCTTTCACAAATGCCCCGACATTATTCATGTTCTCCTTTTTCCTTTATGCCCTCTCCTTTTTAGTTCTTTTTCTTTTCCTTGTGTGCCCAACGGCATCTGATTGCCTAAGAAGTGTCCTTAATGACGTTGCCTTGAAGTGAGATTACATTGTCCTTATGGTCGACGGCAGCTTTCGACCTGCCATTTCCAAATTTCCGCCAAACTGTGATACAATCGCATCAAGGTATCAGGGAACAATGACCGTCGCAAAATACTATCCCAAAAACCCGCGAGCATTTGCAGCCCGAATAAAAAGTCGTTTTTGCTTGGTACCTTTGCCCTTAATGCATGCCTTATAAAATGTTTAGGTTTTCATCTTCCGACCTCCCAATAAAAGCCCATGCATATACTATTGTACGCGGAAAACACACTAATAGAGGGCAGGAGTTGGCAAAGAATGGCATTTAAAGGGATACCCAATGTTTTGGCGGCAAATATATAGTTATGTATTCCGGGGAGTACAAATGACGCGCGAATTTGGTGCGGTAATGGATGCCCAGTGCCGCACAGAATTCGGACTCCTTTCCCCCTTGTGGCGTCCCCATCTCGAACAATGGCTTGGCACTCTGGCCTAATGGATAGCATCCAGGCCTTGAAAGTGGGGGTCCGGGTTCGACCCCCGCCCGCGTCACGGTTTTTGCTTTTTGAGCCCCGAAAAGGTTGGGTATCCCTTTAAGCATATCAGGCAACAAACCTTAGGATGATCTGCGCTTTTGAAAGTTATATTCACGATTTATTACAAAAAAAATGTAAGCTGGAACCAGTAGTGGACGCGGGGCTATACAGATATGGTTTTCAATGAAATGGCATAATTATGATCAGAAGGGCAACAGAATGTCGAAATTCCTCATGTCATAATTCCAAATGTCTACATTGTAAAACTAAGTTTTGGACAGATTGTTTGGGGACAAGTTTACGAGAAATTTGTGCGTGGAAAAACTCGACAAGAACATCGCAATTATGAAATTTGGAAATTCTGAAGGGTTCTGTTCTATTTCGCGTGGGGGAAAAAACGGTGCGGGGGGGGGGGGAGAAATATGCTTCGCGGAACCTCAGATCTTTTCGCTATTTTCTCGGGATTTTTGCAACGCCATTCGATAGAGCATCAAAAAATATACTAAGAGTTTTTGTTTTAGCTAAAAATATTGTAATATAAAAAAGTTATAGCAAAAACAAAAAAACTATTGAAACTGGTTCCGGAATGTTAGTTTTCGGCATTTTCGCCAGTTTTTCGATATTTTGAACCCGTCATTCGATAGAGCATCAAAAAAATATACTCAGAGTTTTAATTTCATCTAAAAATATTGTTTTATAAAATAGTTATAGCAAAAACAAGGTTTATTCGGTGTTTCCACATGGGATCGTGGAGTCGCAAGCTAGTTTTCGACATTTTCGATAACTTTCAAAAATTTCTTTAATGCCATTCGATAGAGCGTGAAAAAATATACTAACAGTTTTAATTACAATTCAAAATCGCATCATATAAAAGAGTTATAAAAAAAAACGAAGAAAATTCCCCCCGCACAGTTTTTTCCCCCACGCGAAATAGAACAGAACCTTCTGAAGATAAACACGGTATATGTCGGCTACGCGGGGGGGACGGGACAGGCAGGCATTTTTGGATGTTTTCGTTATTTTCTCGGAATTTTTGCAACGGCATTCGATAGAGCACCGAAAAATATACTAAGAGTTTTTGGTTTAGCTCAAATTAGTGTAATATAAAAAAGTTATGGCAAATACAAAAATAAGCTTTGAAAATCGGTTTGAGCGGCTTTTTTTTGACATTTGCGCTATTTTTTCGACATTTTAAAGATGCCATTCGATAGAGCAACCAAAAATATACTAAGAGTTTTAATTTTAGCTCAAAATAACGTAATATAAAATAGTTATAACAAAAACAAGTATTAAACGTTGTTTCCATGGAGGACCTAGAAGGAAATCAAGTTTTCGACATTTTCGACATTTTTACAAAATTTCTTTAGTGCCATTCGACAGAGCGTCGAAAAATATACTAAGAGTTTTGTTTGTAGCAAAAAGAACCGCAAAAAAAATAGTTAGCACGGCCCCAACAGTCCGTCCCCCCGCGTAAAATTTCCCCCGCGTAGCCGACATATACCGATAAACACTTCACCACGATGTCACGAGGCGGTAAACGATTAATGCCTCGACGACAATCAACAGGTGGTGGTCAGCATTATGCGCTATTTTTGTTGTGGTTGGCGCTGACCAGGTGGTTATGGTGGTGCCAACGTCCCTGTTCGCCATACATTCAAAGTAACGCTGGTAGTCCGCGTATCGCAACGAGCATAGCTGAGCCATCCTTTAAAGTATCATTTCAGGAGCATGGAAAGCGCCCAATTTTTCGCTTGCTACTCTGTTTCAAACGGCGCGATGGCCGGCGAAGGTGGCCAGCGATAACCCATAAAAACCCCGTAAAACACACCCAAAATTAGCAGCAAAAAAGGCGCTAAGCAACGCGGCATTCCTTTCGACTCAAAAATATAGGGGGCTAAAGCTTCTAAGTCTCATAACTTTAACAGCAAATTGAATCTGAAAAAAAAGGTTGTTCGAACTTTACAGGTGAACACGACGATTCTAATGGTACCAGGCGCCAAGGAAGCTAAAACAAAAGTATCGAAACGACGGCGGGTTTTTGTTGACGACTTTGTAGAAAGTGTTATTTCGGAGGGCTAACTTGCTGTCTTTGGTATCATTCGAACCGTAAAATTCTACTCTGCAATAACTGAAGTCGTGTTTGCAATATTAAGTCCGTTTAAACAGTTATAAGAACTTAAACTTTTTGGCGCGCGCTACGCTCGGCTCCTATGGATGCTTTTGCCCGACGCGGCAAATTGCCGTTTTTGCCGGGATGACAAGTCTCACCGGTATTCGTTGACAGGCATCGTCGCATTGTAGCCAGCCGAGTTGTATCCAATATATTGTAAGAACAAACTATCATCGTCTTCGAATCGTTCCAGCAGCTTTGACATTTCACTCGATGCCAGGGATTTTAGCTGGTACGCCTATAGATAATGTGTGCCTCTTTTCCGTCTTCTCGGGGCCCAACCTCACGCATTCGATATTCCACCCGGACACTGCTATTCCCGCCTTTATTCAGCTCTGCCAGGTTCAAGGCATAGGTTCTGGGGGAGAAGTCTTTCTTAAGCTGCCTAACCTACGTAAAATCGATGATAGTGCCGGTCTGATCGTCGATATCGTACACCCTGAAAATCCTGTGGTTCCGGATTGCTAGCAGGGAGAAGCGGATTTAGCGGAGGGGAACCAAATTTTCCCTGTGGTTTTCCCGCTAACAGTCCAGAGCCAATCGTGTCCCCTGGTGTTGCGACGCAGAAACTGGGACCTACCGAAACGTCGGGTTGTTGGAACCGGCTCCCGGTAACGTTGAAAACCAGGGGGTCACTGCGGGGCACATCCAAGCAACGTTAATCGGCAGTCCTGTTGAATCCTGAAACGCAGAAAGCTTAATAAATTAAAATAGATCCCTTGGAATCGATCATCCATAAATTCCACTAGGTCCAACTTGGCTTACGACTCCAAAGGCTCAACGCACAGCCCTTATCTTTCAATATAAAAAAATTAGGCATATTGAACTTCCAAATATTCAAAAATTTTCGATATGCTCGATATTTTGAAAATGACAATCGTTAGAATGATATCTAATGACCGACCCGAATGATATGAAAAGTATCGGTGTGATGATGGCCGAACAGCATCCACCCAACGCTCGAGGAAAACCGTTCAACCAAAGCCAGTAACCGATCGTTGTAGAACGGGCGGAACCAAGTGATATTTGGAGTTCGTTCGAATGCTGTTAAACGATATCGTCACGAATGCGGTGCTAATGCACAACGGGGGGGCAGTCCGGGTTTTGATTACGAAAAGCTCCAAATGCCGTTTTTAAGCTCTAAGCCTCGGGGAAAGCAAAGCTAAGCTTCTTACTACTAATTCGGGACTGCCCCCCTAACTGTATTAGCACCACGAATGCAGCATACAACCGATTCTAAAATAAACCAACCGCCCGGACCAATATGACCAACGAGGTGCACCGTATGCACGCAGCCCGCACTCGCCGATCGCTTACGTGCCAAAATATCCCTACAATCAGCGGCCGCCTTCAATCTTTCTTCTAAAAAGCTGAAAAACAGAGATTGCTTCCTTTCACAGCAAACCTGAATTGTCCCCCGGGGTCCGTGGGATCGGAGAAGTTGGCGGCAGCCTCGTTCAACCTGTAATGATTTTTGATTGCCAAGACAATGGCACAAACGCATAGTAGAGATTGGTATTGAGGACCAGAATCTCCTGTCGTCCCCCGGGCAGAAGATGACTGTAATAGCCGGCTTGCAGGAAAGTCTTCTAAATAGTCGATTTTTTTTCGTATCCTAAACGAAACCGTATTTGACGCCCTTTCGCGTCCCTTTCCGCCCTTCACTCGACAATAAAACATTCCCAAAACCGCCCTGCAAAACGCCCTCTCACTGTAATTTGTGGGGCGTGTAATTCAGATGTTTTACAGGGAGTGCTAAATAAAAGCGACCGCAAAAGGGCGTTAACTACGGATCGCCGTCCGAAAACACCAGAGCGCAAATTTTACTGACAAACCTTTTGTTCATTTCCGAGCCACTCCTCCCAAACATCGTACGCGTATTGATAGAGGGGACTCTGTTCAACAAAGTCGTTTGCCGGCGCGTAGTCGTGGTTTCCAAACGTCGGCAATATTGTTGCATTGGGGTACGTCGAAGCGAGAATTTTGGTCGCCAAGGAAATGCCATTGAACACATCTGAAAGTGATTGCTGATGAGACACAAGGCAGATTTCTACGTTTCATGCCTAAAATGAGTTTTGAGCAATGCGTACATGGCATATCGTAGCCCTCCAGGTGCGGAACATTGTCCCCGGTCCAGAGAATCAGATCCGGGCTTGGCACGAGCCGCTTCGCTTCAGACATCATATACCGTACGAGGGTCTAGATGGCCAAACATGTACCAAAAAAATCATTTGCTCACCTCGGGCGAGTCGCACATATAGTCACCAAAACGTCCGAGTTCGACACCCAAGCCAGTCAACTGATTGGTGATGTGGCACATTTTTGCCCTGAAATCGTGGTATATTTTTATTTTTTTGGGTCCCGCTTTAAACTATAAGCTGTATATTCCGATATGAGCACATACGGGTCCCCATGAGTAGAATAATCCACATCCAAATGAAAATCCGTGACTTGAAGCATTTGGAAGGAAGAACCTCTGTCCGACAAACAGATCATGAGCATCACTGTCCACCGCATACTGATCCGCTATCTTGCCCGGTCAAGTCCTTGTCTGTCGAAAATCCGAAAATAACCGAGAATTCTGTGCTATTGCAAAAAAAGCGGCGTGGTAATGAAGTAATGCGCCAAAATGAAAAACGCAAGCTGTTTATTCCGATCAAAATGCATGTAGCCAACGGTTGTAGAGGTTGATATACAGAAATTCAGGCTTTCTTGAGGGGTCCGCGCCCTACTCAAATAGCCGAGAACATAGTATCCCAAATCGAGTGGGCAGCGGGGATCTACAGGGGCAAAGGCGATAACAGTGTAAAGTGACAAGGGCCCCGAAAATGGTTTGCGCTTGTATTTTAGAGATAAGACAACATAATCCTTTCGGGAAACAGGGGGCACGCGTCGTGTGATGGGAGATGCAAGATGAGGAGATGAGATAGCCGTTTCAAATGGAGCCTCCACAGCTCATAGCGCGCCAAGGAGTGCCAATCGATCACTAGCACCTGAAGAAAGCACTAGCATGGACACGAATGAAATATTCGTAAATATGATATTATTTATATTGCAAGCTCCGTACACCGTTTCAGTTCCAAAATTCAGCTTTATATTGAAGTTGCCCGGCCGTACAGTGATTCACCATTTCCTCGTCGTCCGAAATGGACCCCACGATCTCGTTGCTGACCTGCAAAAAAAATTTATTTTCGACATAAAAAGCACTCAAAAATCCACGCATAGATCCCTCACCTTACGATCCATGCGCAACAGCTCTTCGTTCGCCGCATTATCAAAATAGGCGTCGGCGGGTGCTAAAAATTGGATGTTTAAAACGGTAGGTCAGGCAATTGCATTACCTTGAAGCGAGCGTCCTTCACGCTTGCTGAGGTCATTGAGCTCCCTTCTCAAATTCTTGAGCTTGTTGATCCACAAAACGAGCTCCTGCTCCCCCTGGTAGTTCACATTGGCCTGAAACACAAAAAGTAGCGAATCAGATTCAAAAGAAAGCAGGAAGTGATAACCGCGCAAGGATCGATGTGACCTTTGTGAGGGAGGGCGCCCAATTAAAAGTGAAATGGCTCACCGCCACAAGCGTCTTCACATAGTTCGCCTCAGAAAGTACGAGCCGCGTGAGTGTACTGCGACGTGGAGACAGCACACGGGAATTCTGTGGCCGTTGTCGACCCCGGCGTAACAGTGGGCTCGGATAGGGTCGATGCAGTAAGTCGGCGCCAAGTTTTCCTTCAGCAACGCTACCGACAACCTCTTCCACATTGATCGATTCCACATAGTCAACGCGCTCTGAAAAAAAATATAGTCCGCAAAGATGAAAAAAATTCTGATGTGCTTACGCCTAATTTTCCGGCTGTAAATAAATAATTTTCTTGCAAAAACATCGAAAACGCACCAGCATCATCAACTTCTGGAATGATCTGGTATTCGGTACCATCCTGCTGATAGATCACCTTCTCTTCAGGGGCCAGACCGCTAAAAACGTGTACATGAATAGCAAACAAACAAGATAATCCCAATAAATATCCAAAAACTACCGAGGGTCGTCATCGTCGTCGTCTTCATCTGCTCCGCTAGCTCTTGCTTGCATTTCTTTTCCGAGCAGCATATGCACAACTGGCCGATACTCCCCGTCCGCTGCTTTTTGCTTTGCGACGAACATGGACGGAACAGGCCAATCCTGTAACTCGCAGCTTATTAAAAAACATGCTTAATCATACGTATTCTCGAGCCAATTCGTCAGTAGTCTTATCGTTAGGCGCCAGGTTTCGAGCCGTGATCCAAGGCCGTTCGATTTGCGCCTAGGACGAGTATTCAGATGTACGATCTTTCAAACCTTATCCAGGAGTTCCTCATCCCAGACCTCTTCAGTTTCCGGTAACGGCGTTCCATGTTCAACTTGTCTGCAGAATACGTGCGTTTAAGTCGATCACAAAAAACACACTTTTTCAATGCTAGCACGATGGTCCGGATCTCATCATTGTCAATCATACAAATCCGCTGTGCAAGCACATTTTCGTGGCAGAGTGGAGAAAACTTATCTAAATTACCGTTAATACAAATATTCGACATCCATACAATGCAGCAGACGGACGATATCGCCAAAATTCATATCTTGATCGAAGACGTATCTAAAGAGAGTTCAATAGAAAGCTATTCCCAACAACCTTCCGATGAGGTGCTTTATGGCGATTGGTACACGAAGACGAGCGTCGTGCCCGTAGTGATCACCACAAAAGGTCGCGGTGCAGTGTCTAAACAAACGCATCGTTGTTGCATCTCACCCGTTGCTTATCTTAAATTAGAACTTAAGAACGTACCCTTCTTCGTGGAAAGTGACTTGCACGTAGGCGGTACAAGTGTATCCACAACGCACTGGGCCCAGCTTTTCCCTAGAACCAGTTACCGGTGCATAAATAAATACTGACTTGTTACGTCGCTCAGCTGCACTTTGCGACTCGACAAAACCGGTACGATTGCAACGGAACATCATGGCTAAATCATAAAAATAAATACGGAATTTATGTTATTTTATATGTCTTTACCAACGGGCAGCCCTCATCTTAAATAACGCTAGCCAACAGTACCTCGTTTCCCCGTAAGCTGCTTCTTGGCACCGGAGCGTGTGCGGAAATTGGCGCCGCCTTGCACTTCCAGCCAGTGGAAAAATCGCTAAATTATGTTTGTTTATTTCTAATGACTACATACCTCAAACATTTCTCGATTGGGGAAATCTAGCACGTGAATGCGAGCCGCAACATCGTGCTCGTCGTTCATGTGATCCATGAAGCCACGACGCGTGTGAAATTCCATACAGCATACACCTAAAAACCGTCTGGTCTTTCACAGAATCAATTAAGGCTATTGATGGGACATTAGTTCAGAAGCAAACTGACCGCACAAATAATTACGGCGCCGATCCGCTTCGCCAAAAGGTTCTTCATGAAGACCTCGGCACTAAATATAAATTTGGTAATAAAAGAAAAAAATACCCCTTGTGTACGATGTATCTCAACAGTCCTGGGTGCGACCAAACGACCACAGCCATATGGGCAGACTTGACGGGTGGCTCTGGTGGTCGTCGCCTAAGAAAGAATGGTTGTTTTAAAACTTGATTATTTACATTCGTCTCGAGCATATACTCGTCCTCGTCTCCACCCTCGACATCAATATTCGTGGGATGATGTCCCTTTTCATGGGATGCTTGTCGGCGAGTCAGCATTGTCTGAAAATAAGAAAATAATAACAATAATTATCGTCAACCTTGCAAACGAATGGAAAAAAGTTCGAAATCGCGGACTGCCCTGAGCGAATGCAAAGAATGCACAATCTGGGGGGCGTTGCCTTGTTTGGCTCGGTGCCAGTTCGCAAAAACCAAGAGTGCACAGACTAACGACGAGGATAGTATGGTCTCGGTATCGGGGCCAAATTATTTTTTTGATTGAAGCTCACCCGACCGAAACCATCGAATCAACACAAAATTAGCACTAACAAATTTTACTTTCTAAAATTTCAAAGCAACAAATCTGGTTTTAGATGAAAGTGAAGGAGACGCTGTGTACGATCGTTGCAAACACGCCGGGTGTGCAAAATGTATGGCTCACCGACAAGGACGGCGTGCCGATCGTCGGCACAGGTATTTGTTCTCTATTAGTTTTTCTTATCTTGTATAAAATTCAGGCGAAGATCATCGGGTTCGTACGGCAGTGATCGAGGCACACGTGGGCGCTTTTGAACAGATCCAGAAGCTTGAAACTGGTATTTATTAGGTTCTTGGCGTAGTGATTTACACATTCAGGCTCTCACCGATCGTCGATCTATTACTTCGAGCACAGCCAAATCATCATCCTTCAGCAACCACCAGTGGTCATCTACATTGTTGCAGATGGAGACGCTAATACCGGATTTGTTTTGCGGGTGGGTTTTTGGGGTTGTATATCATTGACGAATCTTTTTAGCTGCGTGAGAAATTGGATCCTATCATCACCGAAATCCGACAGCTATTCCCTCAACTACCAGTGCTCTGAAATTCGGCTGGTTCTGAGTGCCATCTTCCTCATCTGTGATTGCTGTTTTTTCCGCTTCTTGTCGCTCGTCGAATAAACTATTCGGATATCAATGAGTTGATTTATAAATGGGCAGCGTTCCCCTTCATGACCATTGTGGTGTGCTAGTGACAATATTATGAATTTTCAGTTTTATGGAGAGAAAACAATGTTCGTGAGCCGATATTGGTATCAAAACGTCGTCCAATACGCGTTGCGAGCGCAACTGCTCACTCGATTAGCAAGAAAAAGTGGCTGGCATCGGAAAGCTCAGAATTTTCGGTATTTTTGTGGTCTTTCTTTACTGATCCGCTTTAGCCCTTGCTGTCCCAATGTGCTCTGGGCGCTGGCTGGTGGCTTTTTCACCCTACAACAGGAACAAATAGGTGGCGAGGAGTTGACCAAGGACGAAAAGCAATTATTTGGTAAGAATGCCCCCTGGAACGCCTAAAGCTATTTAGATAGCGGGACAAGTGCATTCACGAAGAACGGTTGGGAGCTGCTATATGAAGACAAAGAAAAGAATATTAATGTGTATCGACGGCAAATCCGTGTTGATGGTCAAGAAGTCTACGAATACCGGTTTATTGGGTTTGGTTTCCTAATTATGTCTTTTTAGGGTAGCTGGTACTTTCGTTGACATAACTCCGCGGAACTACATTGGTAAGCAATTAGAGAAGATTCTCGACACTTTAGATGCTCAAAACGATGTAACTTACCGGTCCGAATGGGACCAAAATGTTTTGAAGCTAGAGGTGATGGAAGACAGCGGAAACAAGCAGGTATATTCTGCTCTGGTGTATTTATATTTTAGTTGATACGATGGGTAACGAAGTATCCATATCCCATGTATCCTCGGGAGTATGTTTTTGTTCGGCGAACGGAATTCTCTCATGATGGGCGGATTATTGTCATCAAAAGCGAAGCCATTCCCGAAGAGGTTTTCTTTCGCTTTTGATTTAGTTTTATTTTTAAGGGGGTTCCAACATCTTCTGGCAAAAATGTACGGGTCAGCACCTACTCATCACATTGCGCCGTCCGCGCTCACACTAGCGTCGATGAAAAGGGCTTAGGTATAGGCCCCTTCTATGTTCAGTTCCCAGAATCGTTTTTTAGACTACGTGCTCACTTACTTTGACAACCCAGAGGCCAACATCCCGCGCTATGTCTACAACTGGATAGTCAATCAAGGAGGGCCCTATTTTGTGAGCCAGGTATCCTCCGCCACGCGACGCAAATTTCTTTTCAGGTGCACGCAGCCGCAAAGAAGTTGGAGACTACAAACCGCAAACTTCAGAGTGTTTTCCCACCGACTCTTCAGAAGAAATCGGAGCCTCTGAAACTTGTAAGGGAATTTAGTCCAAATGCACAAACCAATTTTAAGGCGCCGTCACCCGCAAAATGTCCCGTCAATTGTCCTGTCCACTGTCCGAAGACTGCGGAATCTGCATCAACGGAAGAGGTTTTTAGTTAAAGTTAAAATTTCAGCGGGATTTTAGTTGTTGGTTTTATTAGTTTTTAGCCTTAGTCCATAAAATTTTTAGCAACCTGTGAAAACAAAATATGCCGGCAACACAACATGGATTTAGAACGAGAAAACCGCTGGCGATGCCATCCCTGTCAGGGTAGCCCAAACCAAGAAACAACCGGAAGCCGCGGCGACCAAGATCAACACACCATCAAACAAATCTGACGAAACGGCTGATGACTGTCCAGCACCTAAAGAAGACCTACCAGGCCGTAAGCTTCTCGACACGATTGCAAATCCGGTATTTTGAAATTGGTTTCTTACACAGCTTTATTTCCAGACGATCGCAAAGGGTAAAACGACTGCCGCCGATACGCAGGGTACCGACGAGCCTTGCCCGGACCTGGCGAGCCGAACGGTCGACTAGGAGATGCTTAGTTTGGTTACCCTTCCTCACCGTCTTCGCTTACAATAGTGGCTCATGTAGATTTTTAGTTCGTTCCCTGATTTTAGCTTTAGAAATCCTTAGCTCAAGCCTTAGGCGTGGGAATTAGGCCGTTTGTTTATGAAAACCTGCCAAATATATCTCGTTTTTCTTCCAATGTGTTAGACCATGGTCAAGCCGTTTGTTGCATGGTTGTTAGCTATTCGTTCTTTCCCGGTCAAGGGACTCTCTTTGCCTTATCGTACGTGTCATCCTGGTCCCGCCTTGCTTAGTCCGTCATGATAAGCGGTCCTCCCACCTGTTCTCACTGCTTTGCACAATTGTTCATGCCGAATGTGGATCGCATTGCATTGGCTACACTATCACTTGTTTTTATTTTCTATATCTTGCTGGACAACTTTTTGAGCGTCTCTCCGATAAACAATGTCCAGCGATCCAAATTTGGTACTTTTTGACAGCTCCGTCAAAACCTTACAGTTTTCATTACCGCTGACGCTAACGAGTTAGTTGTTGCTGAATATACAAACAATGAAACCTTGGGGTCAAATGCGACCGTGCGTGCTGTACACGATTTGTTCGCATCATGTCCGCTCAAGATTTACGATCCTTTCCATAAAGACATTGGAGGCACGATTAAGCTGAAGGACCCGTTATCGGGGTAAGTTTGGGCGACTAGGCTCCTGCTAATTCTGTTTTAACAATGTTAGTTGCCAAAAGACTCGTTTCCACATGACAATATTGGAGAACGGGGTCATTACGATGAACAGCTTCGCTACTGAGGCCGAATGGTGCCGCTTCAGGTTGGTGCTATTGAGCCTGGGCTACTCCATATAAGCGCGAAACTGATAAAGAATTTTATTACCCTAATTCCGCCACCCCTCCAAAAAATATAATAATACAGGTGCCATCATTACCTGACGCCGATGCGGCATCAAGCCGGACCCTGGACAAAACTCCGGAAAGGGCAGACGAAACCGATAGTGTGCGACTTTGTCCGCACCGAGTGCTTCGACGCCCGCAACATCTCCATCGAGCAGAATATCCACATGAACATTGCAGAGCACCAAAATAGGTGATAAATCTCTAATATTTTCTGGGGGTGGGGCTAGGGTCGTACACGACAAGCTGTTGTACTGATTCAAGCATGTGTGCATCGACTCCGATGCCAAAACAAACCTTTTTTTGGGGCGTTTTTTCAAAGTCACAATTCATGATACCGACATTTTGACATGGCATTTGGGCTTTTGCTAGGAGAACTTGGAAATTTCGACACTTTTGCATTCGAAATTCTGATAGGAAATCTGTTCCAGGACATTGCCATCAAGGGAACCCCCGCAGCCGGGCAACTTGCAACCCGATATTCATGTCATTGTGTTGGATTCCGTGTCCTCAACGCAAGCAAGGAGGTGAACATTGCTACAAATCCATTTATGTCCCCCCCTCCCCCGGAAAATTGAAAAGACGTGGGCCTCATCTTTTAGATCACTGCCCCGGACCCTCAGCTACTTGGAAAATGAGCTTGAGGCAGTCCGGTTCAATCATTTGAACAAAGTCGGAGACAACAGCATGCCGAATGGGTTCGCTTTTTTGCTAGGTAGATGATGTTAATATTTTGGAAATCGCTTAATCGTGGCAATCGTGTTTTCGCATTATCGGGGTGGAATCAACTTTTTACGATACTACGTTACCATACTTTACGATACTTCAACTTTTTTCGCATTATCGGGGGGGAATAGTCTAAAAAGACCTATTAACTGAATATAAAGTGTTTTGACAGTGTTTTTACGGATAGATAATAATTTTTGGGTTTGTGGTCGAAAAATCGTTTTTTAATATATTTTTTCATACAAATTTGTAAAGTTCCCGCATTTAGGAATCGATCCGAAGAAAAAAAATTGGTTTCCCCCCGATATTATGAAAGGACGGAATTTTCTAATCATGGGATAAAATTAGGGTGGCGCATCGTGGAATCGATGAGATCGGTGGTCGGGGCTGATGACCTGCAACCCGACCATCCTCTGAAGAATATTTGCCAGGAGTATCGCGACGATGATCCCGTCATTTTCCGCGAATTCGAAGCGCTAGGTATGAGCAAAACGTAGCCATTTGAATCAATAAAGGTTATAAAACAATGTACAGCGAGGAGTTTTCCGCGGGCAACATTTTACCTTTCCCGATTGCAAAGGCTTTCAACACCCGGAAGCTAATCATATTTTCCGGTGAGTTTGCTCAAAATTCACTTGAAAAATTCAATACTACCGAAGTTGATGGTTACAGCCCGATGGTGACTAGTTGGAAGACGGACTACACATTGAGAGCGACGATGACGCAGAAAACTTGTTTCGAGATGCACATTGCTCAACTCGATTATCACAAAAAGTTCTTGCGTGCATATAAAGGTATGAGGAAGTAGGCAGGTGCCGTCAATCCTGGGTTCTTTCGCACTATCGGGGGGGGGGGGAGGGGGTAGAGGGAAACGGAACTTTTTTGTATAAGTCTAGAAATGCCCAGTAAGTTAATAGACAGTGTTTTAATAGTGTTTCTAGTATTATTTGACTAAAATTTAAACTAGAAAAAATATCTAAAAACTTAGAAAAAGTCGAAATTTGGGTTAAAAAATCGCCATTTTCGGTCGCAAAATCTATATTTTTGATGTGTTTTAATAAAAATTTGTATGGTTTTCACCTTTAGTTATAGCAAAAAATAATCTAGAAACACGTTCATAATTTGTATTTGAAAAATGAGATCCTAAGAAAAAGGTCCCCCAGCCCGATAATGCGAAAGAACCGAATACTAAAATATAGGCATCCCAAAGTTTGGATTGACTTGGATTGGTGCCCTTGTGCACGATGATGCAAATATGCTCTTCCATACCGATGAGCATTTTGAGGTCAGCCCCCCAAAAATCATTGTAGAATATCGGGGGGTTATTCAGGATTTCTTTAAATCGAACAGGGACTATTTGAAGAACTCATTTGTGTTTTTCATGGCCGACCACGGGATGAGAATCGGAGCGGTAGGCATAAAAGAATTCGCAGCTTTGCTAGGATATTTTATGGGTGCACTCAGGCCCGAGAAGTACGCATTTCTAGACGGTAACCACCGACCTGGGAAGACGGGAGATTAACAACCCGATGTTGCACATCGTTGTCCCGGAATGGATGCGCAAAAACGATGAGGTTTTTGCTTTCAAATTCTAATCATTTAACGTTGTTGCGGAGACAACTGCTTTTGAGCGTTTGAATTTTCGCAACAGTCATAGAGGATTTGGGGGGACGATCATTACTTTTCATTCATTACTTCTAAAAATCATAAAAATTCTAAAATTCAATCTCAAATTCTGGATTTGCTATAAAAGCAAATCCAGAATTTTAGAAGTAATGATTTCCGAAGTAATGCTTTTAAAAGTAATGCTTTTAGAAGTAAAGTGATGGGTTGTCGAGGATTTGCTCTCAGCATCACGTTCATTTGTCAAAACTAATTGTTTCGAAAGACATTTTGTCGAAATGTCATTTTGCTTAAATTTATTCTGTCGAAATTTATTCATCACGAACATAGAAAGCCGAAATGTCAGCGTACTGAAATTTGGATGGATGAGACGGAATTTCAGAAAATTTAGACAAAATGATTTCGACATTCAAAGTGTCGAGCAGATCAGAATGGCCCTTCATAGAGATCTGTTGTTTTAAGGTGCAACAAAACCTGGCCAGCAATGCGAATATGCTGCTAACGCCCTTTGATGTGCATGCGACATTTTTGGACATTTTTGAGGTTAGTCGCTGACCTTTCACCCCGGCCCATTCGCGTTCAGGAAGTGAAGCGTGGTAACTTTACGAACTTCTCGCCGAAGGAAGTGATACCGGCCGAATTCAACGCCAACAACGGCTCATCGTTGCTGCGACAATCGCGGCGGTTCGCCGAGCGGAATTGTCGAAATATTCCGACGGATGCCGGCTATTGCTTGTGCGAATATTCACAAAAGGCGGTGAATAAACCGGCATTGGCGGATGGTATGGCACAGCTTGGTGTCGACGAAATTAATGGGATTGTGGAGGAAGCCGGCGTCGCATCTCGATGCACTACGCTGAAACTGGGATCCGTAAGTACCGTAAATTTGTCTTAATTACCGTACTTTTTAACTTATCACACTTGGGATAATTTATGTATTAATTGATTATTTAACTGTAATTTAATAAGTTCTACTTTCAGGAGCGCACATTGAAAGCGTATGTTCCCGAAACACATACACGGCTGTACGAAATCGTTTTTCAGACGCTGCCCGACCACGGCAAATTTAAGATGGTGAATTTCATAATATTTATTATTAACCATCTCCTTATTGATATAACCTCGAAGAAAAGTACGCTAAAAGATCGAGTGTAGTTCCCCCTCGTGTTTATGCTACTATCGTACTAAATGGCTGTGGTTCAGTTCCCCCCCAGCCGGTACCCACCTACCGTATCTCGGCTCCCTGTTCATCTACAGGTGTGCAAAGTATACCAAAAGAGCAAGGCGAACATTTTCGTATACTTTACACACCTGTAGATGAACAGGGAGCCGAGATAAAAAGTTGGGCGCCGGCTGGGGCGGGGGGGGGGGTAAACTGAACTCTTACCACTATGTACAAGGGCCATTTTTCAAAGCAATCGATTCGTTTTAGATGGTGCGAATCGGTGAAGGCGGCTTGTTACAACGTGTCTCACAAGTAAGCATTTTTAATAAATTCCCGCTATGCTCAGATATCTCGCCTGAACGCCTACGGGAACCGCAGATGCGTCGCCGACTCACACCCGCAATTGCGAATCTACTGCCACTGCAAATAGTTGCAACGGCGATGTACAGGGTGTCCCAATAAAAAAGGTCACGCTGGCATTTTGCTATTTTAAATCCGATCGACTTGAAATTTTGCACAAAGGTGCGGAAGGGAATTCAAAATGTTCACAGAAATTTTCAGCCAGATCGGTACAGCAGTTTTCGAGTTATAGCAAAAATAAACTTTATTTTACGGTTTTAACCTGGATTCCGCCGGAATTGAGCCCTGGAATGTATGGAGAAAATGAAGCGCCGACCCTTTTCTATCCTAGGAATTATTTTATTTCGCGAAATTCGGGTCGAAACCAGGCTATTTAAGTATTTTTTAACAAGGGCTAACGACACCGATGTTAAGAAGAATAAGGGATTTAGAGCCGGAAATTTATGTTAATTGATGCAAAGTCCAAAAAGATAGCCGAAAAAATGAAGCTAAAGTGAGGGAAAAACAGTATTTTTACAATAACTCGAAAACTACTGTACCGATCGGGCTAAAAGTTTCTGTGAACATTTTAAATTCCCTTGCGCACCTCTGTGCAAGATTTCAAGTGGATCGGATTTGAAATAGCAAAATGCCAGCGTGACCTTTTTTATTGGGACACCCTGTATACGATGAATTGCATGCTGATGAGCCATTTGTGATAATTTATTCTTGGGTGCTGTGACCGGGTGCTTTGTGAAAATAAAATATTTCGTTGATTGCGTCGTCTCATCTTGATCTAAATGTATTTCTTGAGCAGGAGGGGGGAACCACTTGCTGCCAGTTGGTCAGTTTTGTACTTTTCGAGTGTTTTTAGTCGTTTTTTATTGCTAGAAAGTTCTCAAAAAATTAATTTTGTAAATTTTGAAAATCGAAAATTTTGGTCTTTGTTGGCCATTTTCCATACGTTTTTGGCCAAAAAGTCACAACCTTTTTGAAAGTTTCTAGGTTTTATATTGTTTTTTAATCTAAAAACTAAGAAAAATGCCATATAAATGGATTATATTTTGTTGTAGGATATCCGCTTTACCTTTTTAGCCTTTCTAAAGCCGTAGCCAGGGTGGCGGCTGTAGCTGTTGGTCCTGCAAGCGCGGTGAACAATTCGATCAGCAACTGCTCGCAAATTCCCGGGTATGACTGCTCCGCCTGTGACTCTCTATTACCGCTGTTTAGAAATTTACCTACCTGTATCAACGCGTTACCAACGGCATCAATTTCCGCTGTCGAATCGCGCGCCTTTGAAAGCTTCTCCAGCGCGGGCAAAATCCCATTTTCCAACGCGCCCTGTAGCCGTGACACAGTAACGTAACGAAACACAAACCTGTTTCTTGGCCCGCCCAATTTTTCCATCCTGCGGTGGCGATGTCCTATAATTTTTTTCGTAGCGTCAATCAGGATTTTTATTTTAGCGGTCGGTTTTCAGCCACTTTCCGTTTCAGAAGAATAGGTACAGACAGACTTGCCTAGTTTTCTCGATAATTGCGGTGTTTCTTGGCGAATTACTGCCAGAAGATACCGTCGATGGCGGTGAATTCTTTTTGAGGATTGATACGGGTTCTATCTGAAAAAATCTAAATTATGCCTAGTAGGTTACAATGCAAGCAGGGGAAAACGCCAAAACATCGACATTCAAAATATCGACAGCCATAAACCCGACAGCCAGAAATCCCAGATTTAAAATCGTTTATGGGTAAGACGACCGGAAATATCTCATCGTTGTCGCTATTTTGGCCGTCGGGATTTTAGCCTGTCGGGATTATGGCTGTCGGGATTATCACTGGAATTTTTCAAACAAACAACTTTCAATAAATAACTTTGAACTTACCACCTGTGCTTCAGACGTACTCGGTGTTGCCGCGTTTTGAGTCTTGGTTGCGATGATCGACGGAATATTATTTGGTATCGCGCGCTATAATATAATCATGATAACCTGTGCGGTTTTTTTTTTTGATTATATGCATGATAGCATAACTGCTCATACTCACATTTCTAATCGTCCCTTCCGGGGTCGCGTTTTGCTGCTTGAGGCTTTCGAGCGCGCTTCCTCCTTTGACCCTGACCGTGTCGTCGCGAGCCTTTCGTTCGTCGCGCACGGTCGGATAGTCCCAGGGGTTAAGGGTGCCTCCGTTTTCCATATCATCGTCAGCATCGCTATCGGAAGAAGTGCCGATTCGGGCCCTACAGCAAATAGTTTGCTATTAAATGGGTGAAAGTTGGAATGTCGGAGTGCAATTTATCGACAATTGCTGGTTTCACTCCATAGAAATTTGATTCCGTTAGGTTTATATTTTATTTCGTTTAGCTTACAGGGTGATTTTTGCTTTCGTTATTACCTTGTTAAATTGTTGTGTCTGATCAGGAATTAAAATTCGTAGTGAATTTTTTTTGTGATGCTGAATCGGGTCTCGATGATGTAATCCCAAAAGAAATCATGACGTTTTGAAAACACTACGACATTAAATATCATAAACTTTGCCGCGAACCCTCAATCACACCCACCTGTGCGCTTGTGCCCTTTCGATGAGCTCAAGCAGGACTGAATTTTTCTTGGCCTTGCGGATAAAGGGATGCTTCAGGAGTTCTTTAGCGGCAGGCCTCTAAACGTTGAAAGAGGAATTTGGGAAGGGCGGAATATGCAGCAAATACCTGATCCGGATCCTTATTTAGACAGGCTTCCACAAAATCCTTGAAACCTTTTGTCCACTGCGAACCGGTCAGATGGGGCGCCGGATTTTTCGGAATTAGGAATAGCACCTGAAATATATCAATTTTTCGATTCACTGCTATTTTGATGATGTGCCCTTCTAGAGAGCCTTAAAAGAGATCTTTAAAGGGGCTACGAAATCCGACCAAAGCCCCCCCCCCCGCGTTGATTCCTGGCAGCGAGCCAGATGCCGCCGCAACGCGACCGCGCCGCATAATCTTTTACCCCGTTTGGGCGTGAAAACGCGTTCATTTTAAAATTCTGTCGCTATTGTGGAATTTTCACGCAATTTAGATCATTCGCGTCGTTTTAATTATTAAAATTGATGAGCTATACACCGAGATCGAGAAATTGAGTGTCTTACAGGGCATTAAGACATTGAATCGACACGCGCTCAAAAATTAGTTCTCGCCCCGAACAACATTTCGGTTCTTTCAAGTATTTTGTATGTTTTCACAACGAACTCAATTTTCAGGCACTTTTCGGCCCCAACCATATCGTTTTTTGGCCAGTAGGTTCAATCCCCAGACATGCGAATTCTTTCTAGCCCCTTTAAACTCCCAGGCAATTGACCAATGGCGTATAATATATTCTTGGTGGCAAATTTACAACCCACACACCCTCATTGGATGAAGATCGGAGTGAGGTGGCTCACCGTTCGCAAGTTCGATCGCTGTGATCCCCAGTGACCAGATATCGGCCTAAAACATTTGTTTTAATACCGTTCAACACGTGATTTGATTTTTTGATTGCGGTTTGGGCAGGAAAATGCGTTCGGAAAACAGCTGATCTTGACGAGGACAAGCTGGAAAGATTGAGCATCCGCCAGGGCAACAATGGTTATTGAACTTTCAGCGTAACACAGGTCCGTGCATCCACCCAAATTCCGTGTGGATTCCACCGGAATTCGGGTGGAACGCATGGAAATCGGGTGGAAATCGGGTGGATGCAGTGGAAAACGAGTGGAAGCACGACGCAACGCGGGCCCCACGCGTCGCGGCAAATGGAATCGAGTGGAAACCGAGTGGATCCACTTGGTTTCCACTCGATTTCCATGCATTCCACCCGGAATCCACTCGATTTCCATGTGGAATCCACTCGCGTCGGCTAGTGGAATTCCCCTCGATCCCCTCCGGGATTCCGAGTGGATTACGGGTGGATGCACGGACCTGGAACAAAGAAAAGGGGGGATAGATAGTGGGCGTTGGCGAGAGTACGGTAGGCACCGGGCTAGGATTTTGATGAGAGCAGGAGCTAGGCAAACGAACGATTCTAGGAAATAAGGGCTGGTGTTGCAGCGCTAAATGACCCTATGCAGCTGTCGTTGAAAAGAAAGTAGTTCTTACTAGGGAAGTATCTGAGCTTGCCATCGAACTTTGAGAAGTCAGATACACCATTCGACGCGCCGTGACAAGAGGATTCCAAATATGTAATAAAATCAACGGGAGCGCATAACGGTAAAAAGTTATGAGCATTTTAAGTTTTACATTGAAATCCGCCGCCGCGAGAAGAGCCCCTCCCAGCGCACCCTGTGCATCGGTCTCGTGGTCTAGTGGTGTGCGCATCGGTCTCTGATCTGTATGACCAGGGTTCGGATCCCCTCACGATTTTTATTTTTTGCTTTTTGACCAGTTCCTACTTTTTGCATGTCCAACCTCGGGAATAAGTTTTTCTTGACTGTGTGGCCCCTATAGAACACCAGTGATGATAAAATAACCTCCGGCAACAAAACCAGGATTGGACGCTCTCTATATCAAAGTTGGCAAAATCGTCGGAAACCGCCCTTTTAAGGCTCTGTTCGAATTCGAAGAATGTAATTTGTCAAAAATGGAACAGTACATCTTCATCAGCAGAAAATTCTCTTTCAAATGCGCTATCTTACCTGCGCTTTACGCCAAATTCTCGAAAAGTCTTCGGCTAGCTGGCCATACCCAACTCCTTACTCTGCATGCCAAAAATATTTTTTGCGGAAATTTTTGGCAGCCGTATGTAATATAGCTCATTTTAAAGGACTTTCTTTGTTGAACAAGCAGCACGAATTAGTTTAGGCTAAATTCCATTCCGCGGGATGATACAGGGCCTCAAAGATGCTGTTTTTCGTCATTTTGCCGACTTTGAAGCCTCATAACTTTTTACCGTTATGCGCTCCCGTTGATTTTATTACATATTTGGAATCCTCTTGGCACGGCGCGTCGAATGGTGTATCTGACTTCTCAAAGTTCGATGGCAAGTTCAGATACTTCCCTAGTTAGCAATTTTAATCCCGAAATCCCGAGTATACACTAGTGTTCATAATTATAAAGGCAGTCGAATTTTTTGAAATATCTCAATTTCTAGCGGGTTTCAGGAAAAGCTTTCTTTTGCAGAAAAAACCCCAATTACGTCTCAAACTCAAATATCAAATCCATTTTTACATCCTAGGGCGAGCCATTTCTCTGTGAGGATTTTTGTCGAAAATGGTGTTTGGAAAACGTTCATAATTTTAAAGGCACTTTACGTAAAAAATTCTTAAAATTCGGAAATCGATACCAGGTTGCTAGAAACCCTTTCAATAACCCTTGGCAGTAATATTTCACTTAAACAGATGAAAGAGACGGCTGTCCAGGCACTGATCAAGGATTGCGAGCAATTTTTTTCCGCCAAACAAGGAAAGACGCTAAAAACACGCCAGTTCCTGCTCGCCAAGCCTTAATCCCGACGTAGAACTTGTTAATCATAAAGTGCCAGATATTCTCATTGACGTTTAAGCCAGTGGGAATAGGCTAACCATATCAAAAATCAATTTCAAGGGGTCGACACCGAACCTGGAGCTTGTCTGGTTCGAGGAATCGAGTCTTTCTTTGGCCGACAAAAGCCGTTTTAACCCGGATTTAGCCGAGAAACGGCGGCACGACTCGGCGCGGTAAGTGACGCGCCAGCGCGGCCCGTTTCTTGGCCAAAATCGCGTCGAATCCGCTTGCAAAGCCGTATTTGACTGATGTAGCCGAGTTCAGAAAGATCTGATGTTCTAAGGGCTGACCGGCTCCAGTTTACCGGCCGCAAGAAGCCTTCCGGTGCTGATCCGGATAGATCTCCCTATTACTGGCACAACATAACCCCCGTTCTCATCAAAGAAAAACAAATGGGACAGAGTTACGGTAGGGGTAGCCATTATCGTTCAAAGACGGTTAGCCCGTTTATCGTTCAGACTCAAATGTCTCGAGACGACAATCGATACTTGCGGCACCGAGTCGTGCCGCCGTTTCTCGGCTAAATCCGGGTTAAAACGGCTTTTGTCGGCCAAAGAAAGACTCGATTCCTCGAACCAGACAAGCTCCAGGTTCGGTGTCGACCCCTTGAAATTGATTTTTGATATGGTTAGCCTATTCCCACTGGCTTAAACGTCAATGAGAATATCTGGCACTTTATGATTAACAAGTTCTACGTCGGGATTAAGGCTTGGCGAGCAGGAACTGGCGTGTTTTTAGCGTCTTTCCTTGTTTGGCGGAAAAAATTGCTCGCAATCCTTGATCAGTGCCTGGACAGCCGTCTCTTTCATCTGTTTAAGTGAAATATTACTGCCAAGGGTTATTGAAAGGGTTTCTAGCAACCTGGTATCGATTTCCGAATTTTAAGAATTTTTTACGTAAAGTGCCTTTAAAATTATGAACGTTTTTCAAACACCATTTTCGACAAAAATCCTCACAGAGAAATGGCTCGCCCTAGGATGTAAAAATGGATTTGATATTTGAGTTTGAGACGTAATTGGGGTTTTTTCTGCAAAAGAAAGCTTTTCCTGAAACCCGCTAGAAATTGAGATATTTCAAAAAATTCGACTGCCTTTATAATTATGAACACTAGTGTAGTTCCAGTACACTTTGGCGACGTACCAATACAAATGACGCTCTAATAAGGTGCGCTATCGCCCTCTCGCCGCAAAAACTACCTGGTTCTTGGGAGTTCCTGCATTAATTTCTTTGATTCAACCACTCAAAATTCTGGAAATAGTCGAAACGTGAGCAAATCTTCAACCGAATCGCAAAAATACCTTACGTGAATGGAGTTATTTGCAAGAAACCGTAAAAACGAAACACGCCGATTTACGGCCATAGGGAATTACGAACGATACGTACGTTCCACCCGGAACTATCGGAGGGGAACTATACTCGGGATTTTAGGGTAGTTCGGAAATAAATCGGCGAAATGAGCGCAAAGCGAATCATAAGTAACCTTATGGTCATAGCTGGCCTGACGGATAAGCTCTGGTGCCATCCAGAAGGGGCTGCCGACAAAGGTGATCCGCTTCTTCACCGTCTCGGTCAACTGGCCGGCCACCCCGAAGTCGGCGACCTTGACTTCGCCGGTCTCTGACACCAATACGTTGGCTGCTGAAAACAGAGGGCAAGATCAAAGGGCTGGACATACACTCGGATATATGCAACAATGATACCAATCGAAACGCGTGACCACCCACACAAGACAACGACAACGCACACAAGCACAAAGAGCCAATGCGGTTGAAAGAGGCTCGGGCTAACCGCAATACTGCATACTCACGAGGACCGTAAAACCCAGTTGCCGGTTAGCTGAGCCCCGCCCGGGGGGGGAAGCAGGTTTCGGTGATGGATTTGTCTGTAATAACCTTATCGTCATATCGCGACTGCGTGATCACTTCCGGAGCCATGAAGTATGGGGTGCCGACAAATGTTTCCGCCTTTTTCCCGCTGATTGTCCAAAGATGAGTGGCCACCCCGAAATCGGCGAGCTTGACCCCGCCGTCATATTCGTGAAGCAGCACGTTGGCCGCTGGAATGTTCTTCATTCCATGTACCCTAGCCAAATATCATTTTTGCCGCCCTATCGTGTGCAGCTTGCCCAGCCAAAAATGCCGCATGCAATGGAAGGTCGAAAGCGGTTCCCGAGTAGAACGTTATGCAGAAGGCAACTTTTCTAACAAACTTAATTCTGGGAAATTGGGTATTCCGAGCGTAGGGTTGTGCTTTGCGCTTAGTTTCATGCACCAAACCAGGATGTTGTCCAGAAAATGAGCTAGGCACCGTGCGCGTCCATGAAAACCAAATACTACCCACCTTTGATGTCTCGATGAATCTTATTTTCCGAGTGCAGATACTCTAAGCCCTAAAAGGAATGGTCAGTCAACACGAGTACTATCCCCACCTTCAGTATCTCACGGACTATCACGGCGATCTGTGATTCATCTAATTTGCCGCTTTTAGTGAGGTCGAGTGCCGATCCACCACCAAGATACTCCATGATAATCCACAGTTTCGACCCCTAGAGAGCTGGTTTGAGCCCCGGGACTCAAGATAGGTTACGTAGGGGTTTCTTCCAAAACAATCATAATGTGAAAATTCATAATGTCGAAATCCGTAATTTCGAAATTTTATAATGCCGAAATTCAGAGTGTTGAAATTTACATAACCTAATTTTTTCGGAAACCCCCGAATACGATACAAAAAATGTCGGCATTCTGATTTCGGCCTTCCTGAAATTCTGGCACTATGAAAGTCCGATTATAATAATAGATTATGAATACATTATGATTTTCGACACTATGATATAATGATGACTGATCGTTACTTAACTTCCTAAATATTTCAGGTTACCTTCAAGTAGCTGCCAAAATACTTTGTCACATATGCAGAGTCGCATTGGCTGAGTACCTAGAAAAGGCGCGAGGAGGGTCTGTAAGTCGGATCGACATACCTGAATCTCCTGTTGAATGTCTTCAATCTCATCCTCAGCCTCTTCTAGATCAATAATCTTAATGGCAACAACCTGGGAGCATTTAATTAGAAAAATTAGGAATACCTGGCCGGTTCGCTTGTCGATCCCCTTGTACACTTCGCCAAAGGAGCCACGGCCAATTCGCTCCTGCTTCGTGAATAGGGCCTCTGGGTCAAGCTTCTAGAAATCCAGCGTTCGAGGCTGTCTACACTGTCTGCTGTCTAACAGCCTTTCCAAAAACCTAATTTTGCAATATTTTCGTAATTTTTTTTGCGCTGTTTTCATTAACAGGCAAAGCAAATTTGGGCGAGATTAATGGAATTCCAGATTTTCTCGTAAATCACCGACCGGAAAGTTGTCAAAGCGTGCTAACATCACGGAATAGGTGCAATTTGGGACGTTCTCGGATCGGATCGATCTGGTTTGGGAACGGGTGGGTATGGCTAGCGCGAAAAGTCAACACATACCCGCCAGAATACGACAGTTTAGTGGTGGGTTGAACATTGCACCCCAGGCTTAGCCCCTAACGCCGTGAAGATGCAAAGAAAATAGGGGTTCTTTCGCATTATCGGGGGGGGGGGGAGGCGATCTTTTTTGTTATCTAGAAATGCCTAATAATTTAATAGACAGCGTTTTAACAGTGTTTTCAGTAATATATAACTATATTTTAACTAGAAAAACTATCGCCAAACTATAAAAATGTAGAAAATTTGGTCAAAAAGGGCCGTTTTCAGTGGAAACTCGATCTTTTTGATGTTTTTTAATACAAATTTGTAAAGTTTTCGCGTTTAGGAATAGTAAAAATCCATTTAGTAATTCCACTATCTATATTTGAAAAGTTCGATCCTAAGAAAATCCACCTTTTTAATCTCGTCGAAGGTAAGTATGGGATGTGCGAGTCTTGCCGTGTCCTCACTGGCGGCCGTTCGCTTGCGAACCTTCGGCCCTTCGATTGTAGGCTGTATCAGCTGCTCTTCAGGGATGCGACGTTGGTCTTCACCTTCCATGGAAGTCCCCTTTTTCAGCAGATCTTCATACACTCCCAGCATTCCCGCTCCAAAATTCGCCGGCCTGTACCCGGCACCATTCGACTCGTAGCTCCGTGAATACAGCTCCTTCTTACCACCGGAGCCCGGCGGAGACTTTCGCAAGACGACGTTCTCTCCCTGGAAATGTAGCGTATGCGCATCCACGTGTAGGGGCAGACCCTTTCAACCTATTTCCCTGGGTATCAAGTAAACCTGGTTCTGGACTGTTAGCGCGGTGGGGGGGGGGGTGGAGCAGGGGGAACCACTTTCAGTTTGTCCACCTGTACCTACCCGTTGATTTGATATTCTGTATTTTTATATTGTTTCGGTAGCTTTTAATTGCTAGAAAGTTATAAAAATATTTTTAAAATTTTGACCCTTTTTGGTCATTTTCATACATTCTTGAACAAAAAGTCAACAATTTTCCAAGATCTTTGTTATCTTTCTAGATCGTTTTTATATCCAAAAACTATGTAAAATGCTATAATAAATGTCTTATATATTGTTATAGGGCCGTAGAGAATCACGGGGAAAAATTTGGTTCCCCCCGCTAGCAGTCCAGAACCGTCCACCTTGAATAATCGAATTTCTTCTTTTATGTTCGAAAAAGCAGATCTTCTTAAATTTACTTTAAGCTTCTTAACGCCCTTCAGTGAAAACGACCTATTTTTAATTTAGCCACAGCTTTTATTCATATTCTGAAAACGGAATTCACTTACATCTTGTCGCGGCTCCAATGCCGAAAACTCTGCAGGCAGCAAAGTAACAATGGATTTTGAAGGATCCGTGTGTCTGGAAATATCAGCCTTGTTTCGTACTTCCGAGTTTGAACGCTTCATGTCGATCGGCTTCCGGCGCTCCGCCTTGATAGGTTCATGGTAGGCATAATCGACAGAGGTAGATGCCCTCGCTTCCGCCACAATCCCATCCGCAAGCAGATTGCCTAGGTTTTTCTGTTTGAAGTATCCTGTCGTAGTTATTTACTGTGGCTGAGTCGTCGGTGTAGTTGAAGCTGGGCTTGGCCGAGGCGGGGCATGGGCTCGGGAGGTTTTCTCGTTGGCTCGAAGCGGCTGATTGCGCTCTGAACGCTCGTATTTCGACATAGCGTATCCGTGAAACGATCGTCCGTTGCCTTCACGGCCGTCATATCAACCTGAACGAACCCGCGACCTTTTGGAGTAAGATAAATGCAATTATAAAAAAACACAAACCGCAACTGAGAGTACAAAATTGGGGGGGATGGGAGAGGTGGATTGCATTCTTACATTCATACAGGGTGTCCCAATAAAAAAAGACTCTCCTCTAACTTGATGCAGAAGTATAGGATTGTAACGTCAATTACACCATTCGAAGCCCTTGAACCGGCGAATTTGCAATAACGCGTCATTTTCTAATGCATTTAAAAACACTAAGGAACGACCTCTACATCTAATCAACGGCTACCTGCGACCGTTTTGCTTGGAGAAATTGAGACAAATTAGCTCGCCTGCAACCCGAAACCACAAAATTTTACAAAATCGTTTGTAAAATAGCGCAATTAAATAAAAACATGCTTTTGAAGATTGTTGCAAACTCGCCGTTTCAAGGGCTTTCGAATGGTGTAACTACCATTCCGCCCCGATACTCCTGCGCCGTGTGAGCGGGGGTGTTTTTTATTGGGACACCATGTATACCCGCAGGTTCAAATTTAAATGATCCTAGGCCGGAAATTCAGCTAGATTACCAGTGTCTCCAGCAACCGGCCATATGCTAATTTCTTGTGCCAAGCGCGGAAAAAGTCGATGGCTGCCAGGAATTGGCAATGGGCTGGGTTGGCATGAGAGCGCGAATTATCGCTCGGGCCGCTTCGAGACAAGATAAGCTTTTGGGGAGTGCCCATAAAAATGCGGAGCGAGAAATATTTGGGGTCCACCTGAGTCATGCAACGTCCGGCAAAAGATTAGTCGGAAAATAATCCGGGAATTGACGCCGGATTCAAGTTCTCTAGCGGGAGGGGGGTTGGCAGGGAAAACCACATTTTTTCCGGATATCTGCAATGATGCCACGTAATGAAATAGAAAGCCTGGCACGAGTATTCTACGGCTTTCTTCACTAACAAAAACTAAAAAAATGGATAAAATTTTCTAAATTGACTTTTGGCTTAAAAGACACGAAAATGGCAATATCCTAATTTTCCGCTAGTTTTAAAATAATTTATGTTTCCTTAAAATAGACATTAGGTTGAAGGGAGGAAGATACTCCTGACCCCTAGCAACTCCCTGCTCAGAACCTGATATTTTTCCCGGTGATTGTCTACGACCCCATAACAAAATATAGACGATTTTTATAGCATTTTCATTTTACGTAGTTTTCAGCTACAAAAACACTAATAAAAGTTTCGAAAATGTTTCACTTTTTTTCGAAAATGTATGAAAATACATAGTATATGGTACATAGCTGGAAAAACAAAAAATTGGGTTCTTCCCCTTGCTCAAACCCCCACCCCCGCTAACAGTCCAGCACCGACATTTGTATGCATCGATGGAGTATCCGTGAAGCGTGAGATTACTGAAACTCGTTTAGGTGGAACGGTCTGTCTCTAGGAAGCACAGAAGAGCCAGGAAGCCAAAAAAAGCGAATGCGGGCGCATAGTCCCAGCATGGGGTCCGGTCGTAAACCGTGAACACAACAGTTTGACGCCTCGCCATTTTCGGGAGGTGAATAGGCTTGGAAATCGGGGAGGGAAGAGCCTGGGGGTCGTCGGGGGGGCGAGACTCCTAGCCCCCCCCCCCACCTTGCAGAAGCGATGCGCGTGACGCGCCAAGTCAAACAGCCACCGGCTCATGCGCGGCCCGTTCTAAGAGACTGTGCAAAGGGGGGGGATGGGGCAAGGAGAAGACTGTTGTATACATTCTCATCCACATCCAGCCCACCTTTCCCGCCACCACCAAAACCACCAAAGAACAGCGCGCAAACAACCGCGTCGGGGTGCCCATTGATCAAGCTGATATCGGAGATGTCAAGCAAATTTACCTGCACACCAAGGATGAAAAAACCGTTTCGAGTCGGCTAAATGCTGACCCCCTAGGATCGATGGATTTGGACACGTTGCTTCGCGAACTTACTTCCCATGAAGGGAAAAACGCCAAAATCCTGCCGGCCAAATGTCGGGACTATGGCTGGAATTCCCCTAGACAAAGCAAAGTACCCGGCTACGAGGTGTCCCAAAAAAATCGACCCTTCTCTAGCGGTCTAGAGAAAGGTCGGGTCGGGCTGATTTTTACACCATTCCAAAGCTCTCGGATAGGCGAGAAAACAAGCGCTTTTCGTTTTACAAAATTGTAGCACGCGCTCGATATGAGACGATTTCTTAAAAAGGAGTAAAATCAGCGTCGTCCTGTTTGCTTTAGCAAGCATAACACCCCGAATTTTCAGTTTTCATGGATTTTGGCCCCTAATTTAATGAATAAAATGCTTGTATTGAAAACGAAAAGTGCTTGTTTTCTCGCCTTTCCGAGAGCTTTCGATAGATAACTCAATCGTCACAATCGGACATGACTATGACCCGCCAGAGGGGGTGGATTTTTTTGGGACACCCTGTACTCCTTAATATAATTTATTAAATCCCTTAAAACTCCCTTGCATTTGTCACTAATTTTTTCAACCAAAAGCGTCGCGATTTTTATCGAAAAATTTAACTTTTTTTGCGAAAAACGCAGTTTTGAAAAACTGTTAAATCGGCAGCCATCTCGAGGCCATTATGCAACATCAACCCTCACTAGGGAATGTTTTATCTGCCTGAGTTTATTATTCTAATCAGCCAAACATTTTTTTAAGATTGACATTGATCTTTAGTACATCATATTGCCACCCTCAACAGTGCTCGTGGCCACGGGGCGGCTATGCCCTATTTATGCGCCTCGTAACCATGGTAACCGGGGGGCGTTTTGGTGTGCCCGTTGCAACGCTTCCAAGCATTTTACTCGAAGAATGGCATCTGTTGATATTTGGCAACTGGCGCGTCAGAAATATCTAGAAAATCAGGCAAGGCATCTTCAGCTGGGCGACGATGATGACGACCCTGGAGGTGAGTCGAGGTTCACAAGGGCCACCTTCCAAATCTGTCGGACTTTCAGCCCAAGCCAAACCCCACCGAAGCGAGTCTGTGGTCGTCGTTTGCGGAAGTCAGAACTGCGTACGTAAACGGTGCACTTGAAAGAGACATGACATTCAGGGAAAGACCTCTCTTTTACTTCGCTTTTTGGAGCGGAACGAAACCCCAAAACCATCAATTGGACTCGAGTACACGTATGGCCGACGGACACGTCGAAATGTTCGTTCGCTGTCAACGTCGAGTCGCTTTTAGGCGAAGGAAGTCTGCCATCTCTGGGAGTTGAGCGGCGGGACAAGACTACGTGCGCTACTCTCCGTGGCATTAACCAACAAGAACTTAGAGTGAGGTTGAGTACCAGCAACTTCAACGGTTTAGGAGCACGTCCCTGATGGTTGTATTGGACCTAACGAGACCTAACGAGTTGTGGGTGACGGCAGAGAGACTGCTCGAAGGAGCGCGTAAACGTGTAGGTGATGTGCTCAATGACCTGCAGCGCGATGACCCTGCTGCCCACAGCCGTATCTTGGCCGCTGCTGCCGCACGGCTTGCAGCATCTAAGGTAAACGAGTAATCGGCGATTTTATAATCCTGGACCTTCCTTTAAGGACAAGGATATGATCAGCGCCTTCCCGATTCCGCTCGCCTTCATAGGGGCCAAATATGATGAGTTTCAGGTGAATTTCCGGCAAACTATTTATTCCTCTGCTCTTTAGAATTTCGAGTCGGAAGATCGGCGGCAGATCGTCAAAGTGTTGCGATTTCTTGCCCATTATTATTGCGCCGATCTGCTGGTAAGAACTAATCGGGTTTCCCTATTCCCGTTATATCAAACCTAGTGTTTGAGCACCCCCCCCCTCCCCGGCTCCATCTATTGTAGCTCGGGCTCCCATTGCTTCATCGGTGTAAAGTATACCAAAGGATTTGCCAGCCAAAACGAACATTTTCGCCTACTTTACAATTTTGTTGGTCAATTGGGAATCGAGATACAGCTGCTGGAGCAAATCTAGGGCACGAAAAAGCTTCTCCGATTTTCAAATGTTGTGGTGCCGCCCATTTATCGATTTTAGTTCTATTCTTCCAAAATGGAAAATTTGACGGTACGTGGGCGAGCACTGACCGGTCATCTGGCCTTCGGAACCGCAAATAATAAGGTGAATCCCCCTCTACATCCCTGGGCTTCTGCTTTGGCTTCGGATTAGGCTTCGGCTTAGGCCCTAGGCTTAGGCTTGGGCTTAGGCTTAGGCTTAGGGCTTGCGAAAAGGTGAAGCCCTATCGCATAGAAGCCTAAGCTTTAGTCTAAGAAGCCTAAGTCTAAGCCTAAGCCGACCCAAATTCTGCGCATTATCGCCACTGACTTAAGGGTATGATCACCGATCACAGCAAGCCCATATTTGTGGCGCACGGCGAGGATTCGTTCGAGGTATAAATTTTTCAGTAGCTGTAAATGTCCTAGGAAATCGGCCCGCCACCTCAGCTAAAGAACGCGCTTGCCAACCTACGCACCTCGAACCTTTTATCGATGTGGCGCGACGCCTTTGACGAAATTTACAAGCAAAAAGTTTGTTTTTTTACTTGAGCTTTTGTTTGCCGGGGCCCTAACGCGGCTGAATGTCGATTTTACATCACCTTTATAGGAGCTCAACCTCGAGCAGGAGGCTGATAACTCGAGTGACGCCTTGTTCGCCGAGAAAGCTATCGATAAATATATCGAGCAGAAAAATCGGGTTTGTTGCAGCATTCAGCATGTTCAAAAAATCACCGCCTGTCGCCGGCCGCAGACTTCTCCGATTATTACGATCTATCGAAGGCTCTCGAAAAGACGAGTGCAGCACGTGACTCCGATTTTCGAAATTTCGGCTTTTTTCTCGATTTTCAGCATTTTTCACGCAATAAGAACGCGCTTTTTTATCGAGAGCTCAATTTAGCCGGTTTAAGCGCTGTCTAACTAAGTAAGTTGTATTTTTGCGCTGGAATCACCTTTCCGAGAGCTTTCGATAGATACCTGAATCGTAAAAATCGGACCGGATTGGGGGGCCGCTAGAGGCGGTGATTTTTTCTGGCACGCTGTAGAAGATGTAACCATTTAGGATCTGGAGCTATACATACGTCAACGAAGGGAAAGAAAGAACCAGCGTGAGGCGTGACATTTGAAAATCGAATGCTGTGGACTATTAATCAGAAGCTTTTGAATAAAACTTGTTTTGCATTGCATATCGGCGACCCCGCAAACTTACAATGCAAATCATTTCGTCGTAATCCACTTCTGCAAGGTTGGGTAAGGATTTGTAGAGTTTTACCCCCCCCTCCCCAGCCGGCACCCAACTTTTGTATATCGGCTACCTGTCCATCTACAGGTGTGTAAAGTATACCAAAATGTTCGCCTTGCTCTGGCGAGTTTTTTTGGTATACTTTACATACTTGTAGGTGAACAGGGAGCCGAGATACGGTAGGTGGGGTCGGCTTAGGGGGGAGGGGGGGTAAACTGAACCACTGCCGAAAAAGTCCCCCACCGCGAAGAAGCGTGAAGGCCCGATCTTCTTAAGCTATCATTCAGATTATGGCAATGCCCGTCACGAGCTGCTCCTCGTTTTTGACGGCCAAAGACAAGCTGCCCGGCGCTTTTCAGACCATCGGGCTTGACCCCCACAAATCAGAAGGTCGGGGGGCAGGTTAGACAACTGTAACACTGGCTTCAGGCCACGACGTACTTCTTGTGCGCCACGCTGAGTCGATCGCTGAGGTGTTCCCCGACTGGGTGCGCCGTACCAAGATCGACGAGCGCTTCTACCGGCCCACCGACTTGGTACCGTTTGAAGGGCCGGCTAATAGAAAGTTTCATCAGCTCTTTTACCTGTAACAAAAATTGGCTCTTTCGCATTATATGGAGGATATTCCCGATTTTTGGCCGAAGATTTTATTTTGTCGTTGTTGTGTGTTGTGTTGTGAATTGTTTCTAATGGGTTTTTTACTATTCCCAAATGTGAAAACTTTACAAATTTGTATGAAAAAACATCAAAAAGATCGAGTTTCCACCGAAACGGCCGATTTTTGACAGAATTTTCGCCTTTTTAAAGTTTTGTGCTAGTTTTTCTAGTTGAAATATAGTTCAATATTGCAAAAAAAACTATTAAAAGACTGTATACTGAGTTACTAGGCGTTTTTAGACCCATACAATAAGGTCGTCACTCCCCCGATAATGCGAAAGAACCCAAAATTTACCAAAGAATTTAGAACGTGCCTTACGAGTTGCCGCGTAGACCCGAAATGCGTCTCGCCTACGAGAACGATCCGCCGGCTAGCGAGGTTCAATTACCAAGTCGAGCACTTATCCTCGCTTCTCTCAGTTTGGGCTCATTTCGGCGCAGCTGCTCGGGCGCCAGCTGGTGGCCCGCCGCTACAAGGTTCCCATTTGGCATCACTGTACTTTTTTCGGGTCCAGCCTCAAACCATCTACACGTCACCGGCTCTGGTGTGCCTGCAGACGGCCAAAGTCTTGCAGGGGCTGCTCAGGTAGGGGTCGTAGTGTTCGGTCCACGCACAATCACAGCCAGGCGAGGCCGCTTCGCATCGAACCGATGCTCTCGTCTGCTTATGGTTCCGAAGTAGGTGCAGATACAAAAATTTACTCCCCCCAGCCGACCCCCACCTACCGTATCTCGGCTCCCTGCCCCTCCCCCCAGCCCTATAACAAAATATAACCCATTTTTGTAGCATTTTACATAGTTTTTAGATATAAACACTATATAAGAAAAGAATAAAAATTGACTTTTTGCACAAAAATGTATGGAAAATGACCAAACAGGCCGACGTTTTCAAATCATTCAAAGGTACTGTGACAGTTTAGCACTACTGGATGCCGACCGCTGCGCTGCAGGCTCTTGGGTACAATATCGACGAGGAATACAAGTGAGCATCTTGCTCAAAACTCCAATGAAATGTTAGGCCGATGGGCGGTCGTCTCGAGTGGAACCACCAGACCGGGGGTCTGGCCCCCGCTCAAGTCGCCGCCGAGAAGCGGGGCCTGATGCGCCGCATTGCTGCCCATCATTCAGGCACCGGTAGCGCTTCGAAACACCTGCGGTTCTGGACTGCTAGCGGCGGGGGATTTTTAACAGGGATGAAACCACTTTCTTTTTTTTCCACCTACCTGTTGATGATATATTATTTATGGCCTAAGCTATATATGGGTCGAAGCCCGGGGGCGCCGCCAAAGGCGCCTCCCGAGGCACCCCCTGGGGGGCGTGCCGAGTGGCGCCTGGGGGCGCCGCCCCTATGATTTTTAACGGGGCGGGGGGCGTCACCAAAGGCGCCTGTGAGATTATGCAAATCTTCGATTCTAATGTTAATTATTCATTTCAAGCGCAAGAGTAACCTGCAAATAACTTTTTCTCTTGCACCTCAGAAAAACCTAGCAACGTAATAGTCAGCCTTTTAATAATGTTTTTAGTAAAATTTAACTAACTTTTAAGTGGAAAAATCAAAAATTGGAAGGAATTTTAGGTGGAAATTTCGAAATTGAAAGTGAGATTGGAAAATCGGCCATTTTTGGCAGAAAAATCTATATTTTTTGTGTTTCAGTCGCAGTTGGTAAAGTTTTTACGTTTAAGCATAATAACAACAGTTTCCAAAGCTTCCACTATTTCTTTTAGAATACAAGGTCCTTAGAAAAAAGTTGGTCCCCCATAAATACCCCCTTCCTCTACAATGCGAAAGGATCATGGAAAAATTATAGGCCAATCAACTAATAGTTTTTGCCTTCTTTGATACTAAGGGTCAGCAGTCAAATTTCATTTCCATAATAACACCGCCTTTTTGCTTTGCATCTCGGTTTACCGGCGCCGTTTGGTCAGCCCCAGGCGCCGCCACAGGCGCCACTCGGAACGCCCCCAGGGGGTGCCTCGGGAGGCGCCTCTGGCGGCGCCCCCGGGCTTCGACCCATATATAGCCTAAGCGCACCTTACGCCCCCCCCCCAGCCGGTACCCACCTACCGTATCTCGGCTCCCTATTCATCTACAGGTGTGTAAGTATACCAAGGTACTCGCCAGAGCAAGACGAACATTTTCGTATACGTTACACACCTATAGATGAACAGGGAACCGAGATACAAAAGTTGGGTGCCGGCGGGGGGAAGGGGTGGGGTAAGCTGCACTCTAACCGTATGTTGTTTCGGTTCTTTAGGATTCCCGGGGGAAGTATTCCCGGGGGGGGAAAACCAATTTTTTTCCTGGTGGTCCCGGGTGACCTAGTAATCAAATATAAAGTGTTTTCCAATTGTTTTTAGTAAGTTTTAACTGTAATTAAAGCAGAATAACTTTCAGAAAAATTTAGAAAAATGTTTGAAAAAGTCGAAAATTTGGTCATTTTGTGTCTTTCCCCCCGCGAATCCTAAAGGTTCTATAGGATTGTTCCTAATTTTTATTTTTATTATTTTTTTTGGTTAAAATGTGTGTAGTTTTTATGCTCAGGAATAGTTAAAAACGATTTAGAAACGCATCCGTAGTTTATAAAAAATCTAGGCTTGTGCCGAAAAAAATTTGGTTTCCCCCCCCCCCGGGAATACTTTCCCCCCCGCGAATCCTAAAGAACTTGTTTCATATTGTTTTAGTAGTTTTTTATTCCTAGAAAGTTATAGAAAATTGGTCTCCCCGCGTTAACAGTTCAGAACCACATCTTGCTTCTAAAATCGCTTTATGTTTGTTTTCTCAAAAAAAGATTCAATATTTTTCGCTACTTGGCGCATTAATAGGATAGATTCCTATCCCCCGCCGTTCATTTTGAGGCTTCCTGTCTTCTTACCCAAGTTTAGTCATCTTCGTGACTGACCCGGTGGGCTTCTACGCGATGCAGCACCACGGGCGCGGGCTGATCTGTTCCTACAAGTCAGTTCTGCGGCGTCGCGGGTCAAAATACTTCATTTTATAGGCAACCCTACGAAGCGTTCCTGAAGGAGGCGACAGCCGCCAGTCCTCCGTCGGCGGCCATGTCGTTCCGCGTGGAGAAACCGGGAAAGATGGTTGGTAATGACGGATATCGTCTACCATAAGTGCGACGACGACGCCAACACGACCCCCTTTCAGCCATTCTTCGAGTATGATGAGCTGGTTTCGCCACTCACCTACCTTGGTGGCTCTAGCCAGGTTCGTGGCTTCGCCAAAAGCTTGCTTTGCCTCAACCTTGAAAATTTATGACCCTTAATGCATTTTTCGAATCTTTCGCATTATCGGGGGTACCAACTGTTCTTCTTAGGGTCTACTTGTTCAAATATAGATCGTAGAGGTCTCTATAAATGGGTTTTTTACTCCCTAAACGCGAAAACTTTCAAATTTTGTCTTCAAAAATATCAAAAATATAGATTTTTGGCCAAAATTTTACTTTTTCAAAAGTTTTCGGATAATTTTTCTGATTTTCGGATTATAGTTACATATTAATAAAGACACGATTAAAACATTTTCTATTAAGTTAATAGGCATTTCTCGTTTTTCTAGTAAAGATCGGTTTCTCCCGAAAAACTCCCCCCCGATAACGCGAAAGAACCTGAACTTAATTTAGTGTAACGCAATTTCCGATTTTAATTTTCAGCCGGAACTCGACAGTGGCATCGACTGGCATCCCTCGCATCGCTTCTGAGCCCTGAACCACGTTAAAGCCCGATTAAACGCAATTATTTAAATCAGCCGGAAATGATGATTCTTATAAATGATGATTCGAGTAAGAAATTTATCGGTTGCAGTGGCGGTGAACAATATAAATAATTTTCTCTTTTTGAGCAATAAATATTTCCCTTCTCGGCGGTCTTAACGGAACGCGAAGCAGGTCACCTCACCTCTCGTCGCCTCACAGTATTTTCTGCAAACAAAATCAACACCTTGCCGATGCTAAAAACCCATACCTAGAGTGGATGCTGTAACTAAATTCGCCATTTGCGCAGAACACGTCAAATTTGCTTCCACTGAAGGCGAGTTCAGTGGCCCGCTGGACCGCCTTCTTTGCCACGGACACATCTGGAGTGATGGCCTGGAAAATGGACAACACGCTTTTTCATAGCATCCCATTCTCTCCCACCTCAGCCATCACACGGGCCAGTTTGTCCGAATTGCATGTCGTTGTCGTGCGCTGGACGGTGCTAGACGCATGCTGGCGCGCCGACTGAATAATGATGTCACACGGTACTGATGGTGGGGCAGTGGCTCGCAGTTTTTTTAACAGAATAGCTCGAATTTGAGTGTTCGCCAATTTATGATTCCAATTGGTCACAAGTACGGTACGATATTAAGTAATCAATGGTATCAGTAGTTTATTTAAGGATTCGGTTCTTGCGCATTATCCGGGGGGGGGGGGGCTTTTTTGTGTAGGTCTAGAAATGTCTAATATAGAACGTGTTTTAACAGTTTTTCAGTTATAGATAACTATATTTTAACTAGAAAAACTATCTAAAAGCTTTTGAAAAAAAACCGATATTTTGGTCAAAATTCGGCCATTCGAAACAGTGTCGGGTAGCCCTCATTAACACGCTGAACTACTTTTGGCGGACGATCCTAGCGACACTTTACCGTCTCTGAGGAGCCCATGTCGTCGAGGGATTCCGATTCATCAGCGCTCACGCTCCTCGGCGAGTGCGAGCCTCGGAAGTACGGGCTGAATGCGATATCGTCGGGCACCCCCGGTGATTGTGGTGACCTGACAGATATCATGTACAAACTGCAACAATGGCTTACTTCACTTCGCCATCCTTAGCGTAGATTCGATCATCCTCTTCATCGGGAGTAATGGTCGCTAAACGAACTGGTAGCCATGTCGGGACCCTGGAGGCAAACGGCCCTGCACCAACTTACAAACGGGTCGTGGCCTGGCAGTCCCAGAGTGCATCATTTCAGTGTAGTCGGTGGCAGAACTGTGTAGGCCCAAACTTTCCTGGGTCGTTGGTGGTATCAACGTAGGCGCTGTCTCCTCTACGTATGCGCTTTGGAAGGGCGATTCTGTAAGCAAAAAAAAAGAAATGTCTTTCGAGCCTGGATACCTGGTGCGACCTCATTCGTCTCGACGGCTCGTCCAGCCTCGTTGAGAGAAATCAGTGATGGTGGGGGAGACAAGGGAGAAGGAAGGGCCTGAACTTTTAGGTGGCGTGGAAATAGTTGTACGCCATATCCGAAATACAAGGCTGCCCTAAGAAGGTAATCTATCCCTGGAGGGCTCAATGGTCACCCACAAGAAGGCTTAGCGCCTTAGCCTCGGCCGAAGCCTAGCCTAAGCCCAAGCCCAAGTATAAGCCAAGCCTAAGACAACGCCTAAGCCTAAGCCTAAGCCTAAGCCTAAGCCTAAGCCTATGCCTAAGCCTATGCCTAAGCCTAAGCCTAAGCCTAAGCCTATGCCTAAGCCTATGCCTATGCCTAAGCCTAAGTCTAAGCCTACGCCTGAGCCTAACCTTAACCTAACCTAAGCTTAAACATAGGCGTGATTTTGACTAGAATACCTATTTTTGTGGCTTACCAAGCCAAGCTTCTATCACTCACCTGAGCATACTCAGGGGTCGGAAGCGCGACCATTGGTGGTAGCGTCAACTCCAGGGGCTTCGGTCCGGGAGCCGCCGGCAGGGGGACCAGGGTAACCGCCGGCTTGCCAATTGGCGGAGCCTAGAAAATGTTACAGCCCAGACATGAAGTCACCTCAAAGAAACTGTAAGGCTCTGGCAGGCCGGGCGCCGGTACCGAGTTGGAGATTTGGTATGCCGGGAAGCAAGTGGACTGGCAGCCTATAAAGATAGCTAAAAATTCGGGTTTTTTAAGTAGGTAGGTTTTTCTTTAAGATGCGTGCAAATCCACTCAGCTAGATGCCAAATGTTCAGCGAGCTCGGCTTACAATAATTTGCGCTTACTCGGCACTGGCGGCGGTGGCGGCGGAGGCAGAAATAGAGCTGGGCATGGAGGATGGGCCACACATTTTTGGACCTGTGGACACTGGGGCTGGGGGCACGAACAGGTGTTTCCACATCCGCCTGTAAGTTTGAAGAAATAATTTCGAAAATTCCTGAGCATGCCAATCGACGACAAGACAGTTGCTCCTCCTCCTCCCCCCCCAACCGACTCCGCCTACCGTAACTCGACTCCCCGTTATTACACAGGGCAGTAAAGTATACCAAAATACCCGTCAGAGCAAGACGCACATTGTGGTATACTTTACACGCCTGCAGACAAACTAGGACCCGAGATACAAAAGTTGGGCGCCGGCTTGGGGTAAACTGCACTCGAACCTAAAAAAAGGCTCACCACCGAAAAACAGAGAATCGGCCCGGAGGGCGATCATCAGTAGTAAAAACGCGGCTTGCCAAGCTCTTGATGCCATCGAGTAGCTGTGTGGAAAGGTCTAGAGATAGGTTTGAGGATGTGGTAGCTGGAGGGTCGGTGGAGATCCCCCTTACCCGTCCTAATCCTTCCTGTCTACCGTCCACGGTCTCCCCCCACACCTGGGCGATTAAACGACGGCGAGCCTCGCGAGCTATTCTTCGCCCTCAAATACCGTCGAAATCCACAAAAGCCACCCCCACCCATAGCCCCACTCCTGTCGATTCGACAAAGAGGGACTATCTACAAGCCAGTTTTCATGATATCAACTGGTCGACCGGTTGATGGCACCCTACAAATCAAACCTACGGATCCATGGCATTCTGCCGTATTACACTCGATCAGTCCCAAAACTCGGCCAGAGGTGTATCTGACCCTCAATAACCACAATGTTGACTTATAACCCGCCAGCTACAGTATTTTTCGAGATATAACAAAAAAAAATCTTGTTATCCATTTTTCATAGGGTTTTCGTCGGTATCGACCCATAAAATATTAAGTGAAAATGAAGCGGCAAGCCCCCCCAGAAATTTTGCTGACAAAATTAATCCAATAACCGCTGATTTCAACAACAATTTTTGCAGGCAAAATTTCCATCGATATTAAGCGAAATTGGGGATTCAGGCCGAAAGTCGAAAAGAAAGCCGAAAGCCGAAAAACTGCTGAGACTCGCGGAAAAAAAAACAATATTTTTGCAATAAACCAAGAACGGCCTGGGCGATCGGGCTATTAGTCAGGATTTTCATCATCTACAGGGTGGACAAAAAAAAAAAAGATCCGAGTTTGGGTCGAAATAACTCGCGAACGGTAGAGAATCGAAGGTACGTTACCATGCCAGAATGCTTAAATATGCTGGGTATGAAGATTTAACAAAACTTGATTTTTTCGATTTTTGAGTACGCAACTGTACTATTGACGCTGGTTACGACCGAAAATTGTGCGTTCTTGAACGGGTGGTGGGAAAATTCTGATTTTTGGCCTAAAAATAGTATAAATTTGTAGAAATGTAATGGCAAAATCTTAGAATTTTTCGAGGCCTATTCGATTTTCTAAAAACAAAAGAATTTTCGCGATTTTTCATTATTTTTGTTCTTTGAGTCATAACTCGCTTCTAACTCACTGCCCATGGCTGCTTTTTTGCCAATGGCTTATCCAAATATTAATTTCGGATCCCACACCAGATTCCACCGCAATCTATGGTATTTTTGTATTGCTTGCTAAAACGTGCCCCAGCGGGGTACTGTAAGTTTCGTTTTTCCCGCTTTTCTCGGCTCCCTTAGCTTCGATCCGGCTGAAATTTTCTGGGTTGTTAGGCAAGAAGTAGTGGCACCTTGCTGCCAAATAGGAGAGCGTACTATCCACACACTTTCATGAAAAAGTCTAAAAACTCATTTTTTAATTCTGCCACAGAATCTCGTAAATTTTTTGGTTAGTTGTACCAAAAACTGTTAGTATTGCTTTTACCGAAAGCTCGAAGTGATTCCATGGCAAAAACACCACGAAAATCGCGAATTTAGGTTTTCTACAGTAACCCCCGTGGAGCGCGTTTTAGCATGCCATTGCAAAATTCCATAAATTGACGATTTTTCAATTCGAGGACCTTCTAGAGGTGATTGTAAGATAGCCTGTAAAAAATGACTGATTTTGGGTGGTAAATAACAAAGTTACGGGGCCAAGTGCAAAACAAGGCCAGTGAGCCGATTTTTGGTCCGAGGAGCCGGGTCAATTTTCGACTTTTTAAAAATAAAAAAACCACCTAGGTCTTCTGGATACGATTATAGCTTTGATGTTATTATTTACGCCTGTCAAATTCCGGAGCAATCTGATTCAAAATTATGGATACTTTCAGCTCTCAATCGAAAATCACCCTGTTCCAAAATCGAAGTTTAAAATTCGTCTTAAAAATTTTTCGGCGCGAAATTGTTTTAATCTTTGCATAGTTTTATTTAACTGATAGCACAAAATTAATGCTGAAAATATGCTGGCGACTCCCCCTTCCAAAAATTTTTTACGCCCCCTCGAATTCGGTTTATTTCGGGTCTTGAGGAATTTTCTTGGCGCCAACGGCTGGTCAAAAAAATTCAAGAACATGGCTTTAAGATGCGCTACTCAAATGGTATCAGATAAAATTCAAATAACAATTTTCACAGCGCTGTTAAAATTTATAAATTGTTAGCGAGTTTGAAAAAAAGCACGAACCAACCGTTTTGGAGGCCCTAAAAGACGCCCTTCCAAAGGGGTACGGTAGCTCGGAATGTTGCAGATGATTGATAAACCACAGTCCTACATAGCTAAGCAAAAAAATAGCTGAGTCCCATTTGGCAATTTAGAAATATTTTTCCAAAGTCCCGTTTCGAGACCTCGGAAAATTGATGACTCGGAAAGTTGAAAAACTCGAAAATTCATCGATCTCGAAAATTTTTTAAGTGTGTTTATGCGGTTGTATAGGGTCCGTAGTTATGCTACAACAACTTATTCTGATGTTTTGGCCATAGGTTTTTGTAATTTTCGAAATTTACGAAATTTCCCCATACAAAATTTCATTCCTCTATAACTTGTCAACTAAACCCTCAAAAATTCTTAAATTTTGTAGGTGCATATCTACTACCTCCATTAACTTAAATAGAAAAAATTAGAACCCAGCCACCACAGGAAACTGAGAAAAATGCAAACGAAGTTTCCCCGAACGCACATTTTCCGGGTGTCATTTGTATTGATACGTCGCCAAAAATCGAAAAAATCAAGTTGTGTTAAATCTTCATACCCAGCATATTTAAGCATTCTGGCATGGTAACGCACCTTCGATTCTCTACCGTTCGCGAGTTATTTCGACCCAAACTCGGATCTTTTTTTTGTCCACCCTGTAGGGGCCTGATACATAAGTCAAATTTTGGGACCGATCGTATGTAAAACCGCGAAATTCCAGAGGGTCGTTTTATGAACGCTGTACGTATGCATGTTTTTCTCAGCCAATCAGCACTAAGTACAATTTATACAAATGGATGCAGAGGTCGTACGGGACATGTGTTGAGATTCGTTTCAAGTGGATCGGCAATAATGGGTTTAAGCTTCATATGCCAAGATGGTCCTGGAAGATGAGCCGCGCGTATGGCTTTTTGTAGGCCAATATTGTACTGCAGAACGGGCACACCGGGTAGAAAGAGTTGGTCCCGTGCGGAAGCGGGATTCGTGACCAGTATCTAAAAATTACGCGTGATATTTTGTAGCCGAACGCCCCAGATGGCCCCTGTAGCTGTTTATGACCTACTTTACTGTTCGCTGTGAAGCAACATGTCCACAAGGGTTAAAGGCGTAGTCCAGGCTCCCAGAATCGATGTGAAACGCAGATTCCATGCCCATCGTCAACGGCAATACCCGTTCACTTTCAATCAGACATACAGGACCTGCAAAGCAAAGCTCAAACTGGGTGCATTGCGGCCATTTCCTAGATGCCGGAAAACATTCGCTTACATTTATGCGTAGTTTTAGTGCCCCCGGCGCTGATCTGTAGACCCCAATCGTGCTTTCCCTGCACGTGACCACATCGCAGATAGACCTGTAATCAAGTGAGCAAGAGCCCTTGAGAGCGACTTTTTAGAGGCAACCCTTTTCAAACTGTGGGTGCAACGTACGTACGTAAACGTAAACGCAAAAACTGGCAAATGTTGAGTATAAATACAAAAAAAATACATTAGGGCAAAAAAATGTTTGGACGGATCGACTCCTACCTCCCCCCCCGCTAATGCGAAAGTACCTGCTTTCGTTTTATTTTTCGTATTTAATTTTTCTTCCAATACCCACGTATGGTTGGCGGCTATCCTCTCGGATCTTTTTATCCTTCTTCTTCGGGATCACCAATGTATTCAAATTCACCGGGCACTGGGGCTTGCCTGAAATTGTCGGATCATGTTGTTAAGCGGCTTCCCGAGACCGTTTTTGGAATCAGAAACCCACCAGCATTCAAGCGGTTCAGAGACATCTCCAGCTCGCGCTCGTTTGGGCTTCGGGCGAGGCCGTCAGCGGTCCGGTAAAGCAGCGTCGCGCCACATAGATCGATTAAAGTGCCGTCCTAATAAAATTTTCGACATAAACTCGCTAAAGAAACCTGTAGCATATTTGTTTCTTCGGGAATCATGTCGCCGCGTGAATTGCTGCTCCTTGTTTCGCGCAACGAATAGACTTCACCATCCACAGATACCTAGAAACTAGTGATGGAGTTATTCAAATCAAATTTTGAGTCAAATCCGAGCGCTCAAATCTGAATATTTGAAGGCAAAATTTTCACTTTCAAATCGGCGGATTTGATTTGAAACCCAGTGGACGAGTTCAAATCAAATCCTGAGGATTTGATTAAGCTTCCGGTCCTTAATCAAATCCTATGGAGATGCAGGCATGCAAAACATAAAAAAAAATCGCTGTGGCCGAGCTGCCGCGCACCGGAAATGACCATGATTATCCATGCCATCATAAAATTAGCATCCACGTAATGAGCTATTGATTTTTTCGACTCCTTTCAAATCCTTGTTCAAATCTTCAGATTTGAACTCAAACCTCCAAGTTCAAATCAAATCGATTTGATTTGAAGTGCTGAAACCTTATTCAAACCAAACCGGCAGATTTGATTAGGCGGATGCAAATTAGATTTGAGATTTGAATAATACCATCACTACTAGAAACATTATCTATCAGATGTATCTCGATATATATTCCTACTATATATAAAAAATGAGAGAACGATGCAAATTGAGAACTTAGCTGGGATCAGACGAAGCCAGTGTTGGAAAATCCTAATTTCCAGCTTTTCGCCAGTTTCCGCAACAACCCAGTGCTTATTAGCCGTTTACCTACCTCTCGCCAAACGTATGGTTTATCCTCGTCGTCCTCCAAGCTGTGGCTCGGGTGGAGGATGAGCACGCCGTTCGTTGTTAGCCCGTCAACCTCGGCGCCTTTGCTCTTGCTCCATTTCGTCGCCTTTTCCTGCATAATTTAGATGTGTAGACGTACCATGATGCTTGGAAAATTTTGTGCGGCACGCAAAGTACAGCACCCCCCTACTTGACTCGTCGTTTGACTTCATTTTATTTAAATAGCTATTAACTCACTCCCAGGAAGATGTTCCGCTTCGAGTCGAAACCAGCTGCATAAAGGTATGCCTTGTTGGAATTCTCTCGGTCAACAAGAATTCTGCATGCATACCTGAAAGTCGGTAATAAACCTGGAGAATTTATGTCTTTTCTCTTACTCGCAAACATTTCGAATTCAAAGAAATATCTATTCATAGTATTTAGCCTACATACGGGCTGAACGTTTTCGAACAAGGTCGCCCACCGGGTTCGAATAAGTCTTACCTCGATATTGTTGATGATATCTGACGAGGCTCCTTATCTCCTTTCGATGTTTTTACTATAAAATGTAGTTTTCAATTTCTTGAAATTTACCTTGATGCATATGGTGGCCAGCCCCTAACCAGGTATCAACGATCGTGAAGTCGATCTGCTCCTCTGATGAGCGCCCAATCTATAAAATATCGATGCATTTAACTTGATCATTGGCGGCTAGCTATTCGTGCTCACCGACCTGAAACATATCCTTTGCAGCATCAAGCGCGTATTCGACGAGGACGGTGTGTGATTTGTACGCATACGAAACGACATGTCTATCCTTGTCCAGCACCGCCTGAAAAATGCCTCGGCATAAATTTACGCAAAAATTTTGATGCGCACGACGATGCAGTGCCGCTGCAAAAACCAACCGGTGCGTCTTTTGGCGCCATAGATACGGCAATCGTCCCAATCTTCTTGATGCCATTCCCTAGCTGGAATGACTGGTCAGTGACTAAAGAGAAAGAACTCACCCCCTTCCTCATTAGAACAAATTTGGAACGTTGCCGCTTCGCACCATGGCCGGGCGGGTATTCAGTGAGTCCATTATACCTAATTATAGCGCCGATTAATAAAAAGTTGAAAGACGCTACCCTAATAAAATCAGCTCGCCATATTTCCCGTCATCCTCGATCTCTCGCGGCGGCAACGGCTGCTCCTGTGCGGCATACAAGTTGTCAACGCTCTAAACGGGATTTTCCCCAAAAATTCGCAGTTTACCTGATCTTCCAGTGAAAGATCATCCATCACCGCATCTGCTAGGTGTTTTTGTGATGCTGATGCTGTTGTGGCTTAGCCCGTCGTGTGCCGGTGCCCCGCAAGGAATTTTAATTACGGCTCGGTCTGAAAGGAATAGGCCATGGAAGGACGTTGTCAGTAGCAACGAGCGGTAGAAGAAGACACCGCCAAAGCCCTAGTCCAGCTGGGCGGGGTGCATCAGCACAGTGTGTATGACATATTTTGGGGGGTAAGCTAGCGAACCATTGTATGATCGCATGGCCATAGTTAACGCTAAGGTGGAGGCGCGAATTGTGAGAAATCTAATAGTTGATTATTCAAGCTCCACTGTATGGCGCAAGCAGAGGCAGGCACCGCAAAATGACTCTAGAATGTCAGACATCGAATCATGCTTCTAAAGGTTTTTCCAAAAAAATCGCTGCCATATTTGCCAAGGTGGCGCGACCTAAAAATGGCAGGACAAACCGCCGGTGATATAAAGGAATCGTTGTTGGGGTTGAAAGCGGACGAAACGTGCGTGGAAAGGCAGAGAATGGTACAAAGCCCGATGGGTGGTGAAAAGAGGCCGTATCGGGACGGGCCGCGAATGGTGGTGGCGTGGGGGATGGTGAATGAGGGCGAGGGCCGGTCCGTATTCAGCCTGGGCTGTTGGTTTTCGCCGAGGCACCGGGGCGGGGGTGGAGGGGGCCAGCGTCGAGCCAGTCCCCCCCCCGTCCATCCGCACACAGGCGCTACGGGGAATCCCCTCATCGGCACTCCGCCCCGAATAAATATTTTTTTGCGTTCGCCTATCATTTTGGCTTCGAGGCCAACAACAAAAACGCCCAGCTAGACTTGTCGGCGTGCCCGAAAATTGACCGAAAACTTGCGGAATTTAGTTTGACTATATATTAAACCGAACCAAGTGGCCTCATAGAAGTGACAAACCACTTAACATAGAAGCAACCGGAAGTGGATGATGTTTTAAGGGACTTACACAGGAGTATACAATTACGCGGGTGGACCGATATCCACAGTTCTTCAAGAATTCTCAGTCGCACAAAAAAAAACAGTTTCTAGTTCTGATCTTAGTTTCAGAAACTCGGCGCCAATCATTATGAAGTGTTGAAAGAGGCTGAAAACTTGTAATATGTAAATGGAAACATGACAGCAGATGCGAGAAGAAGCCAATTTTGCTTCTTATATTTGGAGATTCCGACCTTGAGTCCTGTTCCAACAGGCTACAATTGACGGAAAGACAATGCGGACCCGTGGGATCGCAACACTACGATTTTAATTTCCAGCCCGCGTTTTTTTATTTTATAAACAAAATCAGCGATTTTCGTGTTCTTTCTGAAAATAATTGCCTTATTTATTGTATGAACATGCCTAGCCAAGGTTTCAGAAAATGGCAGCAGCCGGGGACTGGGTGATGACGCCGCTATGTGGCCTAAACATCACTCGCATTTGTTTCTCGAAAAATAATAGGTAAATTTTCCCTTTCGCTCATCTACGTTCAGATGGGTGGCGGGCCTTTCTTCGGACGGCGTACTGGTCTGGGACACTTCGCAAGGGAATCGGGTCTCGGTCATCAATCCGGAAGAGGCTCCGATAGCCGTGCTCTTTCGCGATTCGGAGACCGTATGTTTTGTGGACTTTCATCTCCATTGCTAATACGTGTATCAAAATAAATTTCCTATTTCCAGCTTATCACCGTTTCTGCAACTGGAAATGTGATCGACTGGCCATGGAAGGGGAAAGATATCGGCTTTGTCAGGGGGGCCAGCCAGCGCGTCACTGCCAATATTATTCAGTGAGTTTATTGCTATCGATAGTTAAGTGTTTAGGTATGCACTGCATAATTCCTCCAGCAACCGTTGCTGTGTGGTGATGAATGGCTGCGACGGGAAGAAGGGTGCACATTGTATTTTTGGCGAGGTTCTATTAACGTCGGAAGCAAAGTTATCTTTAGATATCTTTCAACAATGATGCTAGCGAATTGAAGGAAATTGGACAAGTACCTGCTGATCTTACTGCGCAGCAATCGGCTGTTGGTGTGAGTTATTGCCTTTTTAAATTACGTTATCTAAGTTTAGGATGGTTTCTTCGCCTACATCAAAGATAGGACACTTTATGGTCTTACCTTCGACAATTCAAAGATGCCTCGGCAATCGTCATATACGAACAAGGTTTGCCCTGGCGCACGTTTGATATGAGATCCTTTCCAGGCTCGCTTCGCAGGGCGCACGACCGAAGAACACCATTTCTTCGACATCAGCTCTTGCGGGAACAGCATTGCTGTCTCGACCGGTTATGGACGCGTGTTTATTTGGTATGGACATACACTTTGTTCTACTTCTCTTTTAGGCAGAACGTTATGCCGAAGTTCGAGCTGGGAGCTCCAACCGAATCTGTCCATTGGCACTCGACTTCGCCGATGGTGGCACTCGGCTTATCAGGAGTGCTTTACTCGCTAGGTACTTCTACATAAGGAAAACCTTTCGTGCTCTAATTTTTCAAGGGTATTCAAACCATCCGCAGCGCTTCTTAATCCTGAACTAGTTCGTAAATCACCAAATACTTAGGCAAAGAAGGAACACTTCTCAAATATTCTTCGGCTCGTAACAAGCCCTCGTTCCACCGTACAGACGGCCTTCCGCAGCATTTGCACATATCGCCGGATGGCGCACTTCTGGCCTTGTTGAAAGGTTTGCGAGGTCTTTGCTCAACACCTGATTTGCAGAAGACAATTCGGTTTCTTTAATCAACACGGCGGCCTTTGCCCAACAGGCGGTTTGCGAGGGATTCTATCATCAGAAAAATATGGCTGCTGGTCTGAAATGGTAAGTTTCCATTTGAAATAGAGCGTATCGTTGAACTAATGCGTCTAATATCAACATACACTCTTTTTTTTCTAGGTTCGCTGATTTTTCTTATTCATCGACAATTGCTTCTTCATATGCGCCAGGCATGCTACAATGGGTGAATGCTTTTACGGGAATCACAGAACAAACGGTAATTGCGAGCTATTGGCTGAAATTCTTTTAGTGCGACGCAACCCTGGAAAACCTCGAAATTCGCAGTCAGGATTCCTGCGCAACTTATTGCTCGATAAATGACGTTTTTCTGGCCGGCTATGCGGCAGCTACTCTTGAGTCTCGAGTGAACTGGACATCTCCTTTGGTGGGTTTCCTTAAAAAATGTAGGCCTTTGTAATAGGTGTATCGAGCTCGCAAATTAAATTTGTTTTCAGAAACGCATTCGTATTTGGGAGCGACGGTCGAATCTGCATCTCATCGAGACGTTCAGCGTCGATGAGGCTACTATCGCAATAGCCGGGTGTTCGAAACCTCTGACACAAGAAGATCAGGTTTAACTTGTTATGTTTTCTTAATGTTTTTCATTATAGATCTTCGTCGCCGCCACCGCTGACAGCAAAATAACCGTCTACCACTCTTCACGAGATGGAAGTGGCAAGACGGTTTGGGTAGAAGACCTTGCAAGACGCGCTTCGTGGCAGGTTTGTATATAGCTAATTTAACAACCGTTCTGATTTTATTTTAAGTGAGCAACTGTTCTGGGGGATTTGACAAGGGATGGGAAGGTACATCGCGCCCATTTGCTATATTTTTTCTCAATTCTTTTGCGCTATGCTATAGTGGATGAAAAATCTACTAAGAGTTTTATTTCAGCGCAACGTAACTGCTTACAAGTTGTTATGCAAACGGCATATTAGGAAAAATTTTATCCTCAGCATAGAGCTCCCCCTCCCGGCGAAATAGAACAGTATGCTAATTTACTTTTGAAAGCCGTCAACCAAGAGCGTGATTCGTACTTACTCATTTCGCTAACATTGTATTTAGCAAACGCAATTCCTGGGATGCTCGTCGATCCTACCCGGCGGATACTGGGTGTCGCTGCATAGTACCTCGCCTACCAGCAACATCGGTTGTGCGGTTATATGGGACCTTAGCGAGGTTGAAAAGTTTAACACTTACGAATTTGCACGTTTCAGATGCGGCCAATAGAAGCGATCCCTTTACATTCATCGCCACAGTATGTTGAATGGGCAACCGAGTCGATCTTCATTGTCGGACTAAAGGAAAAAGTGCGTGAAAAAAAATTACAATATTTTTTCCGTTAGGTATTTGCTTTCGATCGTAATACACTGAAAGTTGTATGGCTAGTGGAGGAATCGCTGCCGATGTGTGCATCTTTGGATGCTTGTTTCGTTATGGACGGACGCAATGGTTGGATCTATTTCTTAGCTTAAGCGTTTTTCTATTAGTGCTGCGAATCGAGCCATCGACATGTCGCATTTTGGAATCATTGGTTTTCCCCAAGGAGGTTTGCTTTTGAAGAAAAGAACCCTTATCCCCTTTTTATAATTTTATAATTTGTGTTGGTATAGATTGAATCGGTGGTCCTTCGTCAAAAACCCGACACTGTCTCACCGGCTACGTGCTTGATAGCCAAAGCGCGCGATGTAAGTACCACGTGTTTTTCTTTCTTAGATTGCTTATAGGGTTCTCTGTTCCGCTCTATGCAACGCAAAAGTTTCGTTCGAGCCGAGGGAGAGCCGAAAAAGCAGGTGCGTTATTTTCGTTCTAACGAGCACTGGTTAATTAGGCGAAAACCCCCTTTGCTGCCCTGTCCGCAACTGGTGATGATGGCGAAGACCTGGGCCTTGGATACCGCCCGGCTAGCGAAGCGAAATTGGTGAAGCCGCTAAAGGTGAGCGTTCCAGGATATTTTCGATCTGGATTGTTAGCGGGGGACCAGTTCGCATTTTTGACCAACGAGTCAGAAATTTACGAAAATTTGTATTTTTATATTGCTTTTGTATCTAAAAACATATAAAATTCTATAAAAATTTTTATATTTTGTTATAGGGCCCTAAAGAATCACTGGGAAAGTTTGGTCCCCCCCCCCCGCCGGCTAAAAATCTCCCCCGCTAACAGTCCATAACCGATATTATTTGCATTGCTTTAGCTTTTTGATGCGCCGGCTCATCTCTTGCCACCGGTGTGGCAGATGGCCCCCCACGTTCATCACTAGTTGTCTACAATCGCGGATTGGGGCCGAAGGAACCGGAATGGAGACTTGAACTCGGTATCCGCCTGATTAGCCCATTAAATTGTTGTTCGTTTCACGTTGCGCTTGTTGTTGTTGTTGTTGTTATTATTTTCGTTCATATGTTTAGTTGTCAACTCCGCAGATAAATTTTCATAAAACATTGTTGTGGATTTGTTAAGGTTGCTTTTCTCAGCTACTCCACATGATGACGAAGGCGGGTAGCGTACGTGCGGTGTCGCGTACGATGTATTCGCTCCATTCTGCTCCCCAGTGCGACTCTGATTTTTGTGCGACATGAGCGCCGCACGGTAGGACAACGCCTGAAAGTGTTGAAATAAAAAAGTTAAGCGCCAATTGCGGCAATTAACGCGTGCAGTAGAAACAGATCTGAATTTGTACCGTCAAAGTTGATGCTTTGCGAGGGATCAGGTCCTTTGGTCCCGGCCACAAATCGTGTGTCGAAGTCAAACTGCCGGGGGTGATCAAACAAAAAGTCCGTTCCTTTCTGGATCTTCCCTGGGGCAACCTAAATCAGTAGTGTGTTAGTATAATTACGGGGCTTTCCTGCCGCCTACCTTGCACAACAGCGTATACTGGACTCCAGTCGACGAAGCGTGCGTGTAGCTGGCGCTTTTTGCAAAAGAGTCGGCGAAGTAGACTCCCTAGATAATATACAATTTATACATTGTTTGGAGCTTTTCAGGCGTATGCAGATCTAACCAAAGCTGACGCGGTTGCATACCTTTCCATAAGCCTGGCCGCAGCGCAGGGCATTACTAGGCTCAGAATGGAAGCCGTTTTTTAGGATACTGACCAAGTTCACAGCTTTTGTGCCATGCCACAAATAACTAAAAAAATAATACATGAATGAATCAATAAGTTGAGCTAAAGATAGTGGGGACAAAAGTATAGGACACGTGCTAAAGGCGGCATTATGAAGGAACTGTTGTGAAGTGAAGACTTTTAAACTCACATCTGTCCTTCCTCATCTGAATGCTTTGCATATAGTTGGCCGGGTTGACGGCTTTCTATGATCAGGATACCCCTAACCTTTGCCTATAAAAGAAAAGAAGCTAGATTGGATTTGTAACTCTTGAACACCTTCATCGACTGCCGAATATACTGCAGAATCCGCTGGGCAATGTGGTCTTGGGGGGTCAGCGGTGTCAGTCGACATTCCATGGCGTTTTCGACATATCTAAAGGCCTTAGGATGAGGCGTATCCAGTCCGTCTTCAACCTCAACGAGTCCCATTCGAGATGGCGCAACGAGGCGGCACACAGCAGACGTGTCGCGATTTCTACCTAAAATAATTTTTCTCTTAATCCTGACATAGAGGTGTTTCGATCATTGCTCGAGGCTCTGACCTCATCAAGGCGGACCAGTGCTTGTTCGCACCGCTTTACAGTCTCATCATCGCATATAATCGGAACGGCCGTCTGCTCGAAGCCGCCGAGCGGGATGTGCGTGAAAAATTGCGAAGAGAGTACACGCTGAAAGGTGATCGCATTGCATTTTCAACATTTTGGAAAAAAACCTGTTGCGTGAGGGATGTCAGCAACTTGTCATGGTCGGGATTTGGGTCTTCGCGAAGCTTGTTGATGTGTTCGTTCAGGCTGACAATTTCCTTCAGCACCTCGCGCGCCTTTTCGACCTTTTCGCTGCTAAGCCCACCAAGTGGACTCTGCGAGCCCACGTTCCCGACGCATACCTAGAGTGTTCAATTTATTAACGTTATGCCGAAAAAATAGAAGCCTATTTAACCTAACCCCCCAAAGAAACCTTTTACAAATGATTGCATCCGTACCTGTTTCATGTAGTTGGCTAGGCTTTTCACTTGCGTGATATCACGCAAAAATTCGTACACTTGATCGCCGCTCGTTTGCGTATTGAGGGTTATTGGGAGCTTGTGGAGGCGGACGACAGCCTTCGGTGATGCCTACGCAATATTATTAAGTCGTTCCTTGAATCATGGCTCACCTCAACCAGCCGGTATTTCTTGTCGAGGTCCTGGAATTGTGCGAGCGGACCCCAGTCTTGACCGCATTTTTGCCGGAAGACTGACTTGAATTCTTTTGCGGCCTGAAACATCAGCTAGTTAGAGCTCAAAAGATATCCTAGGATTTTTAATTTTAGATAAAAACACCAAAATGTAAGAAAGTTATAACGCAAGGGAAAATAACCCTGAAAATGGGGTTGGTAAGCTGCTTTTCCGGGTTTCCGATCTTTTCCGATATCCGGTTAACGCTATTCATAGAGCATCAAAAAATTAACGAATAGTTTTATATACAGCTCAAAATAATGTAATTTAAGATAGGTGAAGCTACTGACAAAAAATGCCCCTCCCGATAAACTCCCCTCCCCCGCTAAAGAACTAGAACCCTCAGGGTTGATCGTTTTTCGGGGTTTTTGGACATACCTTTGGCAGATCGCTGAATGGAGTGCACTGGAATTCTCCCGTCGGATCACCAATACGGCCCCAGTGGGTGAAGAGCACGTAGAGATCGGTATCCTTCCGCTTCAGCAGCTCCATCCGGTAATAGTTATGGAAACCGAAGGTGCCGTATTGCAGATCGGTCTTGTTCAGCAGGACCTGCATAGCACGCTATGTTACGAAAGCCCTGATCTTTTTTCACCTTATAGAGCTGTCCGGCTTCATCATCATAGACGATTTCTCCGGTTTTCTCGTAGCCGGACTTCGGATGTGGACGCTCCCGCTCAGCTTTTGTCTTATTCTAAAAGCGATTTTCCATGGCTATTTCGAAATGTCATAGAATCAAAGTGATTCGGCAATGTCGAAGATTACGCTGTGAAAAGTCTTGCGGAAATCGCCTCCAAACTATGAAAAAATTTTTCGTTCTGCTAGATGGCGTTCTGATATTTCGACATTATGTGATTTCCACATTTTTCAAAATAAGCCGAACACAGATCAGACCTCTTCCTCTTGTGCCCAATGCTTTGCCAAGAAGTCCGTGGCGTCCTGGTCGTAGTTGAGGCTCGATTTCAGAGCTTCAAACTTGTTGGAGCTGGGCTGCAAGAACGGTTTGTGCTTATCGACCCTCTCGCATTACCGTTGTATTCGACAGATTTTTTGTGGTGCCAGCCAGCTTCGCCATGGCTCGATACATTTTTCGCTGTTTTCCCACGGCCGCCAAGTCCAGGGGTGTGTTTCCGTCAATGTCTTTTTGCTTCAAGAGCCCCAAGCTTTTGCTCTTGTCAGTGTTGTAGAGCGCCTAAACGGTTATCGTCACCACTTGAGAGCAACACAGCGTCTCGAAGATTTTTGGGTTCTTCGCATTATCGGGGGTGAGGAGACCGAACTTTTTTGTACGAATCTGTTTTTTGTACGAAGTATGCCTAGTAGCTTCATAAAAAATGTTTTAATAGTGTTTTTAGTAATATGCAACTATATTTCAACTAGAAAACTAAAAAAAACTTTAAAACGGCTAAATTTTGGTAAAAATGGGCCATTTTTGCTCGAAAAATCGATAATTTTGATTCTTTTACTAAAAGGTACTACCTGCAATAATTCCTCGTTTTCCCAGCCGATCGGATAGACCATGTAGTGGAAGATATTGCGGTGCTTCGCGTCAATGTAATCCAGTTTCACCTAATATCTTTTTTGACGCGTTATTCCGCCGACGGTACCTTGTTCTTCATCTTTAAGGCTAACTTCGCCAATTTCTTAGCTGTCTGCGGCTCCTGAAAAAATGGAATAAACTCTTTGGTCGTCATTTTTAGTAGAGGAGCCTCAGCTGGGTCTCAGTCTAAGCCGAGCCCAAGCCGAAACTAATCCTAAGCCCAAGCTAAGCCAAGCCTAAAGACAATTAAGCCGAAGCGCTTGTCCGACTTGCCTGCTCGGGTTCATCTTCGCTGGCAGATTCATCGCTGTTGCTCTCGTCGTCCATTTCCTCGTCAGACGCATCAGCTGAATTCGTTTGATTTGGCTGGTTTTGGGCCAAACGCATACCCTTTTGTCGTTTGGAAAAGCCGAATAAAGGAATCGTAGCCGGGGCTCGCTTCCGGTTATGTGTAATTGCTGGGAGGAACCTTGATGCATCGAATACGGACGGCATTGGTGTGTCTTCCTGAAATGCATCGTTTCCGATTATCTACCATGGTGCTTTCGCATTATCGGGGGATACGCATTATTTTTCTTAGGATCTAATCTTTCAAATCAAAATATTGGAAGTGTTTCTAAATGTTTTTTACTTTCTTAAACCGTGAAAACTTGACAAACAGCATTGAAAACTTCAAAAATATAGATTTTCGACCGAAGATGGCCGTTTTTGACCAAAATCTCAATTTTTTTAGAGAGTTTTAGATAGTTTTTCTAGTTGAAATAATTGTTATATATTACTAAAAACACAATTAAAATACTTTCAATTATACTAGGCATTTCTACTCTTATACAGTCTTCCTCGATCGGACTTTTTGAACTACCCAATCGTTTTTCTATGGAACTTGGATACAACACCTTCTCCACCACCGACCTGTTGTTGAGCTTTTTTCTCGACAACCCCATCGCAGACGGCCTTCACCACTTGACGCTGGTTGGTGCGCACGGCTAGCAGAAGCGCTTCTGGCGGTAGGGGGCAACCAGCTTCTTGCGTTAGGAATACGATCAAATCAGCTTTCTGCGCCTAAAGCCAAACCGAACGTCATCAAATATTCCGGATGACTGACCTCAATGGCACGAACCATAGGAGTACATATCTCGAGCTCAGGTGGGTCGCGGGTAAGGGGGAGACCTTGTAGAGCCACTTTTGGATATTCAGTCGGATGTTGGAAGGTTCTCTCAGTTCCAAGGGTTCCTGTAAATACGGTCTTTTGCATTGTAGATGAGCACTCACTTATTCCGGCTTTGATTTCCGGTGTGGGGCATTGCTTGATCCAGTATTCTATCAGGCCGGCGAGAGCCTTCGCACGCGTCGTCTCCGAGAGTCGCGTCCATTGTTGAGGACCATTGTGACTTCGCTGAAAGAGGAGTTACTTAGTTCTGTTGCGCTTCTTAAATTAGTTATTTTCTTGCACCATTTTTTCAGTAGACAAAATTCATAAAAATTAATAAAATTCCCGGAAAAATTTTGCTTGCTTAAAAATGTCCAGAAATTATCAAAATTTAAAATGTGATTTTTTTAAATAGTTATAGGGCTTTTTAGTACACGAAAGCTACTAAGCGGCTTATGAAAATCTACCATAAACCACAACATTCTTGCGATTGAGGTTTCGGCCCTAGTTACGCCCTCTCCGTAAACAGTCCAGAACCGTATATTCCGATAAAGACTAATGAATCCCATACCTTCAGAAATTCCACGACATTCCACATGCCACGCTTGCACAAAATCTCGACGACTTCGCTGTCTCCGTCGGTGGTCACCCACGGGATCCCAAAGTCGAGCAGGATGTTCAACACTCGCTCCGGGTGTTGACCGAATGCTATAATCGGCTGATCAACCTCGAAGTGTTTGACGAACCTCCTAATCCATCAACATACGCCCGCAGCAGCTGCGTCAGCGGAAAGTCCGGTCCATTTTGCTTATCTAAATCAAAATTTTCTCAAAATACGGAAATTGATATGCCGAAATTTCATCGGATCGAAAATTTAGGATTTTTATTGACCTACTCTGGTATTCATGGATGGCCGATTCTAGCAGCTTCAGCAGGTATTGAGCAAAATTGTGTTGCCCGTTCCGGAGCGCTGCCGTGGCCAGTTCGCCAACCGTGGTAGGGCTCTAAACGCGTTGAATTCGTTACGTTAGAAGAAGGGTTAGACGCGCTTGACACTGGTGTCAAGGTCGAGGCTCATACCTTTTCCAGCAAGTCAAGGATCACATAAACCATGGAGTGCCACTCGTTTCGCACGACCATGCCCGGCACGTTGATGACGAGTTGCACACCGGGTCTTTTGTTTTCCGTGATCCACGCCCAGACATCCGTCGTTGGTTTTTCAGGCACCGGGCCGTACACCTGCATATGAGGTCTTTAAAAAGACAGCGAAAGAGAGCGAGAGAGGGAGAGAGCGAAAAAAAGCGAGAGAGCGAGAGAGGTAGAGAGAGCGTGAGATAAAGAGAGAGAGAGAGAGAGAGAGAGAGAGAGAGGAGAGATGAAGATTTAGGTCCATGATTGGAAAACAACAACGTTCAGCATAAAACTTACATCCTTATGGATATCGGCCTTCGACTGAATAAGCGTGAGCGCAGTTTGGGACCATTTCCGCAGAAGAGCGATGCCAAGTGGCGTATTTCCTTCATTATTCATCCCGTCAACCTGGAAACTGGCTCCCGGATGACAGGGCAACTTACGGGTGAACCGTGGTGGATCAGGGTGACGGCACAGATGTTTGCATCGCGCAGCGCGGCCAGGTGAAGCGCTGTGTTCCCATCCCGGTCTGCGCAGCGAATCTGAACGACCATTAGCTGATATGGATAAGGAGACGGCCTCACAGCTTCAGGATTCATTTTTTGCAGTAACAACGACACCACAGCGATCGGGTCACACCTTTCCGGATTTTCACCGGCAAGCTTCATGAAAGCATAGTGAAGGGCCGTTCTGCCTGAAAACGCGCTTATTTCCGGTGTCATGCAGATAAAGTGCGCACCCCAATTATCCCGATGGTTGACATCAACATTTTTGGCGATATACTGTATGGGTTCTGTGAAGGCGTCGGCTGAATAGGTTCGCTCGGCATCCACAGCCACGTGCAAGGGAGAGCGACCTCCAAAACCAATCTAGAATCGAGAAGAGAAGTAGGGCCAACGGTAAAGTCATCTACCTGTTTTGGAAGTCGCAGCTTTTGAAGCAGCGTGATGGTCTTTCCATTCAACTTCCGGCACGCATAGTGGTAGCCGGAGTCGCCATTTTCTTGGTGGCTGGCGAGTACCATTGAGGTATCTTAAGGCTTACTTTAGGCGCTTATACTTGGGCAGTACCTCGATCCGTAGCCGTCCAACCAGCTTCATCCAAGTCGAGATGGTCAAAGGCTTCGATCATTTCGGCCTCGACTAGCAGGTGCAGAACGGTCTTGGCCAACGAGATCCCTAAGGTTACATGAAAGATGCATAAATTTGAAAGCTTACTCTGCCCATCAATCTCCACCCACGTTTGGAATATGGCGTTATGCACTGCCGCAGAGCATTTTTCCTTCTTCGTCACGTCGAGCAGACGGGTTACCTGGAAACGTCAAATTCGCCGAGGTACGGTATTAGGCTACGCATTTGGCGTCCTGTAGGTGAATCGCCTTTTGTAGGGGTGTGCGAAGTTCTGAATCACGAATGGAGAGTAGCTCTTCGAGGCGATTTTGGCCGATAGCGCTTGTCAGCAAGAGCTCAAGCAGTTCCTGAAGAATGTTTTCAGTCAGTAAGATGGCACATTTTGGTGTTTAAAAAAGCGGTTCTTTCGCATTGTAGGGGGTCGGCGGGAGGGGGGGTGCGGCGAAGTTCCTGTATAACTGTAGAAAGGCCTAGTACGTTAATAGAAAGTATTTTAATATGGTTTTTTGGTAATATTAACTGTATTTCAACTAGAAAACTATCTAAAAACTTTAAAAAAGCCGAAAGGTCCTAAAAGAGATTTTTTAATAAAAATTAATCACGTTCTCACGTTTAGGAATAGTAAAAAACCATTCAGCAACACTTCCACAATTTATATTTGAAAAATTCGATTCTAAGAAAAATTTTGTCTTCCCCACCCCCGATAATGCGAAAGAACCAAAAAAGCCACTTACCCCTTTCTCATGACAGGATACGGTCTGATGTATAAGGCTGGGAACGGGGCCCAGGTTCTCGGCGTCGGTCTATAATTAGATATCGGTTTGTATCAAAGTAAAAAATGTACGCAAATACCTTTAACTGAAAAAAATAAATTGGCAAAGTACCTGGATTAATGCGTCCGGCTTGAATGCAAGCAGCTGACGCAGAGCGTCGATGAGCACAGCACACATTTGCTTGGCGAGTGCGCCATTCTCCGGGCTAAACCGAGTTAAAAAAATTTAAATTCACATTGTGATACCTTTTTTCCTTGACGATGGTTTGCAAGTATTTTCTAAAATAGGTTGTGTTAGGTATCTCTATATGTCCTCTTACGTGGCCAGCCGATTTATCACCGTGCCTGTGTTGTCTTCGAATTTGTGGTGGATCCATTTCTGAAATCTCAACAATGATAGAACTCCTCAAATGACCTCTATCTCCGCCGGAACTTCTGAAATCAGCTGCTTCAATAGGGGCCCAATTTTATATTGGCCAGGTAGCGGGGATTTGTCATTTGGCCAGCAGCTAAAAGTGTGACTGATCTTGCTCCAAGGTTCGGTTCTTTCGCATTATCGGGGGGAGGGGATCCAACTTTGCCTTAGGATCTAGTTTTTAAGATATAAATATTGGAAGTGTTTCTAAATGGTTTTTACCATTCCTAAACGTGAAAACTTTTGTATTAAAAATTATCAAAAATCAAACCGAAAACCGATGATTTTTTACTAAAATTTCGACTTGCTAAATAGGTTTATATATAGGTTTTAGAAATACTAGATGGTTTTCCTACTTCAAATATAGTTATATGTTCCTAAAAACCCCTATGCAAACACTTTCTATTAAGTTCGGAGGCATTTCTAGATTTATACAGAAAGGTTCGGACCCCCCTCGATAATGCAAAAGAACCCAAGGTTTCAGCTACCTTTTGTCTCCAAAGATCTTCAGCGGGATATCGATCAATAATTCTAGCAAATTGACCTTGTCGTTTGCGAGCAGCGATTTCTAAACACCAAGTTGGGAAGGAAATACAGCACTACCAGATCAGCCGCCTTGGACAACAGATACTCGGCTAGAATCAAATTTCCACTGGCCAATGCAATGTTGAAAGGGGTGGCTCCCTGAAAAAATAGACACATTGAAGTGAAGCTGGGTAAGCTAAGGTTACTTCGTTATGTTGCGCTGTAACGGCGCCGCCCGCGGCCAACAGTCGGTCAATGCAGGCACGGTACTGGTCGATGCTGATGCTGCAAAAGCAGTGAGGTTCTTTTTTCAATCGTGGACTTATAAGAGCTTCAAAGTTCTACACTCACCGTGTCACCTCTTTCTTCGTCACCTTCTCGCATAGTGGGATCTTGAGCGTGGCAAAAATGTGCATCGGCGTGGTTCCCGAACCGTCCGGTATCGAACAATCGGCTCCTCTGAAAATTAGAGTTTTGGAATGTTTCTGGAACCTGCTTCCTAAGCCTAAGCCTAAGCCTAAGCCTAAGCCTAAGCCTAAGCCTAAGCCTAAGCCTAAGCCTAAGCCTAAGCCTAAGCCTAAGCCTAAGCCTAAGCCTAAGCCTAAGCCTAAACCGAAGCCTAACCTATGCCAAAGCCTAAGTCTAAGCCTAAACCTAAGTATTTAAATAGCCATCACACATACTTTTCAGTCAGGAACTGGATCTGCTCCGGCAGGCGTTGGGCAAAGTGTTCATCATAATATGAGAGCAATGAAGCAATCAGCGTCACACCTTCGTTATCCTGAAAAAAGGATCATCGGTTGGCAAAGACGCATGCTTGCCTTGCAGTTAATGTCGACATTCGCCGAATACGGCCCATTCAGGAGCCACGTCACAATGCCGTAGTGCCCTAAGCTGAACTGTTTAGAGGTGGAGAGAGAGAGCGACAACCTTTCATATAAGCCACGCTGAGCGGGGTCAACTGCCAGTCGTTCTTCGCGGACAAGCATGTCGCGTCCACCTGAAATTTATAGTATAGACCCGGCACCGGTGCCTAAGCTACCTCAGCCAACACTTGCAGCGTGGACAGGAAACCATAAGCGGCGGCATAATGCGCTGGAGAGTTACCAGATGAATCGGGCTGAAAAGACATTCATTTCGGAACAGAGCGACAGCCGACCTTATGCATATCGGCGCCCTTCTTTAACAGATAGCTCAAAATATGGTCCTGTCCGTTGAGTGCTGCGTGAAGTAGAGGCGAGCGACGCAACTGTTAAAATCCTGGATATCCCCATGTGACCAAAACAAACTTTGTCTTTGGATTCGATTAGGGCCTTTCCATCCTCAACCAATAGTTTTACCATATCCAGCTGACCGGTGCCGCAAGCAATCTAAACAAATATTGGGGTTCTTTCGCATTATCAGGGAGAACTTTTTGGTATAAAAGTGTTTGACAAGTATTTTGGTAATACATAACGATACTTCAACTAGAAAAACCATCTAAAAACTTTTAAAAAGCCGAAATTTTGGCCAGCGGTCGATTTAAAACAATTTTGTAAAGTTTTCGGGTGTAGGAATAGGAAAAAAACCATTTAGAAACACTTCCACTATCTATATTTGAAAAATCAGATCCTAAGAAGAAACGTTGGTTCCCCCATGATAATGCACAAGCACCGAAAACCCACAATTAGTGCGTTGAGCTTCTTGTCCCCGGCACTCGTCTGAGCCTCGATGTCAAGCTTCGGGTGTTGGAGGAGATGGCGAACAACGTCAACGTGACCCCATAGGACAGCCAGATGCAGGGCTGTATATCCTCGCCGGTCCTTGTAGTTGATCACCGACTTTGCCTGGGCGGTCTAAAACTCAGTTCTTCTTAGCGGTGATTCGGCACACCTTCAAAGCCTTTGCCTTTTTACTGGCTGTAGCCGTGGCATCGGTGTCGACTTCATCGGTTTGCCCGCTTGTTTTCGCGGATTGCTTCTCGTAGTTAGCATACCAGTTCAGCAGCGTCTCAATTTGAGGGCCTTTTTTAACGGTACGGCGCATACCTTGACAGTATTGAGACGCCCGGCTCGAGCGGCGCAATGCAGTGGCGTCTCCTCCTTCTTGTTCATCACCACCAGCGGGGTATTTAGGGTGATGAGGTAGTCGAGCGGCCCATTTCCCTCACACACCGCGGCATAATGCGCTACGGTCCTGAAAGCTTGCAGTTTAGAACGGATTGTGCATCGTATTTTCAAAAATCATAATTTTGCACTGTCTGGATTGGAAGTTTTGGCTATAACTTTTTTATTTTACATTATTGAAGGCTCACATTAAAACTCTTATTATATTTTTTGACGCTCTATCGAATGGCGTTGCAAAAATTCCGACAAAATAGGGAAAATACCGAAAACTTTGAGACCTATTGGCTCCGGGGGAGGGGGGGGGGGGTAAAGTAAAGTCTTACCTGACATCCCCTTTTGACCCCTTTAAAATTATGAGCTCATTCCAAACTCACCAGTTGTCAATATCGGTAATACTAATGTTGGGTTCGATAGCGTGCAGCTTCTTCAGATAATTAGCGTCCGGATTGATGGCCGCTGTATGGAGCGGGGTGATGGCCCGGTTGTCTTGAGCCTGGAAATCGGTTCGTTTGTCTCGTTGCTCTTCAGGCACCGACCTTCTTTTTAATCGAGATGTTCAAAATCCTGTCCGGTAGTTTCCCTCCCCTAAAAAGAAACGTTTTGGATACTACAGTATCCTTACTCTAATGTCATTTTGTGCAACTCGTTAACGTCCCAATTATGATTGAGCTTGATCAGCTGAAAAGGAAAAGATACGCGAAAAATAGGTGTCTCACATCACTGGCCGCTTGGCGTTTTCCGAACCGGACCATTTCTACCATCATCTCCGACGTGAGTTCAAATGCTATAATGTAAACTTGGAAAACTATTTTCTAGCGGTTTCTCTCTCTCTCTCACTCTCTCTCTCTCTCTTTCGCTCTAACTCGATGTCTTGTTTAGGGACAGACATTATCCATAAACCTTACTCGTCTTGCCGTTCTTCAGCTTATCCATTGTCGGGTAATCAAGCCCGGAGAGCAAAGCCCGAATTTCGATGTCAGAATAGGCTTGGTTGTGCTGAAAAATAACTTAGCGCCGGTAGCATTGCCCATACTCCCTCTTGAAGCACTAAACGTACCCTTTGATTGTCGGGGAATGTCTCATAATCGACCAAAGCGTTATTTCCCTCACGTCCGCCACGGCTCACTTGTACCTGGCGAGTGGCCCTACCCAACATATGGAAATTGCGGCTGCCCGTGGTGCGCTAAAATAAATTTTGCAAATCGACTATACAGGGTGTCCCAAAAAACCTCCCTAACCTGTCCAATCTTTACGATTTAGGTATCTATCGACAGCTCTCGAAAAGGCGAGAAAACAAGGAGGGTTCATTTGCTTTATTATGCATTTTTCTGCGCTAATTTTATGTCTAAAAACCATGAAAACTGCGGATGTATACAAGATCTGCATACTAATTGCGAAATTATTGTTGAAAAAAAATACAGGTTTATTTCGAAAAACCTCAAATATCGATGGTATGAGATCAAAGCGTAGAAAAAACCCCGCTTGTTTTTTCGCCTTTTCGAGAGCTTTCGACTGGTAGTTCAATCGTAAAAACCGGACTTGACTGCGGACCGCTAGGTAGGGGTTTTTCGGGGGACACCCTGTTGGCTTAGGTTCAGACGCTTAGGTTTTGTTGCTCAGCATAGACTGGGCCTCGTTACAAACCCTCTGAAGCAGGTTCGGCTCATGGAAAATCTCGCGCTCGATCTTTTCCAGCTTCGGCAGCTCCTTCAGATATTCATCGATCAGCTTTTTGTCACCGCTACAGTAGACGGCAGCCGCCGGACATTCCCAGAAAGCATACGAGAAAGGCTGCTGCAGCAGCGACATGTCGAAGCTAATAAGTTAAGCTCCTCATCACGTCGATGTTAAGAAAATTACTTTTTCTCCGAAGCCAGGCTACGGAACGTCTTCATGTCCTTGTTTTTCAGCGCTCGATAGGCGGCGCGGTAGAGGGTGGACTGGCTGACGAATTCCGGAGCGTCTTTCCCAAACACGTACGGATTCTCCTGAAAGACAGAAATTTTGAAAGAACCCGTTGGCACAGCGACAGTTGTCTTCTCACATACCTTGTATTCGCGGACGCCCGGTCGTTCCACGAGACGTTCATTGCCCACTTTCCTTACCTAGGCGCATTGGTTTGGCTTAAACGTCTTTCCCTACTTTTTCCGTCTTTGCCTTCTTCTCAACCTTTTTCGGTTGCTTAACCGGCTTTGCAACCTTGCCTTTCTTGACGCGGACGGGCGCTGGGGGTACGGTACGACGTCGATGCAAGTCCTGAAAGAAAATGGGTTCTGGAGTGGGAGGGGATGAGGACTAACCTTGGCATATTAGTCGTTTTCATGTATGTATAGAAATTTCAAGAAAATTATACACATTCTCGACAATTTTTGATTTTTTCAAGATGAAAAAGGAAAAATTGCAAATTCCGTACAGTATCTAAGAATGTTTAGCTCACCGCTTTCGTTGGCTCCGGCTTCCTTTTTCCCTTTTTCGCCGGGGTTTTCGTGTCGGTCGGATAGGCGAACGGTTTGTACTGACGACGTTCGCGCTTGATCCGGGCAGCAACTAAATTTTGTAATTTTATTACGGGCAGCGATTGAAAATGTAGGATTTTCCTTTCAACTTACTCGCCGGGTCACCCTTCGACCGCTTTGCCACTTTGGTCGCCATTCTGAAAAGTTTCAGGTTACTGTTTTTTTGTATGGTCGCGCACAGCTGCGTAAGGCAAGACTATCACAGATTTGGTTCTTTCGCATTATCGGGGGGGCAACTTTTTTTCTTGGGATCTTTCTTAGGTATTTCTTATTTCTTATATCTAACTTTTCAAATACAAAACAGTGGAAGTGTTTGTAAATGGTTTTTTTGCTATTACTAAACTTGAAAACTTTAAAAATTGTATTAAAAATAATGACAATATACAATATGGAGCTTTATACTAAAAATGATCGATTTTTTTACCAAAATTTGGATTTTTTCTTTTTTTTATAGGTGGTTTTTAAATAATAAAAAAATTTTATATAACAAATCGGTCCCCCCCCGATAATGACATCCTACGAAGTGCGTGACATCTTCCTCAACCGTCAAAGAAGAATCCCTAGCGAGCAACATAAAAAAGGAAATGCCGCTTAGTGCGGGCTAGGATGACGAATTCGGAAAGGTTTGAGTGCCACAAAGCTGCGGGCTTTCCGGCCCTGATAAGCAGCCGGGTGTGGAATCAACGTGAAGGCACGTAAAAAAACGAATGGCCTTTGAGTCAGCCACACGATTCTGGAGATGCAGAAGAGTATCAAAGGGAATCTCGGAGCTGTTTGGAGAAACGGAAATTTGAGACAATGCCAATCCTATCCAGTAAAAAATTATGCGCCGATTCCGGATAGACTTTCAAAAATTGTAGAAGAGCCCTATTTAAAACATTACGATGCGTTTAAAGGTGCTGATAGGTTTAAATTGCAACATTGGACCTTTGTAAAACGCGTCAAAAAGATCTGAGGATAGGTCAAAAGATATCGCACATCCGACTGGGAAGATGCGCTTTCCGACTGGGAAGATCTCATACATTTTTCTCTATGAAACTTCAGAACTTCAGCCTCAGACAAGCTTCAGTATCAGTGGAAAATAAGACAGGGAAAATGAGGAGACGAGCAGGAAGCCAAGACACAAATCATCCTCAAAGTATACAAATTTCCTCGAACATCCTTGGCCACAACATTCTTCTCGCTACACGGGCTTTAAAGGGTCGCCCGGCGCTCAGGTTCGGACCTGCCTTGTTGACGAGCGCATTTTAGAATTAGTCACCACACAAGGGGACGAGAGTGTGGGGTTGGTGGGGAGCGGGCAGACGAAAAGGGGGGACCTGCCTTGACACGTTCCCACTCCTCGCTCCGTTGCCAACAGTGCCCATTTTTTATTCGCCGAGCTAGAATGGACTTTCTGTTTCTAAGCAACCAGATACGAGCTAGAGGAATATTCAGGGCTTGCTAGCTTGCAAATTAGGACCAATGTCAAGACGAGGTTCCTATCGTCTTCCTCGATTGGGAAAGTGAAGCAATTCGTTTGAAAACTTGGTCCAGGTCCTGGCTGGTTAACGGGGCGGGCCTTTTTAGCGGCAAGCAATTTCCTTTATTCTACCTGGCCTCATTCTATTAGAACACCAGCGCCCAAAACCCGCTTCGCGGGCCTTGGGCGCTGGAATGTGGCCTTTGCATGTGAAATTTGCCTTCCCGATAGCTCGGGTCCTTCGGACCCCTCCCCCCGTCCGACCACACGCGCGCAACTTGCAAGAATGAGGAAATTTGTATTTTTTCACTATATGCAAATTAGCCCTCAGAGACCTCAAAAATGAGTAAAACCGGCTTTAACTTTGTAAACTTGTATTTTATCGAAATTCTGAACACGCGATCGGAAACAGAAGGGTCGATTCCCCCAAGTGACGGAGAATTGGGACGTTTTGGACCCGGGAAAGCCCTCAAATCGGGGCTCCAAACTGCCATCCACACACACACACACACACACAAAGATACACGCCAAAATTATATAAGGTAGGATATCCATTTTATATTGTTTTTACCAGTTTCCGTATCCCAAAAAGTTATAAACGCACTTAAAAATTAATAATTTTTGAAATTTAATAATTTGAACCAGTCTTTACACATTTTTGACCAAGTGGCCATAAAATTCTACAAAGAAAATGGGGAAATATAATTTTTTTTTCTAGACGTGCCGCCCCCCCCCTTAACGAACCAAAACCGCGAGGAGATACGAGCTTAATCCATATTCGGAGCTTGCTGTTGGAAAATTGGGGGGGGCAGGTATGGTTTGCAGTATCTGGTGAGTAAAGCATAGGTATTAAACACAAAAACATTCTTTTAAAATTTCCGATGTCTAATGACAATCGAAATCGAAAAAACCGCAGAATTTTGAAAAGCTGCGCAAAAGCCTGTTTCTTTGCCAAAAATCTCCTTTCAAATTCGCAGGTGAAACCGGGCCTCAGCCCCAATTTGTTTCCATAACGACTATCACCAGATTATCGCAGATGCAACTGGGAACGCGTATTTTGGGATTTATACAGTTTTAGCGATTGAAAAATATAGAGGAGATCGAGGGTCGCGCCCTCTTTTTGTGTGTGTGTTTGTCTCCCTGAAAAAAGTGCTGGATTTCTCTCGCTATCTCGTCGTCCATTTCGGATGAAAATAGCGCTGGCGAGGGGGAGGGTGGAAACCGGGAATGGCCCTTTCCCCCGGAAAAAACGACTGGCCGCCGCCCTGCAGCGTGTGGCTCTGGAAAGTGAAAAACCGGGACTACGCCTGAAAACGAGTGACAGGTTTAGCGGCACGACGCATACTATACAAGCAGTTTTGAGGCATACTATACAGCCTGCGATTCGCGAGCCTCCAAACTCGAGAAGTGCGACACGTCGATGTAAAAACAGTGCTATAATTAAATCTATAAAACCGTGCCTAAATATCGAGAACTTGGGACCAAAAATCAGCCGAAGTGCTGCACATCTTTTCTGCTCTTTCGTATAGCAATTTTTGAAGCATTGGATTTTCCCGTGATTTGTGTACTTTGGGGGTCGTTTTCAAGCAAAAACAAATAAGCTATCAAAAACTGGTGAATATCTCCATGCCAAATTGATGACTACCTTCAGTTTCACTGGTTCCAAAGTCACACTGCCTTTTATGATAGTTAGTTACTCGCTAGAAAATTGGTATGTCGCCGTTCCCTTAAAGCACCCTATAGCCCCGAGGCGGGCCCTTCATACACAACAACTTCGTACATCTTGAGTGGTTATTAACTGCAGCCGCCGATCATTTGGAGGATTCCGCAAGCCGTCGACGAGAGGACGCCGCTCGCACGCCACGGCCAATGCCGATTCATCCACTTACAACGGGGCAACACGCTGAATCATCGCCACCCATCCTATATGCCCTCGCACGACGAAGGATTTCCCAGGACATCGGCCCATAGTGATGGCACGACACTTCTTCTGCGTATTTAGGACGAGGGAAGTTGTGCTCCATTTTTGGGCTTTTGCGCAGCGCGTAGGTTAGGCTTCCAGGGGAACCTCCTAAGGTAAGGGTGGCAAATTTCGGCAAAAAAGTGGCAACGTCAAACTTGTAGTTTATTCGATTTTGTTCTAGTCGTGAGTTTGATTGGCCTGACAAGGGGCTCCATGTGCAGAATCTTGACCATAAACTATAGTTGCTTTTCCCATGCCATCAACGCGCAGCGGGCGGATAGGTAGAGGCCCCTCCCTAGGATGCCGAGGTTGAGGGTCATCGCCCTGACCAGACGTCCGCTCCTATCACAAAAAGTTGGCCCGGGTGCGCGACAGCTGTGCACCCCATTCCCACCACTTGCTCGGAGCCGCACAAAAAATTTGCATCTCCTCCTCCTCCTCTCCTCCTCGTACTCAACGTTTTGACCTAGATTGGCCTATAGGCTGGCCGGTTAATCCAGTAAGCCGATTAATTCGACCTTTTTTAACCCTTTAGCTTCACGTCGTGGTTCTTTCGCATTATCGGGGGAGCTATTTTTTTGTATATGCCTAGAAATGGCTAGTAACTTAATAGAATGTGTTTTAAAACGTTTTTAGTAAGTTATAACTATATTTCAACCAGAAAAACCAACTAAAAATTATAAAAAGTCGAAACTTGGTCAAATTTTGTCGAAAATTCATATTTTTGATACTGTTAATACCAATTTGCAAGGTTTTTACGTTTAGGTATATTACAAAACCATTTAGAAACACTTCCACTATTTATTTTTCAAACTTAACTCCTAAGAAAAAAATTTGCCCCCCCGATAATGCGAAAACACCGGCGCTTTCCGTGCTTACGGATTCTGTTTATGATCCTGTCGTCTAGTACGCCGTTCCATCGGCATTCAGCTCCACCTCACCATAATTAAGCACTAGCAGTGTAGGATCATTTTTTCTAACTTTCCAGCACATTTAAAAGCCATAAAAAATTTAAACGTCAAACCCCAAACCGCGGTTGTTTTCACAGTTTTTTGTTGATTCATTGCTGACCCTTGACTAGACACGATATCGATCTAATGACCAGAGGGCCCGCTGCTTATCATTTCAAGACGCGCCCCGCGGTTTTACGAGACACTTTTTTTCGCGCAGCCCTACAGTCTCCGAGAATTTTCCATGTTTTTCGAGAAATAACTGCCGGCGGAACCAACTCCCTTAAGTCTATGTCTAGCCCAGGCCTAAGCTTAAGCCTAAGCATAAGCCTAGCCTAAGCCTGAGCCTAAGCCCAAAGCCTAAGCCTAAGCCTAAACCACTCCTAAGCTAAACCTAAGCCTACGCTAAGCTAGTAAGCATAGGCGTACCCCTATCCCTTTCTCCTCTTCATTTCGTTCCGGATTTTTTGCAGCCCCAATACCAAACAAAACATTTCGTCCAGGGGAAAGATGCGGCTGCTGGCCGTTCTGCCGGTGCTCTGGGCCGGAGCCTGGGCGCTATTCCCGTTCGGGATCAGCCAGGGCGATACGGTAAGCTCGGCCGAAGCCTAAGTATCAGCCCATCCCTGTTTAGCCTCTAAGCGACGCCGAGTGGCTGACGGCAACGGTAGATATTCCGGTGGTGTACTATGCTCGGCCACAAACACAAGCGCATATCTCGAGACTAGGCCTACTAATTTTTGGGGATCAACCCCAACCAGGTGCCAAAATCTCGCTATGTTTTTTATCCGTTTGCAGATCATTTCCGCAACCTTGAGCATCTGAATAAGTCTGCTGTGGCTGCGTTTTATGCGCCGACAAGTGGGGGCAGCGTTTTCCTCAGGTAAAACAGGACTGAGTAGTTTATCATGAGTGATTCAAGATCGACATCTTCCGACAAGAATCTTTTGATGCGGCTGTCTTCTGACGTCATCCAGGTGTTCCCCGAAAAGGATTTCAACGCCAAGCAGGTCCGGTCGCTAGTAATAATCCGCGCAAAATGTGGTTGCACCATTTTTTGGCTAGACTTTAGTACCTGCCCCCCTCCCCCCGCCGGAAGGTCCCAAAATTTTTCGCTATAACTTTTTTACATTATTTTGTGCTGTAATTCAAAATCTTAGTATATTTTTTGGTGATCTATCGAATGGCGTGGCCGAAATCCTGGCAAAATAGAGGAAATCTCGAAAGATTTTGGGACTTCCGGCGCGGGGCGTAAAGTACGGTCTAGCCCATTTTTGGTGCGCTATGTAAATTTCCAACTTTGCAGGCTGATAAGCATGAGTAATGCGTTTTCATCAAAAAAAGTTATTCAGGCTGTTGTGGCCACATGGGAGAACATGGCAAATTTGGAGCGGCAGAGCGGCAACACCTTTCAGGTGACAAAACGCATCATTCGTATATGGATATTATATTTTCTAGTTGGTGCTCGTAAGCGACGGGATCGACTCGTTCGCCATCTTTGTCTACAAGGCAATCGCGTGGGCATCGTCTAACGGACAGTAGGCTTTAGGTACCTAGCAAAAAAAACCGCTTTTCAGCTTTGCTCAAGCCGGCTTTAGCCATCCGGACGGCTGGCAGCTGAATGTGAACAGCGGCACCGATACTCTCAAGGATTTGATGAGGTACGGAAGTGCGTCCGGCCAAATTCCAAGCTTATAGCTTGTCCAACAGCGATCGAGACGGCCAGTTCATCTACAAAATCTCCGGGTTGGCGCTAGAACACCCGAAGGGAGACGATGAGTACAGCTACAGTGATGAATACGAAGGGGAGGACGGGGAGTCGAGGAAAGGCGGTATGCATTGAGCGTTATTAGGCAAATCGGGGTTCGCAAAACTGAACGTCAACGCAAAAATTTATGCTAACACCGAATTCAGGTCGCCGTGGCGAAGACTGCCCGCCCGACCCGTACAAGGATAAGTGCCCAGCTGGCTGTAGCGTTATCACCGACACAAACGGATGTTCGAGATGTTTGTGTGCCGGTATTGATTCTTTTCAAAGGAATTTATTTTGAATTAATAGAGAGACCACCGCCCCAACTTCCACAGGGAAATGATCTGGAAGAAGAGCAACCCGAACCCGCCGTTTCCAAGGAGGAAGAGAATTCGGACGTACCAGAGGAAGGTCAGTTACGAGGTCGCCTACGCTAGCTAATATCGACCTTGCATTAAAGGGATACAGATAGCTCATGTCGATTAGTTTGGTGGCTTGTTTGAGAGCGTTTCTCAGAAGCCTGTCACATTTTTTTTGCATATCATAAGTGTGCTCATTGCCAATTGTAATCGTTGCTTGAATGACGCCGGCCAAAACCGATAGTCTAATTCGGATCACTGCTCGATCGAAAGGACCAAAAAGGTCCTAACTACATGAAGTCCTGAGCCTCGCTCTTCCCATGCATTCAATTTCTTGCAGATTTGCATCCACTAGACCCTCGTGTCACCGGTCGCCATCGCCTGACGACACCAGCCATCAACCGCGTGCCAATCGAGGGAGGAAACTCTGTCACCGAAGAGATTTCGGCCTGCCAGGCGGCAGGGTGTCATCCGAATGCTGGGTGTCGGGTGAGTCCGAGCCGTTCGGCACTGCAACACTTTGCAGGATTACCCGGGCGGCGTGTGCTGCCAATGCAACACGGACTATTACGGCAACGGAAAGGATTGTGTGAAACGGGGTTGGCTGAATTTACACTAGTAAATAATGGCGTTCAGGCGAAGTGCAACGACTCGTCGGCAGCTTCGAGGGAGCCCTCAATGGACAGCGCGTCGACAAATCGGAGATTCATGTGTACGTTGCGAACAGCGATGGCCATGCGTACAGCGGTTCGTGTTGAATTTTCGTTTACAGGGAAAAGTGGCATGCTATTGAATGAAAAACAAAGCGATAGAAACTCACACTAATAGCAATATATTGAGATACGACTCAGCAAATTTTATTTCAAGTTAGCTATATGAAATTAATTTAGCGATAAGCCGACTGCCGCAAGACCAGAATCTCGGCACCTCGATGCTGCTGCTCCTTCCGGTCGGATCCGTAATTGGATGGTTGTTCGCTGAGGTTAGCTAAATGTTTCTTACCTAACTTATTACTGTCCAATGACCAAATAAACCCGTCTACTACGTTCAGGTCAATTCCCCCTCCCTGTACAACGGATTCGAATTGACGGGCGGCATCTTCAACCGGACGGCGACTGTCCACATTGGCGATACAGCTGTTGTCACAATTCGACAACAGTTCACCGGGCGAAACCGTCAGGATTACCTGATCGCAAATGTAAGTTCTAGGGACGGACAGAGATCGGAATCACTAATCGTCGCACGATGCTATAAACTTACATTTCTAGACGTTTGTTACTGGAACCCTGCCACAACTACGCGACGGGGCTGATGTTACGTTCCCCGACTATGACGAAGAATATCGTGTGGAAAAACCGGGTAGGGTTGTGGACTGAAAATTGCCCCGGTTGCTAGTCCCTCTAATTTGGGTATTTTCAGGTTTTGTACGCTCCTACTCAACGCTGGAGGCTGTGGTGAATGAAGGCGGGACAAAACGCAAGTTCAAGCTGACCGTCGATCAGCAGATGCATTTTGAAGAATGCGCCTTTAAGCCGGTAGCTCAGTTGGGGCCAGTTTGGGAGCTTCCGTTTCAGAATGACCGAACTAATGCCGCGGTTTTGAATGTGAAACGAGCACACGTTACCTACGACAAAGTGGATGGCATTGTGAGGTGGGCTTTTCGGTTGAACAAGCTAAACGAAAATACAACTTGTCCTTACTCGAACTGTAATTTCTAAGGTATGCATCCCGTAACTACGTCGACGCACAGAGGACAACGACCAAGGAGGAAAACGTGCAAGCTCCGCGCGAGCCAGCAACCGGAGACGTCCAACCGGAATCAAGGGTAGAATTTATTTCATGTCACCGTCAAGCCGTTTCTTCAAGGCACAAGACGTGTGCGCCACCGGAAAACATGTATGCACTCATCCCCATATGCTATGTCGGCCCGTCGAGCATTCGTACCGGTAATCTATCGGCTAAGAGTCGACCTTAAGCCCAACGAACATACTTTCTCTCTCTTTCTCTCTCTCTCTCTCTCTCTCTCTCTCTCTCTCTCTGACTCTCGCTCTCTCTCGCTTTATGACTCGAAATACATAGCCTTTGCTATCGTCTATAAACCGTTAAGATGCGAATGTGCTGCCGGATATCAGGCGAAGCACGATTCAACAAGTTCTATTGGATGGTATTGCGTTGGTAGGTCACTAAATCTGGGCACGCAAAAATTACGATCAGGCGGGTTGTTGAATGCGCTTAGCGAACATGCGTATACTGCGACGTACTTGCCACTCCTTCACCATAGCTTCGTAGATATCGACGAATGCGCGCGGGGGGACAGCACGTGTGATCCAAATGCAGCCTGTCTCAATACAGATGGCGGTTTCCAGTGCCAGTGCAATGCCGGTTTCTCCGGCGACGGGCATCGGTGCTTTGGTATTTTTTGAGAAGAGAAAGTTAGCCAGCGACGGGGAGGACCAATGCGCGGATGCGCAGGGAAACCATAATGGAAACACTTTTCATGACAACATTATTTTAGGTGGTGAACTCCGCGGAGATGAGCAACAGCCCCACCCACGCCATCACGCTCAAGGTCACGATGGACATCCTGCCGAAATGGTTTGTAGCGATCTGGAGTATGGGGTTGTCCGGGCCAAATCCTTTCTCGTTTTATTGATTCGATACTGCGAAAACTGTGGTTTTAGGCCCCTCAAGCCCCGGGATCTTGCGCGGCTCACACGGACTGCCACCAATGGGGTGAATGCGTGTTCCCGGAAGGCGCCGCTCATGGACAATGCAAGTGCCGGTACGCTGCCGCCCTTGACTGCCCTCAAACATATTTTCTAGCGGTTGGTACGTCGGAGACGGAGTGGAACATTGTGGGCCACCTCAGGAGACGCGTCGCGCACCGCAACAGCCCGCGCAACACCGTAGGGTATTTTCGTAGTAAAATGCCTTAATTTTGATTTACATAAAAAAACAAAACGGTTTTTTTTAAACCAGATTTTTCTTGACAAGATTATATTCAGCGCCACGGGAAGAGCATCAGCCGGCTCGCATGCCATCTCACCAAGGACTTCCCTGCGGATCCCAGCACTGTAGTGCACACGCTGAGTGCCTACCTAGCACTGATGGCGGGGTAACTATCAATGCATTGCAAAACGAGCCTTCGAATTTCCATCACCATTACGAAATTATTAATGCCATGATTAAACATTTTAAAAATAGGCTCATTCTAGTCCGAGTGCGTGTGCCGTGCTGGATATAATGGAAACGGCTTGCAATGCGAATCACTGCTCGCTGAAGAGGGGGCCGACCAGCCTGTACAGGTGGGAGCATCTGGTAAGTGCTGCAAAGCTCTAAAGGTCAACGTGAGTACTCTGCAGGAACCATCTGCCGATCGCATGACGAGTGCTCGGAGCATGGTTCGTGCGCATACGACCAATCGGTTGGCTACTATCAATGCATCTGCACACCCCCGTATACGGTATGTTATGTGTCACTGGATCGAATGGTATCAGGGCGATGGCGTTCGATGCACTGCCGAGGGTGGAGGCGAAGTGCTGGTGCCGTACAACAACGGTAGGTTTGAGATTAGGCTAGACATCTAGGACACATTCCGCTTGCTTGCGTGATAGCCGATTTCCATCTTTAGCTTCAGCTTCATTTAGCGCAACATGGCAGCGGAGGCCAGGAATGTGATGTGCTGCGGAACTGCGGTCAGAATGCGGATTGCGTCTTTGCGAGGCCGCACTGGAAATGCGCCTGCCAAAGCGGGTTCATCGGCGACGGCTATCACTGCGTCGAAGCGGCACTCGGACTGCCGGACCTGCTGCCTCCACGTCCGTTTTTGCTTGATTCGCGCCATTAGTTTTTTTCTGAGTCTTTGATCTTTCTTCTGGATTTCTGATCATCATAGTCGCTATTGGGGCTACCTGCCAAACTCACCGTTTTAGTGGAACCACCAACGGCCAACCGGAACACCGGCTGCGATAGATGTGACACCAATGCCCAATGCGTGTTTGATTCTCACAATCGGTAAGAGGCATCAATCCCTGACGCACCATTTCAATCTAGCCGCTTTGTCTGCGAATGCGTGAGCGGTTATATGGGCGACGGGCTGAGTTGCGTCCAGGTAGCTGGCCAAGGTCACGGAGGCCACGGTGGAAGGCTGGGTCAGTCATGGCTAGCGGTGGAAAATATTCCTGCGCTTTCAGCAGCCCCGAAATTATGCCGGGAGCAATCGGATTGTCATCAAAGTGCGCATTGCGTGCAAAACGATCGCAATGAATACTTCTGCCAATGTTTGCCCGGATTCCGCGGCGACGGCGTCACGACTTGCCGCATTGCCGGTATGTGTCAGCTTTTGAAGCTTACATTGGGTTTAGATAAATGCACGCCGGCGGATCCGAATAGCTGCGCCCAGAACGCACAATGTCAGTACCGCGAAGATCAGGGAGCTTACCTATGTGTTTGCGTCGAAGGTATGCTTGTTTTCACACTGATCCAATATGATAGGCTTCACCGGCGACGGAACATCATGTGTCCCACATGCCCAGCCAGTTGGCTGCGACCGAGATCCAAAGACATGCCACCACAATGCTCAGGTTCCAAGACATTGCCAGCTTATCTAACCTATCGTAGTGCGTCTACAACCACGAACGTCGGGAGTATGGATGTCTCTGCAAGCCGGGCACGCATGGAGACGGCCGTTCCCGTTGCGACCAGATCGGTGGGCTTTCCCCTACGCAAATTAGCGCAGTTTCAGAAACCCCGCAGTGCAGCGGATGTTCCATCCACGCGCAATGTGTGCTGACAGCAGGCGGTGCTTCGCGATGCCAATGTTCGAATGGATATGTTGGAAACGGACATGTCTGCCAGCCGATGAGTATGGCTCCGCTCGCGTGCTTTAATTGGCCAAATTCCAGCTACTTGTCTTGACGATCGCGCAATGTGTTCGGAACACGCTGAATGTGTGCCTGGCGAAGGAGGGCACTATATTTGCAACTGTCGCTATGGATTTCATGGAAACGGCCGGATTTGTACAGGTTAGTTTATCGGGTTCTGTTCTATTTCGCGTGGGGGAAAAAACTGTGCGGGGGGATTTTCTTCGTTTTTTTATAACTCTTTTATATGATGCTATTTTGAATTGTAATTAAAACTCTTAGTATATTTTTTGACGCTCTATCGAATGGCATTAAAGAAATTTTTGAAAGTTATCGAAAATGTCGAAAACTAGCTTTCGACGCCACGATCCCATGTGGAAACACCGAATAAACCTTGTTTTTGCTATAACTATTTTATCAAACAATATTTTTAGATGAAATTAAAACCCTTAGTATGATTTTTGGTGCTCTATCGAATGACGGGTTCAAAATATCGAAAAACTGGCCAAAATGCCGAAAACTAACATTCCGGAACCAGTTTCACTATTTTTTTTGGTTTTTCTATAACTTTTTTATATTACAATATTTTGAGCTAAAACAAAAACTCTTGGTATATTTTTTGATGCTCTATCGAATGGCGTTGCGAAAATCCCGAGAAAATAGCGAAAAGATGGAAAGTTCCGCGAAGCATATTTCCCCGCACAGTTTTTTACCCCACGCGAAATAGAACAGAACCGTTTATCGCACTACTGCATAAAGACTTCTTTTAGCTGACTCGGATTCTCGCACCGATACTCTACTGGTGGCGCGTGGGATGGCCATTTTCCATCGTGGTACGAATCAGGATATTCCTGGGAAGCAGGTACACAATTTTTTCGGGTCTATTATGGGTTTTTCCAGCTCGTCGTCATCCCTCATCATATCGCCGTGGGCGTCGATTTCGATTGTCAAGAAGAACGCATAGTCTGGAGCGATATCTCAGGTAATATCAATGGATTTCGCATTGGATATAATAATTTCATTTGGCCAAAACCGACCCGAAATTTTTCAGGCCACTCGATTCGGTCGGCTTCACTACAGGGAGGCAATATGAGTTCCCACTTCACGGATACCTTGGAGAGTCCTGAGGGAATTGCTGTCGATTGGAGCAGCCGAAATATCTACTACGCCGATTCACTGAAAGGTATCTCATTGGATAGAGAGACCCGTGTTAAAGTGTTAAACTTGCTATTAACGTAAATTGACTGACTTTATAGATGAAATCGGTGTCGTATCAATGGATGGGAAATACCAGAAGGCACTGGTGACGGAAGGGCTCGTCAATCCCCGAGCATTGGCCATAGATCTTCAAAATCGGCATCTATTTTATACTGACTGGCATCGGCAGAGCCCGATTATCGGACGCGTAGACCTTGACGGCCGCAATAATCATAAGTTTGTGCAGGTAAGACAGAGTCAGTGAAAATCATGAAAGCGCTTGAAGGACGACATCCACTTGCCGAACGGACTGACGATCTTGCCTAACCGCCGAGAGCTGTGCTGGGTTGATGCTGGAGTTAAAAGGTTGTCGGAGCTATCTGAGACCATTGATCAGTAAATTTTCAGGCTCTCGTGCATTGGCTTAGACGGACGTAACCGGCGAACTGTATACTCGAACCTGAACTATCCATTTGGCGTGACCCATGTGCGGGAAGAGCGCTTCTACTGGACTGACTGGAAAGAGTAGGTTTCCCGTTAAACCACAGTTTTTTACGGCGGCGTATTTTACGGTTTCAACGTGAATTTTCAGCAACCGCGTACACACGGTCGACATCTACGGCAGTGCGTACCAGTCAATGCCGATTTCCCTGGGCGGTTCAGGAAAGTCATATGGCATCCTGGGAGTTCCAGATAAATGCGTCGGAGGTGAGAATTACCGACTGCTGTATCAAAAGCATACTTTAGGCGTGACTGCCTGTGCAACAGAAAACGGTGGCTGTCCATACCTATGCCTCCCGACAGCCGCGGGGCCGACATCAAAGACATGTGTCTGCCCGGATAACGACGACACCCTACAAGGCTGCTAGACTAGCTTGCGAAGTACGCCTCTTATTTATGTATGTGGTTATTTGTTCGTTCGCATGGCTTTCCATTTGTGCCAATTTCGCCGCGGCTAGTGGTAAATCGAAAGACTAAAATTTTGTGGCTACTTTCCTAAAAACGCAAACCTCGCGTCACGTTCCACACTCAATGCTCAATCCATAAAATCACTTTGCTACCTGGCGAGACTTTACTTCCCCCCAGTTCCCAAAATTTTTCGATAGTTTCACTAATTTTTCGGGATTTTGACTACGCCATTCGATGCAGCATCAAAAACGTATACTAAAAATTTTAATTACATCCCAAACAAATTTAATATGAAGCAGTTGGAGTGAAAAATTTTTGGGAAATTGTGGCTGGGGGTAAAGTAAAGTCTAGCCCACCTGCTTTATTATAAGGATCAATTCCAAGCCTGACAATACTCCACGTGTAACAATTGTTGTTTTTTGTGCCGTATGAATTCCGATCAATCCGTATAAAATAGTTTATTTCCGCAATGCACAAATAAATCATTCGCGAGCGGCGGGTGGTTTTGTTGAGGACCAGGAGAGCCGTAGGAAAAGCTCAAGCTTTTTTCAATTGCAAAATGTCATTATTTTTCAAAATCTTTGCATGACTAAGATTTACACGACCAGATATCATACCTACAATCAATGAAAAACGCAAGGAAGGGCAACTGGTGCTGAAATTAATAAAAACTAGCCAAACAGTATTCATCGGGATCAGGGTGTGACTAGCAGATTCATTAAGGATAGCTGGATGTACCCGAGTTTTGTTGATGGAGTATCTCCATATCGTAAACCATTTGATTCAAGGGAACAAAGGGAAGAATGAGGGGGGCATTGAGGTGACCCTAGAATCCAGCCGGGTAGGTGGCGGTTGCTCGTCGGAAGTCGGAATTCCCGTGAATGAATCCGTCATCGAGAACCTGAAGTTTTGTAGTTGTCGCGACCAAATAGAGCTATGATACCTCGAGAGCTTGTGCGACCGATTTCTGCTTAGGGACGGCTCGCATCGACTGGCCATAGCTCGAGGTCAACGACTCGATGAGACTCTAATAAAATTTGGAGTCTATCATTATGCTTGGCACCTTGGGGAATTGCTGCTCATAGTCAGTCTGGTGCGGCAGATATTGGTTGTGAATTCGTGGCGCGTCTACGGCTTCCTAAATTTTGTGAATGTCAACAATATGAATATGAGATCCGAAGAATCCAGTTGGCCCCAATGTTGCGTACGTATTACCTTTACTGTTTGATTGAAAAGCAGGGTCCTGATGACGGTTTGCGCCACCGTGGAAATAATGAACGAACCGCCCGAAGCCCCCACAACCATGCGAACCTGAAAATGGTAGAATACAAATAACCAACAACCCCCGGCACAATTCGGTGTTTGACGGCAGTTAAAGGGATAGCGCACGCAGAAATCCGCGTGTTATTTGGATTCCTGGAACTTTGCCAGATTGTGCGGCAAACGGCCCTTCTCAGCGAATCAGCGCACTAATGAGAGGACGCGAGGCGCACAGGAGACAGGCACACACACGGAGTGCGCAACATCTGCGCGACCTGACCAAGTTCCAGAATTTCAAATAACACTCAGATTTCTGCTTGCGCTATCCGGTTCAGGGGATTTTTTTATGATAAGAAGACTCGTCATGCACCAGTGGCGCGTTTCTAATAAGTTAAGCAATTGAAAGCCGGCATCTCCGCACCTCCAGGCATGTTTCAAAAATTCAAATTTTCCATCCAAATTTTTTTACCTCGCCCTGGCCACTTCCCCCTACCTGATTATCATTCTTGTTATAGATTATCGTTGGGCTCATCGAGGACATTGGCCGTTTCCCCGGTGCAATGAAGTTGCTTTCCGATGGAGCGAAACCGAATGCGTTTCTAAGGTACTGTATTCGATTCGCGGGACGTTTCCTTACGAAGCATTCGGCGTCGAGAAATCATCCATTTCATCGTTCCAAATAATCCCAAGTGTTGGCGAGGCGCGCATGGAACCGAAGCTAAAAACAACCGATTCCCGTAGTTCAACTGATCGGAAGAGCCAGTATACCATAAGTGCTTACTATAAGTTAACCGTCGAGGTTGTTGAAACGGCATTTCCGTAGGCATCAATGATCGAAACATGCGATGTGCCGTGATCAGGTGGCTGGAAATTTCGATACTTGTTTTTTTCCAGGTCAAAATTCAAACCTGACTGGTGTTTCCTCCTAAATAGTAAGCCTGCGGCTGTGCTTTTTCAAGGATCATAGATTTCACTTTCTTTATGTAGCCTCTGAAATTTTTCTTGGTCAATCGATCGAGCTTGCTTGCCGGTTAGGCTTAGGCTTAAGCTTAAGCTTAGGACAAATTTACGATTCTCACTTGTTCGTCATGTTTCGAACGATTTCATTGGCTTCCTTCACAAAGTTAGCATCTCCCAGCCGTGTCCTCTGGGCGTAGGCAAATTTCTCCGCCTCAATGAGGTGATGATACACTAGAGGGTCATCCAAATCGACACTCCGATGCGCATAGAACTCTGAAATTGCAGTGATGGCAAGGAGCGAGACGGGGGCTTCTTACCAGCCATGACCGCGATGATACTTTGCGTTATCACAAATGAGCTTGGAGGCGGAGGACCGCACATCGCCAGATCACCTTAATAAACATAATTTTATCAAAATTTATCATGCCCGGAACCTCTATAGATCTCAATTAAATTTAGTGTATACCAGGCAGCTCTTCACTTTCGATGGGTGTCTCGTCAATGTCCGTCTCGTAATTGGCCAAATCTTCTTGGGTCAAAATCCCGCCCTTGTCTTTGATTTCGGTGGCGATTGTTTGGGCGAAACCGGCCTTGTAGAAAAGGTTGACCGGGTCGGCTTCCTCGGCAAGGGCCTAATTTTTTGTGAAAACCTCCCTGAAAAAGTACCTTCAGCGTATCAGCTAGGGTATCTCTTTTCATGATGTCACCCTCCTCATAAACGCGGCCTGAACTGGGGTTGACGAAAATGCTCCTAAATTTGTTGTAAAAACCCCCGTCTGCTCTCCGTTCCCAACAGGAACTGGTTCGGATCACCAACCTCATCGTCGGTTCATCTAGAATCTCCTGCTCCTTGTCGCTGAGTATCATGGCCAAGTTTGCCGAAACCGGGAATCCGTCCTCGGCCAATTTGATGGCCGGTTGGAAGAGCCTTGACCAAGTAACCTCAACTTTCTGATTAACCAAACACGTATTCCCACTTACCCTGCCCGAGCCAAATCGAGTGAACGTCGTCCAGAAACCGTGTAGTTCGGATGGAGTGGCAATGGAACGATAGCCTGAAAGGGAAAGTTCGTGTGCGGCGCTTGCGCTCAACAGTTTATGCCCTGGGGTTAGAAAACGTATGAGGGGATTAGTACTTGGATTCCGGCCGGGGACCCCAAATGTCTCGGGCGAGGCCCCTACCAACGCAGCTCGCCCGATCTTTGCAATCGAACGGCACCACCGGCCCTGAAATCAACGTCAAGCTATTGTAGCAGCCGGGAAGGACTATGCGAAAGCACGTTGATCTTTTTGCAGCTAGAGAAAATTGTTCACAATCCGCGAACAGACACTACAGGAACGGAAACGTTTTCTGCCGGTACCTGTAGCTGATTCTTTTGGCGTCTCCACGAACATGTCCTGATGCGAGGCTGCCGGTGCAGTTTCGCGAGCGTTGATGCTTATACAGCGGTTTGTTGTCCTAAAGATATGACTAGACAATAAATACAGGGCTATTACTACCCAAGGGAAGACGGAAAAATTGCTTCGACTTACTTATTGTAGAGCGTCATCAGGAAGCCACCGCCGAGACCCGACGACTGCGGATTGACGACCCCCACACAAAGCAGGGTTGCTATCATCGAGTCCACGGCATTTCCTCCTTCTATCAGAACGTCCCTACAAGTACGTTAACGTATCCGAGCGTCAAAAATAAACGTAAGTGTGTAGGTCGCCAAAAAACCAAACCTGCCAATTTCCGAGCATAGCCCATGGTCCGAGGCCACGGCAGCCCTCCGATAGTGTGCGTGGAGACTGCCAGAAGGCAATGGCCAATCCAACTTTGTCCTCCTCCCCGAGTACTCGTCAGCAACCTGCAATGCAGCAATTTTGAATTGCTCCCAGGCCCGTATCGTCACGCAACACCCGCACATGCAACATTCGAAACATAGAAAGCTGTGGAAGTGTACTCTCAAGCATTGCCTAGCACTTCTCACAAGCAAATTATCTACAGACGCGGCACACGCTAACTGAATGAAACGCGGCGTTAGTACCCGGGATCGAATCGATCGATTGTAAGCTATTTGACTGGCCCCGGCTGACGACTGAAATAGCTGTGTTAAGAAGTGCTAAATAAGAATCGACGTTCCGTCAATCTCAAGAGGTCAGGACAGGGGCTGGGGAGTAGAGGTTGCACTAGACAACAGATGGTTGGGCCCTACTGGGATCAGCTCTTCTTCTTCGGTGATCGCAGGCTGCGAAGGCGGCAGCGAAGGCGTCGTGCCGAGCGTGCCAGTTGTTATCGCCCACTGTCCGGCAAGCCCGGTACCATTTTCGCAGACCTCGAGCATTAACGCTCGTGCTTCAGGGCCCTCGCACATTAGGATGATCTTTGGAGGTTCTGTCTATAACCAGGAAAGCGAGGATAAGGGATAAGCTGTTAGCAACATGTTCAGTTGGATAAATAACAGACTGTTATTTTCGGGAGGATTAAGCAAGCAAAGGCCGATTGGGCGATCAACATTGGCAAGGAAAAACGGGATACGGTTCTGGTTCGTTAGCGGGAGGAGCAGTATATCGAGCGGAAACGTTTTTATCAATAGCTTCGCTTACTTTTAAATTAACTTATTTTGATCTGTATCGAAAACTTTTCGTTTATTTTTTTTTTGATGCTCTATTCAATAGCGTCCACAGAATACCAAAAAATATCGAATGTTTTTGCTTTTGTTATATCTTTCTTAAATTATAGTGTTTTTATCGAAAATTGAAAAGTTTAATACATTTTTTGATGCTCAACCAATCTTGTAGTCCCCAAAACAGTGAAAAATAATGAAAATCTACGGTATTAAACTCCTCCTCACCCCGATAAACTCTCCCCCCACCAACGAACCAGAACCCCGGATACATGAAAATCAATGACAGGAACAAATAGTACCGTTTCCAATTAACACTTTACTCACTGGTCTCTGCTCATCCCCCTTGTTCTCTCTGACGCCGATGACGATGGCCAGGGCGATGGTCGAGAGTAGGAATACGGTAGCCAACACAGAACAGAGGACCGCCATCGTCCGGCTGCATCTGTAATGGGTCAATCGTTGAAAATTACCAAAGAGCCCCAGCCCAAGCTCATCCGTTTTTGAAAGGAATGATCGAGTTGGTCATGAAACCATAATCTTACTTTCTTATAGGACATCGCAACAATAGGTATTCAAGGGATAAAGACTTGCGGGGCCGATGCTTGCTATCCGGATCGTCATAGTAGCTGGGAAGCATTGAGGGATTTTAGATACCCGCTGCTGAAGCTATACCCCCCAGGCTCGAAGCCCCGGCCTTGACATGTTTGCCTAAGGCGCGCCTTCCATTGTGGTGGCCAAGCTGCCGGATATATTTTTAGGGGATCTGTCAGCAGTGACCGGACCTTTAAGCTCCTGCCCGGTTCAAGTTTTCGCTATTCCATAATGGGAAAAGTGCTACTCTAAACGGAACGGGTAGAACTATCCAAAACCTACTCCTTACGCCCCATCTCGTGCTCCGCGGCCAGGTGCGACGAAAAGGCAAAGATGCGCGAGTGCGTTTCGTGTAGGGGCAGAATTTTCGGTATACGATACTTTGATTAAGCTGTTGCTGGGTGAAAAACAGGGGGTCGGGGCCCTGGGATGCGGCGACTAGACGCGCTAATACCCGGATAAGTGGCGCCACAATCCCTTCGGGGGTCCGAAAGCTGTCCGCGGATCTGAGGCTCCGGGATTGTAATTCTGTATAGCAAGTATGATGGAACTTCCTCAAATACAGCTCCTCTAAAAATAGAAGAAATTCCTTAAAATTATTTTAATATTTTTGCGGCGATTTGAGGAGGTCTTTTTTGATGGATACAAAATAGGACTGATCCGAAAGCCAAACCCAATTAAAAAGGAACTGATCGAAACAAGGCCATTCGGACTCTCAACTCCGAGGGAACAATTTAGGTAATCGCCCTGCTCGCACGGCAGCGCGTTACGGTCGGCTACGCGCGACACTTCCACCTGTGTCCAGGCCTTCAGTCCAACAGACATTGGCGGTTTTCAGTTGTGTATTTTGTAGCTTATAAGTTGCGACACACCAGGATGATTTTTGCTTAGCTAACCAGAAATTAGGAAAATAAAACTCACGAGCTGTGCTTCTGCATGTCACTGATGTTTTTCGAGAAATGCTCGGAAGGACTGACTCGTCCCAGGGATCCTAAACTCGCACAGTAAAAATAATCGCGTTGAAGATAGACTTGGTAAACTGATCGACTCACCGGATTCAACGGCACTGGTGGCGCTCATCCCGTCGCTCGGACCGCACCCCCTGTAAAGAACTGTTGCTTCTTCGAATTAGCGCTTGTAAAAGAGGTCAGGTAGGAGAGCCGGGTCTGTATCTCGGCTCCCTGTTCGTTTGCAGGTCTGTAAAATATACCAAAATATTCGTCTTGCTCTGGCGAGTATTTTCGTACTTTTTACACACATGTAGACCAACAAGAAACCGAGATACAAAAGTTCGGGGCCTGCTGGGGGGCCACTGGAGTTGAGCCGAAAAATTTACTTCAGATACGCGAGAAAGGTTTGGATCTTTAGGCATAGATTTATAAGTATGTGAGTTGCTAAAGAACTGCCGTTTCTTTTCGGTGTTCCCTAAAAAAGTCGGTTCTTGATGGATTTTTCTACCCAAAAGTTGATGAGAGAACACCACCTTGTTCCTATCATCATCACTCCCCCCCCCGATCACCGGACAACGAACAATGTTTTCCCTCCTGGCATCCCGCAGCACCCAAATAAATGCCAGCCCGCAGTCTCGATCTGTTTCTTGACATAAAAAATTTTTACTATTAAGAAAATCTCTCGCTTGTATGCAAGCACATAAACTCCGAGGATAAAATTGAACCAAAATCAAGGCCGCTAATAAATTAATGGGTACTAGCTCGCCAATCACCTAGCATCGGTCTTTGCCAAGTTTTGATGAGCCGGAAAAATTGAAAAACAGGAAATTATCGGGGTGGAAAACAAAAAGGACTATTACAGCAAAGGAGTGAGTTTTGATGGATGGTACCGAGAATAGTTGAGTCGCGGAAGGGGGGCAGGGTAATCCGATTTTCCTGGAAGCGCTCGGAAAGCGGGGTCGAAACTATCAAAATCGGTATGATCGCCAACGAACTATAGCTATCGTTTAGAAAAACTAGTAGCAAGAAGGGAGGGTTCTTTAGCGTTATCGGGGGGGGGCGTGGAGGGATTATCGGGGGCCAATTTAATTTTTCAAATATGCATAGTGGAATTGTTTTTAGAAGATTTTTTTACCATCCCTAACCGCGAAAATGTTTGTACCGCGAAACTTTGTATTAAAAATATTAAAAAAAATAGATTTTTCGCCAAAATTTCGGCTTTTTAAAGTTTTTACATAGATTTTCCAGTTGAAAATGGTTTTATATGTTGCAATTAAGACAAAAACAGTATTAAAACACTTTGTATTGAGTTACTAGACAATTCTAGTCTTATACAAAAAAGTAAGGTCCCCCGATAATGCGAAAGAACCGCAAGGAGCCGTGAATTGCGTAATGCAACGTAGCTCAGATCGTAGGTCGACCCGCAGTGGCGACGTTATACAGTCGAGGTGATTATGAGGGGCGGACAGCGATCCGTGTGGGGCCTCTATGTTGACTGACCGTCGGCAGCCATTCTTTTGAAGAAGAAGCCGACTGGCATACCCTTCTATTGGCTCGTTGCGGACCAGAGACCTGTGAAAATAGAAATGCCCCCCTCCCAGCTGCCGGCGGCGACCTAGGGCAAACCGGTATCACCGTTTTCATTTTTTGAAAGTCGCCGGTCGACTGATGTTGCGCCGGAAGCGCTTGGGGGAAAACCGCGGATTTCGGGTGCGTAAGGCTGCAAGAGATATATCCGGGGATTTGAAAAACGTGATATTCTTTAGCTTTTCTTTTAAATATAGGTATTGCTAAAACACTGTTAAAATACCTTCTATTAATTTACTAGGCATTTCTAGCTTTATACGAAAAAGTTTGGTGATCATGCGAAAGAACGCTAAAAAATTATATGCAAGGTTTTGCAACCACGACAGAGCCTATAATTTATAATGTGGTAATTAGATCAAATTATTAATAACTAATTAAAAAAAAATGTGGTATTCTTAAGAAACGTGTTATTTTGAGCAGTACGCCCGGCAAATGGGATGGTGTTGTGGAGAAACAGCAAAAATGTGTCCCGTCCGTCAATGGCGATCGACGCGCAATATCATGGAGCGGGGGAGTTCGGTGATCTCGGGACGAAATGGAGGAGGGAACGAGTTTCAAGTCGAAGGCCACTACCGATGGCCGACGACCCTCTGCAAACAGATAAACACTACTGCCATTGCCCGGATTAACGTTCGATAGCAATTAGGAATTATCGTCATGCCGATTAAATAGGTCAGGGATTGTAGCAGTGACCAGAACTGTTTACACTATTCATTTTGCGGTTCTTTTGCATTACCAGGGGGCGCAACTTATTCCTTAGGATTTAATTTGTCAAATATAAATAGTGGTAGTGTGAGCGACAGGTTGATAGGACTAATATTCCGACTGTCCGAATTTACTTGAAAAATGCGATCCAATCCAATCCACGACCCCCCCCCCCCAACACGGACGGCCATTTTCCTGGGTGCACACACATCGTGCCGACAATTACGTCGTGCCGCCGCGTGTGGTTAATGTGTTGGCGGGATGTGGGCAAAAAGTCCCGAAAAACCGCTGTTCCATGTCCAGAGCCAGGGCAATAGGAGCGGAAATGGGTGTAATAAGTGAATTCCACAAAAATCCGGGCGGTTTTTTGGTGCGTAGCCTAAACCCAAGCCTAACTTAAGCCTAGAATTTAGCCTAAGCTGAGCTGAAGCCTAAGCTCAAACCAAAGTCTAACCTCAACCTGAGCGTACGGGAAGCACTTCCAGTAAAGTGATCCTACCAATGCTACCTAAACACCCTCAGAATTTCCGCTTTATTACTCGTGACACCTCCCACCCACATCCCGTTTGCTTACCCATTACTTCTGAAAAGTTTAACAAAGGTCGCCAAGGCACCCGAACCATTCAGACCTTTGAACGCTCCGAAAATATTTGCACGATATCGCCCGCGCGCCTTTTCTCACGTTTTCCACCCCCCCCCCCCGCGCGGGTCGAAGTGATGTTTCGAATGAAAGGCGTGGGACGGAGAAGAAAGGTGCCTACAGGAAGGCCATCTCTATGCAGAAAACACACAAAGCTACTCGCTCCTCAGGACCACTTCACGCCCGCCCGGTAAAAAGTGATTGGCAAGGGTATCAGCGGTGGGTTCTTTAGGTTTAGCGCGGGGGGAACCAATTTTTTTTCCTAGCGGTCCCGGTGGGCCTAATAAACAAATATAATATTTACATTGTTTTTAGTAAGCTTTAATTATATTTCAAGTAGAAAGCTTCTAAAAAGGTTAGAAGAGTGTATGAAAAATCGAAAATTTGGTCATTTTGGTGCGAAAAAAAATCAGTTCTTCGACCTAAAATTAAATTTTAAACGAAAATTTGGAACGTTTTGATGTTTAAGAATAGCTAAAAACAATGTAGAAATGTTGGCGCTAAAAAGTTGATTCCGCCGAATTTTGTGTTGTGAAATGCCTCGCAAACTTGCCTACCTGACGTTGAAGAGTCGGCGTAGTCTCGAGGCAAACCCCATGGGTACGGTGGAAGCAAGGATGCAGAGGGGGGAACTTTCGGATGACTGATCAATTTCGGGGTGCGGCTCGATCGACCGAGCCGCCCTCACAAAGCCCAATCTCAATCGCAAAAAGGGGCGGAAACCACCAGCTGGGTGGCGGAATCAAAAAATCCGTGGATGGCGAAAATTTGTTGGTTCGCGCGGCCGGGTGATAGATGAACAGCGCTTCAATTGGGGATAGCTGGAGGTGGTGCGCCTTTTGCGTTTCTCTCTCTCTCTCTCTCTCGCTCTCTCTCCCCAGTGCCCCGCTTTCCCTTAAATGGCTTTTCGCAAAAGTTGCATCCCTCAGGGCTAGTCGAGAAACTTGAGAAAAAAGGATTTTTATGAAGCCCAAACAGCCGGAAAATCAGTGAATTTGATCAATTTGAAACGAGGATCAAACCGTCGTATCGAGCGCTCTGTTTTCCTTTCATAAGCTTTCCACCTTCACACAATAAACCGCTAATCCAACGGCCATTGTATATGGCGCTCAGCGATTCACCCGGGGAAAGGCGCGCCTTTCCGGAAAGCCACTAATTACATGGAAACCGAAAAACACTTCGAAAAGGCTCCTGAAAAGAACAATTGAGGCGAGGACGAGGGTTCGGTCAAACGGAATATCGTGGTATTTTGTGATCCTTTCGGAGCAGCTACGAATTTGGCGAACCAAAAGAGATTTTATGGCTCACGCGAAACTCGCTAGAAAAATACATGACGCCCAAGCATGACGCTTGTTGACAGGATGCAAAATTACCACTGCACAATGGCCCTCAGCACATGCGAAAACCTTCCAATACCACACTATGTTGCTAAAACTTTACCGTAACTCACAAGGAGACGCTTTTGAGCGACGTCCGTACTTTGGGATGGGACCAAGCCTGCCTTGTGCAGAATTTTCTGCTGATTCCGAGTAGTTTCGAATATCGCCTATTCTCGAAATTTTGGAATGATTTAGGGCCGAAAAGCCACAAAACAGCAATTCTCGATGGACATAAAAGGATTAATGTTTTCTAGAAAATAAGCTACTCCGCTCAAAGAAAGTTGAAAATTTGAAAATTTTTAGAAATTAGTGGCATTAAGATGTATCAAAATTTTCAAATATTTGATTAAAATGAGGCATTTTATAGCGAAATATTTCTGAACAAGCTGTTTCTAGCTGGTTTTTTAAAATCGATTTGAAGATGTCGATCGTAAGCGGCCAATTAATGACGTTTTCGGTTTAAATCGTTTATAACTTTCGAGGGTTGGCTATTCCGCAAAAACGGTGACCATATTCGGAATCCGCGCAAAATTCTGCACAAGATAAGTACGGCCGACACTCAAAACGTTTCCTTGTCAGCTGATCTGTCCTCAAGGTCTGGCGGGTGTTCCTTCCCGGGAGCAAATTGTCGGGGTGAATTTTTATTTGTTTCAGTATTTTCTCGTGAAAGCACACAAAAAAAGAGCGCTTCTGGTGGCCAGGTCGGATCATCGAGAGCATAATTACCCGGTGCGTTATCCGGATGCCATCGCGCATATCGTACCCCCCTCCCCCACACCCAATGCCTCATTCTAAACAAGGCAGCCTCAACCCGATGGCATGCATACGTACGATTCCGCTAATTCTATTAATGCTTTTTCGGGATTCCGTCGGGTGCTTGTGCTTAGGATGTCCTCCTTTAATCCCGCTCCCTACGCTCCCACCCCTACTTACATTGCCAACCGTCGCCCCGGCCAGCAATGGCTCGATCCCACCACCAGCCCCTCCTCCCCCGCCACTCCCCACTACGGTAATGCCTTGAGTTATAGTAATAAAGGTTAAAAAAATATTCTGGAGAAGGGAGTTCGTTGATCCTCTCACTGGTTTTTCCACTCTCTACCCCCTCTCTCTTGCTCTCTCGCTCTCTCTCTCTCTCTCTCTCTCTCTCTCTCTGTCTCGCTCTCTCTTTCTCTCTCTCCCTCTCTCTCTCTTTCTGTTTCTCTCTCTTTTTTCTTTCTCTATCTATCTACCACTATTGCACGCTCTCTTCCTCTCCCTAGCTCAAAGCTTAGGTTTTGGCTTAGGCGCGCTTAGCCTTCGGTCAAAACTTCGCGTTCTCTAAAACAGATTTTAGAAGCCACCATTGCCTCCCGTCCCTGCACCATCGATCCCGAGCGGCACACCCCAGCTAATAGGCGGGGGCGCGGTGCCGAATCAGGGTGCACCTCCACCTGGAGTTGGCGCCCCTAGTGGTGGTGCTCCAGCGCCCCCAGCTGGAGGTGCAGCTCAGGCCCCTGGAGGTGCAGCTCCTGCCCCTGGAGGCGCTCCACCGGGTCCAAAAGGCGTGCCTGCGCCTGGAGGGCCTGCCGTTCCTTCCGGAACCACGCCCGGTAACCTGGGATTTCAATACCAAAAATGCTTTCGTTTAGCGCCTCTGCCGTCACGCCCGCGGCAATATCGGGAATTGGTGAGCCCTGACTTGTTCGATACAAACTGACTAACCCTTTATTGCTCGCTAACCCAAAATTTCAGGCTCCTCTCGAGTATGGTTTTGTTTCACCGAATTCCGGCCAATACCGGATACCTTCGGAAGCGGCCGCGCTTTCAGAGACAGGAGGCTCTGCGATAAACGAGGCGTACCGAGCGGCAGCGACCGCTCCGGCTCTTCCAGGTACGATTGTCTACGTTTTTGCTATAAAATTACTCCGTGCTTTCAGATGCAGGGGCCACCGTCTTCAGGATACCCAGCAACACCCCGGCGCTGCTTCCGGGTACGTTTAAAAATTTTTGTTTTTTAAACATGCCAAGAGAATAAGGAAGGGTTTTGTAGTCTCCTATATATCACGCTACGATATTTCAGAGACACCGCATTTAATACGCTTGGCCTCAATCCCTCCGCTTGAGCGCCAGGGCGTTGGTTCGTTTCCAATGCTGCCGGTACCCAGGCCATTGCCGCCTGCACTTCCTGCCTTCGCGCTAGCGCGAATTCAGCAGAATATAGGAGGATATCCCATCCCACCCCCGCCGATTGCACGACCAATACCTCGTCCTGTTGTTTACGTGAATGCTGCTGTCCCACGGCCGCCACCGCCGCCTCCGCCAAGACCTATCCCTAAGACCCTTCATCTCGTTCTTCCTGTTGAGCTCACCATTTAAGGCAAGAGTTGATAAAGAATTACCGTGTTAGCCAGTAGGTTCCGTCGATGTGAAATTGGTTGAAGGTTAGGGGGTAAAATATCGCTTTACAGAGTTGGATGATTTTGGAGGTTAATTTAATCATTATTCTGAAATCATTACTTCAAAAAGTCGTGACTTTAAACGTTTGACGTTTACCCGCTCCCCCCGACAGCCGAAGGGTCACAAAGTTTTCGGTATTTCCGCTATTTTTGCCGGGAATTTTTGCAACGTCATTCGATAGAGCGTCGAAAAATATACTACGAGTTTTAATTTGAGCCTACAATAATGCAAAATAAGAAAAGTTAAAGCTAAAACCTTCCGGCCGAGGGGGGGGGGGTAAAGTAAACCGTAGCCGTAATGATTTTAGAAGTAATGATCGTCCCCCCGAAGTTCGGGCAAGACTGTTCTGATAATACCGCTCCTCTATGTAGCCTTGCAGCCTTTTCAATGTTTTTTTCTTGATTTATTTTTTGATTCTGTACCTTGCCCTCGTGGCCAGATAAATTGATGATGCCCGTAGACATATTGCTCGGCGCGAACCCGGAATCACCAAACCAACAGACACCCACGGCTAATCCTATCTGGGGAAATAATGATTCATTACCTACGGATGTCCTTTAAAGCATACCAGAAAATTGGGAAACGGGGTTTCCCGGGTGGGGGGAAATTGCTGGGCGCGTACTGAAAGTAATAAAGGTCCAAAATTGGGCGGCGGGGCTTCGCGGTGGCGGGCGTGAGTAGAACGGATACGGTGGGCGACTCTGCCAAACACCTTTTTTCCCGTCAATGCTGGGCACTACAAAAATGTGGCTTTCGACCTTCGTGCTGACCGGTATTGTTTGGATATCGGCATGGGGACAGGTGAGCGTTAATGAATACGAGGACAAAATCGTTATATTTTCGCAAATGACTAACCTCAAAGCGAAATTTCATTAAGCAGAAAGCGTTACAACACCTTTGCACCCCACACGGAAACAAATTGGCCAAAATCGCTCACACCTAAAATAAGCGTACTCTTTATTATGTCAATATTTGGTCGGTTTTTAAACTTTTAATGGTACCTAAATTGGGCAACTATTTGAAGAAAATTTGCCGCTATGGGATTCGTCATACTGGATTTCGGTGTATGGAAATTTCTGTTTAATGGTTCGGTCTATTGAAATTTGAGCATGATAAAATGATAAAAGCTTGCGTCAAAACAAAAAATCCAAAACGCATGCGCACCTAAAATTTCGCGATTTCCTAAACTGAATCTTCCTAGACGGTCCGCCCGAAACAGACCATCCACATGGGTATGCTGTTCTCAAAAGACAGTTCGGCTCTCCGGGTAATCCTTAAATAATGTTTTACTTACCTATATATACCTTCAGCCATACGTTGGCTATCAGACGTCCGCCTCGGCCGCGTTGATAGCGATCGATCGCATCCGGAAAGAACATCTATTGGATGATTACGAATTCGAGTGAGAAGGTTTTTTTCTCAGAAGCAACAGCGGATACAGATTCACGATAATGTTCGACGAGTGCCTTGAGAGGTCGGCGATAGGCATGGGTGTCGAGATGCTGACGTCTTTGGACGTCGACCTGATCGTTGGACCCACATGCAATACACGTTAGTCAGGCAGCTCGGAGTGATACTAAGAACTTGCTGTTCAGCTGCGATCGCCGTTGGTGTGTTGGCCTCGTATTATAACCTGCCAGTGTATTTATGGGGTGAGACGACCGCATCGACGCTTGGTGTGCAGGAACGGTTTCCGACAACGTCTGTCCTGTCGCCAAACTCATACATGTATGCTGCATTAAAGGGATAAGGAAGGCCCAGTAGATCGGGGCTCATCTGTAACTGGCAACGAGCCAACTAGAAAGGCTAATGTAAAAAATGGGCCGAGAGTGGGGCGAAGCAGGAGGGAGCAGAGAAGAGTTATGCTGATTTTAGAGCTAAAACCCATTTCTGCTAATTTTTGCTGGGCCTTCCTAATCCCTTTAAATACGAGATGGCGCCTACAGTCGCCGGGACTGCATCAACAAAAATTTCAGGCTCGGAAAGGCCGTGCAGTCGTTGATGGAGCACTATGAATGGACCGAATTCGCACTCCTCTACTCGACGGAAGGTGACGCTGACAAATGTGAATATGTTCAAAGCGATATTCAGGTTCGCTGATTGTTCGATGCCGAAAAAAGCAACTTTTTAGGATGCTATTGGCGGGTCGCCTAAAGTTTTCATTTCCTACGTCGGCGACCTGCGGGGCCTGGAAACGGTCAATTTCAAAGCGACCCTGTCCCTACTGCGTTTCAGGGCTAGAAGTATCCTTCGCACTTCAAGCGACGAAAAATGACTTTTTAGTTTTTGTCTTGTGCATTCCGGAGATCAACGCAGCCAAGAGGAAGTTCATGCTAGCGGCGAAGGATCTAGGAATGCTAACCGACGAATTCCTCTACATTTTTGCCGACATGAAGACTCTCGGATACAGTAAGACTCGATCCAGCTTAACGAACTGTCTGAAAAAAAAACTGAACTGAAAAATGAACTAGAAATGTCCTCCCAATCTTATAAAATAGGTCCGCGCTATAGAGTCATCCAGAGCGAGAGACTGGGAGAGAGAGAGACTGGGAGAGAGACTGGGAGAGAGAGAGGGAAAGAGAGAGGGGGAGAGGGAGAATTGAACGACCCTATAGCGCAGACCGATTTTATTATGGTTGGGGAGCGGGGGGTGAATGTTGCTTTAAAACCGATTTACCTCGTTTACAGAAGCAATCACGGAAACGGGAGACTATCGAGACATCTGGGTGGATGTCAACAAGCCGTCAGATGGTCGAGATCTAGAAGCGCTCGAGGCCTTCCAAAAAACATTTGTGGTCTCGGATGTGAGTTGAGCAAAAATTTCGCTTGGGGTGGCGTCACGGCAAATTATCTCTCAGTCCCGTTTCGGACTTTTTCACATCAAACTTAGTTATTTTGCGCTAACTACTCAACCAAGGAGTATTGTACTTTTACTCTACCGTTCAACGCGAATTTGGTATACTTAATAGGCCTGTAGATGAAAAGGAAGCGGAGATCAATTTGGGAGGGGGCGGTATAACAGACTCTTACTTTTGATTATGCGTGAAGGTACTTCTTACAAATATATAAATATTGCTGAAACTGTCAACTATAGCTGATGAACTACGGCTCCTACACGGACGCGGTGAAGCAATTTGAGGAGCAGGTGATCATCCGAATGGCCGATCCCCCATTCAACTGCACGGCCGGGTGCTCAAATGAGGTGTATAAGCGCGTAAGACTTTTCCCAGAGGTCGCATGCGTAAAATCCCGCATGCAAGAGATGCAAGCGTAGGGACAAAGGAATGCGAATGCACGAAGTGAAAATTCAAAAACGCTCGTTGCTGCAAATGTATCATATCTCCTTTTTCTTCGCTTCAAAAGACTTCATAGAAAATTCCGCCTACGCCATCATGCTCGCCATAGTCGATAACCTAAGATTAGCCGCGAGCGTTTTTCGAATAACTCTTAGCGCATTAGCATCTCCCTTGCAAGCGTGGAATGTATGAGAATGCTACATTCAACGCCTTGTCCTACGCGTGCCTCAAGGACCTCAGACATCAGAACTTAACCGGAAACTGGGGTTTCCAGGCGTCCACCTATTCCGGACAACTTCACGACGCCGTGCTGCTCTATGGCTACGCGGCAAACAAGACGCTTGGACAGGGAATTTCGCTCCGTAACGGGAGCAGCATCCTCGAGAACGCTGACATGACTTTTGAAGGCAAGCCAGGACCTTGAACCATTCATAGGTTCTGGTTCTCGACCGTTAGAGCGGCGGTAGAGGATCCAAAAAATGGAAAGGACAGCATAAACATAACATTTGCCCTTAAGCATGGAAAATTCATAAAATTATTAACAATTTCAAACGTTTTTTGTACAAAAATTTCGAAATTTTATGAGCTTACGAAAAATTCGACGACTTTTTCGTAATCTCAAGCTAAAAAACAATACATTATGGGACGCCAAGAGTTTTGCTAGCCAGGTCTAAGCTTGATGCTCCCCTCCGCTACCCCCCCCCCGCTACCCCCTTCGCTAACAGCCCAGAACCATGTGTTTCAGGGGTCACGGGCACCGTGATCATTTCGAGCAATGGCACCCGAATGCCCTACTTCTATTTTGTTGGGCTGAATCAGTCCAATTTGCAGATGAACTATGCGCGCATATTTGTGCAGGGGCAGATATCTTCCGTGGGTTTCGTGCATTAACATGGGTTCAGCCAACATTCACCCGAATTCCAGTCGTTTAGACATTCACTTCAATCATCACGGACACTGGTGCAATCTTTTTCGCCAACGGTGGAAAACTGCCGCTGGCCGTGCCGCTCTGTGACTTTGACGGCTCAAAGTGTCCGGTATTTTGCAAATTCCCGGTCTTTGCGAACTCGCCAACACCAGGCATCGATTTGGGAACTGTATGGAGTCTACATCATCATCGGCATCGTCGTTCTCTCCCTTGCCGTCCTATCGCTAATCATCGGCATCATTTACATCATCCGGTGTGTTTTTCTAATTTTTTTTTTGGATAGAGGGGTCATAGGGCGAGGATGCTGGAAGAGGAACGGCTGATGCTCATCTGGCAAATACCCTCGGTACAGCTCCAGAAAGTGCAGATTAACAAAAAGTCGTGGGTTGCTAAGGGATTACGGTAGCAATCGATAATTAGTGTCGGGAAAAGCAAGCATTCTCTGCACAGTGACTATTCTGGAAGCACAGCGCTCAGCCAGGAAGACAGGTTGATGGAGAATTGGAAACAAGGTCAGTCTCGGGATGTTATGACGATTCGGATTTAGGGAAGTTTTTGCTGTACATCTACGAGCGAGAAAAAGTGCTGGTGGTAAAGCACACTGGGAAGCCGCGAATCGACAAGGCTGAATGTCTCGAAATGCGCAATGTGGGTCCCTTTGAGCATTCTTGGGAGCGAGAAAACGCCAAAATCCTGAAGTTCAAAATCCCGACAGCCGAAATCCCGAAAGCCAGAAACTCTAAATTTGAAAACCATTTTTGGGTAAAGCGACCGGGATAATCACATTTTGGCTGTCGGGATTATTCTTGAGAGCATTGAAAACGGTGAACAAGAAAACGCCAGCTGATTAGGATTCGAAAAACACATTGAACTATACCAGTAACGACTTCTAGATGCGACAGTATGAAAACGACAACGTCAACCGCTTCATTGGCCTCTCGGTGGACGGACAGCACTACTTGTCGGTATGGAGGCTCTGCTCCCGTGGTACTCTTTCTGTAAGTACAAGAGACCTCCGTTTTTTTCTACGAGATGTTTCAGGAAGTGCTCATCAACTCTCCCATCAAAATGGACGCTTTCTTTGCCTTCTCCTTAATCCGAGACGTGCTATCGGTTTACAAGCATCAACGTACATTAACCTCTAGCTCCTAGGGTCTCGCCTTCATCCACCGCACTCCCGTCGGCCTTCACGGAAATCTCACTTCAGAATGTTGCTTGGTGGATGAGCGGTAAGCCACGGGACTCTTATCTAAAATTCCGATTTAGATGGCAAATCAAAATCAGTTTATTTGGGCTGCAGGGGATTCAGGCGATGGACAAAAAGGTCAAGCGAGGTAATCAATAGGTAGAAGCGTAATTGCGCCGATCTCGCATTCAGATCTTCTGTGGACAGCCCCGGAAATCCTTCGCGACTCCAGCAACCCACCCACTAAAGCGGTATGCTGACGAATTACGAGTATTAGTCTGAAATTGTAGAGCGACATCTACTCCTTCGCTATCATTTCGTCTGAGATCCTGATGCGAAGCCCGCCCTGGGACGTCGATCAACGAAAGGAGAGAATTGACGGTTGGTCTTGTCCGATTTTTAGAACCCAACAAGCCACAACAAGACACAGCGGTCAATATCGCATTTTAGAATTGATCTACATGATCAAAAAGGGCCGACATCCGCCCATGCGACCTGAGATCGACCTGACGAACATGCCAGACATGAACACCTCTATGGTAATTTGGTTCTTTATAGCCTTATCGGGGGGCAACCTGTTTTCTTAAAATCTAATTTGTCACATATAAATAGTGGACGTGTTTCTAAGTCATTTTTTAATATTCCTGAACGTGCAAGCTTTACAAATTTTTATTAAAAAATATAAAAAACATCGATTTTGCGGCCAAAAAAGACAGATTTTGACCCAAATTTCGATTTTTGTAATGGTTTTAGATAGTTTTTAGCTGATTAGTCATTGTATTACTAAGATCGCTACTAAGACACTATTATTAAGTTACTAAAAATTTCTAGACTTATACAAAAAGTTCGGTCCCCCACCGATAATGCGAAAGAACCGGTATTTCCCATAACCTGTTCATCTACAATACCTGTTAAGGTACACCTAATCACCGACTGCTGGTCGGAAAACCCGCTCGACCGACCTCCTATCGATAAAGTGCGCGCGTCGATGCGAAACATTTATCACGGAAAGTAGGACCCGCCATGATTTCATTACTTCAATACCAACATTTTAGCAACAACAATCTAATGGATCACGTATTCCACATCATGGAACAGGTTTGGCGTAGTTGCGCAGGTTGCAAGACAATTTTTAGCACGCTGAAATGCTCGAACAGGAGGTGGATGAGAGGACGAAAGAACTGGTGGAAGAGAAGGGGAAAAGCGACCTGCTCTTGTACCGGATGCTGCCGAAGTAGGGATTCGGGTTTGAGGGTGCAATCCTTTTCAGAACGGTTGCCGATAAATTAAAGGTCGGTCAGACCGTAGCCCCGGAATCATTCGAACTGGTTACAATCTTCTTCTCGGGTGGGTGAATTTTTAATGCAGACCAGGGTTGAAAAGCCGCTTCGCGACTTTTCACCCCTGGCCCCGTCTCGGACCCCATACTATTCTGCCCTTTGCATAATTGTCCTCCATTCAGAAGACAAAAAAAATGAAAAACAACCCTTTCTGCCCCTTTATATAGGCGACGGCCCACTTCCGGTCTATGCTAATTATTCCTAACAAAAAGGTTTTTACAAAAACCTAAATTTAATAGCGAAAATGGCTAATTTTTAAAAAACTGATATGTGTGCAGTCATCCCTAGACCATTGCGCACCTAATGACGTATCATAAGCAGCCTAATACCCGTCCCTTCTTGAGATATCCTCCGGACAGACAGACGGAAGTGGATGCAAAGTGGCACACACACACAAACACTATTTTTTTTATATATAGTAGGACTAGGATTATCGTGAGCCATTTTAATTGTATGAAGTGATATTTTAGATGTGGTCTCGTTTACAACCTTAGCGGCTCGATGTACTCCCATGCAGGTCCTAACAACCCTTTTGAACCTAAGCAAATTCCGCTTAAGGTGGTCGACATCCTCAACGGCTTGTACTCGATCTTTGATCATGTCATTGAAACGCATGACGCCTATAAGGTTTTTACCGACTTTCCAAGCGCAAGACTTTAAGTTTAGGTAGAAACTATTGGAGACGGCTACCTTTGCGTCTCTGGACTGCCGAAGCGCAATGGCAACGAGCACGTCAAGGTAGCTGAGGCCCGGAATTTTAACGTTGTTCCGCTAAGGAAATTGCTGAGATGTCGTTGGAGTTGCGGAAGCAGGTTGCCACGTTCCGCATTGCGCATTTGCCGAATGAAAAAGTGCTGCTGCGTATTGGGTTGCACACAGGTGGGACAAGCTACCAATCGCCTACTCCGGAAACGCTAGCGAAAGCCCATAAATTTGTTTCTTAGGGTCTTGCGTAGCTGGAGTAGTCGGGCTCACGATGCCAAGGTACTGCTTGTTTGGCGATTCTGTCAATACGGCGAGCCGAATGGAAAGCAACGGAATGGGTTTGTGGCATCCCCGGATTCGTCACTCCCGTTTCTAGCAAACCAAATTCATATGAGCGGCGACTGCAACAACTACTTGCAATCGTTCTATCCGGGCCGTTTTCATACGGAGACTAGGGGCGACGTCATCATCAAGGTATCCCGGTTGAGTTGCAGAAATAATCCCGACAGCCAAAACCCCGACATTCAAAATCTCGACGGCCATAATCCCGACATCCAAAATGGCGATGATAATTCCGGTCGTTTTCCCCAAAAATGGTTGTAAAATCTGGGGTTTCTGGCTGTCGGAATTTTGGCGTTTTACCACCCCGATTTTCACTCCATACGATCACAACGATGCATTTTAGGGCAAAGGCGTCATGCAGACCTATTGGCTGCTCGGGCACAGTCAAGATTTCGTACATGCTGGTGAGTGGGGTAATAGTGAAATGATCGGGGTTCTGTCATTATCTCGAAAATCAACATCTCGAAAATCAACATCTCGAAAATAAACATCTCGAAAGTTCATTATCTCGAAAGTTAATTATCTCGAAAGTTCATTATCTCGAAAGTTAAGATCTCGAAAGTTCATTATCTCGAAAGTTAAATATCTCGAACAGTCGAATTCTGGAAATGCAGCAACAAGGATACAAGGCTAAAGAGCTGCGTCCCGACTGCCAGGCGCAACAAGCCCGCTGCGAGAGCTATGATGCTTATGAAACCATTAACTTCGTCAAGTTAATTGCCCAGACCTTTGATTAAATGATATATCGGAATAAATGCTTTTTATTTTATTTGTGACATCAATATCGGGTTGATAACAAAAGGTGGAGTAGAATGGTAAGGACCGGGTTTCAAGTTTATGAACTTTCGAGATAATTAACTTTCGAGATATTTAACTTTCGAGATAATGAACTTTCGAGATAATGAACTTTCGAGATAATGAACTTTCGAGATAATGAACTTTCGAGATAATTAACTTTCGAGATAATGAACTTTCGAGATGTTTATTTTCGAGATGTTGATTTTCGAGATGTTGATTTTCGAGATGTTGATTTTCGAGATAATGATAGGTAATCGAAATGATCACATATTCAAACTACCCCCCCCCACAATTTTTTTTAACTTTATCCAAGTTTTGCCCGAATGTCGGCGGAGCCGAAACGGAAACCGTTATCACTGTCCCTTCCCCGGGGGGAGCAGGTCATGGCGCACAAATCATATTTGCCCGAAAATGGGCATAGAGCCTTTGTTGTGTTTTTGATAGTGGCCGGCGGGGAAAGACGACCTCTAAAAGAAACGCAATGATTGCATCGTTTGCATGGATTAGCGACTTCAATAGAACCGCGAAGCATGCTATCATGCAGAGCAAGTACCTCTCTAAAGGGGCTCGGAAGGCAATCGCGCGCGCGGGGATTGAACCTACTGGTGAAAAAATGAAAGGGTTAATGCAGCGAAGTACCAGAAAAGTAATTCGTTGCGGAAAACGTAAATTTTTTGAGTAAAACCGAAGTATTCTTGGGGCGAAAACGACTTTTTGGGGGCGCAGCGATTACATGTCGTAATACCTTTTAAGGCCCTATGTCTCGCGATCCCGGTCATTCTCTGGACAATCTTAATAATTAACAAAATCTAGAATGATCACAATTCTATGAGGATTCCAGAAATTTTTAAATTTAAGCGTTTTCACGTCCAAACAGGGGCAAAAGAACATGCGACGCGGTGGCGTTGCGGTCGCATCTGGCTGCTTGCCAGGAATCAACGCTGGCGTCGACCAGATTTCGAAGCCCCTTTAATGCTCCGATACAGACAAATACCTCCTTAAATTGGCTGATTTTAGCCTTACAACCTCCGAAGGTTTCACAGCCTGGCACGGCTTCCACGATGTACAACGAATACAAGCGGCAGGACACGATGCGCGTCGACTCGATTGATGAACTTTAAGTGTTGTGGAATCCTTCAATTTTCCTGTAAAACTCGCTCTCGCTAAGGTGGTTTCGCTTCACAAGACTTTCGAAATGATACTTTGATATTCATATTGATCTCCTTAATAAATCTTGATTCTCAACTTCATTAACGGCCCGTTGACGCCATCATCTGGTGCAAATCGGTTCTTTCGCATTATGGGGGGAACGAAATTTTTGTCTTAGGATCCAATTTTTCAAATATAGTGGAAGTGCGTCTAGATGCTTTTTTACCATTCCTAAAAGAAAAACTAGACAAGATTGTGTTAAAAGCTATCAAAAATATCGATTTTTCGACCGAAAATGGCCGATTTTTGGCCAAATTTTCTACTTTTTATTTAGGTTTTTAGACATTTTTCTAGTTGAAATGTAATTATATATTACTAAGACACTATTAAACACTTTATATTTAGTTAGTAGGCATTTCTAGACTTATACAAAAAAGTTCGGTCCCCCCGATAATGCGAAAGAACCTAATAAACAAATAGAATGTTCACATTACCACATCGTTTGTTAGAACACGGGGGGATTGCCCTTTGTTTTGAGGATGCGTGTCTAGGGGGATGGCCGCTGGCCGGCAAAGGTCCCAGCAGCCAAATGATAAGGCTCTTATGGGTACACAAAATGATAGCATTCTGCCGCCCGCTTAGCCGCCACCAACTTTGGCCCGGCAGAAATGTCACAACCCCTCTTGAACCTATCCCGTTTCGGTTCTTTAGCATTATCGGGGGGGGGGGGCTTTTTCCACAAGCCTAGAAAAACTAAATTTAGCTTAATATACAGTGTTTTAATAGTGTTTTTCGTAATATATAAATATATCCTACTATATATAAAAAAATAGTGTCTGTGTGTTTGTGTGTGTGTGTGTGCCACTTTGCATGCAACTTCCGTCAGGGTGTCCGGAGGATATCTCGAGAGGGAAAGGGTTTTAAGCAACGTATGGTACGTCATTAGGTGCGTAATGGCGCTGAGATGACTGCACACACATCAGATTTTGCAAATTATGCTATTTTCGACGTTAAAATTAAGTTTTTGTTAGAAAATGGAGCACCCACTTTGTTAGGAATCAATTAGCATATGCCGGAAATGGCGCGAGTCTATATAATGGGCGGAGGGAGAAATTTTCATTTTTTTTGTCATCGGAATTCGCGAGAGTTATGTAAAATGAAGCATATAATGACGCTAGACGGGGGCCAGGGGTTGAAAAGGCGCGAAGCGGCTTTTCAACCCTGGTTTTAACTAGAAAAGATCTACTTTTGAAAAAGTCGAACTTTCGGTCGAAAATCGGCCCTTTTTGGCGGAAAAATCTGCGTTTTTGCGTTCAAGATTTAGATGCACTTTCACTATTTTTATTTGAAAACTTAGATCCTAAGAAGAACTGTTCGGTTCCCGCCCCCGATAATGCGAAAGAACCCCTAAAACTTTACAGATTTTGCAGATCCTACAGCTCCTTGTCAGGCTACTGTTTTTTATAAACAAAATTTGCCGAGCGGACCCGGCACCTCGAATGATTATATGGCAAAACGGTAACTAACGATCAACCATCATGGACAAGGTTTGTGGCTGTACAGCATACGTAAAGCGGAAATTGGGCTTTTCCAGCTCATCGTATTTTTTATCCTCTTTGGTACAGTTTACTTTCTCGAATCGATCGGAGGATTTTATATGACCAGGTACGACGCCTCTGAAAGGGATGCCGACGGCATAGACAATCGTTTACGCGCGGAAAAGAAAATGTCTCTGCGCCTCTCCCCAGGGCGCGCTCTCTCCCCTGTTGGCTACTTGCCAATTTGTTGATGAGCGAGATCGACACATGCCGTCGGCAGCCCTTTAAGCTCCCAACGCAAATTATCGAAACAGCACTGATCTTGAATTTTTAGCGCTGTTGTCTATATCGAGAAGCAGTTCCAAATTCCGTCCCGGCTCTCCGGTACGATGGTCTCAGCCGGAGACTTTGCCTACATCCCGATCGTGGTGTTTGCGAGTTATTTTGGAGGCAAGGTCCGATTTTAGCTTTCTGCCACATTTTTAATCTGAAAATTGCGTCCCTTGTTAGCTCATCGAGGATTGAAAATTTGCATTTTAGGGGAACCGAGCCCGATGGATCGGCGCCGGGTGTATACTGATTGGAATTGCGAACCTACTGATTGCCGCATCAAACTTTGTATTCCCGGTGGAGGAGTTCAACCTGGATGGCAAAAATGTGCCTGTCGCGCTCGCCTACGAAACAGCAATGTAAGCATGACATTTCTGCGAAGGCGATTTTAGGCTTAAGCTTGGACTTAGGCCTATTCTTAAGCCTCACATATCTCCATACTAGCCGTATTATACATATTAATCTCATCCTGGTCATGCCTAAGCCAAGCCTAAGACTAAGCCTAAGCCTAGGCGTAAGACTAAGCCTAAGCCTCAGCCTCAGCCTCAGCCTAAGCCTAGCCTAAGCCTAAGCCTAAGTTAATCCGTCTGACTTGAATGTCTTTCAGAGCCCAAAACCGCTCGGGTATCGTGTCGTTCGAGGAAGTGCTTAATCGAGCTGACACAACAGGAGAGCTTACAGCCGCCTTTGTAAGTCAGCAACACCCATCCATACCCAACTTGTGTCTAGGCTGGCAAACGCTACAACCATATTTCGGCAGCATCACCGTTTGCCAGCTACCAATACCTATGCTTTTACAAGGAGGGCTCGACTGCTTGTCGTCGTATTACGGTACTTCCCCTTTTCTGCCACATAAAGTCGTAAATAGGAAATTTTGCACCCGATGGTGGCTGTCGACGAGGAAGTTGTGGCCGGCGTTAGGATTCTATCCTCGTACCCTTTCGCCTTCTGCCATGCCGGATTGAACCGTCTACGACAAAAGGTGCTTTTTAGGACAACAGCTAAGCTTTTTCAAGATAGGTGTTAGCCCCATAGCCTCCCTATAGCGAATATTCTGGATTTTCAGAACAATGAAATCGAATGTGCGAAGGATCGCAGCTCCACCGGCCCATTCTTAACCATCTTCACCGGTTTGCTGATTCTCGGTGTCGGCAGGTTGGTATCTGAGCGCAGCACAACAGATAGCAATTTCAGGACAATGCCCTTCTCACTGGGACTTCCACTGATGGACGACAACGTCAAGAAGCAAAATCTACCCGTATATTTCGGTAAGCGGGGCTGAAGAAGTCATAAGCCTAAGCAACTAAGCCTAAGCCTAAGCCTCCTACACCTTATTTAGCCGGGATGTTCTTTGTCAAAATCCTCGGACCCATCCTCGGTCTGCTCGCCGGCAGCGTGCTCAACAAGATCTACGTCAACTTCAAGCGTATGCATTTTCTTAAATTTCAAAGAGCCCATTTAAGCGCCGCAAGGCCTGACGCCGCTTGACCCCGCTTGGATTGGTTGCTGGTGGCTGGGGTTCATGATCTTCGGGCTGTTGCTGCTGGGACCATCGATTGGTGGGTTAGAAATGCTGTTCTTCGTACATTCCATTCTTAGCCCTATTTTTGTTCCCCTCCGACGATATGGACGTGGATGCAAAGGACGCTGAAGAACCGCTGAATGGGGCAGCACCGTAAGTTGTATAATTCCGATAGCTCTCGCTCTCAAAAGCCGCTATAATTTTATTTTCCAGCTTTTTTTGGCCCAAGCCTAAAATTTTTTATAAATGGAGCATGCTTTTCTAAACTGTTTTAAACGATTCCTAAGGACAAAAACTTTAAAAATTTTGCATTAAAAATTTAATTTTAGGTTGAAAAATTGATCCATCCGACCAAATTTTCGCCTTTTTTAAGCACTTTTCTAACTTTTTTTGAACGTTTTTCTTGTTTAAATATTTACTAAATAAATTTAATTTACTAAATATTTAAATAATTTACTAAAAACAATGTAAAAACGCGATATTTTATTATTAGACCAACCGGGTCCGGTGGGAACACGTTGGTTTCGCCGAATCGCCGCCAATACTAAAGAGCGGCTTTAGCACATGTCGACATTGTGAAATTTTGACATCATGACATGTTCAATTTAGAGCAAAAAAGCAACGCCGATTGATCCTGGTCGACAAGCACGTTCGCAAGAAGTCCGACGGCCAGGCCTTCATGCCGGAGACAATGCAGGACAAATTTGCGGGTATCCATAAATAGCAAAAAAACGGTGTTTGTTTAGATTTTAAGAAGACCCTGGTGGCCGTCCTGAAGAGCCCAATCTACACGGGATCGCTGCTCGGTAGGATCGTCGACGTGCTGGCATTCAAGGTAGTTTTGGCATCAACGTTGATAACGATCTTTAGGGATTCTTCGTGTTTCTCGGGAAATACATGGAGCTGCAGTTCGGCGTGCCGCAGCATAAAATTCAAAAATTCATGGGTAAGGATTTTTCTAGTATAGCTTATCCTAAGGTTATAGCCGGAAGCGGTGTCGTCGGTTTCGCTCTTGGGGTCGGGTTTGGTGCATTTGCGATGCGGAAGTTTCGGTTGCAGGTATGTCCAGCTCAAATTTCTTTCCAAATGTCGAAATTCCATAATTTGGCAATTTAATAATGCCGAAAGTTCAGAATGTCGACATTTTTGCATGAGTTGGGGGGCCGGGGGTTCTGGGAAAATTAGTTGTTATAAATTTCGACATTCTAATATTCGTCATTATGAAATTTCGACATCATGACATTTTCGACATTTCGAAAAAAAACCCTACAATCTTCGGGCATGTTTAGGGACGCAAGGCAGCAGCCTGGGTAGGTGTGTGCTCGTTGATGGCCGCCTGTCTTTCTTTCCTGAACGCTGGGGTCGGATGCAACAGTGTGCTCGGTGACATCGGCCAGCAAGCTATGTACGAATTAATAGTGAAACCACAGCCAAGACCCCCCCCTTCCAGCCCATCGCCAGCTACTGTATCTCGGTCTCCCCGTGCGCTACGGGACTGTAAAGTATACCAAATAACTGGGAAGACCAAGATGAACATTTTCGTATACTTTACAGCCCGGTATTACAATGGGGAGCTAGGATACAAAAGTTGTGGTCGGCTGAAACTTATCCGGTTAAACTCGACGTTGCTCGTTCAGGCGCACGAACAACACCTTCCCTTCCTGCCGGGCTGACTGTGTCTGCGACACGATGCCGTTGTATCCCGTGTGTAACAAGGAGGTTCGCAAGCAGTATCGCCATGCAAACTCCATTCAGGGCAAAGTTTTCTACTCGCCATGCCACGCTGGATGCCCCTTGGGCGGCGCCAATTTCACGCTGTTTGCGGAAAAACCGGCAAACGAAACGCTGGTGAGCTGGCTTTACAGTCGAGATACCAACTAGTCTTTCAGCCTGTTTTCAATGATTGCGCGTGCGCAGGTACCGAAGATGGCGAGGTCTCTCGCTCGCACTGTCCGGTTGAGCAATGCGAGTGGCAATTCAAAATCTATTTCGCCAACCAGGTAGCTAATAACGCGTTTTGAAAGGCTAACTGCTTTTTTAGGCGATTGGCGCCCTCTTCGGCGGGATGGGCGTTGTGCCCGCCATGTTAATCATTTTGAGGTCTGCAAGGATTCGGTTTTAATCTTATCCCTTTCACATCTAGGTCCGTTGCCCCAGAACACCGTAGCGTATCGTTGGGTATCAACGGCTTTGTCGTCAGTCTTTTCGGTAAGCGAAGCTTTTTAAAAGCACTTTTTTGAAATTTGAAAGTTGTTTCAAAATGTCGAGAATTATAGTGTCGCAATTTACATATGCTAATTTTCCCGGAAAACCACCGGATCCAATGCAAAAAATTCGACTATGACATTATGATAGCAAAGCCAAACGCATGTATTGATCACGCACCTCTCTAGCGACTCTCCCATCGCCAGTGATGTGGGGAAAATTAATCGACATGTCTTGCATTGCCTGGTCGACGAAATGTGGTGAAACTGGGGCTTGCTCTCTGTATGACAACGAGCAGCTGCGGTTACGGTAAACCAAAAAATTAGACATTTGAATGTGTCTTTAAGCCTGCACTTCATATATGGTGGTTTGCGTCTTATATCCCTGTTCTCTGACATCTGGGTATTCTACTGGGCCAAAGGACTCAAACTACTTGACGAAGAAGACGTGGTCACGGCTGAGCACACAGCAGGTTGGACACGATAAAATATTCCCGCAACCGCACTAATAGTTAAAAAACTGTTAAAAATTTAGACAACCCACCGGATTTGCACGCGGGCGAGGCAAATGGAAAACGAAGTAAGCGAAGCCAAGTTCGTCGCAACGAGTTTTTGCAGAACTTGTAGCATTCAAGTCACCTGTTTATCGCATGGCAATTTTCAAATATCCGAGACCATTATAGCCAAATTGCAGGAACAACACCAGATGAGGAAGCTCGGGAAAGGAAAATGACAACCGAGGCACGCGAACTCTTACAACAACTTGAGGAAGGTTGACAACGACGAGAGTGACCCAATAGAATTAAAAAATCGTCAATAAATTATGGATACAATAGAATGATTATACACGCGAAAGGTGACTGCTTCGAAATCAATCCTTCCCATTGCTCACAAAATCTTTTTGATCCTCCGAGTCGCTTGCGTCTGTGGAGAAATTTTCGCTACCATCGTCACCAAAGTCAAAATCGAGCGGGACGGCTGTTGGCAGATATTCTGGCGGGATTAGCTGCAGAAAAAAAACTTTTTTAAACACAGCTAATTGATGTACCTCGATTTCATTCAAACTGCCAGAAAACTTCAGCGTCAGCAAGATGTTCGGTAGAAAAACGTGTCGGTCGCTAAAATGAATTGTTGATAGTTTAATCACTTGCATACCTGTCCTGCACATTTGCGATTGGGCAAACTTCGTCAACTGCACAACGCAACGTAGAATAATGCTGGTCATCAATCAGTCCCTTCGTCTTTAGGCCTGCAACATCCGAGTAAGTATATGTCAAAAACGTATCTTTCCCATTCTAATGAACCAAGTTTTTGACATACCTTCAATCACCTTTAATGTGGTCGTCGGATCACAATTCAGGGAAACGTTCGGAGTAACAGAGTGGAGCGTAGCCATTTGAGTAAGAATATCGCGCCATTCGCTGAAAGCACGACTGTGACGGGGGGGAACCGTTTACCCAAGTTCACGGAAAAGAATCTTTCAAAATCACCAACCAGGTATCCTCCTCGCAGATCTCGCAGTCAATATTGAGCGGCCTCTGGGCGGGCAAGGTCTCCTCCGATCCGCAGCATTGTACAAGGAATTTTACAAAGTCCGCATTGCATCCTCGAACCGTTATAGATTTAAATGAAGTAGGCTAGAAAAACTATAATCAACAATTATAGACCTACTCGTTGCACATCGACCGACTCCTCCTGTGCCCAATATGTACACCCGTGAAAGGTTAGATCAACCTCGGTCTGCAGGGCTGAAAAAAACGGACCATTTCTCAAACAGCATTTCAAATACCGCGTTGAATCGTACGCCCGTGCAAGGTGGCTTCGTTGAAAGTGATAGATGCCGGAAGTCTGGTCGCCTCGCACCAGTCCAGAAGTCGAGACGATAATGTAGACCCTTCACCCTAAATGACAATATGAAGCCCATCCGTAGCTAAAATTCAATCCAGTCCGAACACCTACATACCTCGCACATCAAGCTCATCTCCAAAAACCAGCCCGGCTGCAGCAGAGCGCCTAGTACGTGTAGTGGCTGCAAAAATAGTATATCTTGTTTTGTACTTCTCAAATTCGCGGGTCAAGTAATGTACCTCTTCAAGGGACCTATTATACAGCAATGAAAAGAATTTGGAGGTGTTGATTTTTATGGTTGTGCGCTCACGGTTCGTCCAGGATTCCTAAAACCTGATTATTTTGACGATCATTTTTCAAAAACCTCAAAGGCAAGCCGAGAAATAAATGGTTGTATCGCGGCCCGCTCTTCAGTTGGGATCAGTTGTAGATCGTCCCATCTCTGAAAACAAATATATTCGTACTCGAACATCACGTACAATGTTAGCATTATGAAGCGCGTCAATCGGAGAAGTTGCAGTCATATCTGGAAACAAATAACTTTTCAAATAGTCGAAATAGGATTTCAAGTTTTTTCGAAGCCCGGCAGAGAGACGCAATGTCCGACGTACAATCGGAGAGATAACAGCGCCTGAACCGATCGAATAGAATTTTTCGGGTCAAGCCGATACGTTTTTTCATGTTGCAAATAATAATCTTTGTTAGCCGGTTTATTTGTCCAAAACACGTAATTTATCACCCGGATTCGGAAAATAAGGATCACAGAAAGCAAGGAATCAATATATACATAAAATCACGATATTTCCACATACAATACTTCGTCGGTCACGATGCCGAGGTCCTAGACGAAACATAATATTGCAAATTGGCTCATACCAAAAGAGAGGCGCCGAATTGCGCTGCTGTGATCATTCTTTTCGGATAGTTTAGCACCAAAACCACATTATAGTTGAAACCATACTCGTGGATCTTGTCGAACAGGGCCTGAAAAAATTATTTTGATAATTTAAGTAAATTCTTACTTTTATCGGGTCGCTGGGGAGAAAATGAGCTTCAACGCGTCGACCATCGGGCAGTCGAAGGGCGATTCGGAGATATTTCTCGTAGAGCAGTTCAGATGATTGGCTTGAGGAAGCGGAGGCCGGTCCTGCGGCTCGTTTTCGAATAAATTTAAAAGAAACCTTGTAAGGATTGCTCGTGGGCTGTGAGGTGGAGATCTTGCATCTTTCCTGCAATAATATAAATACAATCTGAACGTATTGCCCACTTTCCAATGTGCGAGACCTCTTGTGGTCAGGGGGTCGTGAAGGGCGTTCGGAAGGCGATTGTTGTTCCTGCCATCCTCTCTTTGACATTCTATCTCTATGACAAGGGTCCATCCTGCTTAAAGTGTTTGTAATCGATATTTTTGAAGTCAATCCAATTGTAGTCTCCAAACGATTCGGGTAGAAAAGTTTTTATTCGACAACAGCAAAAACAAATAACTAAAGGGATTTGACCCAATCACAGCGAAAACTAGGTTACCATATGCTAAAACAAAACAAAAACTAGCTAAAAATACTCGTAACATGGATGGGGAGTCCTCATCAAGGGTTTCAGCTGGCAGAGATCTAGGCACCAAACAATCACTAAAATGAGAATTCTCACCTTTTGCCCGGCCAGCTCGAACTCTTCGCGAACGCTTTTTGCCAATGGGAACGAAAGTTCTTTGCACTTTGCCTGCAGATTGGAGATGGCCGTGAAGTCACCAGTCGCATCTAAGAAAGCAGACTTTTCGAATTTGCCCAATCCTTACAATAAATTTTGATCAGATCTCCGAGCAGCTGATTGAGCTTCGTCTGAGGAATGAAGTTGCCCTCGGCCCAGAAATCAAACATCGAGCGGAGGACATCCACCTGTAAGCAAATTAAGACAAAACTTCAGCACTTACCCGCTTATCCTCTGCGGCTCTCCGTACCAGATATTCATAGACTTTTATCGGGATTTGCAAGCCGGGGCTCTGAAAAAGATGATATACGATTTTGAAGCAGAAACTCGAAATCTAGAATTTGGAATCCACAAAAAATCTTCCAAGAATTTCGGCATTATAAATTTTTAAATTGGAACAAAACGCCTGGATCCGGAGTTAAATTTTACCGTGAGCATCTTCTCGGCCGCGTTGACATGGCCCGCCTCAAGTAGCACGTATCCGATATTCGTTGATGCTGAGTTCCGATCGTGGTAGCGCGTGATCAAGTCGAAGACGGACGACAGAATCGAGCGATTATTGCTAAAAAGTACTGATTTCCGGGCGAGCGAGTTAGCTAATCGTGCCCCACAAGCAAAACTCACGCCGCCACAGCAGCACGCGCAATATGAAGCCATCCAAAAGCCGTTTTCACACGCTGAGCCTCAGCCATCGCCTCGGCAAACGCCGTTTCTAGATCTCCCCTAAACAATAGCGTCCCGGTAAGTTAATGCCACATACGCCTCAATACATTTCAAGATGCGTTTCTCCATGCCGGCATTCACGACGTGTCTTGCGATAGTTTTGTCCATATTCAGCGAACCAATAAGGTATTTCTCCAGACCCTCCAATTGCGCAAAAGAGTAGTCCTCGAGCGATTTTCCAACCTGAAACAAAACAACAATTTTACGTTAGAAACTTGTTACTGACCTTAGCCACGTCTTCAACACGGAGAGTCAAGCGGTTTTTCAGGCGCGCCGTAATCTATAAAACACTTATTAACGAAAGCGGAATAGGCTTACGGCATCAGCATCAACCACTCGGTCGTTGAGAAACAACCCAGCGACCAATCGCAATAGCGCTTGCCCGTCCGGCGTGATCGTGGGACTAAAATAACTCGTTGTAAAAAATGTTCGCAGAACACGAACCATGTTTCCAGAATTTGCAGAGCCTCGTCAAAGCGGCCTTCCTGATTGGCGTATCGGAGTGCGGCATCCTAAAACTATATTTATGCCAAGGCCTATTTTGAATTTGTCGAAAATTCTTCACTTCATCACTTCATCGAAAGGTCCTAGCATAATTTCAATTTGTCGAAATTACATTAATGACGTGAAACGTTACGATTTTCGACATAGCAAAATTCTGAACCGAACTTCCGAGAAAGTGATTTTCGACAGTCTGATAACAAATCATAAGCAGACCTTGAAGTGCCAAACGTCTTTGGACTGATGTTTCAAATCCGCATCCCCAAAGGCAATGAGATAACGGATCCCGGCGTGTAAATCAAATGGCTAAAACAATATAGGGTAAGTTGCGTAAAACGGGGATACCTCAACGTTCCTAATCCGAGTCAAAATTGCCACGTATAATGGCGTTGGGTCATAATCTTCGTTTTTTCGCTTGAGATGCTCAAGTTCACGCTCTAAGTCTTCGACGGATGCCCTCATGCGACGTGCCCAGGTCTAACGCAAACAATGGACAGACATTTGTGAAAGACATACCGAATCGCGTCGCTGTAATTTTTCTAGCGTCTCTACTATCTTCTCGCCATATTTAGTCTTCAGATCCGCGAACCTGCCCTTCGCGATGTTGACCGACGAGTGATTCTGAAAGAAATGCTATCGAAACAGGAAAACATCGCCTACGTCTTAACATATCATTTGTTTTAGACCCAAGGAGACAGTAAAAATGTCGCTCCGCTAATGTACCAGAGCCAAAATTCCAACAATGCCAACGAGTCTCAGAGACAAAACGAACCAGAACTAAGCAATCGACCAAAGCATCCGCAATCTCGGGTTTCGCTTTTGTCAATGCGCGGATGAGGAAGGGTTCCGTATGCTCGTTCTCGGCTGGCTTGTCTAAAAAAACAATCATGCTGATAAAAGCATTCTTGCCGGAAAATCCAAGTGCCATTATCCGGGCGGCCAACGGAATGAGTCGTTTGGAATTTTGGTCGTCGATTCCGGCGACAAGTTCATTAAACATGCGCTGTATGGGCACAAGGTCAACTCGTTGGATCGCTTTGCTAAAACATTCACTTACAGCGAATTGTCCCAAAAACCGACTTGTCAATGAGAGCGACCAGCTCTTTGTCCGCGTTCAGGTCAATTTTTCGAAATCGGAGATAGGCGTCGACAATCGCAGCCCCAAGTCTCCGTTGTGTTCGCGGCTCCTCGCCCAGCAACTTGATTGCTCCAGAGATCGCTTGACTATCTAAAACTTCAACAAACTCAAAATCCAAAAAGCAGGGGCTCACCAAAGTTGAAGGCGCGGCAAATGTATTTGTGTGCCGTTTCGACGACTTGCATCCTGTATTCAGGCATCGAACAGAACAGACGAGCAACGGCAACAATACGTTTCGAACGCGGTAATTCATTTCCCGCCTAGAATTGCGCAATACATAACAGAAAAAAGTCAAAATACCGCGTTCGAGAGAATTTTTTCCGCCAAGACAACTCGTTTTTCGGGATTGTATTGCAGAGCGTCTGACAACTGAAAAAAAAAGTGATTGCATAAAAGAAAAATTTTTGCCTCATTGGGATCTTTGACTTCGTCCAGCAGTGCATATAAGCGCATAGACGACAGGTTGTCTCCTACTTGTAGCAGGACGGCGGCTGGTGAACTAAAATTCTGCATGTCCAAGCCGGCAAACCAAAAATAAGCTTACCTGATCAGCCCAAGTTCCGAAGCCTTTCTCAACATGTTCATACCAGCACCAAAATCATGATTTTTGTCGCAAAGACGTTGAGCAATCTAAATTTTAATTAGCTCAAATGTGATTCCTTCGCCGGCTTACAGCTTTCGTAAGCTGTTCTTGGATGCGGTCGTTGGTTTTTTCCAGGTACGTATAGGCTTGCAGGGCGCTTTCAAGACGTCCCTCCTTGAGACGAAGCCAAGTGTAGATATACTAAAAAAACTCCCGGCATTACTCGCAACAAACCAAGTCTTACCATTTTTTTCTGGAACAAAGCCATTGCTTTTTCCATTCTGCCATGCGACCAATTGTTGACAAGATCGCGCAGCTAAATGAGGTCTCAGCTTAGAATTCAGTTCAAACCTTTTCCGCCTCATCGAAATGATGTCCATCCAATAGCGCGCACAAGATTCTTCGCAGCTGCTTCGTCGAATTAAACTGGAAAAATAAGCCTTTTCCTAAAAAAAAAACACCTACATTGAGTCCATTAGTGGACACCAAGGACAATTGTTGCCGTAGAACCTCTAGATCGCCACGACTAGCAGCAACTTCGCCCACATCAAGTCGTAGTTCATTGCGGGTAAACTCGTCGGCTCCGGCAAGTCTCTGAAAAGAGCCAATAAAGTGTTGCTTTAGAACCTCACCTGGATTGCTTGCTCGGCTTCTGAATATTTTCCTTCTAGGGCGAGGGCACGAAGGAATAAAGGCGACAGCTTTTCATCGATGGCCAAATTCTCGGATTTCGCATAGCTAATGATCTCACTACAACAAATAAATTTCCCAAGAATCTTAGCGCACCTGACGCCTGTCGGGTTTTGGGCCACACTGTATGCGCGAGCCAATTGGACGCAGAATTCGTTGGTGGGAGGGATGCCGTGTGTTTCCCATTCCTGAAATATAAAAATGTCATCAGTCAAATAAAACCTGGAGTTGGGCAATGACGTCCACTTCTTGACCGTTATCAATCCGCGCTCGAAGAACCGATGTCTTGGCCAAGGGTCCCAATTTGATTCCTAAAAAACGTCGTCGAACACTACATCAATAGACCTGCAGCCGATAGTTTTTGAAGAGCCACAGACAGTGCTTCTGCGCGTCGACCTTTTGGGGTGTAGACGGAGGCGCCACCGAAGCCACGGAAAATTATAGCCCATTGCCGATCAGTCAGCTCGGGCTAAATTATATAATTTCAAACGCAAATGTGGTAACATACGAGAGCGTCTGTCTTAAAAAAGTCGGCGAGTTTGTTGAAATGTTTGTCCAACAGTTCGTTTCGCCATTCGATGCTAAATCGGGGATTTGAATAAGCCTGGAAAAACCTTACTATTCCGTGGCCTGGTGAAGGTCTTTCCAGTCGAGGTTTTCCAACCCTTGCTTGTGCTTGGCGAGAAAATTTGGGTCATTTTGTCGCTTATCGCTAAAAAAATAATGGATTCTATGACGCTGGAAATAACCAACGATTTGGCAAAACCGAGAACTGTCGCCGGCTGAAAAGAGCTTGAAGTGGATGGAGTTGCAGAGGCAGTGCTGGAGAGCCGCAATAGCAGACGGCTTCTACTCGGAATATTAAGAAACCAATAAAACAAAACCTCGTCACGGCCGATCGAGCTGCGCTCAGCATCACGCGGCGGGTGAAGCTAAACCTCAAAAGTCCTAGCCACCTTTCAAAAGGAATCATTGTATTAGCAATAAGCATCGAATCGTACCAAATGCGAATTATTCATATGCAGCAAGCCGTTTTGTCAAAAGTTTATTCAGGCACGAAACGAGCAACAAAAAATCGCAACAAAAAAGACACTTTCTAAGCTAAATCTATCACGTAGGATATCTAGTCAATGAAATATTCTACAACCAAAGTCACTTGACGCAACCCGGAAAGGGCTGGCTTGACGAATGCACCAGTTTAGTCGCGTTTCGCTAAATGGCGTGTTTTTGACTGTTTCAAAAATATTTACTTGGCGCCACTGGGGGTGGGCGGATTTTCCATTTAGCGCACCAGTTGGCCAGTAGCGTTTCGTCCTCGCTGAGCCGTCGGAATGAATTTTGAATCAATTCGATAACGTCGTGCCGATCGTTGGGATTCACCTGAACAACGATTGAAGTGATAAGACGGGGCCTACCTTCAGCTTCTTCAATGTTTTCTGCTTCTTGTTTGCTGAAAACCCAGCATACTCGCCAATGACCTTCATCAGTCGCTCATCCAGAATCTAAGAACAAGCTATTGCACGTGGAAGAACAAATAACCTGCTCTGGTTGGTCCGGCGCGGTCTTCGACTTTTTACGTTGGTTAACCATCATTAAATCGCACAGCCCTTCAAAAAGTATTGGGTCGCTCTAAAAGAATCATTTTAGGGGGACGTAAATGCCCAACGCTGCTCTCGAGGAACGCCCGCATTGCACCACGTAAGTCCTTGGGCCGGACAACAACCTAAAAGATTGTAGAAACATGAAATGAAAGGCAATGAGCTACCCGATTCAACAAGAAAGCAGCTTCCGCGTCTCGTCCTTTCCTTGCCAACGCAAAAGCCAATTCCGCCACAACAGAACTGGGGTGTCGATTCATCCGCTTGGCAAATTGACAAATCAAACCTAAAAACTAATATAACTAAATTCACCGAGAGGCACCAATTCGTTTGCTATCCGACTCATCATTGCACAATGCACTTGTCAGAACTTGCTGAATGCCGTCGCAGCGTGAGAAATGTTGCGCAAGTGTCTCCCAGAGCTGGAACATGTCGCCAAAAGTATCCCTAAAATAGATCTTTGGGAATGCTATTAATGAATTTACCCTTTATCAATGCTGTTTTGCAATAAAACCGTGCAAAGCAAATCGCTTTTAAAGGTGTATCCATGGAGTTCGGCAACGTCGAAGAATTCGATGCACTCTAAAACAAATGTTGGGTCCCAACGAGGGCTTGGGCACCTGCAGGGGTGCTCCTCAAGGCCAAATGTTGCAGCAGTGGCTTCGCGAGTTTGTATGGCAACATCCCTTCAGCTACAATTATTTCTTGCCATAAATCAAAATTGACGCACGAGGTCTGGCCAAAAAGACGGATCGATGTCGCAACAATACTTCCCCGGCTATATTAGCGGCGTTACTCTAAATATGCGGACTACCAGCAATTGTGCATCTACCAACCTGACATTCCATTGCGGCGCGCATTGCCAAACGAACCGGCAGCACATCGGGTATCCAGACCTTCATCGAAGTTGATGCACTGGACAACGAGTTAGGAAAGTGATGTGCCACTAACTATTCTTTAAAAAATGCTTCCGCTTCGCGCGCATCGATCGCATTCTGCAGCACAAACTCGAGCATTCCCCTCGCGGATACGTGCGGCATCGCCGGCCACCGTTGTGCGCTCAGCACGCGGCGGAACTGATCAAAGTCATCTTTGGCCATCGCAGCTTCTAGAGAATCAATCGAAGCCCAGTCGGTGCGTGAAGAGCTTGGGTCGAACCTCTAAATCGTACAGCCTCCGTCGGTTTAAGCAAAAGTCAACCTCAAATTTTGGGTCCAGTTTCAGGGCATTCACGATGGACGCGCCGATTCCGGTGCCGAGTTGATGTCTCGCCAAGGGAAGCGGGACGACGGGTTGCTGTTCACTAGATCGGGATTGAGAAAATGTTTCGTGGCAGCACCTGACATTTGGGCCAAATTGCACTATGCTCGGACTTGGTGTTGCCGTCGAAGTTGAAGGCCCCGCTGTTGTAGCTGCACTGTAGAGACGAGCAAGTAAGCGATTCCTGGAAAGGGAAATTACTGATACATAAAGCGCGAAAACCAAGAAAGAAGTCATCCATGCAATCTCGGGTCGAATAGTTTACCATGGCTAGTAATACCCACCTATACAACGTAGTGCGTGCCACACTCAACATCTTTCAAGTGTCCTTCAGAACAATTCTAAAATTTAGAAGTTCTAAGATTTAGAAGTCCATTAGGGCATTAATATCGGTGCGCGAAAAGAGCACATTCCCACAGCCCCTGACGTCCATAGGCGCGTCAGGTAGCCCTGTTTTTGCGGTGGTAAGCCATTTACACCAAACTCGGGTCCATCCGTCATACTGCAACTTACAAATTCTTTCAGTTAAACTTTTTGAATTTTGCCAAATTTGACAGCTATGTTTTTTAGGCACCGATGAACGCCCGACGTTCATTTCGAAAAAAGCTCAAGAAGGAGGACATCTCGACGCCGGCAAATTTTGAACATCGGATCCACGCCGGATACAACCAAAAGACTGGCCAATATACGGGTTTGCCAAAGGTGCTTTCAAAACACTATGACTGTACCGACTTTTCTACCTTGGTTAAAATGAGCGCTTTCAGCAATGGGAAGCTTTGCTTGGGCGCACGCGGCCTTTGGCGAACCGGCCCCGGCCGCTTGTCGACCCGTCTCAATACACCCAGTCGCAAGTTTCTTCATTGAAAACCGTCGTTCGGGGCGATCTCGTTGTCCAGTATGTACTTTTTTTATCGGCGATGCATAGAATCTTTTTAGGACGCCAGCTTTTCAAAATGGACATATGCAATCATTTGAACGATCGTCTATGTGGGTTTACCGCGGTTCTGATAAAGAAATGCCAAATTTAGCCGTAGCAGTGGAGTGATCTCGCCTTATGGCCCTCGTTCTCCAGCGGACCCTTCGAAACGCTACCCTTTCGATGAGCCCGGTTATGTGTCGTTCCCTTTCCAACAGGTTAGTTCCTGACTTTTTTCAGAGCCAGGTTTCAGAAAAACACGCAGAATGCGCAAATACACTTGGCTGAGAATGGCAATCTGCACTCGATGTTGGGACAGGTTGATAAGCATTTTATGTTGATTGCCAAATTTAGTCAGCCTCGGGCTCCGTGACATCCTCCTCAATGTCGAGCACTTCTGGCATGGAGCAGAACGCGAATAGGGCTGGGCACAATCCGAGCAACCTCACACACGATCAGGCTAGTATATTGGTGCTGCTCTTTCATTCCAGTTCGCCATTGTGACATGATTTGGAGCCGTTTTAGTTCCGAACAGCCCTCTCATCAGTTGTGACACCGAATATCTCGCCCGCGCAATTATGCGAAATGACACGATTTGCGGAGGGGAGCACGGGATTTGTCGACACGGCGATCTTGGTAAATAATTTGGAGGTTTTCAAGAAAATTTTTGCAGCGCTCGAATCGTCAAAAAGTTGCCGTGAAGAAGATGGATTTGCGCAAGCAGGCGCGACGTGAACTCCTTTTCAACGAAGTTTGTATTATGCGTGACTATCGGCATCCCAACATCGTCGAAATGCTCAGGTTGGTTTCTTCATTTCAGGACAAATTGCTTAAATTTTATTAATTTTTTATGTATCATCTCAAGAGATAATTTTAGCTCGTTCCTGGTAGGAGATGAGCTGTGGGTTATCATGGAATTTATGGAAGGCGGTTCGCTGACAGATATCGTCACCACTTGCAGGTATTATATTTTCGATATCTAATTCCTTTCAAAAAATTTCTAGGATGTTCGAGCCTCAAATCGCATGTGTGGCGCAGCAGTGCCTACGCGGACTCGCATTTCTGCACATCAATGGTATCATTCATCGGTAGGCATAAAACTAAATTTTTCAGGGATGTAAATAGTACTAGGTCGTGGTTTCACCACCACTTTTCAGGGATATCAAATCGGACTCGATTCTGCTGAAACGAAACGGAGTCGTTAAATTGAGTGATTTCGGATTTTGCGGTCGCCTCTCAAAAGACATTCCGAGGCGACGAAGTCTGGTTGGGACGCCATATTGGACGGGCCCCGAGGTAGGTCTGGCTTTTTGCATTGAAAATAAGAGGGTTTTAATAAAAGCCGTTTTTCTCAGGTGATAGCGCGTCAGCCGTATGATGCCTCGGCGGACGTCTGGTCGTTCGGCATTTTAACAATCGAGATGGTGGAGGGGGAACCGCCTCTTTTCAACGAAGACCCGATGACGGTAAGTAAGGCAGAAGCATAGAGGGAAATCAATCCATAACAGGCGTTGCAGGATCGATTTGTTAGCAAAATATCATTGTTAGGCGCTGCGCTTGATCCGTGACAATCCCCCGCCACGCCTAAACCCGGCAGCACAGAGCACGCCGGTGCTGCATGATTTTGTCTCGAGATGTCTTCTTCGAGAAGCCCACTTACGGTATAGTGATGCAAGGTACATACAGTAAGAAATGCAAATTTCAGGTGGAAATGCGAACAGCTACTCGGACACCCGTTTATCCAGGGCGCGGCTCCGGCGGAAACCCTCTGTCCATTGATCCAGAGCGGTCAACAAAAACATTAAGTAGTTCCATGCTACGATTTGCTAGATATCATGTGTAAATTAACGACATTTTGCACTGTCCTTGTAAAGTGATCGTGCAAGACGAGATACCAGCTTTGCCTTAAAATCTATAACCGGTTTTTCTGTATTTATTCTGTACGTTAATCCCAATCTACCACCCCTTCGTATCATTATTTTCCGGTGCTGGCCTCCGATCCATAATTAATTCCTCCCATTCACAGCATTATTCACCACGGCTTTCATATTTATTATCATGGCGGGTGCGACAATCGTGGCCTTCACACATACACACGAGAGGTTTTTTGATGCCAACATTTTTTCACCGCAATAAATTTATTAAGCACAACTCTACAATTTAATGTTGGGGGCGAGGATAATAGGGGGCACAGTGGGCGCACATTGTAATTGTTGCGAAGGAAATTTGAAAAAAGAAAGTAATTGCTTCTCATTGAGTGACGGTGGGTGGGTTAGTGGGGCGAGTCGAGGTGATGGTCCACGTATAGGCAGGCATAGATGGCAGTCCCGGCAAGCGACAGGTAGACCAACGGGATCTAGAAGTACTTTTGTAGGTAGCAGAAGGCTGGTTCTTGATGAGTTTAGGTGTAAAAACACGTCTTTTCTGCCTTTTCGCATTTCCGTGGGGGCAACTTTTTTCCTTACGATATCATTTTTCCAATATGAATAGTGGAAGTGTTTCTAAGTGGTTTTTTCTAACCTAAGTGTGAAACGAAAATGACCTATTTTGAACCAAAAAACGGCTTTTTTAGAAGATTATTTTGTTTTTTTATCAGTAAGATAGACTAAAAACACTATTATAACACTTTCGATTAATTTATGTTATACAAAAAAGTTCGGCTGTCTGTATTGTGTAAAAACCGACAAATATCCACGTGACCAGCGTTGTTCTGGCGACCGTCTCGATAGGCGCACCGGCGAAGGTCTGGAATTGTTTTTGGGCTAACGCCAAATTCCCAGCGCGAACCTCAGCGCGGCCGCGCGTGAACGGCACTCCCTCTATCCAGTTGTCGTACATACATTCGTTACCATGCTGCTGGGCAATGCGCTCTGCTGTAAGGCAAAATTTTTCGGTTCTGGTTCGTTAGCGGGGGGGGCATTTTGTCAATTTTCTTCTCTTTTTTATTATCTTAAATTACATTATTTGAGCTGTATATACAGCTCGATGTTTATTTTTAATGCTCTATTCAATAGCGTTAACCGAATGTCGAAAAATGACGAAAATGCCGAAAAATAGCTTATCAAACCAATTTTCAGGGTTATTTTGCTATTGTTAAAAGTTTCTTAAATCATTGTTTTGATCTACAGTTAAAATTCTTAGTATATTTTTTGATGCTCTATAGGGATGCGGCGATGTAGTCTCCAAAAAACAGTGAAATATTGAAAATTCTACGACATTAAACTTAGCGAAAAATGTAAAGCACACCGTCAATTGGCTGCACGTTGATTTGGAAGCCGAGTTTGGCGGTCGGCTTGCGGCTGTAGACGTAATATGGGCTGCAATATAAGGTGTACGATCAGCCCTCTAAGCGCTTTACCTATCGTATCTGATCACGACCGTCGTCTCCTTCACGACGAACCCGCAGCTTGCGTTGAGTGGATGAACACTGCAATGTCAACGCGGTGCTTGCAACTAGGTTAGCGCTAAATTCAAAGCTGTGGGTTCTTTGGCATTATCGGGGGGGGGGGGGATGGAACTTTTTTTGCATAATTCTAGAAATGCAAGTAACTTACTAGAAAGTGTTTTAATGGTGTCTCTAGTAAAATATAACGATCATTCAACTAGAAAAACTGTCTAAAAACTTTAAAAAGTCAATATCTTGGTCAATAGTAGGCCATTGTCGCTCGACAAATTGATATTTTTGCTATTTTTCAATACAAATTTGTAAAGTTGTCACGCTTAGGAATAATAAAAAACGATTTAGAAACCCTTCCACTATTTATAACTTAAATAAAACTTCGATCCTAAGAGAGTTCGGCGCCCCCCCCCGATAATGCGAAAGTACCGAAGCTAGAAAAATCCGTTCGTTCGTCCAACTTGAAACAGAAAACCGACACTTGGTGGTGACAGGAGCCGCCCTTGTTGTAGACAAAGTACAGGCTGCGCCTCCGCACATCCGTGGTATCCCCATCGGACGCGAGTACCTAGATTGTTCTCTGCCGTGTACACCCTCTGCCTACCATTCCTACCGTAAGCAGAGCTGGTGGCCCGACTTTAATCGTCAACTCCCATGGCCCTTGGTTCTGGTCGCTACAAAGGATAATGGCCAGTCTGCATCAGCAAGTACCCTTTGAGGAATGGCGTGAAATAGGGGTATCCCGGCGTGACAATCGAAAATCGAAGGATTAGAGCGCTTGCGAGTGGATAAAACCCACCTGGCGCTGCACGCCATATTCCGCGTGGCTCAGTTCCAGGGACAATCTGTCGGCGGCCACCATTCCTGGAGGTCAGATTGGGTAAAACGTAAGATCATCATAGTTTACGGTTCTGTCGCATTATCGGGGGGCAGAAATGGAAAGAAAGGCATGGAAAAAGTTGGCAAAACTCACGTGTACCATAGCTGACCGAGGCATGAAGTGAGTCGTGAATTCCGCTTATCGACTCGTTCGCGGCGCACTGCGCCACAAACTCGACGAGGGTTCGCCCGAACGTTGGCACCAGGTACTAAACGGTAGCGTCTAGAGAGTAAAGGCAAATGGCAATTGCGGTCTTGCGCATTATCGGGGGGGGGGACTTTTTTGTGTCTAGAAATGCCTAATAACCTGATCGAAACTGTTTTAATCGTGTTTTTAGTTATATATAATTATATTTCAGCTAGCAAAACTATCTACAAACCTAAACAAGTCGTAAATTTGATCAAAAATCGATATTTTTAATATTTTTTAGTACAAAGTCGTACAGTTTTCACGTTTCGGAATACTAAAAACCATTTAGAGACACTGCAACTATTTAGTTTCTAAAACTTTCATCTTAAAAAAGGTGGTCCTCCCGATAATGCGAAAGGACCGAAATTGCATGGGCCGTGAAAGAAAAATTAAGTATCTGATAAATAACCCAAAAACTAACATGCGAATGATTGGCTTCGATATGCAGTAGAGAGTCCTCCCTCGGAGCGTTATTTGGCCGTCTATAATCTCGTAAAATGCAGGGTAGAACAGGACCCACACCACGAACGCCTCCCCGTCGCTGAACATGTCCCAGATCCTATAAGAAACATTTCCAAAGATTCTCAGGCGATTTACCTCATCTCGTAGGTGTTACAGTTCTGATCACCGTGCATGTGGATAGAGACGAGCAGCGTGGCTAGGTCACGCTTCTACAAAATTGACCTCTTTTCCGGGTGCTCTATGATGCGTACTTGACAGTGCTTCGTGCCAGGGCTGATCACCCAACGCTGGCCATGCCGATTCCCGTGAAAGTCCAGGCTGACTGATCCATCCACGGGCACACATATTTTGCGGGTTCCTAAAAATTTGAGGATGTTAAAATGTAGATACACCGGTTCTGGACTGTTAGCGGGGGGGGGGTGCATTTTAAGCAACAGGGACCACTTTCTGTTTTTCCACCTATTGCCGATATGTTATGTATATATATGTATTATGTTTTTAGTAGTTTTGATTACTAGAAAGTTTTAAAAAGTATTTTTAAATATTGTGAAAATTCAAAAATTGTGCTTTTTGGTAATTTTTCATACATTTATGAAGGAAAATCAAAACTGTTCGATAATGTTTATGATTTATTATATTGTTTTATATCTAAAAACGATGTAAAATACTATAAAAATAGTTTATATTTTGCTATAGGATCGGAGCCTAAGCCTAAGCTCAGGGAAAAATTTGGCAAAACATGCTTGCGCGTTAGCTAAAAACGAAAATGCCCTGTCCGCTCCCACGCAACTCACCGGGGAAGCGGTGCTCAACGACGAGGGATGAAGAATCGTCGGGTGTGGCTCCGTCTCGTGTCAACAGTATTCGAGTGTAGCCCTTCCAAATCAGCGGCCCACCCGTCGTCAAGTTATCTTGCAACTCTCGGCAATTCGTTTCTGCCACCAATGTCTAAAAAGTGAATGGAAGGTCGGTAAGGATGCCCGTACATCATTTCGATACAGATTCACGTGGAATCCGAGGGTATCGTTGAGAGTTGGACAGTGCACTTCGAGTATACGCAGATTCCAGAGGTCGCCGCCTTCTATCGACCAATCTAGGGACATCACGTTGTCGACGGCTGTCTGGAAATTTCCAAAAAAATAACGAGCTCGGTTTTTGGAGTCTAACCGTGTTCGAATCGGCCAGCTGAGCGCTTTGGGTCGTCGGCTCTGGCACACTGCTCGTCGCGTTTTGGTTGGGCGGCTTGAACAGGTCGAACGGGTGTAAAATATGGCTGCCCATCAGGAGGCTCCTTTTTTCTGTAGAAGACAAAATTAGTGTGATTCATAGTCGGCCAGTTCAAAATCCCCACTCGGTTCTTTCGCATTATCGGGGGGGGGGACAACTTTTTCTTGGGATCTAATTTTCGAAAAATAAATTGTGCAAGCGTTTCTAAATGGCTTTTCTGCTATTTCTAAACGTGAAAATTTACAATTTGGATTAAAAAAATATAAAAACAACCATTTTTCGAGGGAATATGGCCGATTTTTCACCAAAATTTCGCCTTTTCGAAGTTTTTAAGATAGTTTTCTAGTGTAACTATCTTAAAATATAACTAAAAGCAATACTAAAACACTTTGTATTAATTTATTAGGCATTTCCAGGCTTATAAAAAAATTCGCCCCCCCCCCCAATAATGCGAAAGAACGCACTCGCCTAATTTGCATATCGCATACCAGCCCTCTTACCTGCGTGTAAACAGCAGACCAAAATTGCCGGAAGCAGCCATATTTCGCGCATCGGCACGGCCGTGTGATTACATTTGCCTAATGAAAATCAGGCGAAAGGATTTATACAGTACAGTATCGCATGCAAATTTTCTGCAAACCAAATCAGGTGACAGAAAGGGTTTTTGCACTCTGAGCAACAGTTCTGGCCATTGAAAACAGCCCATCACCGGGATATGCTTAGGCCATTAACATAGACAAACGTTTTTCCCGATCGGAAAATTCGAGTGTCGAAATCGTCGAAATGTCACTTTGTCAAAAATACCTTAAGGATTTACTTTACACCCCCCCCCACGACCGAATGGTCTCAAAATTCGGTATTTTCGCTTATTTTGTCGGGATTTTTGCAAGGCCATTCGATAGAGTGTCGAAAAATATACTAAAAGTTTTAATTTGAGCCTCCAATAATGAAAATAAAAAAGTTATGACCAAAAACTTCCGACTGTGGGGGAGGGGAGTAAAGCAAACCGTAGCCAAAAATACAATAATATCATCGCTATTGAATGAACGTGTTATGCAGCACTTGTCGATGAATTTTCGACATATTTAGCTTTCGGCAAAATGACATTTCAACCAAATAAAAGCCAGACAAGTTGGCACGACAAAAAGCGAGTTCGACATCCTTGCTTTCGACGGTCTTATAGCAAAGGCATAGATAGCACCTATGTAAAGCGAAAGAGATCATTAAGGCGGACTGGTGGGGCAGAAATGTAAAAACACTCTTGGATCAATAATATCGACGTATGCAATCATAGGTGATCGGCTGTGAAAAGAGGTGCAAGCAAGCCGCTACCATTTGCGGTAATCATTTGATGGCTTCCAATAATATTTGTGTTTGTAGGTGCGAGTCCATGCCGGGTCCAGGGCGTACGTGCTCGTCCAGGGGTATAGGGTGGTGGTTCGGGGCCTCGGTGTCGTCGTTGTGCGGCTTGTGGTCGATGGGCTGATCGTCGTTGTGTACCTGGTAGTCCACGGCGTCCGGGTGCTGGTCGTTGTCTGCGGACGGTAGCCCGTCTGTAATAGGGTTTATGCAAAAACCGGCTACTGTAAGAGAAATAAATATGATACTGCATTTCTTGGAAGCATCCCGAAAAGAAGAAATGTCGAATTCTTTGAAAACAACTTACTTTTCATAGTCAAATTCTCTTTTCTGTCTGCTATTCGAGTTTATTTGAAAATACTCACCTCGATAACCTGGTTATTCCTTGCTTGCTCTTCCTTTGCAGCGGGCGCAGGCTCCGCAGCCGGTCGTGCTCGAATCGAACTCTCCCGTGTCGAGTAAGACTGTGAGTAGTACCGCGGGTAGACCGGTGCAGGCTGCGGCTGCGGCTCACCGGCCACCGGCTGCGGTGACGGCTTTTTGCATACGGTGGCCCCGTACTGTTTGCAACACGATTGGAACCACTTGCCTGAAGGGAGGGCTATTGCGTGTAAATTGGCTTGACTCACCGTACTCGTTGACCTTGATGCATCGCCGAGCTCGATTCATCGCTGGTCGGCTTCCTGGAGATCAGAAAATTTTCGTGGTTGAAACAGAGCTAGAGGTTGTGGATAAGCCGAAGCTTGAAACTAGACCTAACAGAGTTCTAAGTAGTAAGTTGAAAGTTTTAACCAAAAGCCAGACTCCCTACTCGTCACCTACCTGGCCCACTAACCGACTGGATAGGATGGGCCTTCACCCCTAATGTCCGCAAGTTTATGGCCCTAAGCCTAAGCCTAAGCCTAAGCCTAAGCCTAAGCCTAAGCCTAAGCCTAAGCCTAAGCCTAAGCCTAAGCCTAAGCCTAAGCCTAAGCCTAAGCCTAAGCCTAAGCCTAAGCCTAAGCCTAAGCCTATGCCTAAGCCTAAGCCTAAGCCTAAGCCTAAGCTTAAGCCTAAGCCTAAGCCTAAGCCTAAGCCTAAACCTAACCTAAGCCTAAGCCTAAGCCTAAGTTAATCTAGTAGCGTTCTCAAAAACACCTACGAAAAATCGAGAGACTTTTTAGGAAGCGAAAGACGTGGGTAAGCGCTTGAGTGGTGTTCGCCGCGAGGCTTCGCAGGAGGGCTAATGTGGCGGAGTTGGAGGAGGCTGAGGAGAACAAGGAGGAGGAAGATTAGAACCGAGGGATCAGGCTTTCCCCACAGCGCACGCACGAAGGCCGGAAATGCGTCCCGATTCCACGATCACCCATTATCACCCCCGCGGCTCTCACCGCCGCAACCACCACAAAACGGGCCGCGTGCGCCTAATTTAACCAACGTAGATTACTCTAGTTCACACGCCGTCGGCGGAATAGGCAAGGGGCCGACGACTAGAAGGAGCTTTTGGGTGATGATTGAGCGTTGCAATAAGACAATTGGTAGAGCTTCAAATTCGGTTTCTTTCGCATTATCAGGGATAGTAAAAGAATAGTAAAAACTATGCAGAAATCAGCAAGAATAGTAAAAACTATGTAGAAACAGAATATGAAGCAAATCCAGGATTGAATCGTTCAAGCACCTACCGTCTTCCCAATTTTCGAAGTTAGAAAACGGCCGACCGTCGGAGTTCACGTAAACCGGGTTGCTGCCGAAATAGGCTCCGCCGGTGAACATCTCACGGTAGGAGACGAGTCCTGCAGGCAAAGTTAGAAGCAAAAGTTTTGCTTAACCGTGAACGAAGTCATTTTCTTGTTGGGAGGTGATCGAAGCCTGATGGCCACCCATAAATAAGCAGCGAAATTCGCCGACGGTCCACGGCAACTGCCCGGGTAGGGGACGGTAGCAAGAATTTGTTTGCTCGAAGTAACGCCACCCGGGTTGGCACGGTAGCGCGTACACGGTTACTGCTGAAATTATGTTAAATTAAAAGGGATTTTTGCGTTTTCCTAGAATGACAGCCAAATTATGGCGTCAAATTATGTTGCCGTGTACAGGGTAAACAGGGTGTCCCAAAAAAAACCCCATCCAGCGTTCTACGATTTAGGTATCTATCGAAAGCCCTCGACAAGCTGAGGAGCTATCTTCTTTCCGATTTTGAAAATTCCCGATTTTTTTCTTACTTTGAAAGTTTTTTGGGCAAAAGAAGAATTTTTGCCGATTTTCCCAAGCAAATGATTTTAACAAAAACCCAAATTTTCAAATTTTTACGTCTTTCCTGGCAGCACGAGAGCAGCTTTTTGTGAAAGCCTTTTGAGTAAGCCCTGCTTGGATGGGGCTGAAGCCGATTAAATCGAGTTTTTGGGGAAAACGCGTAATTTGCATGAAAAATCCCGAAAATCGAGCGAAAAATCCGGGAATTTCGAAAATCGGAAAGAACAAATCACCTCAGCGCGCCGCATCGCAAAATACGGACATGGCTGCGGACCGCTAGAGGGTTTTTTTGGGACATCTGTTAAAACTTAAACAGCATAAACTAACCATGAAGGCAGATGAAAAACGCCAAAAGCGGCAGAGGACCCCACAGGCGATGCATAGATGCCAACAGGTTGCCAAGCGGCGTTGAATGGATGCCGGTAGCGCAGAGTTAGGTATGTGTTGTAGGTGGGCGCTACCCAGTCAAGCCCTCCTCCTTAAATAAAAGGGAAATAGCTGCAGGGGGTGGTTGACTGGAGCGGAGCGGATGGAGGCGGAGCCACCGCCTCGGAACACACATACACACCCACACACACGGATTTCTCGCGATTTTGTGCCCTCTCGGTCAACCGTCGCGCCCCTTCTTTGGCTCCGCATCAGTTTTATGGGGCACTTGTCCTTTCTGTATCTATGCTCTCTCTCTCTCTCTCTCTCTCTCCTCTCTCACGGCTTTTCTTGACCGTTCCCGGGCATGGAGGTCCGATTGTCCGACCTCCCCCGCAATGATGGAACAATTATGCAAATGGGATAACCTTGTGACGGGAGGAAGGCGGAGGGGGAGGCTGGGCTTACTCATTTCCGGTGGAATTTCAGGTTTCGACCACCCTCGAAATGACGTTCGACACCCGGTGATGCTCACCGCAGATCTGTCCACATTTTAGTGTGACTAGGAAAGCCGGCTGGGGACAAGGAGTCGGTTGTCAGGGACTTTGAAGTTTTTAGAGTTTTTCTGTTTGAAATATAGTTAGATGTTACTAAAAACACTATTAAAACAGTTTCTATTAAGTTACTGGACATTTCTAGACCTACACGATAAAGTTCGGTCCCCCCCCCCGATAAAGGGAAAGAACCGGCAATACTATGCGAGAACTACTTTCTCCCCGGTAAAAAGCCGCGCAATATTTTCCCAACAAGGCCACCGGATGTCTCGGGGGGAAAGCCGCTCCGTGTGCTGCAGCTCCTGCAACCGGCCCCCGATCCATCGCCCTTTCGTGGGAAATCCAAAAAATTCCCCCGGCCGCAACACCCCCCTTCCCCCCCCCCCGATCAAGCACATTCTTCTTAAAGGTACACTAAAGTCTCGTTGGTTTGGTTACCGGCCGGTAACCGTCCGCGGGATAGCAAAGAGGGTTACGGTAGGCGCTCGCAGCGGAGCAAAACCGAACCCTGACTGCCAGCTTGGGGCAGCGCCTTGGACCACTAGGCCAAAGGAGAGACGGGAAGGGGGAAGGGGAGAGGCCACGCCATTCCAGGCTTTAACAGGCAGGCACGGATAGCTTTTGGGCTACGGCAGGCTCCCTTGCACAAGGGGACAGCGCGCTCGCTACGTTTTTGTTCGAAAATGAACAAACTTTTGGACAAAACTGGATTTTTCTCGAAATGTAATAGAAAAATTAGAAACTCAATTAGATTTAAATATTCTAGACGCCAAGGCGCAGATTTTGAGACCTAACTATCGAAAATCTATTCTGGTACTTTTTTGTGATGGTCTTTTGAAGTTCCGTTCAGGATTTTGTGCGGTTTTAAATAGCGCAGAAACCAAGCATTGTCGCTGAAATCTGAGCCCAGATTTGATAAAATCAAGGTCGATTACCCCCTAGTGCGTGAAATCGACGCTTAAAATGGCTCCAAGTGACTGTTTTGCGAAAATGTACGCTAGTGGATCAACTGTCTCTTTTTGATCAGGTTAATTTTTCCAGATCCTTATTGTTTTAGCAGTTTTCAATGGCTGGAGCACAGTTTTTAAGCAAAACGCAAAAGCTTGGCAAAGGTTTTGGGGAGAAATAACGGTTGCACGTTGGTCCCGGGGGTCGAACCCGGACCCTCTGTTTGAGATTTGGGATCGGCGCTAACCGATTGCGCCGCGGCCCCGGGGGGGTCCTATCCGTGCCTCCATGGAATGCCGTGAGGCGGTAAGAAGGGGCTGGGTCGGCTGCGGCAGAGAGCCCAAATTTCCTACCGCGACCGAACTTTTTGAACGAGATTTTAGTGTACCTTTAAATCGAATTTGAAAAGTTAGATGGTCGCTGAAAACGAACTCATCTCTCAGGTGGCAACCCTTATGCTCACATCATCGAAAGGGCAAGGAGCCGCGCCGAAATGTCTGTCTGTCCGTCTGTTTATCGCTCTATCCACTTCCGCTCACTCCCCCCCGTCCCACCTGCACAACCGTTAGTCATTCTTTTTGGGTCAGGCAGGTGGTTAGAGCGAGTTCTTGTGTTCGTTCAAAGACCTCAACTCGAGTCGAGGGAAAAACTTTAGGCTGTGGCTTGGGCTTAGGTATAGGCTTTGGCTTAGGCATGGCCCAGGGAGAGACCTATAGATTTTTGGGTTCTGTACTGTTAGCGCGGGGGCGGGGGGCGATTTTTAGCAGGCGGGAAAGCACTTCCTGTTTTTCCACATATACACTTTCTATTTTATCGCATGCACCTGTTGTCGATATATCATGCATTTTCATAATGTTTTTAGTCGACTTTGATGGTTAGAAAGTTATAAAAATAATTGATAAAAATTATGAAAATTCGAAAATTTTGATCATTTCTGATCATGTTTCATACATTTTTGATCAAAAAGTCTGAAATTTTCGAAAATCTTTATTATTTTTATTTTTAAAAGCTATTTAAAATTCTATAAAAGTGTTTTTATATTTTGCTATAGGGCCCGAGAGAATCGGAGGGCAAAACTTGGTTCCGCCGCTAACAGTCCAGAATAAACTTTTTTGAAGACTACCTAGGTATAGCCCTAAATTACAGCTACCTTAAGCTACTTTGGACTTCTTGCGAAAACCATTCGGGCGCAATCAGCCGTAAACCCTTTCCGGAGGCGTACGGATTTTACGGTAAGCCGGTTTAGACATAATAGGCTATTCGGGAAGTCATTAACCGCGCTCAAAACGGTCCTAAATCCACGATGCATCCGGTGTTTTCGGGGGACAAGAAGGTGAAGGGAGTAATGAGGCCATTTCCTCGCGAAATGTCGCCCATTCCGGCGCCTGGTCCACCTACGCCACCCTCAGAGCGGATTCACCGGATCTGGGATGCTGTCTTTCAAACGACGTCGCGCCAATCTGTATGAAAAAGACTTTAAAATGAGCTATAGCACCTGGAAAATTTTATTCTCACCCGCAATTGGTTTTTTTTAAAGTGATAGGATTGTTCATTGGATGGATCAAGTGAAACGCATCGGAATAAAATATCAGAAAATGACAATGAAAGCCCAGAGTAATGTTTAAAATATTCAGTCTAATATTTCAGAGGCTCCAATCTCCTAGCAGCAGTTCGTGCAGTTGCTCGAGGCGGCGGAGCTGTCGTTCGTCAAGGATACACAGATCCCAATTGTCTCTGAATTGGATAGGTTTGTAGCTTATGCTTAGGCTTAGGATTAGGCTTAGGCGAGGCTTAAGTTAACACCGGCGAACCTACCTCCATTCATGCGATGACGAACGCTTCCAGGCAATAGCTTCAGGAATATGCAAATCCGTTAGCTCACAAAGATCCGCCAACGGTCCGAATAACCTTGCCGTGTCGCTCATCTAACAAAAAGGGATCAAAATGCTATTTTTGGATTCACTGCCAGACTCCAGACTCTAGTACAAATTCCGGCAAAAATCCCGATAGCCATAATCTCGACAGCGAAAATCCCGATTGCCAAAACGTGACATTTCCGGTCGTTTCACCCACAAATGTTGTTAGAATCTGGGGTTTCTGGCTGTCGGTATTTTGAATGTGCGGGGTATGACTGTCGGCATTTTGAATGCTGGCGTTTTTCCGTCTGGAACCAACCAGTTCCTCAAAACAGATCGGGTCAATCGCCAGGTACGGCAAACATCTCTCCAGCACGAGTTGTGAGCCGATGAACAGAGCGGCCGCCATTTCGAACGCGTCCTATTTGACACTGATTATTATCGCTATTCTGCAAGGGGGAACCTTTGGGCCGACTTGCTGGACGGCGCGCAGCTGCATCTGGGGCCACGATGAAATTTTGTCGCTGATCCATCGGAACTCTTCCCTCATCCGCGAGATCTAGGCAAGGATTGATTTAATTTTTCAGTATGGAACCCCACGATCTGGAAGAAATTTGTCTGTTGCCCTGCCCTGAGCATCAGCTTCGAGACGGCAATGTCAGGGGCTCTCGTGCCCACGAGGCAATGCAACACGGATGGAACCGTCGCATGGATGAATGGGATCAGTCGACCGCTGTTGAACCTGGAGAAATCATTTTAGTTTTTGTTTGCTAGAAAGTAGCAAAAATTTTGAAAATTTTTTGAAAAATCGATAATTCACACGTTTTTTGGTTATTTTTCATACGTGTATGACCAAAAATCACAAATTTTCAAAAATTTTATGAGTTTTCTACAGTTTTTATATGTAAAAACAATGTGAAATGCTATAAAAATGATTTATATTGTGTGGAAAATAGAAAATCCGTAGAAAATTACAGAGAAAATTGGCTTCTTCCCCCCCCCCCCCGCTAACAGTCCAGAAGCCGCATTTTTTTAGAAAGGAGCTGGAACGGTTGAGACAACCGTGAAGCCCGATCTAAAGTAGAAAGAAAGGCCCAAACACGCACCGGCACTTGTAGACGATCGTCTGATCATTTTTCTGATGGTGTAGAGCATGGCGGAGTGTGGCCAAGGTGAGCCTCTTCAAAAGCTCAACCGGTAGCTCGTCAATCAGACATGCCAGGGACGTGGTCACCGGGGGTTCACCGTAGACGCACAGGTTCCTGGTGCAATTTTTCCATCTACTTGGATTCCAACGCTACTCACTGGTAGGTGGGGTCGCACGCTTGCAGCATCCGCGCGACTGTCGTGCCACCGCTGCAGGGCGGTAAGTGCAGGAAAACGACGCGACTCGCAAATGGTGGTAGACGACCAGAGCGTTCGATGAAAGTCTGTAATATGTCGTCTTGTATGTTCACATTTAGCTCGCTTTAACTATAAGGCACCCGCTGCCTAACAAGCTAGGTAGGCTTGGCGAATAAAAGTCTCATTGTGCAGGGTATCCCTACCCCCACCCCCCACCCGCCCCCAGTCGCGTCCGAATTTTACGATTTAGGTAGCTTTTGAAAGCTCTCGACGAGCTCGGTAGATATGTGCTTCCCGATTTTCGAAATTCCGGAATTTTTCGCCCGATTTTCGGATTTTCCAAACCAAGTTACTTTATTTTCAAGAAACTTATCGGTTTCAGCGCCAACGCAGCTGTGTTTTCTCAAATGGCTTCTGAAAAGCACATATCTACTCAGCTCGTCGAGAGCTTTCGATAGATACCCAAATCGTAACAATCGGACACGACTGAGGCCGTCTAAGGGCGGCGGGGGCGGGGGGGCGGTTTGGGCCATCCTATGCAACCCATTAGCAGCTACTCAAGGATTACTTGCAAATGGCTTGCCTCGAGTCGCACCCGGGCCAGCTTTTCTCCGCTCGCAAACAGCTCGTCACCCATTCTGCAGCACGTGTCCGCCGTCAATAGATGGCTAAATGCTTCTTACTAAAGATTCAAGGTGTTAAACTCGGTTCCTAGCTTATCCACCTTGAAGTACCAGTTTGTTTTCTTAAATTGAATCGGCTCACCTGGTATCCGGCAACTTTGCCAAATATACAAATGTGTCGTCAATATCGTAGATGAGCCAGTCTGGGTGCAAGATTTCCGAAAAGTCCCCAAAACCGTCGTGAAATGCAAGAAAATCGACAGCATTCGGGCGGTCTGTCGGATCGAGACGGAACCTGGGAAGTTTTCCAAATTCGATGACTCCCGCACCTGGTCAAAATGTGCAGAAATTCCACGTCACAACACTCGCATGTGCAGAGGCGTTTGAATGCGGCTACAAAGTCGGACTCTAGCTGAGCAAAAGGTATCGTAAAATTATAAATGAACCAATACCAAAATGATCGTTCGCACTATCCGATAGAGTAGGTAGAGAAGAAATTTAAGCGGAAAAAAGGTTTGTGCAGCCTCGGGCCGCACATCTTCGGCTACAATCGAATCTTCACCCATTTCGGCGCATCGCTAGGTATAATTTGAGTTGCATCAAGGGCGACAGAAAGAGATTTGCGAATAAGAATCTGAAGAAATAAGAGAAACTGACATTTAAATCTTATAAAAAATTGAGTTTTAAAGATTTTGCGTATCGAATATTTTTAAGCCAATACTCATAAGAAAAACATTGCCGAGGAGCGATGAGGAGCCATCGGGGGCTAGGGGCGGTCGTGGGAAAGGAAGCTTTTCGGAGGAAGGCCAGGGAGCCATCGGGAGGTCCCACTCGAAACACGAGAGCCCCGGCCATCCCATGGCCCTGCACTCGTCGTCTCGACCCATTGTCGGCTCGGGACCAACACCAATAAACGCCCTCCAGAAGTAGACCCGATCGGAATGATAGTTACACGATTCGAAAGCCCTTCAAAGCGAATTTGCAACAAGCGTAAACCTATTTTTTTATGTAAACCAGTCATTTCACAACGCATTTAAAATATTTAAGAAGCGGCCTCAGCAACTAATTAACGACCACTTCGGGTCATTTTGCTTGAAGAAATCGAAGAAAATTAGCTCATATGCAACCCTGCAATCCGCAAAATTTTACAAAATGGCTTATAAGATAGTGCATTTAAATAAAAATGTGGTTTTGAAAGGCTTTCGAATGGTGTAACTACGATTCCGAACTGGTACTTCTGCTGGAGTTAGTGGGGGATATTTTTTATTGGGAAACCCTGTAGATTAAGCAAAATAAATAAGGCCCAAACGCCGAAATGCATATATTTATAGCCTCTAATTCAAAGCGGCCTCGGCTTGCCCTTGAGAACGGGGAATCCCGGTGTGGCAACACGCAAAAAAGTGAGCGGTGATTTGTGAGGGGGCATTTGGAAAAAGTTAGGGGGCAGAGAAGAAGCGAGGGAGGGGCCCCCACGCTCGTCGGTCACCTCCTTGTCCCCGGGGGTCCAGCCGGGAGGCCCCGAAAAGACAACAAGCTGCGCCGGCCAGAGGGGAGAATGAGCTCTGAGGGCACATACGCATGGCAGGGCCTAAATGACCACCCCAACGTTATACGCCGCCGCACACGCACCCACATGTTATAATTGGGGATGGGTCGAACGAATTTTGCACATGCAGTGGGCTTTGCGTGGGGCTGGGTGCAGCCTAGCGACTCCATTTAGAATATTTGGAATCATGGATTGTCCGCGTGAGGCACGGAATGGTGTAAAGCGTTCAAAAAGGGAATGTATATTCAAAAAAATGTGTCTTCCAGCAACCTTATAAAACGCCCCCTTAGGGGTACGGTAACATAACAGGCTTCCACTTATAATTTGGCGTATCAGAACAGACGATGGATAGAATAATTATGACCAGGTAGTGTCGTTAACACCATCGTTAATTCTCAGATGAATCGGTTCTGGTCTGTTAGCGGGGGTGGTAAATTTTTAAGGGGACGGCAGCCAAATTATTGTCTGTGCTACTTTAACAAAATATTAAAAAATATAGCATTTTATATGGTTTTTAGATACAAAAAAATAAAAATAAGAATTAATATTTTCGATAATTTAATCTTTCTAAAATTTTTTGTAACTTTAACAATCAAAAACTAATAGAAACGCCATAAAAATAAATAATATATCATCATCAGGTAAGTATAGGCGGAACGTGGTTTCCCCCCGTGCCATACCGTGAGCGCTAAAGAGCAACATCGTCAAATGAATGAAGGTGTCGATGCGGTTGATTCATTTTAACAGACAGCTTGCCGCGGGAATAAGCGTCGACGAGCAAATAAAAGCCGGTGGGCGGCATGGTTCAAAGCCTCGCCCATCTATTCAGCCATCCTCCATTTCATATCCACTGGTTCCCAAAAATACCTGGACAGAGCCGAAGGTTCGAAAAATTCAATTTGACTACACAGTCGCAACGAAGAAAATATGTGAAAGATGTCTTTTTCGTTAAAAAATTCGTTGAATAAAAATGTCGTATAAGTTATTTTTAGCTTCCTGCCATGGACTTATAAAATTACAAGTTTATCTGCTTTGTGATTCATCAATATTTTAATGCCAATCTTTGGTAAGGAAAATGCAATAACGTTGCTGCGGTCCTAAAACGGCCGATGCAAGATTTCTGTTATCGTGTCATTTCGAGGAAATGTTTTCCATCTGGGCATATTATATTTTCTACTCGCAAGAAAAATATTGATCTACAACGCTATCTAATCCTGAACTGCAATTTCTACACGCATAGATACGCTCCGGGCACTGGGCCATGTTATCAAAGCGGAATTTGATGCAGCAACAAATTTACGCATTTTTATTAGCTAAGAAAATGGAGCGGGCGGGCGGGCAGACGGGCATTGGATTTTTCGCTTTTGGTCGGGACAACGATGAATTTTCCATCCCAAAACCTTCATACAAGACCCTTTCACGCCGAAAATTCCTACAACCCCTCGGCTTACATGGCATCGGAGCCGCAATTCCTTCAACATTACGCGGCTCCTAGGTAAAAGGATGACGCTGCTCGTCTCGACTTCTTGGCTGAACTAGTTTTATACCCTCCAAGCGGACAAGGAGACGTTTTTGAGTGGATTTGCTATCATAATCTGAAATCCATAATGTCGAAATTTCATAATGTCGAAATTCAGAATGTCGAATTTTTTGCCGAGGATTTGGGGGTTTTACCGGGAAAACTAGCATCTAAATTTTGACATTCTGAATTTCGACATTATGGAATTTCGACGTTATGACAATTTGACATTGTGAAATTTCAACATTATGAATATGGGCATTATGATTTTCGACATTTTTAATAGGCCAAGCCAGTGACATCCCAGTTTTGATCAGCACCAAGCCTATCTCGTGCAGAATTTTACGCTGATTCCGAAGCTAGCCTCCGAATTAGTTTGATCGGCATTTTGAAGACGCTACAGCGCACCTTCTCCCTAAAATGCGCTGTAACTGCTTTAAAATACCGATTAAGCAAACTTGGAAAACAGATTCGGACGCAGCATAAAATTCTGCGCACGACCGGCCTGGTCATGCTCAATACGGACATGTCGCTCAAAAACGTCTCTAATGAGGTTAAGCGGCCATATTCGGTGTTTAGAGCCGAACTCGCGGATGGCCAAGGCTGGGGAAGTTTCGAGAACGAAGCGTCTATTCCGGAAGGGCAGCCACCGGTTTTTGCAACTAACGGAAGCAATAAAGAAGGTGACTTTCAGGAATATTTAGGTTAATACAACTTTCAGACCAACCAGGGCCCTCCACGCCACAGCCGAAACCACGCGGACGGCCGCGGAAATATCATGTCCATGGAAAAGTAAAGTTAATTTTAGGAACTGTTGTGCTTTTCTCCATTTGATATTTTTGGTTCCACGTGTATTTGCTTTCAGAATCCAGAGGAAAATAAGCGCTTCTCTAATTCGCTGGCCTGCAAGGAAAGTCGCAAGATCAAAAATCAGCAAATGGACGAGGCACGGTGGGCTATTTTAACTGGGTTTATCATGAAGCTCAGAAAATTGGTGGTCCGTCTGAAGGAACTTAGTGATACGCTGTTTGATGCACACTCACAGCAACGAAGGTAACTTTCAGAGCACGTTTGACAATTTCATCTCCTCTATAAATTAAATTACGATAGTTTGAATCATTCAGAAATGCCCGTCCATCAATGGACATGCGTGGGATCACGGAACTTCGGGAAACGATCGGCAAGCTGAGTGCATTAGCGATATTTACCAAAAAGCCACGCGAGCAGAAATGATCCGAAGACTTTATGCAACCCGTAATATGGAGCAGGATTTCCAAAGTCAATAATACTCATAAATTCAAGTATGCACATGGTACAAAAATACACACGCCATCACTGAGCTGCTCGCTGATTCGCGTTGGGCGGCGGCGAGCCCTGCTGCATCATTTTCGGTACAATATCAGAATTATTTTGTGGGTAGCGCAGGAAGAATATTTGCTGTTCACGATCCGAGGCCGGCGCGTCTTGCGGATCGCGCTAAAAATAAAATATGATCGTGGAAAGGAAAGAAATGTACCATTTTTGGTGTCGCTGGCGTGGCAAACCAACCAAATAAAAAGGCTTGTCCAGAAGTGACAAATACAGCAACGAAGAGCGTCAACAGAATTAATCGCATCTTAAAAGATATAAACAGAATTAGACTGGACAGAAGAGAATGAAGAAAGCTTAGCTTGAGCTTAGTTTCACCCAAGCCTAAGCTAAGCATAATGAAAGCTAAGTTAAGTTAACGCTAGTAAAAAATCTTTTGCGATAGGGGTAAGCCCCACACGTTTGACGATTCTGAATCGAAACGCGAGTAGGTGGCAGTGTCCAAAAAAACTTTTTAAGCGCCGCCTGCTGCCCGGGGTTGGCGTCTATTTAGACAGACCGACAGACAGAGGAGACCCGCGACAAACTGGCGACGGATTGGCAAATAGGGAGGCTGGGCAGAAAGACCTCAGCCTCGGTGGTGTGCCTCCGGTATACAGCGCCTTGCCATCGACAAGGTTATCACGACTAGCAGTGTATTGTTTGCGCGGCATACAACTTTTTCGAAGCTTCTTAGGGTGTACTTGACTAGTAGCTGAATTTTCAGGGCAAAGTTTCAAATATTTATTTCATACATGTTTCAATTGTAGGTAATTGTAGATACACGAAAAATACATGCAATCAGGCGGGAAGCACCGAGGATTAGGCGACTTGAAAGAACGTGGGTGGGGGGGAGGAGGGAGCGAAGTCGTCTTTAAAATGGCCATTATAGGGATATCACAGCTGATTCATTGAACGGGTTGGAGATGTGCTTGATAAAGGGGACTACGGGATTCTATTTTCCTTCCGGTTTTGCTCTAGCGTATAGACATTTCCTAGGAGGGTAAGCTTTGTCGGAGACCAGAAAATGGTCCAGAATGAGGTAGCAGGTTGTATAGGTGTCATCTTCACCATTCCAAAATTGTTATGCAGATAACTGGGGTAGCGGGTGGGAGCCGATGGCCGGACTACGGGAAATCGGCAACTGTTGGGGCCACGCGATTTTGGCGTTGTGGCGTTTGTAGACGAACAAGTGAGGACAATGGCGGGCGCGAGCACCATCACGGATTGCTGCCGGGCTCTCCTTTGCCCCCAGACACTCCTCGAGTCCATCTCGCAACACATACCTGAATTTTGGCTTGTCCCTTTCTATCTGAGCAGCAACCACAACTTTCTCTGGAGCAAGCAACACCTACAGTCCGTAGTCCTCGGGATTCGTGATGCCCTGCTGGTTGGCGACAATTTTGCACAATTTGTCGACCGTCATTTGCCGAACGCCCGGAAGCGTTGAATATCTAGAACCCGAGTGGTAACGATCATTACCGAAAATTCTACCTGATACACCCGTTCAGCTCATCCGGGATAACGACACTGATGAAGGCGTCGCTTGACAAGTGAGCGTAGCTGGCTGGGGATCCGGCACGTGTGATGTCCTAAGGGGAACAGTTGTTTCAACGACCCCGTTTTTTCACTACCATCGTGCTCCGGAAATGGGAATCATCGCCGAGCCGCCGGATCTCGTCCGCACTTTTGATGATCATTATTGCAGATAACAAAATGCCAAGGTAGTATGCGGCATCAGCTAAACAGGTATACGGTATACGTCTTCGTGTAGTGTTGATACAAACCTTGTGTCTGGGGCGGGAGCAACTCCCACATGTACCACGCCTGCAGCTCGCACTCGAAACACTCGAAACGGGGCAACAGATAGACGAACCAGCGAACCAAATCTGAAAGCAAGATGCTAGACATCGCTATTTCAAAGCTCGTTTAGTTTAACCGAAAGAGCCTACCGTCAGCGCTTGGAAACGATAAGCTTTGATTGCGCTTCAGTGTGGACCCGAGTGGCACTGTGTTCTCCTCGTCATCAGTGACCAACGAGACAACCCTGGAAATTTTGGTGATTACAGAGAATAAAATGTCAGATTCCGAGCCCCAGAAACACTTGGCAGACCCCACCTACCTCAGCAAGTTCTCCAACTTTTTCAGCGGGGAGTAGTGAGACTGCATTTTCTTCAGATGCATTTTGATCAGCGCCATCGTTTTCGGCGATGGCTCGGAGATCTAGACAGTTTCTTTGCTAATGATTTTACACTGGGCTTATTTTCTGAATTTCCCACATACCAGATCCGGTCTCCGGAAGCCAAGTTGTTTCAGCGACAGGCTCTTGATTAAGGTGAAATTGGCGGAAAATGCGGCCAATGACCCGTTGGCGTTGAGCGCCTTGACCATCAGATGGTAGAGGTAGTGGTTGATGGGTTCTGGAGGTACGCTATCAAAATGGTGATAGAAACACTTACTCAACAAAATCTTATGCAAAACGGAGTCGAGGATCGCGTCGATGTTCAGAATTTGGTTTCCCTTCAGGCGCGAAGTCTCGCTGCTGATTTTCTAGAACGGGGATTGGAAAATTTTGGGGTGAAATCACCTCGTGAAGTTCCTCCTCGCCATGCTTGACCAAATAGTTCTTGATTCCACTCGTGAATTGGCGGATGTTCCGGAAGACAACGCCCGGGTCGCTCTCCTCGCTTTCCACGGTGCATTCGATGAATTTGCGCACCTTCGCTCCGAACACCGTCTTTTTGCTGTCAGCTAGCCTGAAAATAGATTTTTTAAACCTGTGTCAACGCACGAACCGGGAGGCTGTATAACGTGTAAAATCACCCACTTTTCGACATATTTTTGGATGGCGCATGCCCCAGTGTCATCAGATGGGTGCCGTTTCTTCGGCGACCTGGAGATGAGCGGCGAAAAAGTGGCAGAGTCCAGGTCCCCGACGCTTTCCGTACCCATCGTTGAGAACCTTGAGGCGGATCGTGGTAGCTGAAAACCGGGGTTATACAGAATTGCGGCAGATTTTTCCTCTAACGCTCGAGCGAAAGCCTCGTGCTCCTCTAAATGTTCTTCTACTCACCGAGTTCATGCTCGTGTCATGACTGGCCATTCGCCCGTCGCGCCCCAGCGTATTCGCACGCTCGCTGATTCTCGAATTAATCGTGGAAAAATTCCTAAAAATTTTAAAGACGTCGTAAAAACCCAGTAAATTATTACCCATAATGGCTTGTGTCCCAAGATTTTTGGGTGACATGGTCGGATGGAATGTGTCGGGGTGTCGGGTGGAAACTCGGGGAGTAGGACTAAAAACATTTTTTTACAGTTTTGAGTTGGCTCCTTACCAGCTCCGGTTCGCTGTCCAACATCGGAGAAGATCTATCCGAATCGCTGTCATCTTCTTCGGCAATTGGCTCGTTCATTCCTGAAAGTTCGAGATGTTTCTTGGGACTTTGATTTTTTGGGATCCAGCTAATTCCAAGCTTCGCTAAAACTGACTTGTGGTCCTGGAGTCGCCATGATGGGCAAGGTCAAGCAGATTATCCCAGGCACTGCTGTCCCACGGCTCGTTGAAGACGGTGCCGGCCACGGAAAGTGCGTCTTCGTCCTTGCCAAGCAGGAGACCTAAGAATGAATTTTGTATATGGCCTTCGAAGGGATTAGGCTTAGGCTTAAGCTTATGCTTAGGCTTAGACTTAGACTTAAGCTGAGGCTTATTGGGCACATTTTGAACAGTTGCGTGTCCCTAGAAACCGACTTACTTGAAGCACTGGAATTTCTAGCCGATAGGTGTGGCGGGGAGAGAAAGTCGGTTGGTTGGTGGTATTCCGTTTTCAGGCAACCATCGTCCATCGTCGGCATCGCGCCGCCGGGATATCTGGGCGGGTTCAGGCGGACCTGTGGCGTCGGTCGGACCTGGAATGGTTGTATTAGAGGAGTTTCAGAAAATCTGGCCAAAAAATTTACGGGAAAAAGTATTCGACACGATGTTTCCCAACCGACCTTTGCCACTTTTTGGCGGCTTTTCAGCTCGCCGGCGATCGCTCCCCAGGTGGAGGTGCCGGGCTCGACGATGTGAGGTGAGTCCAACTTAACTAAAGCCATTTTCGAGAATAATTAAATTTTTTTTGGAAAGTACCGTTGTTGTTTTGTTCGTCGGGGGATTCGGGTTTCCGGGGGTCTCTTGCGGGCCTTCCCCTTTCGCTGTGATACCTGAAAGATATGAGATTGTTCTATTAAAACTGTAAACTATGAAATGTTAGCTCGCGAGAAATGAGTAAGCGAGTACAGATTGCATGCTACATATTCAGACCCCATACAAAATGCACCCAAGCCGGCAGCTTCAGACTAAAGAATAAAAATGAAAGCCAATGCCAAAACCTTGCCATCGAGGGCATCTAGGAAGACCAGTTGGTACTGGGAGGTGAGAATAGAGTCATTTATTATGCAAATAAGCATTGGTCCCCAGCGGTGGCCCCAGTGGCAGCAGGGGGCAATTAGCCACTGTGTGCACCCATTGACAAGCACCAATTCTACACGAATGAAGGGCCTTCCGGGGGGCAACATAAAGCGCTCCGGTGCATTCGGAGGGTGAGCTCAACTGGGTACCTCGGTCTATGAACAAGTTTACAAATTGGGAAGGTATTTTGAATTTAAAGGGTTTGCCAGCTGGTCACGCTTTAAGTCTAACGCTCGCCGGTTGATATTTAAAAGCTCTTGGTCAACCCCAAACAATCAGAGTCGCAAGGTCCATAGGTGTCGACTGGAACTGTCCAGCCGGTTGTCAGTAGCGGGAAGTGGACAGCGCCGGGGAGGGGGCGAACAAACATTAGCTTCACGCTGGGGCAAACACAGCCACGAAGTCAGCCATTATAAGAAATAAAATGCTGGCCTATTCGACAATCGGCGCAGCTATTAAGGGGAACCCTTTAAGGTTTTGGGGGGATTTCAAAACGGGACCTAGCCTATCTTTTGAAGAATTTTGCGCTGATCGCGAGTATAGTTACCGTTTTTGCGGAATAACCATTTCTCGAAAGTTCTCAATGTTTTAAACCTAAAAACCCCCACAAATCGGTAACTTCGAATTTTTAAGTTTTAGAACAATTTTTTGAGTGACGTAGCTTATAAATATTCTTCTATAACCATCATCCATAACTTTCGAGAATTGGTTATTCCGCAAAAAAAAAACCTTATTCGAAATCAGCGAAAAATTCGGCACGAAATAGGCTTGGTCCCACCCCGAATTCCGGAAGACACCCAAAAACGTCTCCTTGTAAGATCCGGTGTCAGGTCAAACGGTATGCGCCGGAAAATAAAGAAAAATTGCCAGCAGAATTCCGAGAATCAAGGCTTGCGGATCCGGCGGTCCGTAGAAATGTTTGATGGCGTGTGGGCTGAGATGAGAACCATCTGCTTGGCAACCGAGACCTCGGGCCACTTGGCGGTAATTAAGTGGGTGTCATCCACGCGCCGAATTGAGCTGTTTACCCTGGGGGGCCGGCCACCCGGTCCAGAACGAGGTCTTCTTACAATTCGGCTACGATTATAATGCGCTACGATTGTCAGGAAATATCAGGATTTTTCGGGGGTCTGGATGAATCTATATTCTATTGACAATTATTAAAGAAAGTACGGTTATACTAAAAAATGGCTTGGTTTCCGTTAATGCGTCAGGACGACGTAATGCTCTCGCATTATCAAGGATTTTTCCTTGGAATCCGATTTTCTAATTTAAAAAGAGGAACTGTTTCAAACTCTTTTTTACTATTTCTGAACTTAAAAACTGCAAAAATTTTGTTTTGAAAAATACAGAAGCATCGAGGTTTGAGCAAAAATGCAAAGTTTTCTACCAACATTTTGCTATTTTATAAATCTTTTAGATGGTTTTTTACTTGAAATGTAGTTAAAGTCAGCAAAAAATCCCATTAAAAACTTAGCATTGCGTTACTAGGCGTTTCTGGGCTTAACCGAGTAATTTGGGTCCCCTGAGAAGCAGAGGAGCACTTAAAAATACAAAAAAGCTGAGTATAGGCCATCTTTAAGACACTAGTGTCACATTGCATTTGCAAGAGGGAGGGTGTGAGGCATTAATGGGTGTGAGTGGCAGCGTATGCTACTATTGTACAGCGACGTGACCTTGGTGGCAAGGTAGGGGACGCCCAAAAGGGTTCGAAAGAAGGATGGGACGCATAAATTACACCCATTAGCGCCATTCTAATTGCAGGAGGGGGGGATGTGAAGGTGTGAGGTGGGCAGTACGTTTTGGAAGCGAAAGTAAGTGTATTCGGCTCCATATTCGGCACTATTTTGTTGGCGCCCTCAAGTGACGTGGGAATGGCGCAGGGTCCGGGCGAGGAATTCGAGTGCCCTCAGAAATTTTAGAAAAGTGAGAGCTTGCGAAAATCTGCAACTTTTAGATGGGTGAAACGCCAAAATCCTGACAGCCCGAAGCCCCCGATTTTAAACCCATTTACGGCGAAAACCACCGGAGATAGCACATTTTGGATGTCGGTATTTTGGTTGAGGGTTTTCGGCTTGTCGGGATTTTAAGCCAGCGAGCTTTGAATTCTCTTTTTTTTAATTAATCAAAAAGGAATATGCAAAAATGCGAGCAACCTTCCTCAATTCCAGTGAGCGCGGATGAATGGGGAAAATGTCACCGGCTGCGACACGATTTTGCACAAAAGCTTTCAGTCGGTGGGGGCTGTAATACAGGGATCGCCAGGCCGTCCGCTACACCATTCGACAGCAGAGAGAGAGAGACAGGGAGAGAGAGAACGCTAGAAAGCGTTGGTATGCATACATATGCCCTAATCCTGAGCCTCGGAGGCACGGGGTTGCGCAACATTCGTCGAAAGGAGCGGGATGGAAAATTTGAATTGAAGTTGACGATAATCAGGGTAAGAATAATCCAGATTCATAGGGACGCCAGGTGATTCATGCGAGCCTTCAAAAACTCGAGATGAGCAGCAAAAAGGTCGATGGGGCAAGCCGTGTAATTAGCATAGGGGGCGCTGACCCGGATCAAGATGCACGCGGACTGCTTTGTCTGATTGTGCGGGTATTCAAAGTTGCCCCAGGGAACAAAACAAAAGGTAATCAGGGGTGGGGGATGAGAGGAGAATGATAATAGCTTGGCGGGTATAAACACAGATTGGGACTCGGGAAGGCATTGAGGAGGAATGATTAGGCTTAGGGATCTTGGATTCGGCAAGCGCTAACAAGAAGCGTTTTTAAGTGTCATCCTGACTACGGGACGGGGCCTTGTGCAGAATTTTGCGCTCATTACGAATATCGCTACCTTTTTTGTGGAATTGCCATTTCTCGAAAGTTATGAGCGATTTATGGCGGAAAAAGCCAAATAACAGCCCTTTTGATAAACAAAAAACCTTCGGAATAGGTTTTGAAAAAAGGCAGCCTCGTATTCACCGTAAAACATTTTATACAGAAAACACAGCTATAAAATAAGCTGCTTGACTAAAAATTATTTTATTTGTTATATACTCAAATCTCTATTTAGCAGAAACGGTAACCAGATGCGGAATCAGCGCAAATTTTGTTCAAGGTATATTTGGTCTCATCTCGAAGTCGGGACGACACTCAAAAATGTCTACTTGCTAGGTTTAGTTAAGCATTGGCTTAAGTTTAAGAAAAGGTACAGGTAGAACCGCATTTCTCTGCTGCCATCCAAAAAGGTGTGCACGTGCGGGGGGAAAGGCGTGCCATCCAGTTTGGGCAACGGCTGCAGGGCCGGTCCGGATGTGTTGGTGGCGCGCGGAGGGGATGGGCCGAACGGTTGGAGGGGGCACTTCTGCCGACCATTGTCGGTCCGTCGAGGGCCTCCGCCCCCACTCAACACCGTTCATTACACCGGCTGGTCATCTATTCTACGCATACAGGCGCGCTCGTTAAAAAAATCTGGCGCGTCTAACACCTGGAGGTGCGATAATCCGGAACCCATCATGTGACTGGCAGGCAATAATCCCATCCATCATCCCTCCACCTTAGATTGTGTAGGCAAAGATGATTGATTCGCCCGGCTTAACGGGAATCTTAAGGTACGTGTCAACCTATTTCACGTCAAATGTTTAAAGGTGTCTAGACATCAAGTAAAAACGAATCCATATTTGAAGGATCTTGAATTTTGGGCCATGTGCTGTTAGCGGGGGGGGAGGTTTAGCGGGATTTTTGCCTGTAATTCTCTATGGCCCTATAGCAAAAGATAAACCATTTTATGGCATTTTAAATAGCTTTATGTATAAGACCAAAACTAAAAATATTATAAATTTCGGAAAATTTTTGACTTTTTGGTCAAACATGTATGGAAAATGACCAAAAAAGGTCACAATTTTCGGCTTTTCAAAATTGTAAAAGCTGTTTTCACCTTCTAGCGATTAAAACCTACTAAAAACACTATAAAAATAGAATATATCATCAGAAGGTGAGCAAAGGTGGAAAAAAACACAGAAAATGGTCCCCCCCCGCTAACAGAACCGAATTTGTGTCTCTGAAAAAACATGAACTCGCCTTAAGACTCAATTAACTTAAAAAAGAATTCCGTTATGCTCCTAGACTATCACCCAACAAAAAAACGGTGCCCAGCTGATGCTAGGTGGAGAAAAGCCAACAACTACGGGAAGGCATAGATGATGATGATGGAGGGGCACAATAGAGATGGTAGGGGCTCGCCGTGGCTGTGCCCCTGTTTATTGAATCACAACCACGACTCCTCTCACGAGAAGAAGAGGGGTGTGCACACCAGACCGGTTGAAATGCATCTTCTCCCCCGGCATCTTCTACACTATTCCGCGCTCCTCTCACCTACTTCTTCGCATCGCAACGGGGGAATATGGGGCAGAAAAGAGGCGAAACGAAAGTATGGAGAGGGATCTGGCAGAGAATGGGACGAGGGCAGAAGATGGTAAGAATGAGTAAGAGCGCGGTTATTTCGCATTATCGGGGGACCGAACTTTTTTGTAAAGCCTAGAAATGCCTAGTAACCTAATATAAAAAGTTTTAATAGGGTTTCGAACAAGATATGAGTATATTTAAACTCGAAAAACTATCCAAAAACTTTTAAAAAATCGAATTTTAGGTTAAAAACGGTTCGATATTTTTAATATTTTTAACAAAAATGTATGAAGTTGTTACGTTTAGGATTAGTGAAAAATTATTTAGAAACACTTCCACTTTGAATTTTATTTTTTGAAAGGTTTTAATTGAAAATCATTAGAAAAATTAAATCCTAAGAAAGAACGTTGCCCCCCCGATAATGCGAAAGAACCCAGAGCGCCAACCTAGATCCCAGCCTTTGAGACCACAAATCTTAATTCGTCCCAAAAACCCCAATACGGCAAAATCCCGGCGATCCACCTACCTCCTTGGAAATCCCGGGTCTGGACGGCGTGACGGATCCAAAATAGCCTCCAAATTCTTGCGATTACGGTCGAAAACATCATGGGATTCGGCGTCTGAAAACCGATTCTTATTTGGTCCGGAAAACACTTGTTCGAATTGATAGTACTTCAATTCCACTAACCGTTATTTCGATCCTCGCAGCTGTCGCTGCTCGTCGTCTCGGCGTCGAGCGCGCTCAGGTAGGCCGAGAAGTCCTTCCGGCGCACCACGGGTGTGATTAGACCCTCGTTGATCACCTGAAATTTGACTTGATGCTCCGAAAAGTAGTATAACTCACCCGCAGCTCGCCGGCGTCGGTGCGCCCAAACTTTTCGCGCAGCGCCCTGGCCGAGTTGATCACGTGATCGTCGGAGATGCTGGGGACGGACAGGCGCTGCTCCCGACTCCCCCGCCATGAACCTCCGCCGGTACGCGTTCTGAGTAGATAGCTGCATCAAGAGCGTTAAAAACAGGCCTAAAGCGCCTGTTCACCCCCTACCTCAACTGCCCATCGGCGAACCGACTCTGACCGGAAGCTCCCTCGTTTTGCTCCCCGCCCAGCAGTTCGTCGGCCGTTTGTAAGCTAAAATGCTGTGAAAGCAATAATGGGCAGCAACGTACCGTTTGCGGCGCAGCTCCTCCACGCAATTCTTCATCACGTTCTGATCGAAGGCATTTTGAGGCGGGCGCAGCACAGGGCCCTGACGAAGCGGCCCTGGGCTCCCTTCCAGATGCCCTGCCATCCGCATCGCCGGGTTCGTGATCGGACCCGAGATTTCTGGCCTGTCCTTTTTTCCAGGTGATTTCAGCTGCGTCGACAGGAGTCCTGAAAATAGAAATAGCTTTTTGATTTACAACAATTCGTTGCCCGGTCCCAGGCGCTTAGCCACTACAAGATATCCTAGGCTAACACCTCCTTAAATCCAAGATACCTAGCGCCCGCTCTCTGCTTAAAAACTCTAATGACCTTCCGGCTCTTCGACAATCAACGGCGGTAATTTGAGGCATTTTAAGGTGGAGGGGTGGATGTCGGACGCCTCGAGTACCAGCATCGACATCGACAGGGAGGCGACACAGTGGTCAAACTCCCGCTGCCGGGCGCCCATCCACGGGCAAGCGAGCTTCAAGGTACGGTTTTAAAGGGGGGAGCAAGAAAGAAGGAAGTTTAGGGTAGAAGTAAATAAAAGTTAGGATTCGCACAAGTACCTTAAAATCCCGAGTATAGTTCCGATCAAAATACGGAGCGGCTGTAATTCCGTATGACCGTAAAATGGTGTGTTTCGTCTTTTCGGGTTCTTGCAAATAAATCTGTTTAAGATAGGTAGTTTGGCAATTTCAAATAAATATTTGCTCACATTTCGACTCATTGCAACATTTTGAGTGGCTTAATGAAAGAAACCGATGCCGAAACTCCTGAGGCTTTCATGGCTTTTGCGGCGAGCGGGCGGGGACGCACGAAGTCAGAGTGTCATTTGTATTGTAACGTTGCCAAAATGTACTGGAACTATACTCGGAATTTCAAGGTAAGTCTTTGACGCGAGTTATCGAATCTTGCGCAAAATAAGCGTCGAAAAAGCCTTGAAATTCGAGTCCGGCTGTATTGGTGTGGCCACCGGAGGGGGAAAGGCACCACTTGATGGGTGATTATGCGGGATGGGAGCTTTAGGAGCGAGAGAGAGAGGAAGTGTAACACATACCACCGCCAGGCACATACAACCGGGAGGGGCACATGGTCTCGTCAAGAGCCCCGGCCACATCGTATCACCTATAGGCAAAAGGAGGGTGGGGGGGGTCGAGAGTGTCGAGAACAGGGGATGACTACACGACCCTCCACTTCACTGACAACCGTCCAATCATCGTCAACGAACCGTGTGGCACACTCGGGTGTTCCGTGGGAACCTCACTGAGTTTGGAATGGGGGTTTCAGGGTGTGCTAGCCTAGAGTTGGGCAAAAAGCTATGCAAGATAATTTCCCTCTTCCCCACTCACCATTCCCATTCTCGGGGCGCAGCGTACGCATCGATGGTCCGCGTACCCGATAGACCGTGTCCTCGCTGTGTAGCTCGTAGCTTGAATGGCTTCTAAAATGAAGGTTATGATCTTGGGAAGGCCATTGATAGGCTGGTTTCCGCTATAAATAGAAAAAAAATATGGGGTTCCTTAAGGGACTGGCGATTCGTCAATTGATTACGCGATGAAATGTTATTTGGGAGAAATTTGCCGGCCGTTAAAGTCAGCATTGAATTTTGGAAAGAAGGCGTAAAGGCAGGAATGGACTTTTTTCTTTAAGGGGAATGGGAAATTTGGGTGGAGAAGTTCTTGCTCCCTAGAACATTAATTGAGGTTGGCAGACTGCGGCTAGGAGATGTGCAAAGTTTTGCACCGGCTGACTAATTGTTTGAGGAAGGTGCGGGACGAGGGAAAGAGAGAGAGAGGGAGATGGAGAGAGAGTGAGAGAAAGAGATAGGGGGAATCGAGACAATGGAGAAGCGAGCGAGAAAATTGATAAAATTCAGGCACCGGAAGGGAACCAGGAGAAGAAGAAGGAGAAGAAGAAGGAGAAAAAGAAGGGATGCCCTTGGGGCTGGTGGTGGGAACAGTATTTGCCGATTGGCAGTGTGAATCAGCTGTAGGGAGGGGAAGTTCTGGGCAACCGGTCAGGCCTGCACACTATGCGAATGGCTATTCTTTGGTCTGCGGGGAACCGTGGGTGCGCATAATCCGTACGTTCCACCTTAACGGCAGCGTGACAGGGGGATTTTTAGTGCATTTTCATTTTTGTAAATGCTACGACTTGCCCACAAAAAATAGGGGTTCTTCTACGGGAATGAGTCATTTCAAGAAGGTATAAAATTTTTCAAGGCTGCCGAGACGCTTTCTGCGCTATTCGTCGTCCTGGGTTACTTTCAAAATGTCGTAATCCATGTGTCGAATTCATAACGCCGAAATTTCGTCATGTCGAAATTTAATTAAGCTAATTTCCTGGAAAACCCGGAATCCTTTGCAAAAATAATTAGAAACCAGGGTTGAAAAAACCGCTTCGCGGCTTTTCAACCCTGGCCCCGTCTAGGATTTATGAAAATTTGCATAATTCTTGCCGAAAAACGATGACCAAAAAATGAAAACCACGCCCTCCCTTCCTTTTTATAAGCCATTTCCACTTCCGGCGTATGCTAATTTTTCCCTAACAAACAGGCAAGCCAAGATTTTTACAAAAACCTAATTTTAATAGCGAAAACAGCAATTTTTCGAAGATTTTATGTGTGTGCAGTCGATTCCAGCCCCTTCTTTACCCTATGACGTTTCTTCCCTACCGAAAAAATGCTTCCCTGAGGCTGTAGGTGCGGAACATCCAAACGGAAGTGCATGCAAATATACACACACACACACACAAACACTATCTATTTTTTTTATATATAGTAGGATTCTGAGTTTCGACATCATGGTTCGGCATTAGGAATTTCGGCATTATGAATATTGACATTTTGATAAGAAAACTTTTTTATCAGAAAAGCATACTGAAGCTGAAATCCGCGCTAGCGGAACTGTCGAATCGAGCTATTCTGGAAGCAAATCCCGAGTGAGAATCGGAGAGCACCCGCGGGCCCTCAGGGCAGAAGGGCCGATCCGCGGGGTGTGATCGATTCGATAGCGCGCGCTATGGATGTGAGATATCCGATCAAAAAGGGGTGAAAAGGATCCGGGGGAAAGAGCTGTCGACCCACATCAAAGGATACCAACCGATCTGGCGTTCAACCATGGGAAAGGGAAAACAACGCATGGCGGGCTGCCAAAAAGGGAATGCTTAGGTAGGCTTTTACTAAGGTTTAGGCTTAGACTTAGGCTTAAGTCAAAAGCGTTGCTATATTAGCTTATCATGAGCTATAAATTGTATCCCCCAAAAACCCACCCCTTGACGCCGTGATGAAAATAGTCGGTGGGCACAAAAGATCTGCAGGCCGCCAACTGATTGATCGGAGCGCTTTTCTCGTGCCGATTCCCAAAGGTGAACAGATTCCGCAGGAAGGATCTACAAATGGGAAATTTACATGTGTTTTTAGTAAAGGGATACCTTTTCGACCCGTCGGGCGCCGCCGATGTTGATGGGAGCACGGAAGCTGAGGGTCGAGCTGGAATTTGGGAAGTTGGGTCAAATTCAAGCAGTTTACGCTTAATATCGGAATAAGCTTAAGCCTATTTTGAGCATTCTGTTTTGATAGATAGCAAATGGTGCCAAACGCCTTTTCAAATACAGGTGAGGGGGGCTGTAATTTGGGTGGTATGCCCGGAGGCGTCGAAGGGTCACTGGGTCAACCAAGCCGCAGGGCAGGCTTGATGCCGAAAGGTGTGTCAATAAGGGCCATGCACGGTTTTTGGGCACCTGCCAATAGCACAGACCCGTTCGTTGAGCCTAATAAACCTTGGCCGAAGCTTAATGAGCTGACGACAAGGTCCTACCTTTAATGCTTCGCGAGCTGGAACGACCCAAAATTTCGCCGCGTTGCGTGAGGATGGGCGAGGCAGGAACTGGAATTATTTTTAGAAGTTTGTAGTTTAACGTATTGGCCGTGTTACTTTCAAAATGTCCGAATTCATAATGTCGAAATTTCACAATGTCGAAAGTTACATAGGCGAATTTCCCGGAAAACCATTGAAATCTATGCAAAAAATTCGACATTCTGAATTTCGACATTATACCACTTCGACATTACAAATTTCGGCCTTATGAATTTTGGCATAGCAAATCGCAATGCCTACCTCGATCGTTTTTCATCGATCCACTCGGACTGTACACTGGAGCGTAGTGTAGCCCGCCTCGATTTGGGTCACCGGAGCGAGAACGAAGGGATGGGCGCTTCTAAAAAATCTCAATCTTTATTTGCCAAATCTGGAATCGAGCCATGTATATGTGGTTTTTAATAATACCTTTGAAATTTGAGGCCCCTCCAGCGCCGGCTCATTCTTGGTGCAGCGCCGGGGCAACGACGAGTCCGAGCTCCGCGACGATCCGCCCGAACTCAATGCCATCGGTGTGGTCCAGAAAGCTGCAAGTAGTCTTTATCCTGATCGAAAAAATCAGGGGAATTTCGAATACGCGGAAATCCCAATGATTTTCCCGGGGCGTAGAAAGCATCTGGAAAAAGGCTGCGGAAAAAGATGATGAACACATGCCCGCAGCGGCCGTCACGTGTCGTAAAAAGTTTACGTGCACTTGGGACGGCAGATGGTGCCTGGGGGCTGGTGTTTTCTTTGCACTAAGGAGAGGTATAGGTATAGAAAAATAGGCTAGGTTGAAGAATGTGATTTTTGAAACTTGGAGGAGCACCAAAAAGCCTACCAGCAATGTTTGGAATGGGAAACCACCAAAATACCGACAGCGAAAAACCCCGACAGCCAAAATTCCGACATACAAAATCGCGGTTTAAAGGAAAGTGGCATTCAAACTCTCTCACTCAATATCAAAGATAGGTCGAGATTTTGAATGTCGGTATTTTGGTTGGAATCCGTTTGGATGTGAATGAAGAAATTCCGAGCCCTTTACCCCCCCCCTCCCCCCACAGCCGCAGCGTCTCAAAGTTTTCGGTATTATTTTCTTATTCTGTCGGGATTTTTGCAATGCCATTCGATGGAGCGCTAAAAAAATATACTAAGAGTTTTAATTTGAGCCTAAAATAAAGCAAAATAAAAAAAGTTATAGCCAAAACATTCCGAGCCAACTTGCGAATAAATATGATTAATTTATCCGTAAAACTGTTAATTTGATTGACTTCTAGAAATAACGATTTTAGAAGTAATGATCGTCCCCTTAGGCCGATGAGACCCAGGAAATGCGAACGACTGTGCTAACGTGCTGAAGGTTGAGGGCTAGCCGAAACGGCCGAGTCGAGAATTCGCCTCCACCTCCACCGCTTGCACAATAGGGGCAATTGACCGGTGGGGTGGGGGGAGCAGCAGTTTCAAGGTCTTCATAACTACAGACCCGCTCCTCGACACCACCAACTGGCATCCACGTTTTAATGTGCATCGGCCGGGAGGGGAAGGAGGAAGGCTTAACGGAAATTCGAGCCACGACAACATCTCCCTCCAGGTAATCCAATCTGCGGCTGTGCTTTGTCAATTCTCAGGGACCATTTTTAAAACTTTTAAGTTCCAGGTGGTAAACGGCTAGGAAAAAGAACGTCGCAACTTTCTGCAAATTGTATAAACCAGGCTAGAGTTCCCAAAAATTTTCGACTTTTCCACTATTTTTTTCCGAAAATCTTCGAATGTCGTGGCCAAAATTCGAAAAGAGTATCAAAAAATCTACCAAGAGTTTTAATTACAGCCCAAAATAATGTAATATAAAAAAGTTATAACGAAAAACTTTTCGTAAATTCCGGCTGGGGGGGGGATAAAGTAAAGTGTTACCCTAAAATATTGTTTATTCAAAAATGCAGGCCGCGACACCGGGAGTATGAATTTGGCTGCACCACCCCTCGGAGCCAGGAGGGATTGGATCAAAATGAAGGGGTGGGTGAAAGCGGGAGGCGAGCGAGGAGGAGCAGAACCAGTGCTGCTCATAGCCGATAAATTCATCCTCCCCCCGCCCGGGCTCGCACCCGGATTTGCATATACCGGGTCACAGCGCTCACCGCCAACAGATATAGCCAGCGCGCCGTGAAGGGCGCTTTGCGGGAAATGGTAAATTCAAGGAAATGTCAAAACGTGAGGAGCGTGAAGTGGGGAAGCTATAAAAAATTTGACGAGCTTTAAAGGCGCTAAATATCGCTCGTACGGGTAGTAGAAACCAGTATCGATCATCACCCGTGGCTATTTTCTCCCCAATTTGCATAGGAGCCGAAGGGCGGCGGAGATTAGGGGTGAGCAGCACTCGGCTGACCCGCTCATTATATGGCCCGGTGGGGGTGCGGATCAACAGATCCATCATCGCGATTATATTCACGACCACCATCGATCGGTATCGCACACCGGAAGGAGCTGGAGGTGCCGATTTGCTACCATGAGGTCGAAAATCAAAATGTCGAAATTCATAATGTCGAAATTCACAATGTCGACATTTTTTGCCTACGATTTGGAAAGTTTTCCGGGAAAATTAGCTTATGTAAATTTTGACCTCATGAAATTTTAACATTCTGAATTTCGACATTATGAGGTTTTCAAATTATCACATTTCGAAAGGGTAGTAAGTAGTAAGTAAGGAAGAAGGGTAGTAAGGTTGAAATCCATGGTCGCAAAAAGTTAGAGGCTTAAAAATGCTTTGAAGCTCTAACGTAAGGTGACGGTTGATGAAACCAGCGATCTGCTAATGTACCAATTTCCTCTCGTTAATGGATCACACTCATCTTGAGCACGATGGCCCTCGCGGAAATGATTGAGGCTAATTTACTGGCAGAGCGCATCGCCATTTGCTTAATGGTCTGCCATGGAATCACTCAATCTGAAGCGAGACCTAGGCTGAGCTTAGGTTTAGGTTTAGCTTACAAGGTGACGTTTTTCGGTGGGCACGGAGTTTTGAGACGGGACCAAGCCATAGGTTTAGGCTTTGGCTTAAGCTTGGGCTTAAGCTTGGGCTTAGGCTTAAGCTTAGGCTTAAGCTTGGGCTCAGCGTAGGCTTAGCTTAGCTTGTTAGCTTAAAAGCAACCCTAAGCCGAAGCATCAGAAGCTAATTTTTAATCCAGTCTTCAAATGCTTCCCTATATGGCACGATAGTTAAAAATAGATAGATAATCGTTAAAAATGGTCTCAGCCTAGGCCGTTTTCAAAGGCTACTTAGCACCGAAGAAATGGTGGTGATTGTCGTGGTAGCTATGGTGGTGATGGTTGAGGGGAAGAAGGGGTTGTTTGGCCTGTGTATACGCTTCGGTGAGGTGTCAGGAAAGGGGAAGGGTTGAGGGCAGTTGCATGTGCATCATCAACTCAAAGACAAAGGCAAACGATGTGCGGGCCCTAGTGAACATACTACCCAATTGCTGTAACATCACCATATACCCAGCGGAGCGGCTAGCAGAGGTTCTTTAGGAAACGCCATAGTGATTCGAAATTTGCATCATTATGGAAATACAAAAATGGTTCCATTACTCGTCAGGGTTTGAGGTGGCTTCTTTCGCATTATCGGGGGGAAACCATTTTTTTGACTTAGAAATAATTGGCAAATATAAATAGTGGAGGTGTTTTTAAATGGCTTTTACTATTCTTAAATGTGAAAACTTCACAAATTTGTATTAAAAAAATACGAGAAATATCCATTTTTTTTACCGAAAACGCTGATTTTTACCAACTTTTTGATTTTTTCAAGGTTTTAGCTCGTTTTTCTAGTTTAAATATAGTTATATCTAGCTAAAAACATAACCAAACACTTGCTATTAACTTATTGGGTATTTCTAGACTTATACAAAAAGTTCGGTACCCCCACCCCCCGATAATGCGAAAGAACCTAGAAGCTACATCAAATTCGGTCCATACCCGAAAAAGAAAGAACGACACGCGTGAGGCTAAGCAAAAAATGGGAAGCTTCTCCCTGGTGAGATCTTGGCCCTAGCGCCACGGGGGCCCAGGTGACAAATGGCACCAACAGTTGGACACACGCCAATCAGGCTGAGGCCTCACCATCAAGGAGAAGACGGCGGGAAATGGATCGATCAGCACTCACCGCAAAACACCAATACACAGCAAGGTAGAAATTTTGGCCAAAGAGCCTAAAAACCTACCGCCGCCGAGAAGCGCCAAATTACGCAGCTGGGCCACCGATTCGCAGTTGACGACCGCCCTCGGCAGGGAGAGCTTGCTAGAACACGGTTTTGAAGCTTGAGGACCACCTCCAAGCCTAAGCTCAAAACTAAGCCTAAGCCAAAGCCTAAGCCTAAGCCTAACAAGCCAAGCCTCAGCCTTTTACTCACAAAAATCTACCCCTTTTCGCAGTAATACACCAACAAGTCGGGCACGGTGGCGAAGGTCATTGAGTGTCCGCGCAGCATATAATGGTTGTGACCACCATTTTCTGACCTAGAGTTTGTTGGTCATAGGTGCTTTTCCGCTATGCTCTACCGCTTGTTCGTGATTACATGGTGCTCCACCTTGTCCTCTAGTTTTCTGCGGTAGGTGAGGACGAGCGAGTTGGCACGATCAGAGAAGCGCACGATGAAGTTCTGGAATGATTTCTTGTAAATAGCAAAGAACTGGGAAAGCGAGCAAGATTGTTGAGGAAGAGGAGACGGCAGGCTAGCTGAGATTGTCGGGGCAAACCAATGATCGTAGAAATTCTTCACCTACCCCGGGTTCCATATGCCGGAGAAATGAGGCGGAAGTCTCCCGAGTGATGTTGATCAGATGCCTGCGAAGCAAAAAAACTCAGTTTTCTAAGGGCATACCAAATCGGCATCGAGACTACAAGCCTTTCGAGCAGTGGAGGCACCACCGGCTCGTGCTCCGACTTTTCGGGCTCATCGCCGGTCCAACCGGTCGTCGCATCCAGTACGCGGGAGCTTGTCTGGAAAACCTCATTCCGGGCAGCCCGCGTGCTGGCCATCACTGCAAAATAAGGATTGCTAAATTTATTAAGAAAAAGTAAAATTTTGCCTAATAAAGAGGCAGTAAAAGAGGTGGAATCACCCTCGAAGATGATACGGCACACAGGCAAAATGCCAACCGGAAATAACCGGCGATAGCGTGAAGCCGAGGGGAAACGACTCTCGCGCGCACCGCGATTAATTATCCGATGGGCCCTGTGGGGGTATTTGCCGCTGGGCCCTTCTCACTGTCTGTCTGCCCGATTGTGGGTCTGTTTGTCCGCTAGCTGGGGGGGCATTGTGACCCCATCCACCCACCCCCGGGCCCATTTGGACGGGGGCGGAAGGCCGGAAAAACTAGACCGGGGCTTGGGCGCAAATTATGGGGAGCACACTGGGCAAATGGAAAATCATCTATAGGGTCGCTAGACGAAATTCAGTGGCATAGAACGGCCTATCAGGATTTTCAACGCTGTGTTTTCTGTGCAGCGAAAACCATTTTGTCGGAAACTTTTTTGTATAAGTCTGGAATAGCTAATTTAATAGAAAGTCTGTCAATAGTGTTTTAACGGTATACCAGGGTTGAAAAGCCGCTTCGCGACTTTTCAACCCTGGCCCCGTTTGGACAAATGAAACTGTAACTTTCCATAATTCAGCTTCGATCAAGCTGACAAAAATGAAAAAATTTTCTTCGATAGGCTTTTATAGGCTTCTTTTACTTCCGATATATGCTAATTGTTTCCTACCAAAGAGGGTTCTCGAAAATTTTAGAAAACTTAATTTTTAATATCGAAAATAGCGTATTTCGATAATTCTGTTATGCGTGCAGTCATCGCAGAGCCATTACGCACCTAATGACGTATCATACGTACCCTAATATTCATCCCCTATTGAGTTATCATCCGGACATAGAGACGGAAGTTGCATGCAAATCGACACACACACACACACACACACACACACACACACACACACACACACACACACACACACACACACACACACACACACACACACACACACACAGACACTACTTTTTTATATATAGTAGGATAACGATATTTTAACTAGGAAAACTGTCCAAAAACCTTGAAAAAGTCGAAATCTTTATAAAAAATTGGCCATTTCGGTCGAAAAACCTATATTTTTGATATAGTTTACTACAAAATTGTAACATTTTGACGTTTAGGAATAGTAAAATCATTTAGAAACATTTCCAATATTCATATTTGAAAAATTAGAAAGAAAGTGTTCCCCACCTCCGATAATGCGAAAGGGCTGTCAGTCCTTACTTCGAAACGTCAAAAGAAAAGGAAAGGAGACACAAACATTAATGACAGGATGGACTTGGATTTTCGGCGGTAAGGGCAACCAAAACGAAAATATTTTCGTTCTCCAGGAGCTTGGAGGGTTTTAAGTCGAACCAAAAATACCAGAGTGCCCCCCCTCGCTCCACTCAATCTCCCCGCACGGCATACCGGTTCGGGGGCACTTTGATCCTTACGAAAAAGGAAGCCTCACTGCCTCCTTTCCAGTTGACTAGACAATGGCAAGCCGAGGGGAAAAAGCCTGGCTTAAAAGCTTGGATTCGAAACCGCTAAAAATTATAGGTATCTAATAAAGGGATACGTCGTGTCAAAAAACGCAAAAAAAAATCACATTTCGAAGAGGGATTTTTGTGGAAATGTGGAATCTCGACATTATGAAATTTCTACATTCTCAAAGTTCCTCAAAAATTAAGAAAATTCTCGAGAAAAGCTCATTCCAAATTGGCAGGTGTTCGTTTCGTTCCGCGACGGCCAGCCAGGCCGTATTCCCCGACCAATGTGGCCGGGGACATGTGGACGATTCGAGGTCACCCCGGAGCGGGCAGCGCTACCGCACAACCACCACCCCCAATTTTCCACCCCTCAACGGCTGTTTTCGGCCAAAAAGTCCGGATTTGGCATACTGGTCAGTGGGCAACGCCAGGTTGCTATTCGAAAACCAGGGGCTTACGGGGTAAGTACATTGCTGGGCTATTGGAATTTGCAAAGGGGACAGCGGGTTCGAATTGTGGAAAGACTTCCGGAATTCGGCGTATACTGCGACCTCGAGTTGGAGCAGTTCAGTGACGTCTCTCTAGGTTTCTGCGAGGGCTTGGAGCTGTAGGGCTAGGCTTAGGCTTAGACTTAGGCTTCAGAAATCTTTCGACATTTCCGTCGGGATTTTGGCTCCTCCATTCGATAGAGCAGCAAAATATATACTGAGATATTGAATTACAGCCCAAAATAATGCAGAAGTAAAAAGCTATAGCGAAAATCTATTGGGAACTTCCTGCTGGGATGGGGGTGGGGGGTGTTAAAGTAAAGTCTTACCGGCTTCGGGCTAAGAAATCCAAAGTTATGCCGTGCCAATTTAATACTAGCAGAACGAAACGCCTAGTGCATAAAAAATCGATTCCAAAAAGCCTTCGCATTCCTATGTGCCCCATGGTGTATGAGGGACACCCCAGAGGTCTAAAGGGATGAGTCACGACACGGTGGTCGACGACGCAACGCGAGGCGCCGTGTGATGACATGTCGAAATATGGGGCCATGTCCAGCGAAAAAAAGGAACTCCCGAAACCTGGAGGGGTAGAGCACGAGTTAACATTATGGCTTCTAGCTTGTTTAGAATGGAGACCGGGCCGCGAAAAGTTTAGGCGCGCCCACATCTGCAATGAGGGATGAGGGATGGATTGCTGGGGCAAGCTGGTCAACGTTATGAAGGGGGACATTGGGCCATAGTGGCCAAAATTTCATTTTACAGCTAGCGAGGGACTCACCGGCAAGAGGAGCCTTTCGGAATACCACCACCTGCGGGGCGGCAGCTTCTGGGAGCTGTTCAGGATTGGAGTAGCTGAAACGTTCCTTTTTAATGAATTAATCAAAACCAGATGGTTACAGTCGCTTCGCGACTGCAACCATCTGGCCTTCGGGCTACCCTACATATCCCACTCCACCACATCCTTTCCCACCTCCATCAATACCCCCCATAGCCGAAATTCCCGTCAAAAACTACCTAAATACCTTCCCGATGGCTTCAGATACCCCCCATGGCTGAAATCCCCTTCAAAGACTACCTAAATGCCTTCCCGATGGCTTCAGATACCCCCATGGCTGAAATCCCCTTCAAAAACTACCTAAATACCTTCCCAATGGCTTTAGATACTTAAACTAATTTAAATAATTAATTAACATAATTAAAAAGTATTAAAGTAACTTAAGAAAGCGATCTAGGCGCGCGAAGGGGCCTGGGGAGAGGGGCGAGGGGAAAGGGGGCGTGGCCTCCCGGGAGAGGGGCCCCCACCCCTTTTACTAAGGAAAAACTTTCAAAGTTAATTTTAATAATTTAAACTAAAAGTTTTTCATAATTTTTTTATCAGTTTGGGGGTTTCTGACCACGCTCTATCCGAATCCGAAGAGAGCTAAGCTCTAGCTCTTTTCCCCTTCGAGTTGAATTCGGCTTCGGACAGACAGACAGACGGACAGAGACCACAGCAAAATTATTATAGTTGATTGCTGCGACCCCAGCCGAGAGACGTGAGATAGAGAGAGAGAGAGAGAGAGAGAGAGAGAGAGCGAGAGAAGAGATAGATAACGAGAGAGTAAGAGAGAGTGAGCGACAGGGAGTGAGAGACGTGAGAAAGAACGAGAGAGAGAGCGCGAGAGAGTGAGCGAGAGAGTGAGTGACAGGGCGAGAGAGCGAGAGGTTGAGAGAGATAGGGAGACAGAGAGAAAGCGAGAGAGAGACAGAAAGAGAGCACGAGAGAGAGAGAGAGAGTAGCCGCGCCCGCCTGCTAACAACTCATCCTAAAGCTTACGATAATATCAGAATTTAATCCATAGCCTAACCACGAAACTGCAGTGGTTTCCCTAAAAAAACGTGGCGTCCACGGTCCGGTGGTGCGGCACTTTGCATCGAGACAAAGAAGTAGATTCGGCGGAAAATGTGCTGTGGGAACATGTGCCCCCGGGGCTCGTACACATGCCCCCCCACCCTCCCCAGTCAGCTCACCCTTTCAGTTTTTATGGGCCATTCGAATCTTTTCCCAGGGCCACCACCTCCCGAAAAACCACTGTCCCCCATATGCGCCCTACTTGCTGCCATTAGCTGTTAAAGGGAGTTGGAAGGGCAGAAGGAAAATTTAACAAGCAACTTGTGCTGGGGCCCGCAAGCCAGGGAAGAGTCAGTGGACAGTTGCGATGTCAACGCCCAACAACAACACAATAAATCACAAGGGGCACCAACCTCGTAGGAGGAATTTCAAAGGTGATGCTGCCTCTGGGCGGAACTTCTGAAATTTTGTTGAGGACACGCATCCCAAAAGACACAGACAGACAGCAAACTCACCCGATCCGTCGGCTCTAGCTTCGCGAAAGGTTACTTTTTTCTTACTGGGCGTGGTAGTAATTCCGGAAGTTCCCGGATCCTCAGGCACCGTTTCTGGTAGCGTCCGACCTAATAAGTGAAAGGCATCAGCCAGGTTTAAGCCTAATTCAAGCCTAAGCCTAACTTAAACTGAAGCGTAGGCCAAGCCTGAGTCTAAGCTTAAGCATAAGCCTAAGCCTAAGCCCAAGCCAAGGCCTAAGCCTAAACTGGGCAACTGACCTGGCAACTGTCCTAAACACTGCCTTAGCCGAAACCTAAGTCTAAAGCTGACTCCAAGCCGATGGAAGCTAACTATTCTTCAACCTCCAAACGTACCTTCCGAACAAGGAATCACACCTTCTGTAAATAGCACAGCACGGTTCATCAGACTTGGTCGTGGAGGCGGCGTTGGTCTCCAGCAGACTTCGGTCGGTCTCTCCTCGGCCATACCGTCACAGACCAGCCCCTCCAGCTTCATATTCGAAAAAATGGTGCCCCGGGGCCCGGGCTTGGTTCCCACGCTCCCTCCGTCTCCGCTCAATCAATGGGCGGCGGCCGCTGCAAAAAAATGGTGCGCCCCGAGGTGGTGGTCGAACTAGAAGCAAAAATAGAAGGACAACGACAAGAAGGTTAAAATGAGGGAAGTCTTGAACGGTAATGGTTGGAGGTTTTTCCTCCTTCCCAAAAAAAAACCCAGAGGCCGTCGTCAACCCGGGGCATTTCGGGGCTAAACGGTACGCGCCATATGAATCAGCTGCGCCCTTTCGATTTGGTGGCTCAGCGGGACAAATCGGCTGCTCTCATCCATTGGGGGCAGACGGCAGAGACACACTGATGGCGCTGTCTTAAGTGAGTCACACGCATTTGGAAATGTTATTTTACCCACAGTTATTGAGCGATTGGTTGGTTCCCGAGGTACTGATGGATTTCGCGGCGATGAACCTAGGCTAGGCGTATGCTTGATCATAGGCTTAGGCTTGGTCTTAAGCTTCGGCTCACAAGGGAAGAATTTTTCGCTGATTCTGAGCCCGCTTCCAAATTTTGCCAAATAGCTCGTTTTATTTTTCCAATACAATTTTTTCCTAAATTGCGAACTTCAAAGTCATTTATTTCTCCTTTCCTGGCTGATTTCTCAAAAACCACTATCGCGATCGTGTTCAAAAAAAATTCTCTATCAAATTAGCCGCTTAGCTCAAAATTGACAAAAATCAAAAAATTTCAAAAAATTACTGCTTCTGGGGTCAAATGCGACCTTAAATTCAATATAACTTTTTGAAATTTGGCTATTTGGCCAAAATTTAAAGCGGATTCGGAATCAGCGAAAAATTCTGCACAAAATCTGCTGAGTCCGATACCAAATGTCTGCTCGACCCTGGGTGGTTCTCTTGTTAGACTTCAGCTTAGGCTTAGACTTAATTCCCCCCAATATCAACGTAGTCCATTTATTACCACTTAACGGTCCAGCTTGGCTCCCCCGGGTGCACTCGGCAGGGGGGCATTTATCGGCCGTGCTAAATGGCGGGCATGGTGAACCAGGATTTACGACACCTTTATCACCCAACCGGGTCAATTCTGCGGGGGATGCGTGAAATCTCAGACCCGGCAAAAAAACTCTTATCGCGCCCGCGGATCTCTCGCCGTCATTTTAAACTGTGGCTTCCCTGTGGCATTCCAATCCGTCGTTTCGGAATCTTTAATTTCACTGGAACTCCATTCAAAATGGCATGGTTCTTTCGGACATTAATTTTAGCGGCTTTATCGAGCTGTTTTCTTTGTGAGGTGAGTTTATTTTTCCTTGTTCAGTCCTATAAAAATCCAAAAAAAATTGTTGAAGTCTAGGGCTCCCAAAAAAACCGGATACCCCAACCGCGAGTTGCGATCATTGGCGCTGGGATGGCCGGGTTGTCGGCCGGGAAACGGTAGGGTTTTCTGGGCAGTAACTCTTTGGCAAAGCACATTCTACGACACAAGCTCTCGATTCAGCCTAATGGAGCTCGGCCTGACCGAATACGATATCTACGAGGGAGCCGAACGAATCGGGGGCCGCATCCATTCCATTCCATACCGTAACCAGTTCGTTAAGTTCCAAACAACGCGCGCTTAGATGGCGGCTACCTCCAGATGGGGGCACAATTCATTAACGGCGAGGCGAACCCGATCTATAAGATTGCGTCCAAGTTGGGGCTGATTGAGGGCGAGCTGTCCGATTTGGCTCACTTCACCGAGTCCATCTACCCGTCCGGGCCATGCGAAACTTACAAGTCTGTTTCTTTTTAGTCTGTTTTTGGCTCGTCGCGGATGTTAAAACATCTAGAGAAAATTAAAATATTCTGAGCAAGCTCGATTTCAGGTCTATTAAATTCTAGCCAAAATCTTTGCAGATTCAAGGGCCTTTTTAGGAGCGACTTCCAGTTATTCATGGACTTCATCGAACCGCTGGACACGAAATATCGTACCCTAGCCGAGGTCGACGAAAAGATCGCACGCTCCCATTCGATGAAAATGCTGTTCGACCTGGACTTTGCCGAGTTCGTGAAGGTACACGAGAGACCCCGGTCCTTTCGCATTATCGGGGGGCGAGCTTTTTTGTATAAGTCTAGAAATGCCTAATAACTTAATAAAAAGGGTTTTAATGGTGCTTTTAGTAATATATCTAAAAAACTTTGTAAAAATTCGGCATTTTGGTCAAAAATCGCCCATTTTCGATCGAAAAATCGATATTTTGTGATATTTTTTACTACAAATGCCTGAAGTTTTCACCTTTAGGGGTGCTATAAAAACCATTTAGAAACACTTCCATAATTTATATTTGAAAAATTAGATCCTAAGAAAAAAGTTACCCCCCCCCCCGATAATGTGAAAGAACCGAAATCCCTAAAAAAATTGAGTATTTTTCTAGGAGCACAAGATCTGCGGTAGACGCCTGAATTACTTTGAAGCCCTATCGCGGCCCTATCGCTCCTACTGGGAATTTGAATGGTCATCGGATTGGGGAGATGTGAGACGATTTCACAAAATTTCTGAGTAATGAGCAAGTTTAGCAAAGCCTAAGCAACCTGCGGGACTGGGACGATCAGGGGGCCATTGGCGTCTCGTACACGACCACGAAAATTGGCTACAAGGGCATTATGGACTTTATGGCAGAGCAATCCCCAGCACAGAATCTGCATCTGAATCATCGGGTCGCTAATATCAATTATGGGGGTGATTCGATTGAGGTAAGCAGCTAAATTTTTGCGTAGGTCTCTGAAAAATACACATTTTCTTTCGACCAATTTGTATTATTAATATTGTCATAATAATGGCTAGACGAGGCCTGCGTTAAAAAGTTATTTCGTCTAGTTGACGCTCCACAACGGCTCAAAAATCGAAAAGCTCTACGACTATGTGATCGTGACGACCTCGCTGGGCCATCTGAAGAAGTACGCCGGCTCCCTGTTTACGCCACAGATTGGCCGTTTCAAGCGGAACCTAATAGACGCCGTTGGTAAGCCAGCCTCAGTTTGAAAACCTTTAGGCTAACCTCTAACGTTTAGGATTTGGTGGTTCCTGTAAGATCTTCATGCGTTGGGAGGAGCCGTGGTGGCTGCCGGGCACCCATTCCATTGCCCCACTCCCAATCAAGGTATTTTAAGGTGACGGTACCATGAGGTCTTCTAGGGATGCCTGGGCCGTGAGGTTGAGGTGGATCGCTTTGAGGAGGAGATGACGACATTGCAAGTAAGTCTCAAGGAGTGTCACGAACCACATATATAGACGGTAGCCTGGGAAAAGAACACATTAATGGCGTGGATTGCGGGCAAGGGTCATCGGCTGATGGACGAGCTCGAGGATCAAGAAATTGTCGACAGGACCACGAAGCTGATACGCTATGTGATGAACAATCAAACGATTGCGCCGCCTTCAGAAATTGTTCGGTGGGCTAATTTGTGGGCAAATTCCGAGAATCCGGATCATTCCGGTCGTTTTACCCATAAATGGTTTTAAAATCTGGGGTTTCTGGCTGTCGAAATTTTAAATGTCGGGATCTTGGCGTTTTGCCTCTGTGGGCGTCGGAAATAAACTTGTGTATTGCAGGACACGTCTCACCCAGAACGAGCTGATCCTTGGCGCCTACTCCTACGTCAGCCAAGCACAAGCAGCTGCCGGACTCAAGCACGCCGATCTGGCGATGCCGTTGAAACGGGATGGAAAACTGCGAGTGATGTTCGCCGGAGAGGCAACACATTACAGGTGGGGCCATCAACCTGTCCGAAGGCTTTTTTAGAATGTTCGAGACGGCCGTCGGCGCCTACCAGTCGGGACGTCGCGAGGTCGACCGTCTCGTCGAGGACTGGGCCGTGCGGCATGGGGTCCGGCGGAAGAATGGCAGCTCACCTGGCCAGAGGATGGTCCGAAAAGGTGTCGACAAGAAGCAGCGAATATCATCGGTGTGCAATAACAAAAGTGACGGCGGTTGCCATTAGTTGTCTTGCTTTTCCAATTCATTTACGGGTGTGCCACGAATAAAGTTTTGATCAACGTCTTGTTTTATCACATTTTTTAATCGTAAGGCCGGCCAAAACAAGCAGGTCATGCTCATGTCACCGACAGCTCATGTTTTGATGAGGGTCAGATCCTTTTCTTGATTCCTCCGCTTCCGACTCGGCATGTGCTCCACCTAAAATGAGAATGATTGATTTTGATGCATGCTTCAAACCATGGCTTGGTTCTTGGTTTCCGGCAGAACAAAGTGCCAGGTGAGGATGTCGATCAGGGCCGTGATGCACATCACCACGAATGGCAAACCGATCCAGTAGTCGCTCTGAAATATTAAGTTTAAAGACGTACTGGAAGGTCAACCAAAGTCCTTTTTAGGTCTTTGATCTTTTCCCCCTTTTAAAGGTGCTCCGAAACCTGGTCCAGACGCGATCGCAACGCGTCCGCCCCCCACAGACCCCACTTTTGCCCATCTTTGCGCGTAACGCTTGAATATAAAAATTCTTACGCTTTATCTGGGTTCCACATCAAATTTAGGACATTCAGACATTTTAGTTATGACAATTGCTCCGAGAATCAGCGACATCGGGAGATTGGGTGTCTTACAAGGCCTAAGCCTAAGCCTAAACCTAAACCTAAGCCTAAGCCTAAGCCTAAGCCTAAACCTAAGCCTAAGCCTAAGCCTAAGCCTAAGCCTAAGCCTAAGCCTAAGCCTAAACCTAAGCCTAAACCTAAGCCTAAGCCTAAGCCTAAGCCTAAGCCTAAGCCTAAACCTAAGCCTAAGCCTAAGCCCAAGTCTAAGCATAAGCCTAAGCCTAAGCCTAAGCCTAAGCCTAAGCCTAAGCATTACGACATGTAATCGCCGCGCACTCAAAATGTCGTTTTCGCCCCAAGAACTTTTCGGTTTTACTCAAATATTTTGCGTCTTTTCGCGACGAAATCACTTTTCTGGTATTTATCGGCCGCAACCCTTTTGTTCTTCACCAATGGGGTCAATTCTTAAATGCGCGATTTTGACTTCCGAGTCCCTTCAAAGCCTTCCTAGAAGGTTCGTACCAAATAAAAAACAAATGGCGAAAGCGTAACGCCGCAACGGTTGAAGAACGATTGGAACGAGTAGCCGAGGTTTCGGATTGGCGTGGGGAATATTTCGTTCGACAGGATCGTGGCGGCAATGTAAATCTGAAAAGGTGATCGTGTATTGGCGCCTAGAAATTCTCACCTGGGACGTCATCGACACGGCAATGAGGATCGAGATTCGAATCCAAAAGCTCAGCTGCTCCGACATTTCTGAAAAATTACACTACTGGCCTTATTTCATGCGCCTACCGTAGTAATGGGCCCCAATGACGAGGAGTAGAGGCAAAACGATGAACAACAGCCCGAACCAGTGCACAAATTTGCGGCCGCACCACTTGTGCCTGTAGTCGAGCCAGGCAAATGCCACATTCGTTGCCCATCTATGAAAGGTATCTTAGATTTTCCAGGTTAATTATACCTTATTAACCCGGTGTACACCATATTCATGTAGATTGACCCGCTCATCTTCTCAAAGTTGAACATGATCCCGTAATTGATTATGGAGATGGAGAAGCTGGAAGGAGAAATTAGACGCTGCTCGCTTTGGCAATTATCGATTTTTTTTTTGTAAAAATCCTTACAAGGTAAAGGAGAGAATGAGGGTGATGGTGGTGAGCCACGGGGTTGAGAAAAGGTGATAGTAGTAGTAGTGTTTACTCTTGGCTCGTTGCCTCTCAATTAGCTAAATGAATTGTGTATGCTTAGGCTTAATCTTGGAGATAGCATACGAGTCTGACTCATTCTCAACAATTGCCCACCTCATGCTCATATAGCAGCACCTCCTCCAACTCGTTGCACTCCGCCTCATCCCGGTGATCGAGCTTAAAAAACGGTTAAGACTTTACTTTACCCTCCACAGCCGAAGGGTCTCAAGGTCATCGGTATTCTCGCTTATTTTGTCGGGCTTTTTGCAACGTCATTGGATAGAGCGTCGAAAAATATACTAAGAGTTTTAATTTGAGCCTACAATAATGTAAAATAAAAAAGCTATAGCCAAAAGTTTCCAGCTGGGGGGCGGGGGGTAAAGTAAAGTTTAGCCAAAGGACGGAACGTCTATATGTTAATCTACGTACCTTAAAAACCTTCTGCATTACGATCCTCGCCTCAGCAATCCGCCCCTTTTGAATTAACCACCGCGGTGATTCGTGGATGAAAAAGCTTAAACGGAATTTGCATCGGACCAAGAGGACACTTTCTGAATACTCTAAAAAGCTTACAACATTAATATAGCGGCAAATAGCAGAATTGCGCCTAGCGCCACCGCGAAACTGCTCCATGTGTGCGTCAGGTAGGCGATGAAGGCCAGCGGGGCCATATTTGGGGACCAGGTGATCAGCTGGAAAGAAGAATAAAAATTGTAAAACCCCGCTTACCATACTGATCCAGAGCCGCGACTTCTTCGGCAAGTTCTCCACCCAGAAGACGTTGAATACGCTGAAAAAGGCGCACCGTTTGCGACGAAAAATTCCCTTACGCTATCGAACCGCCTAGGAAGAAGCCGCAGATGATCCGGGTGACGATGAACCAGAAAAGCGACGGCGAGAAGGCGGAAATGATTTGGCTAATTCCGCATCCCATCAGGCTGGCCATCAGCGCCTATGCCAACTTTGTTTCTACTTTGAAAATTTTATCACGCAATTCAAGCTTTTTAGTTTTTTCTTGTAGGCTTTAGGTTCCAAAAAATAGACTAAAAAATCCGAAAGTTTGATCGCATCCTTTCAAATTTGCCCACCCGCTTTCTGCCAAACGAGTCGCTCAACTGGCCAAAGACGACGGCACCGAACAAGACGCCTAGCATTTGGAAGGAGATCACATTTTTCACAACTTTCGAGAGCCCACAGTACAGCTCGAACTGAAAAGGATCGTCATGAGCTTTGTTTGTACGTTCTAAGCGAATTTTATGCCTTTTTAGATGTTCCGGGACTCGTTCCTTGCTCCCATAGGTATATTTTGTGATGCGGTGGGGGATAATCGCTAGGTACTTGGTGTGGAAGCACGAAAATCCGGGGACAGGATGATAGACCTGGCCGCTCCTTTAAAGTCAGCGATGCGTGAAAGTGAAGCGCAGATTCGATGAGCACTTGTGGCACCGACGAGGCCAAGGCCGACCCGGTTTCGAGCCGCGATCAACTTCAAAATCGTCCGTTTCTCACGTGTAGTAAGTTAGAGGGCGTTTTGACTCTGTTGTAGTCACTCAAGAATCTTGCGGAAAATGTTATTGGTGGCGATTTTTCGTCTGGTCTAAATTGAACCCCACCTCAACATCGATAGACTTGAACTGGTAGCTGATTTCCGGGCGGGAGCAATTTCCGGCCATGAACCGTTGGCATTTGTCCTCATTCGTCAGGGCTATCGTCCTCGGGTCACCGTTACAGTATAATGTTTCGACGGGCGGGGAGGCTCCTGAAAACCGTGAGGGTTCAGGTCCTAAGGATATGCCTCTGCGACAAAGCGCTCAGATTATATACGTCTAGCACCAACCAGCAAACACAAAGTAGAACATTGTGGAGCATTGGCCAAGGAGGCAGAACTCGCTGACGAAGCAGAACAACGCCACATAGCGCCCGAAGACGATCAGATCATCGAGGCGGCGCGGCGTAGTCGCCTCCCCAGCACTTCTTGTCTTCATCAGGGGCCCAAGCTCTGAAGTTCGATATCCTATTAGCCTTAAATTTGTAATAATGGAAGCGTGCGAGTATTTTAAAACCAGAGAGAGGGAGAGAGAGACACAATCAAAAAATCAAGGCCCAAAGCGACAGTAGCTCAATCAATCTTGTCCGTAACTGCCGGAAAATGTTCTACAAAAACGCGACGATGTGAACCGAAATGATAAGGCGGGCGAGGTGAGATCGTTGCTCGGATCACCAACCCGCCCCGTATACAATTAATGGGACTCGCAATTTATCGACTTTCAAGCGGAACCGAAAATTCTAGAAGAGAGTTTAGAATGACATTTCATCTTTGGGCCGTCGAGTTGTTTTAAAAACCGAGGGGTTGAATATTTCTGAATGGTTAACCTTAAAAATGTAGCGTAAAGAATCTGAACACCCCCGGGATACCGATGAATGATTGAGGTAAGTAAGCAGACGGCCCGCACCGGTATTGTAGGTGTTGTATTTTCTGCTCCTGCGCGGACTCCTCCCTTTGCGAGAGTGGCTCTGTTTCTCTCATGCCCCACATCTCTCGCCGTCTCTCTCATTTTGCTTATTCTCCGATGTCAGAACGATGATCCACCTGTACCCGAATGACATGCTCCGGATAACCTTGAAAAAAACGAGTACGAAATTTGGTGCCGCTTTTCAGGTCGATCTTCCGGGCAGTACGGAAAAAGCAGACAAAAAGGGTAGGTACCGAAGCCTAAGCCTAAGCCTAACCTAAGCCTAAGCCTAAACCCAAGCCTGAACCAACGCTTAAGCCTAAGCCTAACCCTAAACTAAACTCTTATATTTTGCTAAAAAAGATCGATGTGGTTACGGTATTCCATACCAGTCCCTGTAATTCAAGTTCGCTCAATTTTTTTTTATCTTTCTTATGCGCCAAAAATCTTCGTTTCAACCCCTCCCACTTTTGTCTTTTGATTGTCATTTTATGACGCCATCTGTTTCTTATCAGCCTGCCTTTGGCAAAGGCCAGGGCATGCATCTGGCCGACCTAAACGGGGGGCCGTGACGCGACCGCAAGGCCTCCCCCTTCTCGCACAATTTCAAGCAGACCTCGGCCACAAAAGTCTTTTACTTATTTGAAACTCACTTCTCTGGCTCTAGTTCATTATAATTAACCCCTCGTCGATTTTAACCTAGAGCCAGTCATTTTTTCCCTTGTTTAGAAAGTATCAATCATTTAAACTGCATGAAAGAACCATTTTAGAGCATCAATGTCCGATCGTGACTGCCGCATCTACGTGGGCAACCTGCCGGCCGACGTGCGCGAGCGGGACATCGAGGACGTCTTCGGAAAATATGGCCGCATCCGCGCCACTGATATCAAGAACGGCAGAGGGCCCGCGTTTGCCTTCATCGACTTTGAGGATGCCAGGTGGGTACAGCTAGAAAAAATTTGCCATAACTACTTTAATAATCTAGAAAAACTAATACGTAAAACCATTCAGAGATGCCGAGGACGCGGTCCGCGGACGTGATGGCTACGATTTTGATGGATACCGATTGAGAGTCGAATTCCCGCGCGGAGTTGGTCCGCGTGGCGTCGGGGGCAGACCGATGCGCGATGGTGGAAGCTCGCGCGGAGCTCCTCCGCCACGACGTTCCGGATACCGCGTCAAAATCACTGGTCTGCCTCCCACTGGCTCTTGGCAAGACCTCAAGGTATGTCTGACTTTTATTTACCAAAATAGTATTTGCGTAAAACCTGGACGCCTTTCCTTTCAGGACCACATGCGCGAGGCGGGAGACGTCTGCTACGCCGACGCGAATGGCGATGGAAGCGGAGTTGTGGAGTTTTCGCGCTACGAGGACATGCGCAGGGCCATCAAGAAGCTGGACGACACGAAATTCCGATCCCACGAGGGCGAGACGGCTTATATTCGAGTGGAGGAGGAGAGCGGCGGCGGCCGGGGAGGACGGTCGCGCTCTCGTTCTCCACCTGCACGTCGAGGTGGCAGGAATTCGCCGAAGGTAAGCTTTCCTTCAATAAGCATCTACCTCGACGTTTCAGTACTCTCCACGTCGCTCGAGGTCCCGCTCCCGCTCGCCAAAGTCTCGCTCGGTCTCCCGCTCCAGGTCCCGTTCGTAGATGGTAGGTGACATTTTCCCCACTCCCCGGACCCTAATTTTCCACCTAATCTGTCCACTTGCGGCCCTCAACATCACAATTTCCGGGTTCAACGCCCCGCTCCCATTTGTGTATTGATGCCTTTCAGTGGCTTACGAGGAGTGTCAGGACACAGCACAGGAGTCAGGATATGGGGACACAGAATATAGGACCACAAGCGAAATTATCACCCACACCGCATCCGGCGATCGATCGGGATCGGGATCCGCTGGCATCGAATCGATTGGAAGGATCAAAATTCGGGCTACGACGGGGCCGTTAGGGAATTTTGGGGTCGGTCGTGAGGGTTGGGAATTTAGGTGTTTCTCGTAGTATTGTTTTTATAGAATTTTTACCTTTTATCTTACCAAAAATACCAGCAACACGCTTAAAATTTTGACTTTGTGTTAATATATAGGAAAAATTGTTGGTGGTTTTTTTTATGTTTAGCCAGCAGAACTTATTACAAGCATTGCTAAAATTCATTTTATCCCTAAGTCGGCATAGACTAAAAGTTGCCCTGCGTAAAGCTTCGTGCTACTGAGATTTTGAGGGTTGAATTAAGATTTTCGAGTGGGCAAGCGCCTTATTTCCACTTTCGAATTCCCCACTCTCGCCGACCTACCTCAAAAATCCCGGCCCCCGATAGCTACCAGCTTTTGTCACATTACCTCCTATCTATTCTGGCGGCCGACAGCAGCGTTCGACGCTTGAACCATTTCCCCCGCATCGACCCGTATATAGGAACTATCGGAATCTGTGGAACGAGCCGGCGGAAACCAAGCGCTCACTGGTCAGTAAATTTTTAGGAATCTACAGTACTGCGCAAACCCTGCTCCTCCCTCTGGCGGCCAATACTATACATACCCACCGATTGTCGGTTGGTTCTTTGTTTCTGTTTATCGCTTTTGGCAAATAAATCGACTTTCAAATGACTTTCAATAAATCGACCAATCACGTTACAGTCACACAATTCGCCATAATAATCTTTACTCTCAGAAGAATGGCACCGATGACAGCGCACAAATCACACACAGATTGAAAGGGATATTACGCGATTCGTTTGAGAAACTACGAAAAACCCGGGGTACGGCTTAATTGTGAACGAAAATTGGAATGAGTCGGCGTAGATAAAGCTTGTAGGGAAATTGAATAAGCATTGATATAATAAAAAAAAACCATGAACAATTAGAAGGATTCGCTCTGCTCGACGGTGCGGACCTTTTCAGCGTTGTACTGGACAAAGTTCTCCCACGGCTTCTCCCAGACGGTTAGCTTGTAGATCTGGAAAACAAAGTTCAATGAAAGCCAAAAGAAACTAACAGCTCGGTTTGCTCCTTCGCGGAGAGGGCAGTTGGCCTGGTTGAGCTCGCTGGCTTGCATCTCCTGAAATCGAAATATAGAAACGGATACTTATAAAAAACAAATGTTTAGCTAAAAAAAACACTTACACCCTTCGTGCAGCTGCTCTCGCCAACGAGAACCTCGTAGATGTGCTTGACTCCGGCGACGACTTGCGATTTCGAGGAGAGAATCTGAAAGCATTTGCTACCGATAGGAATAAAATGCAAACCTTGATTGGGACAAAGTGGTAGGGTCCATTGTTGCTGGCTTGGCTGTTCAGTTCTCCATTGACAGCAGCCCACGCACGTTGCTAAAACAGAATTAGAAATAAGAAACCGAAAATGAAAAGTACCATGTCCTCATCGGTGGCGTCCTTGTCAACGGGTGCTCCAGGCATCGGGGCATCGGTAGCGGCACTAAAAATGAAAAATATTAGTGAATCAAAAAATTAGCGAGATGCCCATTATAATAAGCTATCAAAATACTCAAGAAAAACAGTTTTCATATCAACTGCCACTCTTTTAAAACCATGATCCTTTAAAGTAAAGAAAGTATACTTCTTTTAATATTTTTTGATTTTATTGAAAGAAAAGAAACGCACCTCATGACAGCGATTGTTGCGCAGAAGAAGAGAAGTGCTTTGGCGAGCATTGGGGACAAGACGGGGCCTTTTCAAGAGATGCTGGTTGTTGTTTACCGCCTGAAAAGCAGCGTAGTATAGACGGAATAACAAGCGGCAGAAAGCACCAATACGAGGAGAGGACAGACACCAAAAACGATCGATCGGGTCAGATGTTTGCGACATACAAACCCACACAGACAGAAGCACCCCGCAGAAGCCGCAGCTTTTTCGGATAAAATATAAACGCTTGGGAGGCTATATCAACTGAAGCGGGCTGGGCCGGGAGGCGGAACCAAATAGAAAATAGGCGACTGTCGAATGGAGCGATCGAGGGAAAGAAGTTGGGGGAAAAGAAGAGAACGGTGAGTCATTTGGGAGGAATTGTTGACGGGGAAAAGACGAGTACCAACAGTTGGTTAGTCGAAAAAAAGCTATTGTAGGCCGATAGTCAGTAAGGGAAGCGAAAATAAAGAAAGTAATCCATCTTCACGTCAGCCAAAAAACCTTGCCAAGAAAAACCAAAAATATTCCGGTTTTCTACCCGCATCTGGGTTTTTTTTGAAACCATCAAAACATATCGATTTTTCGGCTAACAAAGGCAGATTTTCGACGAAAATGTCGACTTCTTCAACATTTTTATAAAGTTTTGGATAGTTTTTCTAGTTAAATATAGTTATATATTACTAAAAACACTGTTAAAACACGGTCTTTTGACTTACTAGGTATTTCTATACGTATACAAAAAAAGTCCGGATCACAAGATCCACTTTTCCGCGCGATTTTTTTAGCAAGGCTGGCGATTCATCTCATAGCACAAGCTGCAAATGTCAAAACTTCTATGAACCAACGCTTTCCAAACAGATTTAAAGCTTTTGCGAATAGATGAACACCAATCAGCTGAAGGCGCCGAGTGCAGCCCGTCCAAAAATCAGAATACTTCGCAAATCGAAGCTCCAATAACATAAATATGTATGCGTGCGGGGGCAGAAGACCTTTTTCCGTGCGGTGTCCCGCCCCGGATCGTGTTATTTGTTTAGACGCTGGCCCGGGGCTGATTCAACTCGATTCGCTCGAAAACCATTCGAATGTTAGAAAATATGGCCACATGATACATGGTGTCGAGCAGACCCGCCCGAACACTCTGGAAGTGAAAAGGGGACGGCCAATCGGAAATGTTTTCGGTGAATCGGCATAATAGGGTTATTGAAAGGCCGATATATTGTTCCCGGGAGCAAATGTGGACAATTGGACCACGGATTTGCAGTTTGGCGGGGGGATTATGGAGGCATACAATTACACTTTTGTGTAGTTTTATTAGGTTTACATTTACCCAGGACATAAAGGAACGAAATCGATAGAATGAAAAATTTTTCCTTAGAGCATCATTGGCACGTCGTAACCCTGATCGCGTTTCCGGGCCAGATAGTTCTGGAACTTCTTGATGAAGCGCGGCAGATCAAAGATGAAGTCCGAGTTTAGCACCACTGGAATCGGAGCTGATTCTGATGCGCTGCGGCCTACCTGCGCGATCCGTGTAGTCGAGGGACATGTCGTCAAATTCCACCCCGCAGATGATTGGCAATTGGACTCCTAAGATTGTAAATTTATAGCAAAATTTGTTTTTTTTGTAAGTGGTTAAGTAAAGTTATATTAAGGACATCCCTCGTTTGTTTAGCACGAATCGCAGGCGTTTTTTGACTTGCGGCCAGAGGGCTCTGGGCACCAGGAAGTTGGCGATTTTCTCGAGCGGGAAAGCTAGTACGCCGCCGACCCCGATCTGAAGCCGTACTGTCTTAAAGCTATTTAAGAAAATACATCTTTCACATTCACGTCGACATTTGTGAGCGAAACATCTCCATAAAGGCGGCTGTGTCTGATGGTCGGCTTGACCTGCAAGAGCATACGGTGGTCTGTATATTGTTGCGTACCGTAACATGAAGCGTGGCATCTGCATGTATACAATCGTAGCTGCGCTTCGGCCCGTGGAATTGAACGCTCACGTTGCCAGACACCTCGACGCGGCCACCAAGCCGCTCACTGATCTCCATTCGGGGCTTGCTAAAAGGTCAATTTTAAGCGAAATTTGCGAGTCGGTGCTTTCGCATTATCGGGGGGGCAACTTTTTCATAGGATCTAATTTTTTCAAATATACATAGTGGAAGTGTTTCTATACGGATTTTTTACTATAATACCTAAATAAGAAAACTTTACCAAATTGTATTAAAAACTAAAATATCTATTTTTGACCAAAAATGCGACTTTTTTGCAAATTTTATATAGTTTCTCTAGTTGAAATAGAGTTATAAATTACTAAAGACACTATTAAAACACTTTCTATTAAGTTACAAGGCATTTCTATACTCATGCAAAAAAGTTGGCTCTATACTGATAACGGGGTCCTTAACTTTTAACCGGGTCCTTAAAAATATCGGGGTCCTTAATTAACGGGGTCCTTAGATTTATCGGGGTCCTAAAATTAGATCGGAAAAAGTTAAGGACTCCGTTATCCTGCTATAGCTTAAAAAATAGTGTTTGTGTGTGCCACTTTGTATAAAAGTTCCGTCATCATTTCCGGAGGATATCTCGATAGCCGATGAATTTTAAGATATGTATAATAGGTCATTTGATCCGTACTGGCCGTGAGATGCCTGCACACTGATCAGATTTTACAAAATCCGTTCTTTTAGACATTAACTTTAATTTTTTGTAAAAATCTCGGCATCGACTTTGTTAGGAAACAATTAGCATACACCGGATGTTGCGGCAGTCTATATAAAGTAGAAAAGTAAAAGTTATACAAACATACAAAGTGGCACACACAAACACTATTTTTTAAGCTATAGCAGGATAACGGAGTCCTTAACTTTTTTCCGATCTAATTTTAAGGACCCCGATAAAATCTAAGGACCCCGTTAAAAATTAAGGACCCCGTAGATTTTAAGGACCCCGTTAAAAATTAAGGACCCCGATAATTTTTAAGGACCCGGTTAAAAGTTAAGGACCCCGTTATCAGTATAGAACCAAAAAGTTGCCCCCCCCCGCTAATGAGAAAGAATCCACGAGCCTACCTTGTCAAATTGGAATTAACTTCCAGATAGCACTTTGAGCAGAAAAGCTTTGCCGCTCCCCGCGCGAACTTTGGCAGCTGGTCCATGTAGACTCTGAACCACTGCTCTTACTCTTTCTTCAAAACTTCACTACTTTGACGAATAATCTCCGAGTCCACCGTCGAACAGATGAGACAACATCGTGTTCGGAATATAATCTGCTAGCAAGATGCCAATCATCTAAAAAGATAACAGCCTGATGATGCAAGATGCCTAAGCCTAAGCTTTACCTTTTTGTCCAAGAGTGTCGTGTCGAGCTTATGTGGCTTCGGAATGTCTTCCGCGGCTTGGCCGTTCAGCAGAATTCCCCCATCCACCCCCAGAACGACGTCCTAAATTGAGTTCAACTCACAAATAGAAATCTTCCACGTTTTTCGAAAATTTTGGAGGATAATTGAGGGTGAGGTTGACGCTCCATGTGTGATTTCGGCCAGCATTTCGAAGCTGCTTTGGGGTTGTAGGCTCAGTTTCCAGGTCGTCGGTTTCTAGCCTGTAAGGGCTTCCCCAAAATGGTACTTGCATACTTGTCGACAGCGCAGAGATTGGTCCCGAACTCGGAGGCATAATCGGCGGCGCCTGGTCCGGCAGCGGTGTCAGGTTCCGTTTCTTCAGTGCTCTGAATTATAGTTGTGGTTTGTAGTTAACATTTGGTTCATTCGCATTATCGGGGAGACAGAACTTTTTTGTATAAGTCTAGGAATGCCTAATAATTTGATAGAAAGTGTTTTAATGGTGTTTTCAATAAAATATATGACTATATTTCATCTAGAAAAACTCTAAAAACTTTAAAAAATTAGCAATTTGGGTAAAATCGGCCATTTTTGGTCGAAAAATCGAAATTTTTGATTTTTTAATCCAAATTGGTAAAGCTCGCATTTTGGAATAGTAAACAACCATTGAAGGTTATCCACTATTTGTATTTGAAAAATTAGAGCCTAAGAAAAAAAGTTTAAAGGAATAATCGTCGCCAGAAAGAAAGAAAAATGTGTTTAGGACGAAAGATATGGAGTGGCACATCGTAACCGAGTTATTCAGTACGCCGAGCTCCAATACACACGTTTATTTTGGCATTTTTGTAGTAATCTACTCAACCGGGAAAGCCTGCACTTACAGTCTGTATCTCCTGCTCGTCCACGTACTTGATGGCCTCCAGTGTCGTTCCGCACACCTGAGTTATGCAAAAACTGCGCTACACGCTTCGCACCTGGGCCTGTAGCGCCGACGTCACCTGGTCCTGGATCATATTCTCGAATGCGCTGAGCTGTGAGTCCTTCTGGAAGATGCCACGTAGGACTGCTGTGCTCACGTTGCACACCGGAATCTAAACAAGCCTCTAGAAAAATGAACCCGGGCCGCACCTCGACAGTGTTTCGGTTGCTCGTCGCGTTTCGCCCAAAGTGGACGTCCATTTTGATAGTCAGATTTTGCAGCTCAATGTGGAAGGTTTCTGAATCAAAATGTTCTCTTTTACCGAGTTTTTGGATTCATAATATGTAAAATAAAATTCCTACCGTCAATCTCAAAGAAGAGCACCACTGCCTTGGCTCGTGCTCCAACTAGCACATAGGGAAGTGTGATTTGTGATGTGACGCCTAGAGCTGATGGTTCTTTTGCATTATCGGGGGGTCACCAAACCTTTGCATAAGTCTAGAAATGCCCAGTGACTTCATAGAAAATCTTTTAATAGTTTTTTGAGTAATATATTCAACTATCAGGTTAGTAGATAAGTCCTGTCACAAATTTTTGAAATCGCTCTATGAAGCCGCAGAAACATCCAATTTGGGCTTTCGATACATGATTTGATAGGTCTTCGGACGCTCTACCTCAGCATGACCCTCCTAGGACCCCAAAATCGCTGGTCACCGAGATACAACTTCGAAAAGTTTCGCTCAAAATCTAGTCACAGCTTTCGAGCGAGTTATCTCTGCATAGAACAATTTGCATGCGATACCTCTAACACCAATCGATAGCTCTCGAGGAGTAGATATCGATAGATGTTGAGATCATCAAAAACGGACATCAGATGGCCGAGATATGGTCCCTTGAAATTAGGCCCATTTCTTAGAACTTTTCTCGAAATCCCATACATTTTGAGAAAATCTTCGCGGTGCGTGCAAAAACAAGGCGGCAAAGTTTGGCCCAAATGTGCAAAATGTATGGGATTTGGGGAAAAGTTCTAAGAAATGGGCTAAATTTCAAGGGATCGTATCTCGGTCATCCCGTGTCCGTTTTTGATGATCTCAACATCTATCGATATCTACTCCTCGAGAGCTATCGATTGGTTTTAAAGGTATCGCATGCAAATTGCTCTATGCAAAGATAACTCGCTAAAACACTTTTGCGTAATTATTCAAAAATCTTCAAGGGCCGTTATCTCGGCGACCCACAATTTCCAGACCCTATCCGACTGCACCCACGGTAGAGCATCTCAAGACCTATCAAATGATGTATCGCAAGTGAAAATTGGACGTTTCTGCGGCTTTGTAGAGCGATTTCAAAAATTTGTGACAGGACTTATCTACCAACCTGATAGAAAAACTCTGAAAACTACAGAAAGTCGTAATTTGGTAAAATCGGCCATTTTTGGTAGAAAAATCGATATTTTCATATCTTTTAACAAAAATTCGTAAAGTTTTGACGTTTAGGAATGGTACAAAACTATCTAGAAACACTTCCACAATTTATATTTGAAAAATTCGATACCCCCCCCCCGATAATGCGATAGAACCTAAATTAGTCCGTCTAACCCCCCCTGAAGTGTTTGGCCGCACCTTTGTTGGCAACGAAACGGGCGTGAATGGTTGGCTTGTCGAACTGCTCGATGATAATTTGACTGATGGTCGCCCTGCTGGTGACTTGTGTGGGCAGCATCATATGTTCCAGGATCTAAAGGCTGGTGCGAAATATATGAAACTTTCTGCGTCTTTTTCCTAACCCACAGCATTTCAAAACCCTTGCTGATCCCTTTAAGAATACATTACATTGAAAATACCGAATTGCAGCCAAAATCCCGACATTCAAAATCCGCACAGCCATAATCCCGACAGGCCAAAATCTCAGCAGCCAAAATGTGATATTTCCGGTTTTAAAATCTGGGGTTTCTGGCTGTTGGGCTTTTGGCTGTCGGGATTTTGGCGTTTTCCCATCCTAACCTGGGGCATCGCTTCCGCCGTCAAATTGCCAATATAGTCGACGGCTCGCTGGTTGAGACGCAGATAAATGCCAGCATCGCTTCGTATCGCCTAAAGATGCAAATTTTCGTGTATATAAACCCGAAAGTTTAACGTATAAAATTTTACTCACGTCTTGAGCGGCCAGCTGTAGACCGACGAGGCCGACGATGGCCAGGATTCGGGGCAACATCTTCAGCCTCGGAACGGCCCTAGTAACGTGAAAATGAGTGCTAGTTGGTGTGGGTGCAATGTTGCCATCCTTTCCTCACACCACCATCTTTTTAGCGATCGCCACATAACAAAAAAGGTATAAACTGAGGCGCCATGTGTTTGGGAGAGGCTGCAGGTTTGGCTAGTCAGTCGTAATGGACTTTTTTTTGGGGGAATGGGTGAATCCGAGTTCTTTCGCATTAATGGGGGGCGAACTTATTTTTGCAAGCCTAGAAGTGCCTAAACTTAATAGAAAATGTTTTAAAAGTGTTGGAAGTAACATATGACGATATATATATATATTAGAAAAACTATCTAAAAACTTAAAAAAATCGAAATTTTGGTCATGAATCGGCCATTTTCGGTAGAAAAATCTATATATTTTTGATCCAATTTTGTAAAGCTTTTACGCTTAGAAATAATAAAAACCATTTAGAAACGCTTCCGGTACTTATTTTTCCAAAATTAGATCCTAAGAAAAAAAGTTGGTTCCCCCCCCGATAATACGAAAGAACCTTTGGTCATTTTAGAAAACGTTTCTCCCTGCTTCAACTATCACCTTCCGAACACAGACTGGATGTTAATGAGCGCCTTGGAAAATGTGGAACGGAACAACGCAGGTGACAAGCCAAATCCGATTACGCAACGGGATCGTAGTTGGCAGAAAGTGGAGCTGGTGAGTTGGAGGACTGTGACCGGGCCCTGGGCCGGGGACACATCTGGTGAGCCGTCGACAGGGGTCACACTGACCATACTTTGGGACACACTTTGTCTGTAGGGTTGCGTTCGATGATTTTTATCGCTTTAGTATTATGGCGTTTCCAGCTGGGCTACAGCTCAGGCATTCGACGGGTATGAGCATAAGCCTAAGCCTAAGGCCCAGTCTCAGCCCGAGCCTGAGCCCAAGCCTAAGCCCAACCAAAGCGAAACCCAAGCCTAAGCCTAAGCCTGGGCCCACGGCTAAACCTAAGCCGAAGCCTAAACTCAAGCCTAATCAATACCTAGAACCCAAGCCTAAGCCTAAGCCTAAGCCTAAGCCTAAGCCTAAGCCTAAGCCAAGCCAAAGCCCAAGCCAAGCCAAGCATAAACCGAAGCCTAAGCCCAAGGCTATGCCAAGCCCAAGCCCAAGCTCAAGCCAAGCCTAAGATTAAGCTAGCTTTCCGACCACCCTGGTTTGTTGCTACTCCCCAGTTGTGCCGAAACCCCTCTCAGATATTCCACCTCGGCGCCCTGTCGTGACATCAGAGCAGCGTGAGGGGCTGCCCCTCATCTTCAGGGCTTCTCATCTGGAGCCCCCCGCTCGACGTCTCCATCCCTTCCTCACTATGCCCTCCCCCCTCACTTCCATCAGAAGGGCTTCCGGCCGAGCCCCGGGGCCTCCCCCCTCCAGTGAGCCCCTTATCTTCACCCACGCTCTTTTCTATAACCTGCCGTTGGGACGCGGATAAAGGAGATTGGATGCGGGGAGTTGAAGCAACAATCGGGTCGCTTTTTAGGGTTTTTTACAAAAGCCGCTAGCTTTCAAGCTTCTCGGTCGCTAGTACGTTTCAGCTTCGTCGGTATCCACAGTATCCACGGTATTTTAATGGTCCACCGGTAGCTCTACCACTATTCTGAAAACGAGGTATTTTAAAAGACAAGAGCCGTCTTAATTTCCTTCAAAAAGCGAGCCAGGACAACAACGATTCCTTGCCAAACACGCACATTTCTTCATTTGAGGTCCACCTCTCCAGAAGGCGCTTATCATTCATGCCCCGATCCTTCTGGCAGGGCGTTATGTTGCCGAAGCCCGCGTCCGTCTGTCTGTCTGTGTGTCTGTGTGTCTGTGTGTTTGTCGGCAGGGAACCGCGGGGATCGATGACCAGCGGTGAGAGGGAGGGCGCCGGCCTCGAACAGTGATTTCACAGTGAAGAGGAGAGGCCCCTCCCCTTCTTCTTTTCCTCCAGAAGTCCTGGCGTGTCGTGGCGACGCCGTCGAGCAGTGTGTCACCACGGCGCCGCGGGAGATTCTCTGCCCCCTCCGTCATCGATTCACTCCCTCGTCTATTTTCTATCCAACGCCCCTCTTCTTCGTCTTCTGCGACACGCACGCTGTCCCCCCACAACGCCCACTTGGCCGCCGGGGGAACTTCAGAAGCACCCCGCTCTGCCCCGCCTTGTACGTTTAGGCCGTTTTTATACTCATTTCGATAGTCTATGAATTATGTGTTTGGCTGGCATATCCATTACCATAACCTGCAGGTCTTTCGCGTGCATTGTACCTCCTAAAGGGGCTAGGAAGTCAAGAATACGTTGCGCTGTTTTTGACGCAAACCCGGCGGCAAAACAACAGTACTTTCCAGGATCTCTAATAGCTGATTCGCTAAGTCGCTAAGCAGCTGATTATAATAATCCGCTTTCCAAAGCTTCAATTGAAACCTCGTGCTCACTTCCCCCGCTGTATCCGATTTTTCAACAACCCAAACCCCCCCCCCCCCACACCAAATCATTCGAATCAATACGCTGTCCCCGAATCAGGGGGAGCAGCGGCGGTTATTGGCGTGGTTCGGTGAATGTGATGCGTGTATCTATCTATCTGTCCGTCTGTCTGTCCATTCGTGTGTAAGGGATAGGAGAAGACAGGCTCTCTCGATGAGCGCCATCGCTGAGCACGAGTGCCGAATCCGGATCTCCGGCCACGATCCGCTCATTACGCGTAGAAACTATAACTTAGGCGCGGTTGATTTGTTCTACTCGGTTTAGTCTACCCGATCGCCAATCAGATAAGCAAGAAGGGGAGGTGTCAATAGGAAGCTAGTGTAGTGCTGGTTACAAAAGCTTCTAAATTTTTCAAAATGGATTACCCTATGATGCCAGTTTTAACGTTAGGAGTCACTAGCGGAGCCCGAACAAAGCCGCGCTCAGAATTGACTGCAAATTTACACACAAACAGAATCGACCAGACCGATCATCACGTCGTTCTCCGAATTTGCGACTGATCTTTAAAACTGATTCATTTTCAAATTCATTTTCAGCTAATTCTGAGTCCGGCTTTTTTCGGGCTCCCTCACTCAGGCATCTAGGCATCATGCCATTTTTGCGGTTATAGGAGTGGTTGGTAGTTTAGCTCTGACACCGTCAGCCCTCGGTTTCGATAAACGCGCGATTTCTGAAACCGTCGAGCCGACCTCGTTTCCTTGTTGTTCAGCGTGACCTCGTCTCGAGCGCCCTTCTATACACTCAGAATCCCCCCCCACATCTATCCGACCGTCCATCTAGAATCGATCGAGCTTCCCCCCACCCGTTGTGCGAGGAGGGAGAGGCTGCTCGCGCCGGGAGGGAGGAGAAGGGCTCTTCTGGGGGCACATGTGCGTGGGGGTTGTGTGATCGGTTCTCTCCGGGAGACGACTGCAAACAGCCGCTCCGCGCCTCCCCCCTCCGCATCGTCTGCCTTTCTTCTACACTTTCCACCACCCACCCCCCTTCCACGTATCGTCGACGGCAGAAAAGAGCGTGCAGCTGCTCGCCTCCCTTCTGATTCACCCTCGAGTTTCGGTCGCCCGGGTTTTGCGAAACTTAGAAATGTCTGCACTCAAAAGCAAGCGATGGGCTAAGAAGTGATCGATTCCAAAAAAGGTTTGGGTCCACGTGAGGTGCGCGTTAAAAATTTCAGTACCGTTTTAAAAAAGCCATACCCAAGCTGACGACAAAGACAACGCTCAAAAATCGGAGAGTTTCAACTTCCGACTTCGATTTCGTTACCGTTTACAAAAGGCACCTGTTATCACTCATCACCCCCTGTATCCCGCCGCACCGATGACCACCCCCCTTTCACAGCGTTCCGTTTCTTTCCGTCGAGTACATCGTTATGTACGTGCCTTTGTCTCTTTGGGCGTGCCGGTAGATCGATGCGTTTGGATGGATGTGGTGGCGCGGTGCTGTGGAATGGGAAGGGGTAGAAGGACGGATGGATCGGGCGGGGGGGAGGTTCTTCTTCTCTCACCTGACGCGGCTCTCCGAAGGTCGCCCTCCTCCGCCTCCTCCTCCTCTACTCGCCCGCCTGTAGTCAGTACTCTTTTCTATTCCCTGCCCCCTTCAGCGCTCCTCTTTAACTGACCTTGGCAGCCGATAGTCATCGCTGAGAGCGCCCCCCATTCTTCTCACCCGATACCGTTACTGGACATTGGCAATTCTGCCAAACAAACCGAAAGTCAATGAAATCAGATGAGGCCAGTTTGAAAATTTTAGATCTAAAAAATTAAAGAGGACTGATGGAAACTATCAGAAGATGTGTGCTAATTGTTATATCGTTATTTTAACAGCAAAAGCTATGCTTAGAACAACATAATTAGGTAACAACGCCAAAATCCCCGAACTTTTCTAAAACGGCATGCACCGTGCACTTTGTGTTTTGCTTGAACGTGAGGTTCACCCGTTCACCGCTTTGACTGACCACTGGTCAAGAGGTTTTTCAAAACAGCTGCTAAAAACCCTTCTTCTTCGTAGAATACTCGATATTTTCGCGTAAAAACACTAAAACTTTACCTCAATTCTAAAAAATCAAGATTCTGACAGGTTTCGCGATTAGGCTTAGAATTCTGAGCTTACGAAGACCGTGAAGACCCAGAAAGACAAATTCCCTGGACATTTATCCACTCGTTGACTACTACCCGACCTCCCGGCTGAGGATGACTCTCACCGGATGAGATCCCGTTTGGAGCCTGGGTCCTGGTGGGCCCCTTCGGGCGGAACGTTGTGTTGTAACAGGCGCTTCCCCTCTTCCCCGTCGTCCAGATGAAGACCAACTGACACACACACTGCCCAGGCAACGCCCCACTTCCACTACTCCATCCATCCCGCCCTTCACTCCAGCGTCGGCTTCTCTGCCTTCTCTCTTGGCTGTTCGCCTTTCTAGCCCCGCCGCCTGGAATCATCACCCCCATCACAGCGCGTCGAGCCGCCCTCTGATCCGTGCCAAGTTTAGGTTATCATTGTTTCGGCCTCGAAATTTCAGTTATTTTTTGAGGGTTTTGTGAAAGTCGGCAAGTAGGCAACTTTTCAAACCGTTTAAACGCGAGAAAATAGACTTTTTGAGCTCTTAAAACTGTGCAGCCCTTCTAATTCAATAATGCCTTTCAGATGTCGTCGAAAAAATTCCCTCTTCTTCACGTCTAAATGTCTGAATTAAAATCTTTCATGTAGACGACGCTGATTTCGGACTGTTAGCTAATGTCGCACGGTTCCAAGCTTTTTGTCTGCCACAATTCTAAGTAATAGACGCTAAAAAATATCTTTTTGCGTATAAAGTAAGTGTTGACACCTTGAATTACTATTCTTGATGTGTTGTTACAAGGCCCTAATTAAGGTTTGTTATTATAAAAAGTTTATTCAAGCAAATCATAGTGCAACGTTTACTAATTGCCTTTAATTGATACAATTTCTTCCAATTCTCTAATTAGTAACGCGTTAGTGTTTGGATTTTGTCTATCAGAATGACTTCTGGCACTAATAGATCGTTAATTCCGCATCTTCATTACTTCTCAGTTTTTCCTCAACTGTTTTTCTTTTTCTTTTCATCTCTGCCCATAACTACGTCAAATTTCAGCGTGAACGCGACAACCAGCGACTCCCTCGACCCCGGCATGCTGGACTTTGGCAAGCTGGACGTCGGGTCGCAGAAGATGCTCGTTCAGCAAATGTTTATGGTTAGATTTTACAATTGTTTAGAGGCATCCTCCGCACAGGGCCCTCTAATTGTAATCTGGCTCGCGGTTTTGTTGTTGATAACGTAATTTATTATTTATTTTCAGGCCCAAAACAACCCGGTGAGGACACCTGTCGCTGATGGAATGGAGAGTGACGGGCGGAGCAGTACTTCGTCGACAAGGGTCAGTATTTAAAAGAATTCTACGTTCATTAGTTCTGTTTGCGTAATTGACCAAAATTTCCTGAAGGCATGCGTGACCTTGATCGATTGCTTTGATTGATGTGGTTTTCAGGAGCTTCGTCTCGGGGGTTTCTTCAGCTAGTAGTTTTGCTAGTGTAATGGTTGCCTATTGGAATCGCGAATTTTCAACGTCTCCGGTTTCAGAATCTTGAATGCACAGGCTGATCAAACTTAGGAGCGCGAGGGTATTTCACGTCAAGACCCTGATTTCAGTCTACGCAAAATGAGGGATTCTGATTTGCGAAATTCTGAAAATTCTAGTTGCTGATTTTCGAATTCGGGCGTTCAAGATCCTGATTTTTTGGTTTTGACAGGCCCCCGGGCTCAGCTATCTTGCGAAAACTCATTACGTCGTCCCGTATCGTGAACCGCGATTAAAATCAATGCATACGCACTTGAACCCACTCCTTATCAAGCATCAGCACAATGGTGCACGTCTTCGACGTAACGCCGTCGATCGATCGACGTGTTGATGTAGAGAGAGAGAACACGGGGGTTGCGTGACTTGGCCAGGAGAGCGTCAAGAGATCGGAAGGTCGAGGCAGGGAGTAGGCCATCTGGCCTGGGCTGTGGCTGCGTGCGAGTCGTCGCTCAGGGCTACACGTCGCTCCTCGGCCCCTCGGAAAGTGACCTCTCCCTGTGCCCTCCTGTGTGCCCCTCCTCCTATTTGCCGCATCCCCACCATCGCACACCGCCAAGAACAACCCCTTCTCTACAAGCAAACAACCTCCAAGCTCCCCACATCACCGCTGCCTAGACGCGTATTCTGAATCGAATGGTGGCGCTGTTACAGACACGGCCCTTGCAGGTAGATCCTTGAATTCTAGAACTATTGTAGTCATTAGATCAGATAATTATTGCATTGTGTAACCGATTTTTATTGCTATCCTGCGTTTCAAGATTCTGATCCCTAAACGTTCTCATTTCTTCTTGACCGTGCTAATTGTAATTTTTTTCCAAATTTTTAGTCAGCTTTTCAAGAATTTAACGTCTAGTGTGCAATGATAATCTTATAGTGGACTCCCGTTATCCTCATCCCGTTACATCATGTTTCCAGTATTGCCTTGTGCAAAACGCTGACTCACCATTTACTGAATTATGATTATATACACCACAATTATGAAGGGCGCTTCATCGTGCGTCATTAGAAATCGCACGTCGTTGGTGCATACACATTTCGCAATATGCTTCGGCTTCTGGGTTTTTTTTTGGGGTAGCCGCGCGTAGTTTCCTAACAGATGTTACGGCAAGAATACGGCATTATGCTTGCGGTTTTTACTTAGGCTAAAAATATTTTGGAATTTCGAAGAATTCTCTTCTGACCGTTCTATCCAGTCTTCTGCTAGATTGCCTATCGGAATCTAGAATTTTCAGAATCTGTAGATTTCGATAATCTGTCGAGATACTTATTTTCAATATCCTGACGGGCCATTCTGCTATTGTGCCTGATGTTTCAAATTTTCCTGCAATTTCACCCTTTACACATCCCATTTCCTTGCATCCACCTCCCCCTGATGCTACCGTATTCCCAAGGGCGAATCGATTTACCTGCTCGTTCATCGGCGGAGAGCTGTCTGCTGGGTGCAGGGGGGAAGGGCCGTTGTCCGACGGCACTCTCCGCCCAGAATCGATTGACCATGGGTGGCAGTGTGGCGGGAGAATCTACGGTGCTGCCGTGCCCGCTTCTCTTTTCTCCACATCCACACTTCTCCGCTCGGCTCGGCACAACAGGCAACGAGCACAGCGAAGGGCACATGGTCACCTCCTCACCGCCCCCTTCTCACACTACACACGCGCCCCCCGAATTCTGTGGCACAAGGGATGTGGGGCTAGAGGGACCGGGGGGCAGCTGTGTTCGATGTATGTCTGTCGGTTGACGTCGAGCTCGTCCTCGTCCTCCCGCCCAATTTACCGAAATCGCCGGGGGATTAGCGTGAAAAAAGGGACTATTAAACAATTCCGCTGCTTCAGAAGATTTGCATCTTTTTGTGGCAGGTGTCTCTTCGAACAGAAAAGAATAGAATTTCGAACCCTTTGGAACACATTGACCTCGATGACACTTTTCAAAATCACCCTTCTGTAGATAATTCGATCGGGGGATCGCTAGATGTGCACAGACACCCCCCTGTCGACGGCTCCCGTTAATGGATGAGAGAAATTTTCGGGGGGAGCGCGAGTTGAGATGGCGATGTTGGCGCAATGACATCAAGACACTGGCGCGCACACACAACCCGGGATTCTATCAAAAACAGTTTTGCCACCGATACATCGTCGACGGCCTTTGTCAATGCGGGGAGCAGGGAAACGGGGCTTTGGGATTCGGGTAGCTATCTATCTCACCGGAAATGGTGATTCGAGCCAAATTTGCAAATGTCGCCAAAAATTCTGTAATGCCCGCACGGTGCCAGTTGGCTCCGCGTACAACCTCCGAAGGGAACGTCTCCCCCAAGTGCTTATTTGCCCGAAAGCGGGTCGGCCACGGGGGGGTTGTGCCCTCTCCAAAACAGCCGGCTGATCACGGTAAACAGGGTGATGCCGTGGCCTGAAGGGCCTCCTGCCTGAAGACGGACTAAGGTGGGGTTAATTACTAAATTACCAATTGGTAACGAAAATCTAACGCTGATCATAAATCAAATTTCGGGCCAAAAATGTCGTGCTAACCTCCTGCAATCTCGTCGTCCCCAATTCTCAATTTTGCGTCATCCATCCATCTTTTTTTCGAACTAATTTTGCGATCCGAACTAACAACCCGGTGTTCAGTCCCAGTTTAAATTCCGCGAACGCCTAGGCTCTAGAAAAAGTGCCGCCAATTCGGGCGACTTCTATGAGCTGGCGCTCCTGACTCAGCGCCTGTTTCCACCCAAACGCCGGTGGTCTCTTTTGGCCCCCACCGTGTGATTTGTCGGAGCAGCCAGCCCAGGGTCTGCCTGCCCTTCTGTTCGTCTATCGCGGGGCACGACGACGAGTAGGGTGCCCCTCCTGTTATCCACGAATCGGGCATCGATCCCCGCCTCGACTGGCTCCCATTCCCCGGCCACCGCCATCGCTCCGCGAAGATACACTGGACGTGTCAGGTGACCCACGGAGGCGACTCCTCGCCAGAGAACGATGGCCATCCGGCGTGCCCGGGAAACCCGGGGACGAAACCATGGGATTTGATAGGGTGTGTTGGAGTGGAGAGGGAGATTGTGAAGTGGGGATGATAACTGGTGAAAGGCTGATGCTTGGCTGAGAAGCATGATGGTTTTAAGGCCTTGTAAGTCTAAAATGTCATTCTCTAGACGACCTCCAATAGAATTTTTGTTGATGGATCTAACCTGAAAAATTAGCGCTACAATACTGCGGTTTAGTTTTTGAACGTAAGCCTGCTTAAATAAGTTCGAAAGTTTCAAGTTTTTGACTGCGCAAAGGGGGCGAGCTCGAGCTTGCTTTGGCTTGCTTTCAAGCCTAGCTTCGAAGCATGGAAGCTGACCTCCAATTCCGCATAACCTCCAAAAAACTTTGGTCTATGCTCGAAGCAGAATCCCAATTTCACGTTGGCGGGGAAGTAGGCGTCTGCCAGAGCCCATCTTCCCCCCGTCCGAGGTCACCATCGCAAGTTACACAACGGCGCCAGAGCCCCCGGCCGGCGCTCCTTCTTGCCCACCACCAACCACCCTCACCTCTCGGGCCGCTTGCTCTTCTCCCGAATGACCGCTGAGAGACGCGGTGACGGCTCGTCGCCCCCCCTTTCGACTCTCCACAGCGTCCACCACCACTACCACCATCCCCATCCACAGCCATCCATCCCATTCAACCCATCGGAGCCGGTGCTTCCTCCTCCCGCTACGCTACGCTACTCTGCCCCCAATCATTATAATCCCCCGCCACAACAACAAGCTTTTCCACGCTGATCCTTTGACGGTACTGGCGACGGCTTCATGCAAATTCTGGCTTCATTTATGGTGGGTCAACGGGGAGAATACTGGCAACGTCAGGAATTGACTCGATCCTGATTTTTAACGCTAGTTCTGACCATTTCTAGTGGATCGTTTGGGAGAACTACCTTTAATTAGTTTACTCTGCTAAATACCCTCTGAAAATCCATATTTCCTTGGGCCGAGTTATGACAATTTCTAGAGATCGGCATCAAGTTCTGTCAAGCCGTGACTCAGCTCATCAAGACCACCTTTCTCTGAATCTTTCTGTTAGTTTTCCGATTCCTTGAGTATTCGGCGCGCTAGTTTTCGAGATTTATAAAAATTCTGAAGTGACTTTTTCGATTGAAGGGACGTGATAAAATTTAGGCATGAGCTTTCGAGTTTTTCGCGAAGCCTGTGTTTTATATCCTCTTTTCTAAGTTCTGGAGAACCCGGTGCCCTTTTTCAGAAAATTTAGGACCTTTGAAGAGACCTTTTTCGATCGAGAGTTGATTGTTTTCATCCAAAAACCGCTTTTTCCTCCTTTAATTATTTAGTAGTCTTTTTGCAATACATTCCTCCGTACCCGATCGCTTCCAACCACCGTAGTCGCTATTCGTCGAACCAGCGCTCCCCCAATTTCCACACACAAAGCGTGGCCACGTCGTCCTGTTTATCGTCAACGAATAGAACCGGCGACCGTGTGTGGCACATCGCGCCTGTTTACGCCCTGGCGAAGCGGAGAGAAGGGATAATCGATCGATCGCCGGGGGACGTGATGTGCTGCTGGTGCAGCCTACTGTTTAGATTCGGACGAGGGTGGGGGGTGAGGAGGCTTGTCATCTGTTTCGCGGCCATCTCCCCTCAATACCGAAGGGGGGACTCATCAAGGCATCTGTGTTTCGGGGGGAGGGGGGGGTCTTTGTGCTCGCCGGCGACGACGCGGCTTCTCTCAACCTTTAACAGGCGCGTCTGCCTCTCTATCTCTTTTCTCCTGCCAAAGCTATTCCTTCGCCAATTCCCCGAAACTCTCAGCAACCAGGCGGGAATGAGATTTGTTCAATGAATGAGCAAAAATCGGTAGCGAATTCCAACTCCTAAATACCAACACACCGCATGCTCGACATCCTGAATTCTATAGTCCGGAATGCCAACACTCCGAATTCTCCCCTTTAAGATTTACTTATCGTCCACGATAAAAAACGCGAAAAGCCGTCAAAGATTATTTAGCAAAACTAACCTTTTAAAAATCGACATTCTGAAATATTGAACACCACCGTCCGCTACTAGCTAAAATAGCTTTCCGTTATTTCCAACTTGTACCCGACTTTGCACATGTGAGAGAAAGTAGTGTATCGTGTTGTACTCGGAGGGCTCAGGGTCGTTGCATCGCCAGACGGTGGCGTCGAGTGGAGTCGATCGGAATGGAAGACAGCAGGGCTGTAGGAGAAGGGGAAGCCGGTTCCCAACGCCCCACACCGACATACACCAACGATGGAGCGCTGTCCCGATGCGGAAGACCACCCGAAGGAGGGGGGAATGGGAGAAATCGGGTCGATCCCCCCACAGGAACCCCCGGGATCCGATGATCGGAAGAGTTTGGATGAGGAGGAAGGGATGGGATAGCCTGACCTGAATCTTTCAGAAAACCTTGTAACTTGGGAATCTCGCTTCAAACGCTCTGGCTCGACTCTGTGCTATAACAAAAAGAATTGGTGCGGGAAAAGTGTAAAAAAGTTGTACAAAATGACGCGAACTTTTTTCTATAGTGATTATTGACTGATCCGGTAATTCTCAGTGTTTCGAAGGTTCCAGGGGCTTTTTTGCTACATTTTTTAAACCCAAAACACACTTTTAGAAAGACTCTTTATCCGGATGGCTTTATCCTGACCTAAAAAACTGTGAAATTCAAAATATTACTCTCTTTTTTTCAGAATGGCCACTCCGAATCAACGGCCGGCGACTGGGTAAGCGAGCAGTCCAACTCCATCAGCAACAACACCCCCTCGATGCTGCTCAAATGTTCTGAGTGTGGGCTGGCCAAGAACAGCTCCGAAGAACTCGAGGTGCGCTTGCCTTGTCTTGTCAACTCGAAATATCCCCCTATTTTTAGGTGCACATCAAGCAGGAACATCTCCAATGGCTCCCCTTCCAATGCCCGATCTGCCTCTCCGAGCGCGCCTCTGACGCCCAAATGCGCGAGCACATCTACTCGGCGCATAAGAAGAACATGAACAAGTTCATCTACGTCGACAACGTGCAAGCCAAGCGCACCCTGCAGCAGCAGATGGACCGCTCTTTTCATTTGGCGATGAGCTTGGTGCGTTTCGTGAATCGTTATATTCATTTTCTCATTTCCAGAACTCTGCCAACAATTCCTCAAACACAACAAATTCTGCAAATCGGCGCGGCCCCCTTGGACCTCTCAACGGGCGATCCAACGGAGCCATGCTGAACACGCTGGCAAATCAGTTGATGGCCAATCACACGAAGGAGCAAGACAAAACAAAGGAACTGGTTTCGGTACGCTTTAGTCTTAATTTTAAGCGATCTAAATTGTATTTCTTTTTGCTTTATTCATTCGATTTTTAGGTAAACTTCAACGGCACTTCGGACACAACCGCCGCCCGCAGCCATTCACCTCGTGAAGCGCCCGCATCCCGAAAACGGGAGCACGATCAACCGATCACGAGCGGAAGCAGCAACACAGACGCCCTGCTAGCCCAGATCAACGCGCAAGCAAACCTGAACACTGAGGATGACTACGGTATGCGCAGATTGAGATACCAAAGCTTTATTTGTGTTTCAGATGTCGATGATCCGCAAGAAGCCTTCGCCATGATGTTCTCCCCCAAGCGAGCAAAGCATGATCTCAGCCAAGACGACGACGAAGTGAAAATGCCCGCGTTTGAGGACGATTTTGGTGACGCTAGCGCAAGTGCGTTTTGTTGTCCTTTATCATTCACTGTTTATTTCGGTATTTGAGATCCTAACCATTGAATTCCAGTGCTCGAATCGTTGTTCGGCGGCACGCCATTGACGGGTGACGTACCGGCTTCCGAAGACTTCCACGTGAACCCCAAATATGGCAAGCACATGCCACTGTAAGTTTTAGCGCTATTTTCGTTATCTTTTCCTTCTAGTATGACGAAAAAGCGCGTGCTCGGCGAATGCTCAAAGTGCCAGAAGCCGGTGACGGCCGGCGCTCGCCAAATGCACATGTTCTACCATCTTGGCAAAGACCACGGGGTGAGTATCAGGATTTGAAACTGATTAAAGCCTCCCATTTCCAGATTTTTCGTTTCCGTTGCCGCTTTGATCACTGCAACGTGGAGCACTACCGCAAGGATCAAATGGAGAATCATCACAGCAAGGTAGCAATTCTTTGTGGCGTGGATTAGTTATCGTTTCCTCTAGGTGCACGGCCGCATCGACCCGGAAATGATGGAGGACCGGTCGCTTGAGCTATACCAGCGGTGCCAGGTATACAAAGTTCGTAGCAAAATAAAGAGCCTCCACTGTCGGGGTGTCTCACGTCGACTTGGTGGAGGGCAAGGGATTATTGTCGTGATGTCCTAAAAAATATGTCTCACGTCATATCCATCCCCCCTTGATATTCAGATTTTGGGCACTCCCTGGGTTGATTCTCCATTGCCATTTTTAGTCGACCATGCCTCGGCCCATGCACCGGGAAGTAAGGGTGGCCTTTGTGTATAGTTTCATGTCGTAGGGTGGTGGTATTTGTTGACGATGGGCTATCGGAATTTAGATATTTGCTTTGAAGAATGGGCTTTGGAGCGCTTCTAAAAATTCATTTTCACTTTCGACGTTTCTCCCAATCACTTGGCAAAAAATTTAGCATGCTCAAATTTCGGCATTTTTTCGACTTCCTGCTCCAAAGCCCAGGGTTCTCGGTGATCCCCCTCGGTGGCTTCTCCCTTTCCCCTTCCCCGTTGTACGTACATGTATATCTGTATCCGTACAGCTGTCGTGTACGTTGGTGCTTCCAGGAACTTTCCCGCGAGCTTTTCGTCCCCAGCGGCACCTTCTCGAACAACACGACACCACAATCGAGGCAGCGCTCCTCCGAGGAAAAGGTAAGCGCTTCTACCCCCGGCTATCCCCCTGCGTGTATCGTGTCGCATTCGCTTTTATGCTCCCCGTTTGCACTATTGCATGCCGTCGCTCACCACGACTACGTACTACATACTACCAGCATCGACACCACCTCTAATGCCGTATCTGCTGTAACACTATGCATTATCCCTGCATGCTAGTGATGTTGTCGTGTGGTGCGCATATTCGCTTGCCCTGATCGGTCGTGTTGTAGCTCGATTTGCCAGTAGGAAAAGGCCCTGAACTGATAACGGGATCTATCTAGGCTATGCCGAAAATTTTAAGGTGTTTTGTGTGAATTTTGATCCCTAAAAACGAGAACCAATTTTTAGAAACTTGGTAAATTGGAAATTTTTGCGCATATTCGTACTCCTTAGCCCAAACATCAAATTTTTTAGAGCTTTTTAGTATTGTTCTGTGAATTGAAAAGACTGAAAACAACCTATTCCTAAACGTTCTTCGCTTCGCTGGTGGCCCCCCGCAAACAGTCCTGTACCCGAAAAGTCTGGTTGCCAGGGGGTAGGCAAGAATTCCTCACAAAATATGCTCGGACCTGCTTGTTTTTTGCCGAAAATTCGTCCGACCTTACTTCTGATTCAGTCTGAAAATAGCCCGGTTTATCGTAGTCACTCCCATAAAATGGCTCACTAATCTTGCGAAAAACTAACCAGGCTTCCTAACGGCCTTCGAAAATGGCTATGAAGCCCCGTTTCGAGCGCCACAACAGCCCGAATTGCTCAAAAAGGGCTTTCGCGTGTGTGTATGTTGAATTGCTCTGAATTCTGCAGGAAATGTCGATGGAGCTGATCGGGACCGACAACTGCACTCCCGGCCCGACCGCCGACCGCGCTCAGATCGCCTACGAAGCCCAGCTCGCCGAGCAGAAGCGACGAGCCGATCGACCACGCAGGAAGGTGCGCGCTTCCACGCCCTAATTTGCCTTTATGAGTTGCATCTATCTGTCCGTTGTCCAGGGCGAGGGCGCCGCGCAGGCCCCTCGCCGCATCGCGTTTTGCACGATAATTTGAAAGAACCTCAAAAATGTCGCCTGGACCCTGAGATAGCCGGATGTGCCTCTGGCACTCGGTGAGATCTCCCCTTTTTCTGAAGCACCTGGCAAAGATACATTAATCACGCGTGGCAAAACTGTCCAGATTTTTGTGCCGCTACCGGCAGCGTACACACGAACTTAAGTTTTTCTACGAGAAGCGCTTGCATTGCAATTAATATCCACGCGTCCGTTCAGCCCCCGCCCCGCGCAAATTTCCTGTAAATAGGAAGCCGCGTTGTAGCTATTCTTCTTCATTCCATAACTATGACAATTTAGGAGGGTCACGACTCGACATGGCAAAACAAGGCGATCCCTGATGATGAGCGGCCGTTGGAGTGCCGCAAATGCAACAAGACGATGCAAAATCGGGTTTGTCCATGCGATTCCCCTTGACAACTATCCACATCTCCCCTCCGGTCCTTTCAAAAAAATTGATTTCTTCGATCTTTAATCTCGCCGCTGTCACCCAGAAACATTTTTCCCCCTTGTCCCAGTTAGTTTGGCAATTTGTTTGGATAATTCTGGAGGGTGCCCGGGATCGGTTTCTTAAAAAAAAGCAAATTTCAATATGTCGCATTTTTCCATGAACAAATCTCTAGGAAAACACTTATCTATTACTGGTTCCCTCACATAAATTTCCGGGCACCCTGCCAGCTTTTCAATTAGAAACGCGATGCTTTGGGATAGCCGGAGCATCACTTTGTTCTTTCGAACCACCCCCGCCATCCTTCTTTTCGTGTACGAACTCCCCCTTGCCGCCTCAGAGACGTGTTACGGTGCCTCATTTCTCAAAAAGTCATCTTCATAATAAGAACAAAATAATAAAGGGTCTTTGAATTTGGCCGCTTCCACTCCCCACAAAATCCGCATTTTAGCATCGAGTCAAAGACTACAGGGTCGTCCAGGGTCGGCCTCTTTTTTTTGTTGACGTTTTCGATAGCATTTGTAAGTATGAAATATTAGTATATATTTAATCCAAAGTAAAAATTTGCCGACCCTTGACGACTTGTCCCGTTATGCGTCCCGCGTCCATCATACCCTCGGCGGGAGAGAGGCTGTGGCTGAGAAGCCAACGTTCAGGGGTATAAATTTGGCATCTTGGGCATTAGCTTTTGCCTAACTGATCGTTTATGATAATCCGGAATTTTCGTAACCTAGGATTTTGAAAATTCGCGATTACGAAAATTTGAGAATTTGGAAAGAAAATCCTAGGATACAAAAATTCGAGATCCCGACAGTCTTCCCCTGAACGCTGGCAATTTGCAGAATTTTTCGCTGCCTATCTTACCTAGACAAAAACGACAGTTTCAATTTGCGCCAATTCGAACGCTTATTCGCGCAGCCCCTAAAACTCAGCCGCCCTCCCTCTTGCCCACCTTTTTCGATTGGCTTTTTTCCACGGCAACGTAACACGTCCGAGCGTCTTGGGCCCGTCCACGTACCACCAGAAAAAGCAATTGTGTGGCTTTCTTTTTCTATGTGGCTGAGACTGACCGCTGGCTTTTCGCTTACATTATTGACATTTATGCCCCTGTGGAGATCACGGGCGACGGTAGCTGGATCTTCTTCCTCCACCTCTTCTTCTCCTTCGGCCAACGAGCCCTTCGCCAATAAAAATTATCTATGTGGCTTTTCCGCCCACTAACAACTCTGTGTCGCTTCCAGATCCGCGGCTTCCACATCCTCTGGCATCTTGCCAAGGACCTCAACATCAACCGCTACATCTGCAAAATCTGCAATTTCGGCCATGATCGGTGAGTACAGCTTTGCTTTTAGTTTTGGGTTCTGTATTTATTCCGGGACGGGGAATGAAGTTTTCACATATCAGTATTTTAAGGTCTTTTTTCACAAATTAGTTGTATTTGAAGTGGAAAAACGGGTAAGCTGTTGAAAATTTGGAAATTTTGGTCTAAAAATCAGATTTTTTTTTGTAGTTTTTAGGCTTAGGAAAAGCAATAGAGTCTTGAAATAATTCAGATCAATTTTTGAAACATTCGAATTTTCCGCACCGGAAATCGTAAAGAACCTTTTTTTTTGCTGTGGCCTTTACTCAGCGACGCATTTCTTGTTTAGATCGCAGAGCGTTCAAACTCACGGCAAACGCGAACACGGAACAGATGACGTTGTCCTCGACAAAATTGACGTAAGTGTCCCTCTATTTTTCGAATTCCGTTTTTTAGGATTACGAGGAGGAAATCAAGCAGATGTCCGAGCAATGCTTCGGCTTCCAAGCCCTTTTCTCGCAAGAAAGCCGGCGTCGCAGCAAAATTCCGTTAGCCCCGGTATGGTTGTGTTACCTGATGTTTATCATATTTTTTTCAGCGGGCCGACGATAACAACAGCCCGCCTGTAGATGAAGAGGATGACACAAAGGGCGACATCGACTCAATGATTGCTGATGATGATGAAGACGAGGTAAGTTTTCACGCAGCTCGTTCAATTTCTTCAATCGATTTAAAGGTTCCCACTCGGCCTAAGCCGGTCAGGGTAAGCTCGATGTTGTATAAGGATACCGCACCCCCCGCCTCGTTTATGGGGTTAGCCAGAAAAAGCTCAAGCTAATTCGAGCACATTATGCTCTTTTTAAAGCATTGTGGCTAACCCCATGAGAATCCCGGGCTTTTTCTTTGTACACAGGCTCCTTCGAACTATCTATCCCCTCCCTCGGGTCCCCGGTTTTGGAAAAGTTATGAAGCCATTTTAACCGAAAATAATAAGAATTCTTTTTGAGCATCAAATTCTAGGCGGGCTATCATTTTTTCGCAAATGATAGTTTTATAAATGATTTTTCGAACTACGTTTTTCAAAAAGGGTCTAGAAATCACATTTTCATAACTTTTCGTTTGGAAAATACCCTCGTTTTCGACTATTCTCTATCTAACAACTTTTTAGGCGGAGATAAAGCCCTCATCGGCCAGCCGCCCGTCTCGGCGGCACATTTCCCATCGACGATTCGGCACCCGGAGAGCCATGGGGAAGAATAAGCGCTTGGAAATGGCCCGACTCCGCGAAGTCAGGTACGTTTTTTAGTCTTTGTGCTTCACCTGAATTTTTTGATTGTACGCTACAAATTTGGCTTTTTAGCATGAGACTCGGCGGCGCGCAATACTTCAAGAAGCGCGTCAACGAGGTGGCTTGCTGTGGGGTAAGCTTGACTTCTTTGCGAAAGTACCTTTTTTTATTCAGGCATGTGGCCTCAATCTGCACACCCGGCTCTCCGAGCACGCCTACAAACATCTGAACGTGCCGCTGTTCTTGTGCCCACACTGTGATCTGGTGAGTTCTGAATTTTAATGAAAATTTAAAGGAATAACTTTCGAAAGTTCTATTTTGGAACGATTTCTGAAATTCAAAATTTCGACAAATCTTGATGATGATTTTGATGATTTGAAAGAAAAGAAAAATAAATCTTGATGATCTTGATGGATGTCAGAAGATTCTTCTATTTCTAGGGCAACCATTCGCGCGACACGGTGGTGAAGCACATGAAGGAGATGCACGATGACGTGAATACGGGTTCCCCCATCGACCAACGTCTAAAATACGCCCAAGAAATTAAGGTTTGTCATTTATGCATATTTTCTAAGTTCTGGAATGTTTGTTTATCATAATACATAATATATCATAATAAATTTAACAAGTTTAATTTTTGCAGGACATGATTGCTCATTGCTACCCCGGCTTCTTCGTCGATGCCCCCATCCCGACGCCGGCAGATATTGAAAAATTGTATGTTTTTTAGAAAAATTTTCTGGTCAAAAAAGGAGCTGGTTCGTTAGCAGGGGGGCTAACTTCATTCGTAGAATAATACACCCTTTTTTATAAAAAGTGTTGTCATAACAAGCAATTTTTATGGTGCTTTAGCAATTTACGAATAAGAAAACAACAGAAGATTGATGCCCATTCTTGAGCCAAAAGCATATTTTTCGGAAATTTACTATTCTTTACAAACTCTTTATTGCTATCAAAATAGTTTTACCGTTATACGTACCAAAATTTTAGGCAAGCACCATTCGGCGACGATGACACGAAACCGCAAATTGCCATCGACCACGACGGTGACCACGACGAAGAAGATGACAGTGATGCTGATGATCAGGTATATTCGCATATTTCTTATATTTATAATTCAAACGTTTTTCAGTCTGAACACACCGAGGAGGACGCGCCCGAGCTTGCCGACCAGACCACCGAACGCTCAGAGTCGCCACCAAACTCTGAACTAACCGAGGAATAGACGGGCCCGTTTTGTATTTTTATTTCCAGTTTTCGGATTCTGTCATGTGACTTGTTTTTCCGAGTTGAGCCGTTATTACCCTACCTTTTAAATGTTATACCTTTTAAGACTCGAACCCTAAGTTTGTGCGCGTCATCACGCCACCCCCACCCTGTCCGGATGTTTGTGTTGCCTAGTCCGGGAAATGTTCTCCGCCTCTTGCCTTATGATAACCCTTCCTCATCCCTTTAAAATATATCTTTTATTGTCGTGTACCCTCCCGATTTATTCAGTGTAGCCCCGATCCCAGGAAGCGTTCCGTTCTTATATTGTGTGTATTGTTGGCATTGACCATGGCAATAAAACGTGAATACAAGCAGCGAGAGAAATGTAATTGTATTTTATTCAACTGTCAATTCGGGACTATATTCATATTAGCGGGGTAAACTTTGGGGGTAAAGGGGGGCAGATCAGATTATGCAAGGCACGCCACTGATTACTAACTGTTCTGAACAAAGCAAAATATGCACAACTCCAGGCAACCCGTATTTCTAAAGCACGCCCTTCAAAAAGTGATGTCCCCTGTAAACGCATTCGTGAAAGGGCGCTGAATACGGGTTGCCACTTTTCAGACTACACAAATCACAAATCCGGTAGAATCTCCTTTACATACTGTCGCGGGGTTGTGTCCAGGGGTGTCGGACGTAAAGCGGCTGTCCAAAAACAACGAATAAGGCGAATGTTTGGGTGTCGGGGAAAATGCTCGGCTATAGGGTATCCCAGAGTTTTAGGGTGCATCTCGGCTAGTATCACATCAACAGGGGCTCCAGAAGAGATTTGGTAGGAAAATTTAAAAATTACAAGCGTTAGGGTTAAAAAGTTTCAGATCGATTTGGCTCATGTCAAAGTTACGTTCTATGTTGGGCATAGGGGTTAGAGGTAGTGGTGGACGGGGCCGTGATGACGACGATATTTCCCGGATACGAGGACTGCTGCCCGAGCACGTGCTGCACCGAGGTGCCCTGCTGAAAACACGGGGTTTAATTTTGGAAAGTGAGTATTCCATACCTTCAATTGGGCCAAAGTCTGCGGCTGCTGGTGGCCGATTTTGGAGAGTTGCGGTTGGCTCGAGAGAACGTACGTGGCTGACGATCCACTGTCGTCGAGCATTCGGTGTGACTAAAAAGGGAACGGGGTCTTTGAATTGCCATTTCGAACGTTTCTCGAATTTGATGCTTGAAACAATCAAGAGAATCGAAAATGAGTTAGGATTTTGCTTTTTTCACCCAAAAATCGCCTCGCCAAAATTGGAAAGAGATAAAACTTACATGCGGCAGATGCGTGTCCTCCAACTGCTTGCGGCGAAGCGTCTGCTGGGCTTGTTGCGTTCGCTTCATCACATCCCGCTCGATCGACGACAACGCATCAAAATCCCCCTCGACGGTGCTAAAGTCCGGCTCGTGCGTCTTTGGCTCATCCGGACCGCCGCCCTTCTTCGGCGAGTAGCGCTTCTGGTTGTATTGCTGAAAAAGAGGAGCATAATATAATTGAGACAACCAGGGTGTGTGCAAATAATTGGGCGATCAGAAAGCGCCCAGGGGCAGCTCACCGACCTTCCGCTGGTCGGCCGACATCCTCTGATAGCGGGAGCGAGCGGATTCGGCGGCCCTCTGCGAATATCGGCGGTAATGGTTAGTGCACAACACAGGGATTGAGGCCGGCCAGGCGCTGGCCCTCGCCCTTTACCCTTTAGGACCCACCTTTCGTTGGTCGGGCGTCATTCGCTGGTAGCGAAGTCTGGCTGCTTCGGCTCGTTTCCGGTTGCGCTCGACAATCTGCTGGGCGCGGTCGAATACTTCGCCGGAGACGCGGCCGATCGGCATCGTTAGCAGCATTTCTTCCTGAAAAAGAGATATAGAAATTGGTAGAGGATTTTATATACTAGTTTACATCTTTGCGTAAATCAACGTAGATTTTTTAAAGAGTTTAGAAAATCCGTTACGCAATTAAAAGACTAATCTAACGATAACAACCTATAACAAACTGCAAGAAAAACTATAAGAAAGCCATACTCATGCCTTACCGGTCCCTTTAAACCCTTCAATCTAGCGCTAGCAAACCCTACCTCAAGGCGTTTTCTCCTGAAAGCATCGGTCCGCTTCTGATTATAAGCGCGCTTCTGTTCATTTGACATGGAGTGATATCGATTCCTCGCGGCTTCCGCTTTCTTCTTATTATTCGTCTTAATAAACTCGACGACGATGTCATTGTCCTTCATCGGGTCATTGCCGATGACAAGGCCTTGTGCCTAAAAACCCCACAGTAAGATCACGAACAACAAAATTACCTTGCAGGCGTTAAAGGCCTTCTCATGCTCGCGCCTCTTTCGACGCTCGTTACAATCTGCCTTCTGCTCCGGGGTCATTCTCTGGTACCTAAGCCGGGAAATTGACATTTGCTTTGCGAAAATGGCTTTCACCTAGATTTCAAATCATTGCCGATTCCCCACCTCAGCCTGGCCGCCTCGGCCCATCGCGCGCGCCGCCGTTTCTCGCGCAGCTGCTCGGTGATATCGGGGTCCTCTTGGATATCGTTGGTTTGGCGGAGGATATCTTCGAGCTGTTCGAGCTCCTTTTCGCGCTGACGTTTCCGTCGTTGCGCTTCTGTTCGTTTTGCGTTTAGTTCTTTCTTCTTGTCGGCGGAGAGGGCGTGGTAGCTAAAAAATTATAGGTTATGGATGATTTTATATCAGGTTTATTAAGAAAGGGATTAACCTGTCATAACGTTGAAGTTTTCCATGAGCGAATCTGTCAGGAAATCAACGAAATATACGCAATTCCAAAAATTTTGACACTTGTAAAAAGCTAGCTAGATAGCTACGGTTAAAGGCCCGGTTCCCGAAAGAAACCGCCAAGAAGAACGATAATATTATATTAAACTTCATATCTATCGTTTTAAAACATTCTATATCTCGAATATATAAAACGCTCAACCGTACCGTAGTCGGGCGGCTTCCGCTTGGCGCTCCTTTTTCGCGCGCTCCTTTTCCGACAATTCAGGCACGCCGGCGACCAGTTTTCCCATCACGTCCTTGATGGTGCCGGGCTGGCCCAAGTAGCTCTGAAAAATTTAAAGTCATCTCAATAACCCATTTTTTTAAGTTTTAAGCGAAACAAATATGTACCTGTGCCGAATGCTGACCGTGGTTCCAGGAGGATTGTTGGCCTTGCTGCGAAGGGACATCCACAAAATATGAGTCGATCAGAGCCGTCAATCTGTAAAGTAGGATTTGATGTGTGCAGGCTAGGAGCCAAGGAGCGGTATGGAATATATGAGACGACCGTTCAAAACCCCGCCTACTGGAATTGTCAGAGAAACAAAAGTCTAACGATTAGCCTAGTTCTAAAGGTCGTTTGCAATGTAGACGCCTACGAAAGTTTTGTTGCTTTCCTAAATTTCAAAATGACAACTCACTTGTCCTCACTGCCCGGCTGGTTAATGATATAGCGGTGTTCGCCATGTTCTCCATGTGAGTTCACGAGTCGAAGTTCAGTTTGGCCCTGAAAAGTGTTTAAAGGGCTGCCGACGGCATGTGTCGATCCCCCCATCAACAAATTGGCAAGTAGCCAACAGGGCAGAGAGCGCGCCCAGGGGGGAGGCGCAGAGACATTTTCTTTCCCGCGAGTAATCGATTGCATTATGCCGCCCCTATCCCTTTAATAATAATGAATCAATAAGAAATAAGATCTTTCCAGGTCAGATCGCAGATCCAGGCCAGCCACCACTTTTGGATCTCCGCTCCCCATTGGGCTATAGGGTCGTAAAGTACGCCAAAATGTTCGTCATGTTCTGGCGATCATTTTAATATACCTTACACCTTTGTGGGTTACTGGAGAGCTGAGATACAATAGTTGGGGGTAGGCTGGTAAATCCCAGTAACCAAGAAAAACTCACATATCCCGGAATATAGCTGGCAGTGGAAGAGCTGCCTGGCTGGCCGGCTGCCGCCGAGTAAGAGGCGCCAGTGGGTTGAAAGGTATAAGCGGAAGCTTTGTCATCCAGGCCCCTCATCGCCATGCTGCTGTAGGAGGCTTGAGACGCGGTTTGTTGCGAGCTACCCGGTTGCCCGGATTGGCCTGTGTAGCTGTAGCTTTGGTTCATCTGAAACAGGAAAAAAATTATGAAATAGAAAATCTATTTGAGAAGAATTAAGAGGAGCAATCTATTCGGTAAAGCTCAATACACAACTCCTAAGCTAGCTAAGCCAAGTTAACTTAAATAACTTTAATACGAGTGCGATTCTCTCATCCATATTTAAAAGCAAAGAAAGGAAGAAGCAAGACAAAGGAGCGGATGAGGAGGGGTAGTCGCAGGGATAATTGGAAGTTGCGGGCAAGGGAAAGAGGGTCGAGGTGGCGAGCGTGCGGATTCCCATTCCTTGCCTTTACCTAGCACCACCCGACGCTATTTCCCCCCGAAAGAAGATGCTTGAGCAGAGCACTAGAGAGGGCCCTAGAGAGCATCGAAAGGCTGCCCGAGCACAGGCAGGGTCTAGCGACTCGTTTGTATTTAAAAAGCAGCCTAACTTGAGCTAAAAGCCGGAAATGAACTCCAAAACCCGCAAATCTACGCCCCACTCCCTTTTTCTTTCGCATTGCTTCTCTCCCCCCACATTGTCCACTCTCGCTTACAGGGCTTTGTCTCGGGCACAGTCTTACTTTCACTCAAGCTTTCTCTCTCTATCTCTCTCTCTCTGCCATGCTTGACCCTTCAGCTGAACCTTGCCACGCCACAAACAGCGTTTGATGATTCTTACTCGACATTTTGAAAAGTAACTTAACCACTAAATTTGGTTGCCATGCGGTTTTCCAGTTTAGAAAAAGTGGGTTGAAGAGAGCTCAGGGCTAGTAGGGGCGCATCTCCACAAGTAAATCTTAGGTTAAACAGCTAACCCCCATGAAACTGCTATCATTCATAACGCCGTTAACTACTAGAGTGATTGTCCTAACCCTCTTTGTCGTCAACGCACTTGATACCTAACCTAAATGGCAAAGTGCAACGGATACAAAGGCTTCGGCTAGGCATATTTAAAGCTAAGTCAAGCTTAGGTAGGCTGCAGTTAATAATCAAGTGACTCAAGCGCAGCATTAACCTCGTTAAGTCAAGATCCCCCCGCCCATGAATTAGCACCGTTCAACCATTCCCCGAACGCACTGTTGCGTAGAGAGGACCTCGTACTTCCATCCGTAATCATCCTGCTACCTCCGGTAGTGCCTGGGGTATCACCGTATCGGCGGTCCCTCCCCGGGATGGGGCCACTGTCCAACAGCTGGGGGCACCCCAGTCTCGACACGATACCCAGCAGCGCAGCACACCTCACAAGACCCCCGCCCGACACATACAAGAGCGAGAAAATGCGCATTCATAAAACGGCTGAAGAGAATCGGACGAAATGAGGGGGGCCTGGTGGAGGACGGAGGAGCCGGGGGACGGCCGAGAGAAAACCGGGCTGCCGATCGGGCCGCCCCCTCGCCTCGCAGCCGCGTCGCGTCTCTCGCAAGGACGCCGTCTCTCTCATCGATGTTGGGCCCGTACTCTCTCACCCCACCCCACACTCTCGCCCCCATCTCGGTTATCGACTTTTACGCCACGTGCTCTCCACACAGCCGCACACAACGCCCCGTCAAGGCCGTGTCTCCCCCTACAGCTCCCCATCCTTCTCCCTGCCTTCCACCACCACTCTCACCCCATACCCCGTACACTCGCCCTGTTTGCGATGCCTCGCTATCGGGTCCAGCCTCTCTCCCTGTCCACCCCTGCGTCGTCGTTAAATACGCCACTCGCCCCGCGCCAGTGTTCCCTCTCTCATCGCACACACACACCCATACATACCTACTGGCTGCCCACAACTCGGGGAGGGGACGGCGCGCAGGCACGCATATTGCCAACCCCCTCCATGGGGTTCGTGAAGCCAGCTGGCAGCACTGGAAGAAGGGAGGAACACCAAAACTAACGCTGTGGAGTCTAATTACAGAATTCAGGGCTTTGTTCCTCATAGCAAATAGCTGTTGCCTGCCGACATGGAAGCGGGGTTCTTTCGCATTATCGGGGGGGGGTCATTACCGGGAGTTGTAGTTTTCAAGTTCAGGGAAAGTAAAAAAAGGAAATAAACGACAAAATTAACGCCAAACAATGGTTCATAGTTATGGAATCCAGGGCTTTGTTCTTCATAAATAATTCCGAGAATGTGAATCGGATGATGCGGCTCGAGCGCGAGCGCTGTAGTATGTGAAAACTCTGCCAACCTCAAAAAAGTCTGGCGAAAATCTAAAACGATAATAATCAGAGACGAGTAAAATGTAATGTAATAAATCTAAAAACTCTGTAAATGACTATAAAAACATTCTTTTGAAATTATTCACTTGTATAAATTTATCTAAAAAGGTGAACGAAACAAAACAATGCAAACGCTGCTGTACGAAAGCGTCTAAGGACGGAGACGTCCATAGGTGTCTCGCGGAATACAACATCGTATGGATTTTTCTATTTTTTTTCGTTGGACTCGTTTTTTTTAACTTTTCTACCCAGTCGCGATTTTTTGCGCGTTTTAGATTGCTTTTCCGAAAATAACCTGTCTTTGCGTTTTGCTCTAAATGTGTGACCGCCCCTCACCAGCCCGCTGGAAATTTGGCGCCAAAATGCTGAGCGTGCGGTAAAATGCCCCGCACAGACTGGCCGGTAGCTCCCATTTTTCGTCTCGATTCCTATTCCACTAATTACTATGTCCAAGATGGTGCGCGAGACGTGGCTGAACACCAGGGCCCATCACATCATAGATAGGCTGTATCAAGGTGCAGATTTTTCGTTGATTATTCCTTTTGTTTTAGCGGACCCGGAAAAGTGGAGGGCCGATAATGGACAATCGTTTATGGCCCTTTGCCGCGAAAAGATCAAGGAAGTTGCAGCGGTACGTTGATGATTTTATCGCAAATATGTGAGTTAAGGAACTGCCTGTCTACAATGATGATATGGTCAACGGGCGAGCGGTGCGCATTCGTGCAATCGTTCAGAACCAGTTGGAGGACGAGTATTTCAGGCTTGACTATGAAGTAAGGCATTTATTGAAATTTGTATATTTTTGAGGTAAATGGCTATTTAGAAAACTTGAAAACCCTGGAAAATGGCTATTTTCGTCTTAACCGACTGTTTGTGATTTTACGTTACTGAATGGCAAAAACACAGTTAGAAAAACGTCATGAGATGAGTTGGAGCCTAGGGGAAAATTCAGAATCCCGCAAATACGGAAGAAACCAAAAGTTCTATTTTCTACCTAGATTCCTCCCGTTGGCGGGCAGCCTACTCATTTCCCGGTTTGTTACCGCTCGTTTATGGACTCCGCGGATGGCAGGGTGAGAGCTTTAAATGTTTCGACACCCTATGCTTTAGCCTTACTCCGGCCAACCGATCCGCCGGAGCCGTTACATGATGGCGCCAGTACCGGGAGCCAGCGCTTGGTGGGACACTGAATGGGCCGGCAATGCAGAAACGCCCGAAGTCATGGACTTCGGAAATTTCGTCGCCACGGTTGCTTGTTTTTATAGGTGTAATTTTTGTTTTGAGGTGGTCGAAGAATCGTTCCGTCCGAACTCCATTATGGAATTGTACGGCTTTGCCAGCAAGGCCCCGTTAGATCAAGACTCTGAGGAGACTGACGAGAGGTTGGTTTTTTGATTCTCGTTCGTTAGCGGGGGAGGCATTTTGCAGTAAGTTAAAAAATAAGTTTTTGCTATGTTTCGTATATTGAAAAATAGCGAGTGTAGGTATAACTAAGTTCTAGATTTTTCGAAATCTTTTAGCAAATATTTTGACCAGAAAAATTGCGGAGTTTGCATTCATGATACAATTTCAGTCTGAAACGTCCGATCTTCTATGTGATCGACTGGAAGCCCTACGTCGAAACCATTGATGACGCGGCACCGCTTTGTTCAACGTACCAAGAAATTCTCGACAGCGCCATCGGTGACCCTACGGCCGCCCGCTTTCTAATGCTAAACCTATTGGCCAAAGTGTAAGTGCGGTTTCGCGATCTCAAACTTCTTCAGATACTCTCGCAACCCTCTACCGCCTCAGTGCACGTTGCCCGTGACTTTGTGCGGCGTGACTAATCCCAAGCCGATCATCGATCTGGTCAGGTCGCTGATGCCTCGGGTATTTGGTCCTTTACGCTTTTCGATAACCTTTCGTTTGATAGGTGATCCACCTTAGGCTGACCTCCGAGGAGTTTTCCACGTCTTTTGCCTCGTATAGGGACTATGATCGTGGAATTATGGTTCAGGGAAAGCTGCAATGTGCTCTCGACAGTAAGATTTTTTTGCTTGTCGTCAATGAGGATTTAGACACGGTGCTGATCATCGACGAAACTGAGCTGCCTGAAGGTAGCGTGCCAATCCAAGGCGATGACCGGACAGGTTTGTAGAATTTGTCCAACAGGTTCTTTATTGTTTCCATGCGTGGGCTTCGAATTTCTTTAAAAACTGATACAAACAAAAATTTCCACTCTCGGAAAATCATGTCTTTTGTATTTTAACGTAGGGTTTTTGAGAGTTTTTACGCTTATAAGCAGAAATATATATAATTTAGAAATACAACTGCCATTTTTATTCGAGAATTGGGTCACAAGGAATAATTCTGGCCGTCCGCCCGGAAATATTAAAGAACCGTATACATGCCCAACTGTTGTTTTCAGCCTCCCAAAACAAAGCATCGTTGGAGCAAATCATGAACTCCCAGGCCATCGACTATGACTTTTCCTTCTACCCAGTCAATTTTGAAGTTGATATGCCAATCATTGTCATTAGCCACGATGCCGGTCGAGCTCTGAAGGTTGGCGATATGTTGACTATATTTTGATCTTTTCTTTTTTAGACTCCCTGGCGCATCCCTTTTCCGGGGGAAGTCGGCCCATTGGCCGTGGACGATTCTACGTTGAGGATGTTCCGAAAATCCATTAGTGCCGCAAAGGAAAAGCTGAAGGGGATCGAAATTATGACAGAGGTATTTTTTCAAGCAGCTTCGGAAAGCAGCGCAATTATCTTAGGAAATTTCCCGCGGATTTTCAAACATGACGCACACACACGTTGCGGGCGGTTATGATAAGGTTGAGCGCTTCCATCATATTCTGGCGGTGTGCAGGTATCCGAAAGTGTTTTTCATGGTTCACTCTACCTATAGGTTATCCGTTGCCCATAACGGACGCCACACGATCACCCCTGAGGTGTGGAACGAGGCTTTGGCCCTGGAAGCGAAGTGTGCCGAGAAATTTAACGAATGGAACAACGGCGCTGCCGATCCCCGTTTGGTATTCGCCCCCACCGAATAGCACATTACCGTCAATCCTCATGCCATTTGTGATCTCGCCATTGCTATGTTATAATTTGTACGTTGTCAATTGTGCTAGTAACCGATGCCGCGTTGTGATTTTATTTTTCCGTGATATGCACCTGGGATAAATGAATCGAATGGCTTTCCCTTTTCTGGAGGTCTTTGAGAGCGTGGTCGGTATTCTTGCGCCTCAACAAAATATTTAGCGGAATAACTGGAAAATAAAAACGGCGACAAATCCGAAAATCGAGGCGTGCACGGCAATGTTACAGTAGTCCTTTGTACAGCAATAGTGATGGTTTTCAAGGCCATTCTTGTGTGTCGATGAAGCCTGGAAAGGACTTGTTAAGTCAGATAATTTTTTATAACATCGGTTTGCAAAATTTTTTCAAAAAAAACATAAAATGAAAACTCGCTTTGCACTCGTCCGCGCAGCCCCATGACGCGGACACCGATTTGTCATTGTCGTTCTTATTGGTGTCTTTGAAGCAATATTTAGTGCTGTCCGATGTGCAATTGGACTTGGCGTCCGTCTGGAATCAGGCATCTACAGTTCCGGGGCATCTTGTCGGTCACTTACGTGCACGTACGAGTTGGCGCTCGTGTCATTATAGCACACGAGGGCGGATGTCGACGAGATCAAGAGGAACAACGGCAAAAGCAATTTCATTCTGAAAAGGGCTTTATTATCGGCATGAAAAAGGAGTTATTTTATACTCGTAAGTATTAATAGAAACGCTAGGCTACCACCGACTACTTTGTGCAAATTAAGCCAGGTAAACAGCTCAGGAATCTGAACCAAGAACCGAAAATCGGTATCGACCGGAGCCCGGCAATGTGTTGGCCCGCCGGGAGCCTAGTCCGCTGGGGGTTTTATGCCCATTTAATAGTTTTTGATATGACACCACGTTTTCTTTGCTATCAAGCCACCCTCCTCAGACCGTGAATAATGAGGGTGATTGATTTTCGGGATGAAGAATGGCGGTGAAATCGGAATTTTTGAAACAAAGAATATTTTTAGCTTCGAAATTTTAGGGTAAAAATTGGCCTCAAGGTAAGCCGGAAAGCTTGACTTCCAGTTTTCGGATTTAGAGCTTTTCAAATAGATCCTAATAAAAATATTGGAAGTGTTTCTAAACGGTTTTTACCATTTCTAAACGCGAAAACTTTGCAAATGTGTATTAAGAAAATCGAAAATGGGCGAGTTTTACCAAATGTTCGATTATTTAAAAAATTTTTCGATAGTTTTTCGAGTTGAAATATAGTTGTATATTGCTGAAAAGACTATTACAATTTACTATTTCTAGACTGATACAATAAAGTCCCCCGATAATGCGAAAGAACCGTTAACTTAGATTTCCTTAGCTTCCAACCTGCAAATTTGCGGCCGATAGGTTGAGAAAAATTATAGATTTTAGCCATTCTTGCCGGCGCCGAATTCCGAAAATCCTTGTTGGCTTCCAGCCTGCAAGTTTCGACAGATTTCCTCACCCCCACTAGACTTCACTCCACTTCCATCTGCCGATATATTTAGCAGAGCGTTTGGGCTGGGGAGCTGCGCGTCTGTCGGCCTGCTTTTTCGGGTTGGGATGGCGGTCGACCGGCCAGTAGCGACGGGCAGGGGGGAGGGGGATTCGTCGGCCGGAAGTCATCAATTGTGCTCGATTTGGGGTGGCGAGAGAGCGCGACGAAGGAGGAGAACCCCAGGGAGGAATGGTAGAAAAATTGAGCGATTCATGCACCCATCCATCTCGCGCCGTAATTACAACAACGGAGCCGCGGTGACGGCTTCACCGCATGATTCCACTATGTTGGGCTTGTTTTTGTTTTATGGGCAGCTTGGATGAATGGGTTGTGCGGGTCCAGAATTTAGACGATTTTTAAGAACTATAAAATTCGCCGTTTTTATATGTTTCGAGAGTTTTGGAACCGGTATAAAAATTAAGGCTCTAAAATTATGATCTACGACATTTAAATGTGATAATGATTGGGAGAAAATACAAGGCGAGAAAAGCTTTGTGGGGACAGATCGTCTTTCAGACTTGCAATCATTATGCCGAAATTCGCCTGTTCGAAGTTTTGTTTTGTCGAAAAAAAATGATTTTGTAGAAGTTTAATTTCGTCAAAATTCATCTTGTCGAAATTTATTGATCCAAATCATCTAGAAACTTGTAAGTTGAATTCTTTGAATTCAATTTGAATTCGACAAAATGGCTTCGATAAAGTAAAATGCCTACAAAATGAAATTTCATGAAATTCCATGTCATCGGAATTTTTTCTCCGCGCTAGGCATCATCCCTTTAATGAACTTAATCAGTTCCATTTCTAGATCTTTCTGTGCCCTACCGTTTCTGACCGATGCTCCCAATTTTCCTGTTTGTTATTGTCGTAAACAGCAGTCCTTTTTTCGGCGGATCGTTCCCCCACCCCGTTCAACATCAATACCCATTCCCATCAATTGGGAGGTGCCGATTTCCGCGGCGTAATCTATTATTAGACGGCCCGGGGGGGGAGCATCGCCTGATAGTGGGAAGCGGTTTTCTCCGCGCACAGCCATTTTTCTCCATCGACACCAACGGGGGGAGTTGGAGATGATCGGAGGGTGAAATCGATCGCTAGCTGTTCTCTCTCTCTCTCTCTCGCTCTCTCTATCTCTCTCTCTCTCTCTCTCTCTCTCTCTTTCTCTAAATAGAAAAGGATACAGTCTATCGACGGTGGCCAACAGGGCAAAGCTCAAATAACCAAAAGGGGGGGGGGACAGAGATCCCGACGCTAAATTCGGTTAACATCACAAATCGGCGGCAAACATCCAGCCCACACCGCCTTCCGGCTCGAGATCAAGGCAATACCGTAACCGGACTTCCGTGAGGCGAACTTGGTGATGGCTCAGCTCGAGCATAAGCATAGGCAACCCGATCTGCAACTGCAAATTTTCATCTCTTCCTCACTCACCAACTCAAAATTTACGACGGAAATTGGACTCAGTTTCATCATTGCCAGCAATCAAGATATCTGTTTTGAATTTGATTGATGATGGAATTGTGTACGCACATCGACAACACTCCTTTCAAAGACAAATCGTTATTTTTTGGGTTACAATTTGCAAAAAAGGTTTTTTCCCCCTGTATGCTGTGAAATTTGAGGTAGGGACAGTTGCCGCAGACTGGCTGGACTTACGCCTTTGCCCAGGCCCAAGCCTAAGCCTAAGCCTTGACCTAAGCCTGAGCATAAGCCTGAGCCTAAGCCTACGCCCAAGCTTATGCCTAAGCATATGCCTAAGCCTAAGCCTAAGAAAGCTTAAGCTTAAGACAGAACCTAAGCCTAGGCCTAAGCTAAGCTTCACCCGTTCGATATGTTTTTCAGCACAGCTGGAGCAGAAGCTGCAATCCCGGGTAGAGATGTCGCGATGGCAAGATGATGAATTGATGATATCCCGTTGTCTGTCCCTTGTTCCTCAGATCACGTGTGCAAGCATACCTTTTACTTCGATTTCCCGGCAGGTCCATGTAGGAACATGGATATACCCAACGGCTGTACAGGGTGTCCCAAAAAAACGACCCATCCGGCATTTCGCCGTGTTACATCCAATCGGCTCAAAATTTTGACCAGAGGTGTTTCAGACCCCAAATAACACCAATCCTGACTTATAGCCCTGTAGCTTTCCTGGTTTTCGATTTATAACGAAAGTACTGTTTTTCCCGGAATTCTGAACAGTTTTTTCGGCTATCTTTTTGGACTTTGCATCGATTTGCATCGACTTCCCTGTGAATCCCTAATTTCACTTAAGAACCTGAGTAATTTTGCGTTGTAAAAATCGCTTAAATCAAAGTTTATTTAATCAATTTTACTCTGGAAAAAATTTCTTAGGGTAAAGAAGGCCTACCGATCATTTTTACTTAATGTTTAGGGGGCCTAATTCCACGAAAACCCTATGAAAAATGAAAAATAATGTCTGTTTTCGCTATAACTCGAGAACTACTATAGCTACAGGGCTATAAGTCAGGATTGTTGTTATTTAGGCTCTGATACACCATTGGTCCAAATTTGGGACCGATTGGATGTAACACGGCGAAATGCCAGATGGCTCGTTTTTTTGGGACACCCTGTATGTGTCGCCACCGTCAAAAACCCTGATCCATCTTCGTCTTTTGTGGGGGGAAGATCCTGTGAGGTCTCCCTCAGCTCGTACCCACTTTTTGAGCACACTCCGTTTTCATGATTCTTTTTTACTTGGTGTATTTCTCTGACTATTACTGAGGATCAAGCCTAGAACTCACAGTTTAAGTTAACTTCTATTGTCTTAGAAAGATACCTGAAAAAAATAGAATACCATGGGGATCGGTAATGTCTGCCAATTTCCGCCACTCCCAATCCCCACGCGCCACTCCCGTTCCCACCCCAATCAATACCGTATCTTCCCCCAGCGTCATTTCGTAAATACCGGTTTTTCGGAATCGACCCTTTGGTAACCCGAGCCCTTCCTGATCGCTTTGACGCCAGCCCAAATTTACGGCCGACGTTTCGGGGCGGAGGGTGGATCCTTTGGTTTCCAGACCCCTGGATCTACCGTATCCCAAACCCGGGCGCCCGATCATCGTGGAATGCGCAAAGGCAATGCCAGTTCGCGGGGCCAGAGGCAAAGATAAACTTTTTGCAAGCTGTCGGGATATTTTGATGGGTTGACCGTTGCAGGGTTGTGGATTGTGGATTGGGCCTGTCGGGATTTTGGGCTTTCGGCATTTTGGCTTGTCGGAGTTTTGGCTTTTCAGCTGTCACGATTTTGTCCTTAAGGTATTCAAGCTGTCGGGATTTTTGGGTTCTTTGAGTCCTAGACGGCGAAATTTTGACGTAGATTTTGGTTCTCGGTATGTTGGATTGTCGGTATTTTTTTCTTAAGGGATTCCGGCCATCGGCATTTTGCGCTTGCGGATTTCCGCCTGCCAAAATTTTGGAACACAAGTCAAATAGTCGACGGCGCCGAACCGGCCGATTAGCAGCCACATGTCGTAAATTATCGGCTTTATCGAAGCATGGGCTTCGGATTGTGACGAAGTCGGGTTTGGCGCCATTTTGAGGGTCTAGCGACGGGGGCCGGTTCAAAAACGAAACTTCCAACTTCCGTTCCTCGTGGCGCACACGCTGATAAGGCCATGTGACCTATTTTAGGGCCGATAGCGGCGGGGCTTCTTGAATTTTGGGGCCGTTTGATAAATGATCAAATTTATGGAGGGTTAACTGGACTTTGAGAAATGGGCATTTGTTTATTCCATGGCTTTTTCAGCTACGGCTAAGTCAAAGTCTAAGCTTGGGCCTAGCTGCTTAAAAGAGAAAACTTTACTTTACCCCCCCCCCCCCCCAGCCCGAAGTTCCCAAATATTTTGCGTTATAACTTTTTTATTTTACATTATTTTGGGCTCCAATTAACACGCTTTGTATAATTTTTGCTGCTCTGTCGAATGGCGGAGCAAAAATCCCAATAAAATCACTGAAATGTCCGAAAATCTTGGGATCGCCGGGCTGGGGGGGGGGGGGGTGAAGTACAGTCTAGCCTACAAAAAAGGATGCCATGCAAATTAGGGTCAAGCATACATCGGGATTTTGCTATCGAGTTTTTGTTGAATTTGTCGAGATTCAAAGACTCACTAAGGCTGCTTACCTCTCGAGCAACCA